AGTGTCGAGAGAAGGGGCTGGTGCATGTGTAGCCAGTGTGGAACGACTGTGTGCTCTGAGTGTATGAATGGGCTGGTTAGGGCGTTGCTGATGTTGATCAGCATGATGGTTGCGGATGGAGGGAGTGGTAGGTACTGTCCTGGCATGACGGGTAGTGCTGCCGGTGTGTGATGGGCGCGCTGGTAACTCGATGCACGGCTACCGCGCTGGAACATGTTATTTTCCTCTAGCACGATTTCTGAATCAATAACAGTTGCAATGAATGTTAAAACCACTCACCAACAACCCAGCCACCAGTCTCTTGATTCAAATGAGGTAAAGTTGGGCTATTCCAGCCAGCTCAAAATTTTATTGTATGCTGTGACTGCTATTTGCTGGGTGAAAACTTCTTTGATAAGGTCAATCGCATTCTCGGTCTCAGCACCCAGGAGCCTCCCTTCATGTAGGTTCCTCGACCTTGACAATTTTAGGGTGATGGAGGGCCGGTGAAAAGTTCTTGACTGATGATCCCAGTGTGAGAGCGAGATTTGCGCCTCTATTTTGAGGGAGAATGACATCTAGAAAGAAAAGAATGAAGTGTTTTAGTTGGTGGAACATCAGGGCAGTATTAATGAATACAGAACTCACAGTATCGTCTCTATAGCCTGCAAGATCAAGCCAATGAAGATCAGGCAACACTGAACAGTCGATAATGTCGAAGGTAGTAGCATGCGACATTGAAGAGAGATAAGGAGCAATGAGCTTGGATTGAAAACAGTAACCGAACGATGATAGTAGACTAATGAAATTGGCGCCTTAATGTAAATGATTAGTACAAGTCTGAAGTCATGCAACTGAGAAATCATACCGGAACACAAAGCACATAGACATCGAGGTCGGATGAGCAGCTGTGGCATGGTTGATGGAATTAGATATACAGATGCTTCAAAGTACTGCAATAGCTTTGAATGCATGGAAAACCGATTGTGTAGTATCAGCATGGTATAGTACCAGATTTGAAATTACCATGATCAATTGATTGAACTAGATCGAACATCCACCTGGCACCAAGTCTGAAGTGTTAGAATAACCAAGTGAACCAAGCCACAAGTGAGCTGATGAGAGTGAACAGGACTATAGTCCAGTGTCAGTTGCTATTGTGTTGTGTAAACTAATGAGTGTACTATACCTATGGTCCAGTGTCAGTTGCTGAAGAGCAACCAACACAGGACTTGACTACCTATGGGGGAGTCTATGTAAACAAGTGTAAACACTGCCTAAGTAAGTAAGGAATTCACATCACCTGCTAAGTGAGAGTCAATAGAGGAGCAACATCATAAACACAAATAACTTGCACCATAAGGTGCTCAATCACCACAACTAACATGAAGTCACTCACCAAAACTTGGAAGGTAAGTTATCTTCATTAAGAGCAACACCGAGTCACTCACAACAACCTTGGAAGGTAAGATTAAGAGTGACACAGAGTCACTCACAAATCTCGCAAGGTAGGTTATCTTCATTACTAAGAGCAACACCAAGTCACTCACAAAAACTTGGAAGGTAGTTTCTATTCATATATTCAGTCTCGAAATATATTCTAGATAATATAGGATTGTAAGCGGTCAACTTCATCACATAGATCATCATCCTTGTCAGCCTCAATGCTCCTTGCTCCCCTCAGATCTGCCATCATTTCAGCCGCATCCCCTTCAACAATCCTCTCCTTTTCCACCCATCTCAACCCTGAGTAACCAGGTAGTTCATAGATAGTGTCAATTCTACCACGATGCACATCATTGACCCACTTGCGTTCTTTGTACGCACAGTGGATTTCATGTGAGAGTGCCGGGTCTGACTCCAGCAATGATTTGAAGGTAGACTGTAGGTGGGCGTCTTCATCGTCAACCCGAGCAGCAAGTTGCCCCACCTCAATGTTGAGTTGCTGAATCTCTTCACGAGACGTAAAATCTTGAAATAATGATTAGCAACCTCGTGATTTACTTTTGAAGCTCAAGGCTTCTCTCGAGTAAATGATGGCGCGAGTGCTTCAAAAGGTCGAATTCACCCCGCCAAGCATAAGATGCAATATCGCTCAATTCCAGCATTTCATGCGGTGGTGTCTGCACAGGGGCAAGTCGGTTGTACCTTTCAAGCACTGTGCAGATAGCTGCTGACCGGCGACTGATAGCACTTGAAATGTGCTGGCGAAGTTTGTAACCTCCATAGTTTTGTTAGAACAGCATCAGGTGAATCAAAACAATGCATACCGGTACCTGCAATATTGGCCTTAGCCAACTCAAAGAGCCTTTGGACAACAAGGCCCTGCAATTGCTCAATTACCCGAATAAACTGTCAGTTAGTAAGATAGGCTAGGGCTTCCTTGTATTTCGGATCATCTGGCTGCCATCGTTCCATAATTGCCATGCGACGCTCAAGATTATCAACAGCGTTCATTTCAACAAGTAGCTTGCGATAAGCTGCATTCCATTCCGCCTCTCGAGCTCTGGCAAACACTTGTTGGTCCTTTTGTAGACCATGAGAAGGTGTGAAGTCCGCTGGCGTATACGTTAAAAATTGAACCGTTGTGATGCTACCATATGCAGCCCTGAAAAGAGGCACTTCAATACAAATTAAATTCTATCACACGTTACTCACTGGGCTCTCGTCAGCGATTCCAACGCCTCTACGTAAGCCATAGCCTTGATGTCTTCATCAGATTCTTCTGCCACGTTCTCCAAAAAATTCTAGTTCTTCAGTGTTCCAGCGCTCAAAGTCAGCATCTGTAATCTTCAGTGCCAACTTGAGCTCTTCAACAGCGGGAGTAGGATCATCAATGATCGCAAGTGCTTGTTTATAATTATTGTACAAGAATTTACCTAAATTCAGTCAATCTCACTTCCTGAATATCGAGAACTTGAAATACCTTACTTAGCTCAAGATATCTATCAGCATCCCACTGCCGAAAATGCAGATCAATGAACTGGAGCCAATGAAAGTAAGAGGCATGGCGGATAACTGGAGCAACAGTGTTCGATCCTGAGAAGACACGCTCACACGTCTCAAGGTCCTTGAGACCAAGACCACTTCGGTACAGAGGGTGGAACCGAAGTTGACATCAGTGATTGTGAGCGTGGCTGTGAAATGAATTGACAACAAACTGATGTTGATGGGAGCATGCCTTAGCAGAGATTGAGCTAGCATTCACGGTTGCCTGATAGGAACAACCAATATCATATCCTGTTGCTCCATTTGGCCCATAAACGTCAAGAATCCTATTTGTTGTTGCAAGAGTGTATTTTGCACTGGAAAGAAATTAGACATCAAATTGTGAATAAAAGGCAGGGACTTACAGCTCCCCACTCCGCTGCATCTCAACAATGGTCTGGACCATACCGTGGCGACACACTTACGAATATGCCGGTTTGCTCGAAGACTTTAATGGTGTTGTCGGTAATCATATTTGCTGTCTTCCAATTATTGGTGCAAATGGACTCTGTAGCATCAGCCGGAGTAGGGTTTTCTGTGACTCTTCGGGTCCCTGGGCGGAGTCGAACATCATCCTTGAATCCATCAACTTTGGAAGCAGGAATCAAATACGACGATCTAAAGATGCGCTTGTCCGCATGCCCAGAACCATCAACCCGTTTGAGTGAGTTGTTACCGTCAATACTGTCCATCCTCCCAGGAAGTAGAATCGACTTGTTCTCTTGCTGTAGTCCATTTAATTATCTCCTACAATGCAACAATACACTATGTACCTTATAATCACACGCAGGGCACGCATGGAGTATGCACCAGTCAGGACTGTCTCGTTTCAATGCTATGTTCACCTTTTCTTGAACTTGTCGTAAAATGTTGAGATACACATCAAACACAATTGCAAATTGATCACACAGAGCTTGAAAGTAGGAGCGCTAAATCATAAAATCAGAATCACAATAAATTAAGGTACAAAACAAAATTACGTGCATTGTGAAGTGCACATGAAGCTTCCAGCGCAGGTAAGCAGCAACGAGATCTGGCATCTGCCTACTCCATGCAGCATGAAGTTCTCAGTTACGGCGCAGTCGACTGCGAGGCACCTGACGTCGACGATGTTTGCCTTGAAAACTGCATGATCCATTAATTGTGATACCCCAATATTTTCAGAACTCACCAATTGATGACTTATGCACGCGCAGCGCCAACCACAGGGCCCTCACATCCACCTACTGGGTGGCCTTCTGAATCCCCTTCATCTCCTTCCTCCTCATGCTCGTCCTCTGCCTCCATGTTGTCCTGGTCGCTATTGATGTTGAAATCTCCAAAATAGTGAGTGTCTGGATTTGTGGTACCTGCTTCAAGTGTGGCCTCGGCAAGAAGTTGACGTGCAGTAGCATCAACTGCTATTTTTCAGTAAAATCAGTTTGATTTGAGACAGTACAACAACTTGCTCACCAATTCGACTCTGAACCTGCTCCCTCTCGTAAATGATGTGATCCGCTCATAACTTCGTAAGATTGGAGCACAAGGTCCTGAGATCACCGGTAGCTTGTACAACAGATTCCTTGACATGGCAAATAGTCAACAGTTTAGTGCGCTTGCAACCCATGTTGATCGCTGGTCGTGAGAACGAGTAAACACTCACATTAACATTGTCCCAGAGAACCCCCTAAGGACCTCTGGCACCACTCTACCATGTCAACATCACATTAGAATATATCACACAGAACATGGTATTAACACTGTACATACCTGCAGATGATAGCATGAACATAAGATACCTCATATGTAGCATAAAAATGAAAAGTATTGCTTACTATTGCCAATGGGAGCATTTGTAGTGCAATGCACAGGTAAACACCAAGCAGAACGATGAGGAGTGGTCCTACAACGGCGAGAACGATAAGGACAGGTGAGGAGTGTCTATGCCTGTCCACTGCACAGGATGTGACAAGGATCCGGTGAGAAATGATGGCGGTAGAGGAAACAACATTGGACTCACTGTTGATGTTGAAGAGCACAGCGAGGAGTGGTCCTACAGCGGGGATAACAACAAGCATAGGCACAGAATCTCTATCCAAGTCTACTGCACAAGATCCGACAAAGATCCGATAAAAAATGATGGCAGGAGAGGCGAAATAGCTTGCTCATCATTGGAAACGATGAGCAAGGTGTGAGATAACGTTTGGTGATGATGGAGTGGGAATGTGGACAGTGCAGAAAGCCTAATTTGGCTGCCGGCATTAATTCCCGACGAGTGACGACAATGTCGGACTTATTCTATTTTGGGCAGGCTGTTCAGCTCACCCAAGTCACTGCTGATGTGCTGAGAATACTGCTGGTAGGGGGGGTTCATAGCTATTCCTTATGAATTAGTAACGGAAACAGGTACACGGTACTATTACTAATTAGTAATATAGGTGGTGACACCCAGGTGCTGACTTAGCATGTGATGTGAATTCCTTACTTACTTAGGGAGTGTTTATACTTGTTTACATAGACTCTCCCATAGGTAGCACATCCTGTGTTGGTTGCTCTTCAGCAACTGATACTGGACTATAGTCCTGTTTACTCTCATTAGCTCACTTTTGGCTTGGTTCTCTCAGTTATTCTAACAATATCTGTATAGGTTGTTCATTAGTGATGTTTTGAGTGTTGGGGTGCTGGAGTTGCAGTGCTGGTGTTTGTGTAAGTCTGTCTTTGTTGGTGAATATTCTAAAGCATTCTATGATGTCAGTTTTCGCAGTTATCTTGGGGCTGAAGATTATTTCACCCCTTCTACTTGCTCTTGCATTTATGTTCTTTTCTTTGCAGTGGTGGGTTAAGGTTAGGTTGTTGTTTCTAATTGTCGTTGTGGGATTAAACTTAGGGAGCAGTTTTTGAAGTATTTCTTTTGCAATGGAGAGGCATCTGTGTGGGTTGTTGTAGCCATCATTCCTATGGCTTTTGCAGGGGTCACACATGCAGTTGCTTCTTGGTTGATGGGATGGGTTAGAGCTGGGTCTATCGCTGAAAGGACTGCTTGGACAAAGTCCAAAGCAGAATGGAAACAAGGAGGGCAGATTTACAAGAGCACTAAGCTCAAGTTCAAAGGGCGGGGAAGGCATGGGAAGTCCAACAGATGGAGAAGGCAGCTGACCTAGGGAGTCAATCCCCCAGGCTGGCAAACAGGAGTTAACAAGGATAATGCCCAAGTCCAGAGACAGAAGAGCAATGCTTAGAAAAGGTAATATTCCAACTGAGTATTCTACAGACAAAGTACCTACATTGATATAGTCTAAGTAAGGAGCATAGCATAGCAGGAGGCTATGTGCTGAGTGTACAGAATTACTAGAAGGATGACTCATACATACAAGAGGAGGCTTGGAGAACAATATGTTAGAATAACTGTGAGGACCAAGCCACAAGTGAGCTAATGAGAGTGAACAGGACTATAGTCCAGTGTCAGTTGCTAAAGAGCAACCAACACAGGACTTGCTACCTATGGGCAAGTCTATGTAAACAAGTGTAAATACTACCTAAGTAAGTAAGGAATTCACATCACATGCTAAGTCAGAGTCCAATAGACACATCAGGGTTATCAATATTTAGGAGAGGTTTTTATGTGGTACTAATTGAAAAGAAAAAATTTAAAATTTAAACTAACATAAAGAGGGACACGTAACTTTAAATTTTGGCGGTGTTTTGTGTGTAATCCAAAATATCAAGTTTCTGCAGCCACATTCCCACCGACTACATGTCGACGACAATTAGAAATATAATCATATTTTATGTGTATGCTTAAATTTGAAGTTTAATTTTCGTGTAACACGGTGGACAAAACTAGTAGTTTGGGATATGACTATTTGATTGCTAATATTTCAAGTTGTGTGTGCCATATAGACGTCTCTGGAAATTGAAAGTTTATACCCGTGACAAAATGTGATGACTAAACTTCAATCTTTGTCCACAGATTAAATAAATCGCCTGCCCATCGCCCACCAATCGCCTGCCCAAGGCAGCCCAACTATAGACCCAGTATTGCCTGTATTCAAAAACAGCCCACTTAAAGAGATGGGCAAAAGTAGGATTGTCCAAACAGCTCAATATTACCTCCTGGCTGATGCAGTTTTAGCTGAAAGCCCTCAGTGTGGTAGTAAAGGCTGATGGTGCTGAATGCCAGACAAGCAAAAAACCTGTGCATGTAGACCGTATCATTGAATGGAACGAGTGGATACTTCTGTAAGTTGTCCTTGATCCCATCTTGCCTGCAGGGATTGAGATGGACTTCAGGCCATGCAAACCATCTTCTCTAGTTCAGGTCAGCGTGTATGCCTGGATCCGATATTCTGTCATGGAGAAGTCCTCTGCACATTCAAGATATCCGTTGGACAATTACTGGATCACACTTTGAACGGGCCTCTGATCTCTGCACCATGAATCATCCCTGCCACCCTGTAGCACTATTCAATCTAGCTGTGGCGAAGTTTGTTAGTTGCCAAGTTAATGGAACATACCTCAACTTGGACATCCCCATCTCTCTTTTCCAACACACTTTTGACTTGCGTCCAGCTGCTCATCCGACTGATCACTCAGTTCCATCTTGCCATTGCCCTGCTGTTCACTAACAATGAAACAAATACCTGACATTGTTTGTGATTGTTTTTCTTTATGTAAGCTATTGTTCAGTCACTCACTTTCATCTCCTATAGTAACTGGTTGGAAAATGATGACTCAGGCTTTGTGGCACCACCATATATCCCATATATTTTGTGTATCTTGACGCAGGCATGTCAGCTTCAAAGGATTCTTACTTTTCCTCTGGATGGCGGTGTATTTGAATGGAACAAGTTTCTCGAGCGCGAGTGAGTTTCACATATGTATTCAAGACATGCTGACTTGAGGTGTTCTATAGGCTTCCTAGTAACTTCTCAAGTCCTTCGAAAGATGCCACGAAATCCACTTGGTATGAAAAACTTGGACCCCAGTGGTATGTAATATCGGCCTTGATATGACAACCTTGCTGTGGCCACCAAGAAGACCCTTCCCCATATGGAAGCCACTGCCAGGCTGGGAGGTCCTTGTCCTTTTGGTCACTCTTCAGCTCGATGGGTTTCTTCATAATCAAACATCGGTGAGTGCCCCGCCCCCTCCACAATTTCCCATTTCTAATTCTGTGCAGAGTCGGATGACCATTGAATCAAGTCGAGCAGGTGATACCCCACTTCCCTGTGTTGTCCTGCTCGTTAGTGTATATTATTTAACAATCTGTACGCTTGTTCTATCGGTACGATGCAATTTATTTACATTTATCTCTCACATTTGGAATCAAAGGAAGGCCTGCTTGAACGATCTTTCAATGTGCGTGACATCCATCACCTTCACTTGAATTGCAAAAGACGCTGTTCAGTGTTTTTCTCGTTGTGATCAGCTAATGAAGGGTGAGTTTGTTTTGATCTAGCAATGTTGACACTCTTTAATATCAATTTACAGGCGTGATTTCAGATATCAACTTCAATTGCAGAAGAGTGGTTTGCATTGAAGACGTGCTTATGAGTTTTATTGAACATTAGCAGTAATTCCACATTTATACCCAACATCATGTATTATTCCCTGCTGTTTGTATCAAGTCATCTCTATATAGTCATCTCTATATTTATATTCACAAAGTCATGCAGGATACTTGTTGTTATGATGTACGTCCAGAGGCCCAAGCCTTGTGTTACAACAAAACCTGAGGTGCGTGAATTCATTAATCAATATTTTGCCAGGTATAATATTTACTAGTGCTAGTCAGTCACAGCTGATCACAACGTATAAACAGTTAGAGGTTTGAACACTCTATTTCCAGTCAGCCCCACTAGTCTGCCAGCTGTTGTTCCTCACCATGGGTTGTTCTGCAGTTGCACAGATACTTGGACGTCCTCTGCCACAAAACTGCATATAGAGTGAACAAGATCCACGGCAGTCCTGGTCGATCCACCTTGCATGCCAACGCACTTGATGTTAGGAAAGGCCCCAATCCAGGGTGCAGACAATGCCTGGAGCCACAATGAGCATGAAAGGTCACATGAAATGAATATAATCACCAGCAGGTCCCCTGCCGAACCAGCGCCTGACCAGGCTGAAGCTTCGGGTGAGCAATGCAATATTTCCAAGTGTCTGACTGGGACCGCACAATGAATGTCCGGGTGACACATCATTTTCAATCAATGATGACTCTGCATGGGAGAGTGAAGTGTGAGATATCCAATACTGTCGCAATGCCCAAGGTATCGCAGAATTGTGGTCATGTAATCAGGCGACGCGTTGTCAGATTGCAACGAAATCTCAAGGGATTTGAGGGATGGTGGTTCACGATGCTGGCAAAGGATGGCAAGAATGTGAGGCAAAGGTACGTCCAGCACAGACATAGAATGGATTATAGGAGTGGTGGCATGGCGAGGGATCTTCCAGGACACAGCAGGTCACGGAGTAATATGCAGCTTTTTTATGTCGGGATGGCAGGCCAGAAAACGGATCAGCGTGCCCAGTGCACAATCAGCATCAACCCATAATTCAATGAGCATCAGCATGGATAAATACTGCAATAGTTTGTCCCAGTGCGCAGGACTGAGACCCACGCGACGTAATCCTAGCTTCTCCAATGAGGATGAATGAATTGTCTGAATCGTGAAAGGAAGGAGTTGAGGAGAAAAGAACACCTGCGATGATGCATCGAAGCATTTCAGGCCGTTTGAAGCTGGGTGCACCTCAATTTTAGTGAGCCCACTGACAGATGATAAGCCCGTGTCATGGCAGAATTCCATGCACGTGAGCTCTTCACAGCCTGAAGCACGAATGTTCTCCAAAAAATTGGTTATCTGAGGGAAAATGAGGGAAGTGAGAATGTCAAAACTCCAGAAAAGTGTGATGAATCGTATGGATTTCTGGGGGATGGATTGCAGGAAGTGCAAAAACGTAGACAGTTGTGCAGGTCGTACATCAACATCAATCCAGCACAACACCATACGTGGTGGACAAAAAGTATCCATTCGTCTCCAAGTCATCAACACGTCAAAATTGGGCGAGTCAACACGCAGGTAACATGTTTCCTGCAGGGAAGTTGAAAAGTTCCTGTTAGCAAAGAAGAGAGGGCCAGCTATCTCCCTCAGCAGAGAAGAAACTTGGGTAAGAGAGTGTAGATCTCCCACTCCTAGTAGACTGGCAATAGCACTGAGAGTTTCCACAGGTAGTGACCAAATGAAAGTTCTGGCATTAGGTGGCGGCTCATAAACTTTTGAGTGTTTGATCGTAAAGGGATCTAGTTGAGCATCCGCTTTACACTTCAAGAAAATGTCCGACTATCCTCTGGATCAGTGGAGATAGTCAAGGTGTGTTTGTTTTTGCTTACCGCCTCCCTATACAAGCACTTTGCAGCAGGGCTAGTAATATCCATGTTGTGACGAATCATTTTCATGGGCTACAACTCCATTAGCGCCGATGAGCCAACACTTGAAATAAGCATCTACCGTAGCGACAACTAGACGTACACCGTCTGTGGAAAATGATTCACGTATTCATTGCTTCCAAGGGGTTGCAGGGTCAGCAAATTCCATCTTGTGCTTGATTGGGATTGAATCAGCATATGCATCAGTCATATCAAGCACATGCAGTTACCTTGACAGGTTGCTCATTGCGTTCAGGTGGCAGAACACGTGATGAGAGTGCATTTCTGTCTTGGATGGCGGTATCCTCTTGAAAGCGAGATGAGGGGTTAATATCCTGCAGAACAGAAGTTGAGCAAGAGGTTGGTTTCTGTGTGAAGTGCTCACCATCGAGGCAAACGGAAATTTTGCACTGCCAGTGGAGGCAGAGGGATGGGTCATTGACGAGGAGTCACAGGACTGAACCAAGAAATCGTTGAGTGATAATGAACAAGAGGAAATAGACATATGCAGTGAACATCTGGACAAACATGTTGTCGACCAGAGACATGGCTTATTGAGTTTACCATCACATAGAAAGGCTTGAAGGTTTGAACTCAACGAACTGCAAGAGCATTCACTTTAACTCGCTCTGAGCAATTGTTTTTATCAGTGAGGCACTAATAATAAAGAAAATCATTTGATCCATTCTGGGACGGAACGATGGAATACTAAAGCTTGTTTGAATGAATCAGATAAAATGAATTCTTGGATATGAGCCAGGATGACTCAGAGGTTGACAATGGGACAATGGAAGACAAACCAATGGTCGCGAGTAAGGGGTCATCATATGGTTTCATAAACTTGAATGTGATGTGCTTCCAATTTGCGGAAGCAATTGCCGGGCTCAATCGTGCCAAGTGATGGATCTTCCACAAGAAGCGACTAGGTCAGCCCATCACCAAAGTAGGTCACCATTTCATCCATGAGTTGGTGACTCACTAGTACTCACTGCCTGTTTCCCTATTGTGTTTGCAGAAACAATTGTCAGGCGCTCTTCTTGTGTGGTTTCCAAGCGAAGAGGTGATAACCGAATGAGGTGAGCAATTAAGCAAGTCGGATGGATCTACCTACCTATTTATTTGGCCAGGTAGGTAGGGGAAATAATTGTATCGGTCCAAACCTTCTTTTGTTGTTTATAGAGGTGTTAGGTACCATGCTGGCTCAAGAAGCGGAGGGGTCGGGGCTTGGCTTCAGCTCTTGCGCTGCGCCCTTAGCCGAGTACGTGCCCCAAATTTGGAGCGGGTCCGACGTTGTCTGACAATAGGATGAGTGGACCGCTTAGGTCCGCTTTGAGGATTGAGAGGTAAGTGCTACTAGTGGTGGGCCGACTAGGAGTGGAGCAGAGGAGGCGGAGGATAACGTGGAGGGTGGAAAGGAGCAGGGGGAATACTTGATAGGAGTGGGGAAGGTGGAGGATAGTGCGGAGAGTGAAAAGGAGCAGGGGGAATACTTGATAGGGGTGGGGAAGTGAGGAGAAGACTTAGAGCACGGCTCTAAGTCGGAGCGGAGGGTTGGAGGTGACAACAAGATGAAACTTGTGTCTGGAGGAGGCAAGGTCCTACTGAGAATTCCCACAAGTAGTAACTGCAAGAAGACAAGTAATATTAAGACTGGGGAAAATATCTAAGTACAGGATATGTTATATACTTCTAAGTATGAGGCAGTGGTCAGGATAACTATGTTGTAAAGCTATGTACCAAGGATATAATTTGTAAGTACTTACACAGGCGAAGACATAAGTCGGAGCGGATATCAATATGTACGCGTCAGATCAGTGATTGAGTGGTAAGAGGAATTACTGGTGATCCGGAAGTAAGGGTCTATGTACCGAAGGGGAAAGTATATATCTAAAAGGGGACAGAGGTTCCAGTTGAATGGAGACATTATGGAAGGGGACTGGTTGGGCAGTCGAGCAGAATGCAGACTGTGATTGGATGGAGCGGAGGATGGATGGAGTGGAGGTGGTCGGAAATCGAAGTGGATATTAATATCGGAGTGGTCGGATCAGGTATATGACAAGAGGAGAATGTAGCTGCACAATTTAAGATGATCAAGAGTCCGATATTTGCGATGATTAAACCTACTGGTATCACCACCTGCCACTACAGACCACTTTCAGTCTCCAGTTGCTGCCACAAGCGGCTTTCGGTCTCCCATCGCTTTGTCAGGAGGCTTAAGCATGAGGATGGCACACCGACGCATAGAGCCAGAAGACATACAAACCGCCCGTGACGTAGATTTGTTTGATCAAGAAGAAACAGACAGTACTATGAGTGGTACTGAGGACTTCATGGATGCTAATCTCATTCAGCCCTCAACCAGTGCAATGCAAGTCGATGACACAGAACTTTCTGACCACGTACTGCATGGAAGTCTCATTCAACCCTCAGTCAGTGTGATGCGAATTGACAAGAGGGATGTGCAGGACAAGCAAGTGGTACGTCCGGTTGTACGAACCAAGTTCATTGACAGATTCATGGGGTGCATACAGCCATTTGGGAAGTGTCGGTATCAAGAGGTCAACTATTCAAAGATACTGCATAAGACAGTATACGAACAGGAAGAACGGGTAAATGAAATGAAGCATAAATTGTGTGACAACAAAATAGTATGTACTAGAGGCTCAATGGATGTATTGCTGCTAATTAGTGACAGTTGCAGGAGCAGGCTCAGCTTGAGGCTCAAGAACAACAATGTCTCACTGAAGAAGACCATGCACGCCACATCAATGATGTCAACAACATGATTCAACCATGGGAAGTGGCCCTGGCAGAGCGAGATACACAACTGAGCAACACCTATAAGAAACTTGAGGTGACCTGTGGGACGGTTTAGCCAGATTGCATGCTAACAAAAGTGTCAGGAATCCTGTGCACGACAACAGCAGTACGATGATCACATCAAACAAAGTCGTGAAGCACTTGGCCTAACCAATCGTGAGCAGACGGAAGTTGACATACAGATGATGCTGCAGGATACTTGCCAGAGTTATGCACAGCAGCTTGAGCAGTTGGAAGCAGAAGTCAGTAAGAGTGTCACCTTAGAGTTGGCGCGACGCGAAGCAGAACTGAATGCAAGAAAAAACAAAGAGGTGACGAAAAGAGAATGACTGCCACAGAGAATCGCTGATAACGTCAAAATAGTTTGAAGAACACAAGAAATACATGGTCCCTGAGATGGAACAAAGACTACAATTAGAATTAAAAAATTCAAGGCGAGAATCTGACCATATGAACCTTGTGAGCATAAACACTGAAAAGATACTTTAGGCGGAAAGAGAGAGAGAGCTCGCCAATATGGAGAGATGATTTGCAAGACGTGGTAGGCAACAGGAAGAGGACACGGAAATGAATGCAGATCCCGCCCCTAGGAGTGCTCAGCAACCCAAGACGCTGCAAAAGCCCCTGTCCGGAACACCATGCCTCAATGCAATCAAAAGGATCAAGAAGACACGCGGAACATCACACAGGATGCGCTTAGTGTCACTGGCAGTGGATGTAAGCAACAGACACGGCGGGAACTGGTTATTAATATACATCACATAGCAGGATGACTCTATGGAAGGACGTGCAGAAGAGACATCCACCATCAAGCAAGAGATACCACAATCACAACCGGGCAATGCCTCCCCCATGTCCATGATGGAGAGCTCAGTCTCCAAATGCGTAGAAGCGGCATTGAGATGAATCTTCATCAATAACGAATTCCCAGTGACCACGAAGCATAGTCCCCGAAGGAAAAAGTTAGAGGATCAAGAAGTTCGGACGGAAAAGGCTGCAGAACTGAGCCACGAACGAGACTTCCTTCTTGTAAGCAAAAACTCCACACTGGTGATTTCTAACTGAGCAAGAAACAGGGTGAAGTCCGGTGTGTCTTCAAGGACAGTTTCAAAATCTCTCAAGACAGTGATTTTATAGTTCACCAGCCAGCTATTTGTGAAGATGTGTACTCATACCAACATGAAGATGGACCGGGCCCTGACCGGCAAAACCTTGCATTTGATCTTGCAAATGGATTGAAAACCCCCTGGAACGCTAAAATTCTTGATCTCCTGCTTAAGGAATTGCAAAACAGGTGTGTGCAAGAGGGGTGGCCATTCCAGAGGTCGGATAGGTACTACAAAGCGATCATAGAGGAATGCTACAAGTGACTGCAGACTGTGTGGAAAGCAGCACAGCCAAAGGTCACAGAAAAGGGGGCATTGGAGACTGCAGCGGAGGTGGAGGCTCTCAAGGCGGTTTGTCAATTGACTCATAGGCGAAATGCGAGTCCATAGTTTCAAACCCACTCTGATAACCAACACTTCCATAGAAATATATCCGAAGAATGACAGTTCTCAAACATCTTGTCGAGCTGAAGAGTGACCAAAAGGACGAGGACCTCGTGGCCTGGCAGTGGCTTCAAAGACTAGTGAAAATTCTGGGAGACCATGGAATGAGTTCAGAAGAGAGGGACATGGAGAATGAGTTTGAGTGTGTGCTCCACGTCAAGAACATGGGATGGCATTATGGGATAGAACGAGAGCTAAATATTGTAGATCATCAACAGTTGTTGGACAATGATATTTTCGCACCCTAGGGCTCAAAACCACTGAAAAGAATACATGCACGCGGTAATCTGAGGACAACACGAAAACCGACCGTAGGATTACCTGAGATCCTCTACGACGGCAAATGACTTTCTGGTCTTACTGAGTGTGAGGTTGAGAGGTTGGAAATGACAAACAAAACATTTAAATGGATGAAAGTAGTGGTAGCGTAAAATGTACGCAATACCTAAATTGCTTGTAACAGACTGCGAACCACATATGGACCGCATAGACTGTTTCACTTTGGCCAAGCCAAAGTCTGTAATCTTCGCTGTGCCACGAGACGTAATGAGGGTGTTGGACAATTTACAGTCTATGTGGATGACTGAAGGCTTGTGCATATGAAGATATTCAATGCCAACGTGTTATATCCAGCATGGTGTTCAACTGCGAGAGAGACGCATAGGCAAGAACAGAAAAGGCATGTCAAGCCCACGTACAACTTTTCTCAGGGATGGAGCAGGGACGTTGCGAATGTAGTCGAAGAGGTTGCCATTTGAGCAAAGTTTGCTGACAATCATGATGGGTGTCTTGCGCGCGTTCTCCAGTATGCCAACACCATGCTGTAAAGCAGTGTAAAGCATGACTGCAATATTGTCTCGACGGAGAGGTTTATGAAGTGAAATATATTTGGATGGTCAAACCGATCCTTGAAGCCCTCGCTTCCAATCTTCTCCAGTTTCGTGAGCTTATCAGGCAGAATTTCTTGATCTTCCAAACCCAGGATTTCAAGATCCAATTCTCGCTCTGGCTCTGGCTGAGTTACGTTCTCGCCAGACAAAGGAGGAGTGCGTGGTTCATCTTGACGGTGGGAGCGCAAGAGGGCTGGAGGGGTGTTCCTTTGTCTGCGGCTCTTGGTCTTTCTCCGGCCATTAGCACAGTGATGAACGGTTGATGGTGGACAGATGGTACAAGTGGAGGAGGGTGAGGAGAACTCGTTCGTGCATTGATCTCGCTACTGAAGGTGTGAGCGCGTGAGTTGAGGCTTGGTACCAGCAACATCCAGATCCCGAGTTCTCGCACATCCAGACAATGTTATTGTGACGCATACAGAGAAGGGTCTTCTTGGTGGCCAAGGTGAGATCGACTGCAACTGCAAGGCATGTGTTAGCAACATAAAAAAAAAACCAACACCCCGTCTATGGCTTCATCAATCTCCTCAGCCTCCTCGACTCCTCTTCCAAATTGATAGCTTGTTAAGCCCACCATCAGGTTCCAATCTCAGCTTGTAGATGCATATTGGCTGCTCATCTGCGCTCCATTCACTGAGAAAATATTCTTTTCCTTCAGCACTGGTATCTTTGGTGTGACTGCATCATCATTGAGTGCCTGGAGTGTGTGGGATGGGATGTTTGTGCTTGAATATGTCTGTTTTACCTGGGGGAGGGATATTCTCAACAGAGTTCCTCTTTATGTTGGTTCCTGTTAGGTACCGTGCCAGCTCAAGAGGCAGAGGGGTCGGGGCTTGGCTTCAGCTCTTGCGCTGTGCCCTTAGCCGAGTACGTGCCCTGAATTTGGAGTGGGTCTGACGTTGTCCGACAATAGGACGAATGGTCCGCTTTGGTCCGCTTTGAGAGTCAGGAAGTAAGAGCTGCTAGCGGTGGGCCAACTAGGAGCGGAGTGGAGAAGACGGGGGTTGATGCGGGGGGTGGATAGGAGCAGGGGGAATGTTTGGCAGAGGCGGAGAAGGTGGAGGATGATGCAGAGGGACAAGGGAGAATATTGGATAGGGGCAGAGTATACGGAAAAGACTTAGAGCACGGCTCTAAGTCGGAGCGGGGGATCGGAGGGTCGGAGGTGACGACAAGTTGAGACTTGTGTCCAGAGGAGGCAAGGTCCTACTGAGAATTCCCACAAGAGGTAACTGCAAGAAGACAAGCAATATTAAGACTAAGGGAAAATATCTAAGTACAGGATATGTTATATACTTCTATGTGAGGCAGTGATCAGGATAACTATGTAGTAAAGCTATGTACCAAGGATATAGTTTGTAAGTACTTTACATAGGCAAAGACATAAGTCGGAGCGGATATCAATATGTACGCGTCGGATCAGCGATTGGGCAGTAATAGGAATTACTGGTGATCCGGAAGTAAGAGTCTATGTACTGAAGGGGAAAGTATATGTCTAAAAGGGGAAAGGGATCCAGTTGAATGGAGAGGTTTATGGAAGGGGACCGGTTGAGTGGTAGCGTAGGGCGGAATGCGGGTTTTGTGATAGAGCGGAGCGGAGGATGGATGGGGTGAAGGGGGTCGGAAAGCGGGGCGGATATCAGTATCGGAGCGGTTGGATCTGGTATATGACAGTTCCCATATATAATATGTTTCATCCCTGTTGATCCCCAGTTTCAGTCAGTTTCAATTGAGCAACTAATCCCAGACCAGAATGCACCAACTTGTTTGGAAACTTTGTTAGTTGTGGTGATTGAGCACCTTATGGTGCGAGTTATTTGTCTTATGATGTTGCTTCCTCTATTGGACTCTCACTTAGCATGTGATGTGAATTCCTTACTTACTTAGGCAGTGTTTACACTTGTTTACATAGACTCGCCCATAGGTAGCAAGTCCTGTGTTGGTTGCTCTTCAGCAACTGACACTGGACTATAGGTATAGTACACTCATTAGTTTACACAACACAATAGCAACTGACACTGGACTATAGTCCTGTTCACTCTCATTAGCTCACTTGTGGCTTGCTTCACTTGGTTATTCTAACAACTTGTCATTTTATAGATCAAGCCGTTGAGTGAGTCTTCAATTAGTCCTCATAGTTACCATCACAGAAAACTCCTGATTTTTTGAATTACACAAAGCTGCACATGAACTGTCCGTACGGCATCAATCGACCAATGCAGACATGTTTTTGTTCGCTTCACAGGAATGCAGACTAAATTATGCCCAGACAAGCTCCAGATCAAATTGTTATTCTTCTCTGATCACATAATGACGTCTGTATGCTCGCCGCGTTCAAGACCAAAATTAATTACAATACATAGACAATGAACAAGTGTTCTACCGCGATTGCATGTACAAAAAGACAAAAAAATGGCTGACAAATACACTGTGAGCAGGTGACTACAGTGTGTCACATCACATTAATGGATTGTTAAGTTTCTAACTTGGTCTCATTGTTTTGAAGCAATAGCTCCAACCCCTGGAAACCGCTTGCATTTCCCCCTGCTTTAATTGGGTGTCATAAGTCCATTTTCTAGCTAATGAAACAAGTCATTATTGCTGCTGGAAATTTGATTCTGATATACCTGACATTGTTTGTGATTGTTTTTCTTTATGTAAGCTATTGTTCAGTCGCCGACTTTCATCTCCTATAGTAACTGGTTTGGAAAATGACGACTCGGGCTTTGTGGCACCACCATATATCCCGTATATTTTGCGTGTCTTGACGCAGGCACGTCAGCTTCAAAGGATTCTTACTTTTCCTCTGGATGTATTAGAACAGAACAAGTTTCTCAAGTGCAAGTGAGTTTCATGTATGTATTCAAGACATGCTGACTTGAGGTGTTCTAGGCTTAGTAACTTCTTGAGTCCTCTGAAAGATGCTACAAAGTCCACTTGGCATGAAAAACTTGGACCCCAGTGATATGTAATTGTTAGTTGTGGTGATTGAGCACCTTATGGTGCAAGTTATTTGTGTTATGATGTTGCTTTCTCTATTGGACTCTCACTTAGCATGTGATGTGAATTCCTTACTTACTTAGGCAGTGTTTACACTTGTTTACATAGACTCGCCCATAGGTAGCAAGTCCTGTGTTGCTTGCTCTTCAGCAACTGACACTGGACTGTAGGTATAGTACACTCATTAGTTTACACAACACAATAGCAACTGACACTGGACTGTAGTCCTGTTCACTCTCATTAGCTCACTTGTGGCTTGGTTCACTTGGTTATTCTAACAGTAATATCAGCCTCAATATGATAACTCTAATGACATGACAGAATGTAGGTTCAAGTGATGATTTTGTACATTGCTAACACACATCTTGCAGTTGATCTTGCCATGGCCACCAAGAAGACCCTTCCCCGTATGGAAGCCACTGCCAGGCTGGGAGGTCCTCGTCCTTTTGGTCACTCTCAGCTCAACGGGTTTCTTCATAATCAAACATCGGTGAGTGCCCTGCCCCCTCCACAATTTCCCATTTCTAATTCTACACAGAGTCAGATGACCATTGAATTGAGTCGAGTGGGTGATACCCCACTTCCCTGTGTCGTCCTGCTCGTTAGCGTATATTATTTAACAATCTGTATGCTTGTTCTATCGGTACAATGCAATTTATTTACATTTATCTCTCACATTTGGAATCAAAGGAAGGCCTGCTTGAACGATCTTTCAACATGCGTGACATCCATCACCTTCACTTGAATTGCAAAAGACGCTGTTCAGTGTTTTTCTTGCTGTGATCAGCTAATCTATCTTGTGGAAGTCTGAATATTATTCCTGTGCGCTGAACCTCACAACACTTGTTCAGCTGTTTCCCAATGTGATCAAGCAAGTTTGTAGAAGTCTGAACATGCCTCTTGTGCCCTTCTGATTTTGAATAGATAGCGCATAAGTCTTTTTCATCCTGTGTGGTCCAATCTTTCTTGCATGAGTCTGAACATTCTTCTGCCATGCAGAATCTCATAACGCTCCTTCACAGGGTCTCGCTGTAATCGGGCGATCATCTCGACATTCTCAAGAGTCGTTCAGTGTAACCACACAAGTCTTTCTTGTGTGAATCTGGACATTTTTCTTAAATGTTCCCCACTGTTATCAGGTAAGTTTTGTCAGTCTGAACATGTCTTCTTATGTACTGAAAGATCACAACCCTTCTGATTTTGAATAGATGGTGTACAGTCTTTTTTCATGCAGTGTCAGTGCCTGAAAGAGAGAAGGGGATTGACTTGTGGTAAGCTTCCATTACATGCTCAGTATGCCGCTTTCCGACAGGCCGAAGCACCAGCGCGACATTTTTGAGAGTGTCATAAACACTAAGCTTACATCCACTGTCAGAATGAGCGTTTCACCTGATACGTCATCTTCTACAAGTTGTGGACTTGACCACCTGTGCAGCTGTGCTCAATCATCTTGGCACAAAGTACGAGGCGAATGCGTGCATGTCTCCAAGAGTGTAAGGTTGATGATATCTAGGGTGAGTGTTAGGTACCGTGCCGGCTCAGGAAGCAGAGGGGTTGGGGCTTGGCTTCAGCTCTTGCGCTGCGCCCTTAGCCGAGTATGTGCCCAGAATTTGGAGCGGGTCCAATGTTGTCCGACGATAAGATGAGTGGACTGCTTAGGTCCGCTTTGAGGGTCGGGAGGTAAGAGCTACTAGCGGAGGACCAACTAGGAGTGGAGTGGAGAGGACAGAGGATAGTGGGGAGGGTGGAGAGGCGCAGGGGGTATACTTGATAGGGGCGGAGAAGTAAAGAGAAGACTTAGAGCGCGGCTCTAAGTCAGAGCGGAGGGTCGGAGGTGATAACAAGGTGAAACTTGTGTCCAGAGGAGGCAAGGTCCTACTGAGAATTCTCACAAGTAGTAACTGTAAGAAGACAAGTAATATTAAGACTGGGGAAAATATCTAAGTACAGGATGTGTTATATACTTCTATGTATGAGGCAGTGATCAGGATAACTATGTTGTAAGGCTATGTACCAAGGATATAGTTTGTAAGTACTTTACATAGGCAAAGACATAAGTCGGAGCAGATATCAATATGTACGTGTTGGATCAGCGATCAAGCGGTAATAGGAATTACTGGTGATCTGGAAGTAAGGGTCTATGTACTGAAGGGGAAAGTATATATCTAAAAGGGGAAAGAGGTTCCAGTTGAATGGAGACATTTATGAAAGGGGACCGGTTGGGCAGTCGAGCGGAAGTGTAGGGGCGGATGTGGATAATGATTGGACGGAGCGGAGGATGGAAGGAGTGGAGGTGGTTGGAAAGCAGAGCGGGTATTGATATTGGAGTGGTCGGATCAGGTATATGACAGTGAGTTTGTTTTGATCTAGCGATGTTGACACTCTTTAATATCAATTTACAGGCGTGATTTCAGATATATGATCAGCACAGAAGATGCACTTCATATCCCAACTCTATCATGGTTTATACCCCCGCTGTATCATGAGGCTCATGTGTTTACATTTACAGTTGTACTATATAATTAAGACACCATTTGCATTTCCCCCAGTTTACCGTGTTTTAACTGTTCATGTCTCGTGAAGTTGACGAGCAGGTCTCTGTGGTCAAACAGAGGAGGTTTTGGGAGTGACGCTGGACTAAGCCTTCCAATATGCAGTGCATTGGGTTGACAACAAGCTGCCGCAAGGGATCCCAGTATGGCAAACATCACATCTCCGAGTAGCGCACACCATGAGACTTGAATAGTCTTTCATGTTCAAAGGACGTATCAGCATTCCCTCCACTGCTCAGCAAACTCCTGAAGTGTTTCTTTATCACAAGGTTCCCAAGTTTCAAAGTCCACTCAACCATAGGTAGTCTTGTGGTAGCAATTGCATGCGCTACAGTAGAAGTGACTACCAATCCCAGCCAAAGAGGCAAGATGATGAGCAGCAGAACAACATAGCAAAATTTTGTGAAATTTTGCGTTCATATGAAGGAGGACATTCTTTATGAATGTATTCTACTCAAATGTTATGACCACAAGTATGTCAGTGTAGTACGACAGCAGTGAGAGCATAATGCATTGAGGGTTAACAAAACAGTCATAGATTAGCCCTCCTATAGGGGTATTAGCTGTGATCTCAAAAAAGTGGATGCCAAACAAACTGTCAATCGAGCACTCACAGTCATCTCCTGCTCCTTCTGCATGACATGACGCGACATGTATTTCAGTCGTGTCAGGATGATGTCGTTCACTGGCCATAAGTCGCTATAATTTTCAAGGTCTGGGAACTTGTCGATAGCCTAACATACTATGAGATCCTTGACCCGCACAGGCTGTTTATAGTTACCTTGTTCCATACAACCTCCAACTGAGCAGGGCTTTGCGCAGAAGTGCACTGTGTCATTGTGAGGTCCTTGCTGATAACATCATACATAAATTTCTTGGCGCCTTGTGAGCTTTGAAACAGAGAGCAAGCATGTACATGGCAAACCTTGAACTTTGCATATTCTTTTGGACTCCAATTCAATGCATCGTAGAGGGTGTATCCCCCATGCCCCGGGCGCCCAGGCTCGCCAGGGGGCTTAGGGATGTTCGAGTCTTCTGATAAAGGCGTGATTGAAGTTGAGGAGTCGCTGTCAAAAGAATAATTCGAAGAGCCTTGTGAATCCGAATGTATACTAGGTGTCATTGAACAGGAGTGAGTTCAAATAACCCTATTTGGGTATGGAGAGGGAGAGCAATCAGAAGGCTTGCATGACCACTTTGCTATTTTGAACTCAGGGGCGAGTGTGGGTGGTGTCATCACAAAAGAAACAATGATCTCATCGGCAATGAGTGTAGTCGGGCAGTGGATGCTGCTGAGCAGCTTGAGTTGGTCCATGAGCATTGGGGGGAATAGTGGTGAAGCACCAGACTGCTCCTGGTCATAGAAGGGGGGAACAGTTGTGGGAACATTGCACATTGTAAACAGATAATTGAAATGTACTAGTAAGAGAATGATTTATACTATACTACTAGGTGTTAGGATCTGAGCGAAATTTGAACGTCTGAAGTTCCTGCCATATCAGGTGAAAACAATTATCATTACTTATGTCCAACACAAGCTATGGTAGTGCTACTGTTAGTATTTTGGAATGTTGAACTACAAAAAGATCACTGAGTGGTGACTGATCATGACGTACAATATGCAATACAAAAAGCCTTTTTAATGACAAATAAGGAGATGCTGGCTCTCGAAGTTGATGCGGATTCGTTCATCACAAATTACTGCAGACAAGATGTAGACTATTTGCTTCACCATTGACGAGCAATGCAGACTAACTTGGGTCCGGATCAAATCATTTTTTGACGTCAAATTATGTATGCTGTTGTGTTCAAGACCACTGAACAATAATTACAATTACTGACTTTGTTAGGTACCGTGCCGGCTCAAGAGGCAGAGGGGTTGGGGCTTGGCTTCAGCTCTTGCGCTGCGCCCTTAGCCGAGTACATGCCCCGAATTTGGAGTGGATCCGACATTGTCTGACGATAGGACAAGTGGACCGCTTAGGTCCGCTTTGAGGGTTGGGAAGTAAGAGCTGCTAGCGGCGGACCAACTAGGAGCAGAGCGGAGAAGGCGGGGAACGATGCGGAGGGTGGGTAGAAACCAGGGGGATATTGATAGGAGCGGAGATGGCAGAGGATAATGTAGAGGATAGGAAAAGGGGTGATAGGAGGATATTGATAGGGGTGGGGTAATAAGGGAAAGACTTAGAGCATGGCTCTAAGTTGGAGCGGAGGGTCGGAGGGTTGGAGGCAACAACAAGTTGAGACTTGTGTCCAGAGGAGGCAAGGTCCTACTGAGAATTCCCGCAAGAGGTAACTGCAAGAAGACAAGCAATATTAAGACTAAGGGAAAATATCTAAGTACAGGATATGTTATATACTTCTATGTGAGGCAGTGATCAGGATAACTATGTAGTAAAGCTATGTACCAAGGATATAGTTTGTAAGTACTTTACATAGGCAAAGACATAAGTCGGAGCGGATATCAATATGTACGCGTCGGATCAGCGATTGGGCAGTAATAGGAATTACTGGTGATCCGGAAGTAAGAGTCTATGTACTGAAGGGGAAAGTATATGTCTAAAAAGGGAAAGGGATCCAGTTGAATGGAGATGCTATGGAAGGGGACCGGTTGAGTGGTCGAGTGGAGCGGATACGAATGATGATCGGGCGGAGCGGATGATGAATGGGGCGGAGGGGGTTGGAAAGCGGAGCGGATATTAGGGCGGTCAGGTCAGGTATATGACAGACTTGGAGCAAGCAAAAGACAAAAATGAGAAGATATGGTCTATAAATATGCTGTGAGCAGGTGACTACAGCGCATTGTATCACATTCAACATGTCTTTCTTTGCTAGGTGGATCAGGGCAAAGTCAAACCAGCGCTATAAGCTTCTGACTCATCTGACTGTCTCCAGCGGGTCTGTCCATGCGCTCCCAAGTTCTAATGATGGGCAAGTGCTCACCTGCGGTGGTAAGTATACATCTCACTCCAGAGGGACAATGCTGACACATAACAAGGCACTGAAGGTGTCAAACTTTGGGATATCAATTCTCGTAAAGAACTTGCCTGTTCATCTCATTGTCACGAATCACAAGGAACTGTCAGCTGTGCGGCTTGAACCTTGACTAGGCCAACCACCATGGAGACTCTTTGTCACAGAACTGGGCTGGGCTATGTCGTGTTTTTGTGTTGAAGCGTCATAGATGTAAGCTTAGTTGGGCTTGGTCAAACCTTCCATTGACAGTTCAACAGAAATGATTCCAGGAAATTTGCGCGAGGAGGCTCGGATCAGGTTTTGAGATCACATGTTTATCATGGGATTCGACATCTTCCAAGGCCAACACACAGATCACAGTTGGAATGAGAGACAAGATAGTCCATGTTCTCCTGCTCAATGCCAACTCGCAGCTTCAGTCCATCTTCGCAGTTCAGTTGCAGAGAACTATGACATCTACGTTTTTGGCCTCTATGATGGAAAATTGTAAGGCTCCATTGCAGCATTTTTGCATCATACTAAGCATCAAGTGTTAGTTGTGGTGATTGAGCACCTTATGGTGCGAGTTATTTGTGTTATGATGTTGCTTCCTCTATTGGACTCTTACTTAGCATGTGATGTGAATTCCTTACTTACTTAGGCAGTGTTTACACTTGTTTACATAGACTCGCCCATAGGTAGCAAGTCCTGTGTTGGTTGCTCTTCAGCAACTGACACTGGACTATAGGTATAGTACACTCATTAGTTTACACAACACAATAAGCAACTGACACTGGACTATAGTCCTGTTCACTCTCATTAGCTCACTTGTGGCTTGGTTCACTTGGTTATTCTAACATCAAGCAGCATTAAACTGGAGGGCAAAGACGGTACTGTTGTGATGGAGTTCAGCTGTCAGTCAGTCATGTAAGGCCTTACCCAACTGCACCCGATGAGCGCATTGCTGACATCCATCAAGTGGGCACGCTGCAGTCAGCCTCAAGAGGGGCTTATTTGTCATAGATAACGCGATGGATAGGTTTACAATGTATCATCTTAAAGATGAGGGGGAGGAGCCTGTGTTAGTTGTGGTGATTGAGCACCTTATGGTGCGAGTTATTTGTGTTATGATGTTGCTTCCTCTATTGGATTCTTACTTAGCATGTGATGTGAATTCCTTACTTACTTGGGCAGTGTTTACACTTGTTTACATAGACTCGCCCATAGGTAGCAAGTCCTGTGTTGGTTGCTCTTCAGCAACTGACACTGGACCATAGGTATAGTACACTCATTAGTTTACACAACACAATAGCAACTGACACTGGACTATAGTCCTGTTCACTCTCATTAGCTCACTTGTGGCTTGCTTCACTTGGTTATTCTAACAGGTTATGAGCCCTGCGCTTCGAGGACCTCAAGTCATTCATTCCTCATCCAACTACTGCTCCACTCCTTCCCTAGTATATTCCATCGCGTTCTACGCCCCAGGAAACCCTTATCTTTGTGTCTGAGCACCATTTGGACTGTTGGAACACCCATTGTGTTGCTTTTGAGTAGTTCAACCAAGTGGCTTTGTTGAAATTTTCCATAGCCCCTTTTGGTCATCTACCCCCTGTCCCTCACTCCCACCCCTGTCGCTCCCTGTCCTGAGAGTGAACAGGACTATAGTCCAGTGTCAGTTGCTATTGTGTTGTGTAAACTAATGAGTATACTATACCTATAGTCCAGTGTCAGTTGCTGAAGAGCAACCAACACAGGACTTGCTACCTATGGGGGAGTCTATGTAAACAAGTGTAAACACTGCCTAAGTAAGTAAGGAATTCACATCACATGCTAAGTGAGAGTCCAATAGAGGAAGCAACATCATAACACAAATAACTTGCACCATAAGGTGCTCAATCACCACAACTAACAGTCACTGGATCAAGGGGGAGATGTGGTGCCTCCAGCAGTTCCTGATGTCCCTCCTGTCGTCCCTGTTCCTGATCCAGTCACTCCTCCTCCTGCAGCTCGTCCCAATCCACCTCCTAGACCGCCATCTCCCATAGGCATTGGTGCCAGACTCCCTCGACGCAATAGGCAACCTCCCAGAGACTGGTGGAAGCTCTCTCCAGCTCAGCTGACTGATGTTGTTGATGATGAGACTGAGGATGCTGACTTTGCTCAAGGATTTGAGCTTGCCTTGTCTACCAGCTCTTCCACCGAGCCATTGTCTTATAGGGAGGCATTGACTCGACTTGATGCAGAGCAGTGGAATCAAGCAGCTCTTGAGGAACTCAATGCTCATCGCAGCAATGGGACTTGGAAACTCGTACCTAGACCAGCTGGAATCAAGGTCATTGGCTCCAAGTGGATATTCAAGGTGAAGCGCAATGCTGATGGCTCTATTGAGCGCTACAAGGGCAGACTTGTTGCCAAGGGCTACAACCAGCGTCCTGGCTTTGACTATGTTGAAATATTTGCTCCAACTGTGCGTATGCCCACCATTCGTGTTGTCCTTGCTATGGCTGCCATCCATGACCTCCACCTTCGCTCCATCGACATCTCGCATGCCTACCTCAATGGGGAGATGGACTGTGACGTCTACATGGAACAACCTGAAGGCTTTGCTGAAGGTGATCCAAAGAAGATGGTCTGCCTTCTTCAGAGGAGCATCTTGTTAGAATAACCAAGTGAAGCAAGCCACAAGTGAGCTAATGAGAGTGAACAGGACTATAGTCCAGTGTCAGTTGCTATTGTGTTGTGTAAACTAATGAGTGTACTATACCTATAGTCCAGTGTCAGTTGCTAAAGAGCAACCAACACAGGACTTGCTACCTATGGGCGAGTCTATGTAAACAAGTGTAAACACTGCCTAAGTAAGTAAGGAATTCACATCACATGCTAAGTGAGAGTCCAATAGAGAAAGCAACATAATAAGACAAATAACTCGCACCATAAGGTGCTCAATCACCACAACTAACAAAATACACCCTGTGGTATTTCAACAGAATCTGAAAATACAATCAAACTTTCCTTTCAATGTGTCACAAATATTGATCAACATGGGACTTAGTCGCGATTTTGTTCTGGTTGGCCCCAGCGCTCTTGACTCTCGACCATGACCGCGCACCAGGATCCTTAATGCAAACACAATTGCTGGTGGTGTTACATTGGGAAGCTCTTGTTTATCATGCTAATCCCCCTCACAAGTCACAGATGTGACAACTCAACGACTCATTATCAATGTACGTGACATTTTAGTTGACCAATTTCGGGGCTGATGTTATACTACAATGTCCCGCTCAGCTTGAGGAGTTTATCGACTTCTGAGGTTCAACGTGTTATCATGCGCGAGACAGCCACAGCTCATGTATGTTGTTAACATTTCTCGATGAGTTGTTCTTCTGACTTGAATGCTTTCAGTCCTCTGTGATGTCACCTAGCCTATCCATCAATCATCCACATGTTAGAATAACCAAGTGAACCAAGCCACAAGTGAGCTAATGAGAGTGAACAGGACTATAGTCCAGTGTCAGTTGCTATTGTGTTGTGTAAACTAATGAGTGTACTATACCTATAGTCCAGTGTCAGTTGCTAAAGAGCAACCAACACAGGACTTGCTACTTATGGGCGAGTCTATGTAAACAAGTGTAAACACTGCCTAAGTAAGTAAGGAATTCACATCACATGCTAAGTGAGAGTCCAATAGAGGAAGCAACATCATAACACAAATAACTCGCACCATAAGGTGCTCAATCACCACAACTAACACCACACGCAGCCGCCGCCATGCTCTCGCATCGAGTCTTGTCAACCGGAACTGATCTCGCAAATCGATTGGGTATGTTATGTGGTTGACAATATGCGCATATATTCACTTTATTTCAGTAGGGCTCTCCACTTTATGCCCAGACTTGACACTTCCAGTAAGATGTCTACACGAGTAATGATTTCTGAGGGCTGATGCCCCCATTTTTGTTTTTTCTCCAGCTTAGGCACTCACCATCTTGATCACTCTCATCACAAGCTCTCGAGCCGAAACTTGTGGAGCACAGTACTGGCCAGGCGGGTGTTTCGAATGGATTATATCACTCAAATATGAGTCATACTCTGCTATATAGTATACCCATAATGTCCATACTGTCAATATATTATATTAATGAGCTGCAGCTAGGACGAGCGTGAAAGTAGCCTGCTATCAAACTATATTTTGAATATAGCAGCTGCATCCATCAAGTACTCCAGGAGAAATCTCTGTGAATTCTGGGTATATTCTAGGGGAAAATGTCGCTATAATGATAGCAAAGTCTGTAACTTTTGGCAAATTACCAGACGAGAAAGTCTGGCAGAAAATGTGGTGATATTCTCGTGTATTTTCACACTTTATCCACATTTTACCCTTTTCATAATCTACTGGTTTGTGCTGTGCACTCGATGTTGTCAGATAGGACGTCAATTTGAGTTTGTCAGCTGTTAGAGATGGAGTTGAAGCAATTAAGAAGTATGCAGACTACATGGTAGATATTAATCAAGTATGGCAGGTCAAGAACAGAGGGGCGCTTACTCAGCATAGCAGTCTTTGCCTTGGCTTTTGAAGATATGAATGATCTTGAGAATGTAATGACTTCTAAGCCACTACCATCTCTGTCTGGAGTAAGTACTTGGTTGCAACAACAGACATGGCAAGACTTACTTTTGATCACAATAGAGCTCTGTGAGTTTGATCAAGGTAGACTGCGAGATCCCACGCCCCATCCCTGGAGAAGTGTCTGGACCTTGATGTAGGTGGACAACGCTGAGTTGAGCATGTATTGAGAGGCATTTGATTTGGTCGCTGTGCGAGCGACCATAAGTGAGGAGTTTGGGACGACATCGTATGCGTCAGGTCTAAGCTGAGGGGTCGAGTGAATTAGTTCAGTTCTATTTAATGAACGAAGGAACGTACAGGGTCTATAATCTCGCGAAAATGAACTTCCACGCTGCACTCATCCAAGTCAGGATGTCGTGCAGAGTTCTGGATGTTGATGAGCTCTGAGAGCTCGCCCTGACGCATCTTTGATGCTCGGTAACCAAATGTGAAGAGAAGTGTGTCAATTGCATTCGATTTACCAGAACCGTTGGGGCCCACAATCGACAAAAAGGCTGTCAATGACAAGATTTAATGGAACCTGTTGAGGTCGTCTGCATTATCTTCAGCAGCAGACAAGGGATTTTTGGGGGGTGTAGCAGGTGCAGATTTGGGTGGCCTAGGCGTGACTTCAACATCAGCGACAAGATAAATTGCCTTCTGCTTGCTAGAAGATACTTTTGAGCTGCTGGGAGCAGGGATAGCATCAAACACATCACTAGTGATAGTGATAGGATTGTGTTCGTCATTGTCTGATTCGAACTTGACAGGTTTGCGGGATCTGGGAGCCAGTTTGAGTTTTGCAGGTTTGATATGAGGCTGACATCTTCAAAATGATCTATCACAGTAGGACTGAGGCTTGGACATCATTCGCACCCGTATCCTCGAAATCCACTCACAGAGGATAATTATTAGCCCAGACATGAGGTTTGAAGAGCTGGTGCATATCACGAATGAGTTCAACAGTGCGCAGTTGAAGAAGCCAATTTGTGTGATAGCTGGTGTGATAGCTAGGATGATCACTCTGCGAGAGGGTGCTACAAAGCTTGGGCCAATGACATGTTAGAAAGGTTACTGGGTGACATATTTTGAGAGCATGGAATGATCTTACATAGTACAACAAGTGAAGTCATCCTAGCTAGATGCTGCTGATTGAAATGAATGCAGAGAATTTGAGTGATGACATCAATGAAAATTCATGAAATTCAATGTTCAAGCTTGCAACAAGGCGTGCCTCCCAATCGGTACCTAATGCCTGTACACAGGGAGAATGACCAGTAAAACAGACTTAGCACGGTGTCTACTTATAATTTGATCCCCTTCCTTCTCTCTCTCCATCACCGTCGATACAATGGCAAGTCCAATAACAACCTTCCACCCAACTACTCTGCCCCCTGGACACACATTTGCAAACCAGCATACCCCTACCGAAACTCCCAGTCCCAAAATATTGATGACACTTGCAAGCGCTACTTGACTGCTCTTCAAGGTCTCCAGGATGACAAGGAACAACTCAGCAAGCTGTTCAAACTTTCTTGCTAGTAGATTGCAAAGGTCCCGCTCTACAGGGGAGATTGAATGAGTGGGCTCAAGAAAAATTGGAGGTGAGTTTCGTCCATCACTAATCACACTGCTTGTTTATTGTTGGCGAAGGCAGAACCAGATCTACATCATGCAGGTCTACTGCCACCAGTCCATATTTATTGCTTCATTCTTTTCATCCCTACAATTGCGTGAAATGCAGAATTTATGAACTATTCGCGGGGTACACACAACATTAATTGCTGAGTTGAAAGTTTCAGGTCAATATTGAATATGACCAGTGATATCAATGTGCTTGCATCTAAATAGTCCATCTCATAGGGGGACATCACAGACCACCACCAAGTACATATGCAAAACCCAGAAGGGACATGAACAACAGGGAAGGGTAATTGATCAATAAGGATATCGTGAGCGTGAGTCGAAGATTGGAATGCCAATTAAGATGAAGATGAAGCAATGAATGGCCTCTTCAGAACAGCAAAAATGCATGGGCACTATGAAGCGGTAGGACCAGAAAAGACTGGGGGAGAAGGAACGACACAAATCATAATGTGACTTGGCCATGAAAAAGAGAGAAGATTTGATATGATAACCATGAAATAGATTCAGATTCGCCTGTTTGTTTGTGAGATGATAGTGCAGGCACGATGCAATATCTGTGACAAAAGAGCTTGTTTGTGAAGGTCCAGGAAAACGAGTATATTCAAGAAGGGATCATCGTAAGACGTCATATAATAGTTGAAAATATGATCTTTTGTATATCCTGGTGTGCTGATTACAGCCGCTCTTCGGGCCTGGGTGTCAGTGTACATGAGGGGAAGGGAGAGCCGTATGGTGCGCTGAGGTATCGCGAGGTGGATTCTATGTCAGACAAGTGGTTGCTCTTGACTGTGCTCAAGGGTTTTTCTGCAAGGCCCAGAGCACTGGCGATAGCTCAGGGCTTTTCAACAGCGTCAATATCTTTTGTAATGGGAACTGGCCAATGATGGGATCATCAGGGCCTAGAGTGCATGCAGGCTGCCTCCTGGGTTGGCAGAGGAGCTCGTAGACGAGTCTGACTCGTTTGAGGCAGACAAGAGTCTGTGCATGATCTCGCTGTCCACAGCGAGATGGATTGAGATCTGTAGGGAAAAGAGCATGGGTGGGTTAGCTTGATTGTGCAGCAAAAAACATACGGGGATTGAGGACAGACGGGACGGGACATTGAGTGGTTGTGGTTCTGGGGGTTTGCGGCGTGCGGTGCCACCGTGATCGAAGCAAGAAAGATGTTTCGAGATGAAACAGCTTTTACCAAGGGACACGCCCGCATGCGGATGGTGTTGTTTTCGAGAGAAGCCTACCTCAGATGCACAAGTAAAGACACCCAATGCCACCTTCACGTAGGGATGGACTGTTAGTTGTGGTGATTGAGCACCTTATGGTGCGAGTTATTTGCGTTATGATGTTGCTTCCTCTGTTGGACTCCCACTTAGCATGTGATGTGAATTCCTTACTTACTTAGGCAGTGTTTACACTTGTTTACATAGACTCCCCCATAGGTAGCAAGTCCTGTGTTGGTTGCTCTTCAGCAACTGACACTGGACTATAGGTATAGTACACTCATTAGTTTACACAACACAATAGCAACTGACACTGGACTATAGTCCTGTTCACTCTCATTAGCTCACTTGTGGCTTGGTTCACTTGGTTATTCTAACATTCAATGGTGTAAGAAGGGTGGAGAACATGTCAATGGTATCAGAAACAGATTGTAGGTTGCCGGCCTCTGAAGAAGTATTTTGGACCATTGTTGGCACCTGGCCGATGCCTGCGAGAACCTTGGTAGCATTGGTGATGCTTTCGTTCACAAACTTTGGGTCAAGATGTTCGGCCTTATTGTAAACGTTAACATATCATTGAAAGAGATGAATAGAAACATGATGCACTACATTTGTCAAACTTACTTCTACAATCCCTGAATTGGAAGACTGCTTGGGATTCAGTTCAGGTGTCAGAGAGGTGAAATCCTGCATAAGTGATGAGTAGCAATCTTGTCACACGCCATGGGTACACTCAGAGTAAAGATTGCACATACCTTGGTTAAATGAATGGGTTGGATGTCCTGTGAGCTGGAACTTGCAGCTGTGGGTCCAGGGTTGAGAGACTGTCAAGCACTTTGACCGAAGCGCTTGGTCACCTTGCCACGGCTGCAGCATAGGTGGGCAGAATCTCTAAATTTCTTGAACGAGATCTAGACGAGTTGGCCGGGCCACGATAATACTGCCACAGGGGAATGGTCTGTCTATTCATTATTGGGTCCTCATCGTCTTGGGAAGTCATCGTTCATTGGATGAAAATAAGTTGCCAGCAGGTGACTACTAAAAGTAAGTCAGGTGCCACTAGTGCTGCCGCAGTCCGGTCCAGAACCACGGCCCATCAGCACAAGTGCCCAAGGTTCGGAGCATCTCCCGCAGCCTCGTGGATGCCTTACGAGGCACAAATACCATTTGTTCATCATCATCCATCTCCATCTCATGTATTTATCTACTTGTTCTTAAGTCTAGATGGGTGACTCTGCTAAATGAGGAATCACAGAACCTTTTCGTTATGGATGGATGGGCTTTACCCTAAATGAAGTCCATTCAAGGCAGACTCGCATGTGCTCCTGAGTTAGTAGGGAACTAACCAAGCGAACTAACCAAGGTATAGGTACATCCATACACAAAGATGGTGCTGGGTGTACTTTCTGCTGCATCAGAGATCATGAGTTATTGTGAGTCGTGATCTATCGTGCTTCACACATTTCTCAAATTGCTCCCTTGATTATAGTAGGGAAAACACTAGGGAAACACTTGGCTTCAGCAAATGAGGACGAGATGGCCAACAACATAGTCTTTCATCATCATCTTGCATTGTTCTGTGGCCCGGAACAGGGTGATCGATTCCTCTGCAGAACTCCAGTACTGTATTGAGCTTGCCCTCAATCGCATGGTAGATGGCCCTCAGAGCACCATCACTGTGGCAGAGTGTCTGGAACACTTGCAAAACCTCTGTCGTGCATGGACCTTGTTTGAGTGGAAAAGGAGGTTTGGGCGCCCATGCCTGGTGTCTGCCAGGCATATGAACTTGTAGGAGGCGTATTTGCAATGACATCCTCTTCTGGAGGCATTTACAACTGTTCCGGTTCATGAAAATTGTAGGAGGCGTATTTGCAACGACATCCTCTTCTGGAGGCATTTACAACTGTTCCAGTTCATGAAAATTCACATCCTCCTGTTTACCACCCTCATCAGATCCTGGACACACAAGAGTTGTCCTCATGAGTCACATCAACATCAGCCCAGTGAGACTTTTCTTGAGCTTGTCCGTGACACAGAGTCTGCTATAATCAGGACTCCACAACCCATGCAGTCAGCCACCATGACTCAGAAGGGGTAGATGCACCTCGCCTCCATGCTAGAGAGGCCGTTTCTGGATTAAAACCTGTTTTCGGACCAGTGCAAGCAGCGGTATGAGATGTCAATGGTGCAGGAGACCCAATTGCCACGGTTGACAACATCACCCCATTGCTCAGAACACTTTCCAAGTTCAATTCCCTTGTTGGTACGATAGCAGAGGTATGGAATTTCATCAGGCAGTAATGGCATCACTTATGGTACAACACAGATCCACCCTTACACCAAGGCAGCATGGGGTATCTTGTCAGTGGTATTGAAGGTACCCATCCAGTGTACTCGACATTTCCATCAACCTGGAAGAAGGTTGGTGATCCCTGGAAGGGCCATACTAAGAGGATCACCGCCATTGCCATCAATCCCGCTGGTACGCTTGTCACTTCCGCATCTCAAGATGTCTCTGGCAGCTCTCAGAACGACAAACTACTTCAAGCACTTGTCTGGCTGAGATGCCTCACTTTCTCTATGGACGGCAATAGCATCCTCAGCGGAGACAACAATAAGATCTCAGAGTGGGAAGTATGCAAGGGCTTTCATTCAAACGTGAGTTTCCATCCTCCACTTGTGTCACACAATTTGAACATGCTTCATGCAGATCCTCACTACTATCATGGCAGCCCGTTATTCATGCATAACTGGGGACTTGTCGACTGCTGAACAGCTACTCACACAGGAGATCGATGCCGACACCAATAACTAATCACTCATTTGTTATGGCGCAAAAACAAGACTGGGCCTGTGCCCTTGAGGATGCAATCAAGGTGAATCATACCAACCAATTATGGTCCTCTTACAAAAGGCTAACTTTCACATGACGAAGCTGCTGACCACTTCACTGCCGCTATCAACTCCAGTGCTTTCCCATCAACAATCATCCACGACGTATACCAGGACTTGATCTCTTTCATAACTGAGTGCTTTATCCAGCTCTTCGGCTGGGATCTTGAGTCTTTCTGGCTCACTCCATTGATGAAACTGAGAAGGCCATCTGCCTCAATTGGTCCAACAGCAAGTTTTCAGTGATGTCACTGACACCATCATACTCACCTGCATTTCACTCAGACAGTAAGGAACAATGTAGCACACTCACTGCTCATGATGACCGTATTCTTGGCACATGTACTCCCTTTCTCAACCTTTCTGCTACTGACCTAAGTATGCAGGCGGAGATTCTGGGACAAGATAAAGATGGTTATGATGCCGAACCTGATTTCGTTCGGGGAATGCATGATGTGGGTGCATCAGCATATCCTTCATTTCTCTCTCACACCATCATTCATTACAGCATCCTTAAATTTCCAGACCACGACCTCAGCAGTGCCTGGGGCGCTTCAAGAAACTCAGGCTTGCAATGACAAGGAGTCCTCATCCAGTTCCTCCACCTGCAGCTGTACCTGCACCCACACAAGCATGTATGCATGTTTGATTTGCACATGCGCAGTGCTTTCACAGCAGCAGGACTGTACTCAGCACCATTGGCAAGAATATACCTGAAAATGGTCTGAATAGTGCGGCTGTTGTCTTCGTGGTTGTGGCTCTTATTATAGCGGAATCGAATGAACTGTTCATTTGTAGCACTATCGACCGGCCATTCTTCACCCTCCTTCAGCCACCAAGGCATTTCCGGCATCAGCTTTACAGTGCCGAGAAGGTGCGAAAATGCATGTCGTATGATTGACTATAGTTGAAATGGTAAATGATAATAATAATGTCAGCGTCCACATTACTCACCAGCAATCCAGCATCACTTTTTGCTTCAAGGCTTGCCTCCATTTGTGCTTCATCATCATCCTCTCCATCGCCATCTTCCAAGTAATCCTTATCATCATCTTCATCCGTCAGCAATGCTTCCACCAGCTTTGCCTCGAAATATTCCTGCATGTGCGCGATTTGTTCATCTTATAATTGTTGTGTGGTGTGGAGAGCGAGGTTCAGCTGGTGAGTGACAACTGGCATGCTACTCAACCTCTGGAGCTTCTCCACACCAATGTCCACAAAGTCCCTTACCCCAGCTTCTCTGGCTATCGCTATTGGGTCACATTTATTGATGACTTCTCTCGATTTCACTTTGTGCTCCCTATTAAAGCTAAGTCTGATGTCTTTGAGGCCTTCAAGACATTCAAGGCCTATGCTGAGAACCAGTCAGAGCGAAAGCTAAAGATCCTCAGAGATGACAAGGGAGGGGAGTACATGAGCAATGCCTTCATTGAATTCCCCACCCAGTGTGGCATTGAGAAGTAGCACACCATTTGTGCTAGACCACAGCAGAATGGGGTTGCTGAGAGAGCTAACAGAGTCCTCTCTGAGTGACTCACTGCAATGCTGGACGAGTCTGGGCTTCCCAAGGCCTTCCTGGGCAAGTGCCTTGCTGCTCTTATGGGAAAGGTTTTAACTGGATGCAGAGAATTCATTCAAGGACAAGATGAATGTAGTAACTGTTAGTTGTGGTGATTGAGCACCTTATGGTGCGAGATCTGTCTTATGATGTTGCTTCCTCTATTGGACTCTTACTTAGCATGTGATGTGAATTCCTTACTTACTTAGGCAGTGTTTACACTTGTTTACATAGACTCGCCCATAGGTAGCAAGTCCTGTGTTGGTTGCTCTTTAGCAACTGACACTGGACTATAGTCCTGTTCACTCTCATTAGCTCACTTGTGGCTTGGTTCACTTGGTTATTCTAACAGTAACTTAGGTGTATGATTATCTCCTACAGGTCTAGCCTGTCACTATCTAAGGTCTTACTACTTGTCCCTTGGAATCTGGCCAGCACTGGTACTATGAGCCTGGCCGGACAGTATCTATGGCCCTCCTGTGTCTCTTATGGAATCTGGCCAGCACTGGTCCTACAGCTCTGCACTTGGAGCCTATGACCTTGATTCTAGCTGGCCTAGGGACAAGTTTCCAAGTCCCATTGCTGCAATGAGCATTGAGTTCCTCAAGAGCTGCTTGGTTCCACTGCTCCGCATCAACTCAAGTCAATGCCTCCCTGTAAGACAATGGCTCGGTGGGAGAGCTGGTAGACAAGGCAAGCTCAAATCCTTGAGCAAAGTCAGCATCCTCTGTCTCATCATCAACAACATCAGTTAGCTGAGCTGGAGACAGCTTCCACCAGTCTCTGGGAGGTTGCATATTGCGTTGAGGGAGTCTGGCACCAATGCCTATGGGAGATGGTGGCCTAAGAGGTGGATTGGGACGAGCTGCAGGTGGAGGAGTGACTGGATCAGAAATAGGGACGACAGCAGGGACATCAGGAACTGCTGGAGGGACCACATCTCCCCCTGATCCAGTGACTCATCAGAACCGGACTCATCATAGTCAGAGTCAGAATCAGAGTCAGAGTCATTTGAGTGAGGAGGATAGTAATAGGAGGGCGTTGTTGGGGGTTCAGAGGTAGTCTTCGACTGTCTGGGAGGCTGGGGAGCAGTGACAGGAGGTGCTGGAGCGATGGGAGCTGGAATGGATGAACTGGATGGGTGCTTGGACAGAGGGAAGTATCTTTCATCAAAGTCAGCCCTTTCACAGATGATGGTCTTCTTGGAGGTGGGATTGTAGAACTTCCAGCCCTTGTAGCCAGCAGGGTAGCCAATGAAGACGCACTTTTCCATATGAGGCCCAAGTCCATCTCTCTTGTCCCTCTGGATGTGCACATAGGCAGTACATCCCCAAACTTGAAGATGAGAGATGTCAGGCTTATCACCATGCCACAGCTCATAGGGTGTAGCACTGTCTACAGCTTCAGTAGGGCATCTGTTCCAGACATGGATCAGAGCATCTGCCTTTGTGCATAAGCTTGATGGCCAAGCTTTATGGCTTATTGATATCTTCTATCCCATTCATCCTTCTTTTGTCTAAACCAGCTAACTGTCCAGCCCATCTCATGTTGGACCAAACTCAACTCCTCCTCCCACCTTTGCCACCTAGCCTTAGCTTGTAACCAATTTACCCTATAGACTGATACTTGTTGTGAGAATACATATGAAATATTAAGTACCACTTACATTCATCCATCCATCTGTCTTCATGAGTATCACTAACATTGTTGAACCTCCAAAACCAAGCCAGCCTGTCTGATCCCTGTCCATATCTGTTCTCCTCAGTCACTTTCTTGTCCACAGTGAGCTGGCTGGGCTGAATTTCTTGATAAACGTCCTTGAGAGTTGCTTCATCCACTCCCAGTCTCCACATTGCATCCCTTGGTAAATGATTGCTTTATGACCAAGAGCCTGCCTTAACCTTTCTAAGCAATCATTTGCTTGACCCTGCTGTAACTGAAGTTCTTCAGCCTGTAGAGCACCAAAGCCAAGAGCTAGAGCATTGTGGTGAGGCATCAATGACGGCATCCAAATACCCATCACTTCTGCAGGAACTTCCTCACCGATCTCTTCTGAAGCAAATTCAACATCTGCAGCTTCTTGCCCTAGCTCCTCCATATCTGCCGAGCAAAATCTAATGTCATCTACGGGCACTGTGCCTGAGTTTACTTCAATGCCCTGGGTCATGGCATCAGTTTTTTCATGATATTTTGAGATCTGTGCAGCCAATTTTTGTCATTTCTCAGCAACCGCAGCTTTTTGAGTAACAGATGCATCTCTTGGAAGCTGCTGATTGTCTACTCTCAATGCATCCCTAGGGCTGAATTAAAACACACTGTGCATCCTCCAAATTGATACCATCAATAAGCCAAGACACTGATCTGGATTTGCCAGTATTGGCATATTTTGTTTCAGTTAATTTAAGCCATACTTCCGCCATTGTTGGGGCTTCCAATCCCCATCAGAATGTACAGCATGTGGAAGTGTGTAGAAGCTTTGGAACACTCACCTTTATCTGTTTTTAGATGCTACATGTCAAGATGCTCTCCCCACAGCTCCATTGCCTGTTTCTGGTCACTTTCCCACAAGCTGACTTTGTTGATGTCCAGAGATTGTGTAAGCTCTGCAAAGGGATCTTGGTGTCATCAATGCCCTTATTTGCACATTTGTACTTTCATAACAGGGTCTTAACTGACAATATTTAATTAAAGTCTTATTGATTTCAAATATGGGACTGGCCAGGACCTGATTCCACATCATGGCCAAATCCAAACCATTTTCGGTTCTTCAAGTCCCACCACAGGCGAGATACTCTCATAAGTTCACAATATTGATCCTATCAATGTATACATAGGTATTCAGAGAAATCTACTGGATCAAGTGCACTCAAACTCACCGGGACTGTATCTGGAAAAGCATTATTAGTTAGCCTTGTGAGTTTCTCAAAGAAGCTCCTTGCCAAAGTCTTGCATTCCAAGGCATCAATGAGAAAATGATCTAGTACCTCAAAGGTGCAAGTGGTCTTGGGCCGGGTGGAGCTTGCAGGAAATAGTCCTGCTCTAAGGAGCTGTAAGTGCTGTTGAGAATTGGATCCCAGGGAATGACACCATGCTATGTTATGCATGAACACCCCAGACGATGTACAATAGCAATAGGAGTGGTATCATGAGGCAAGGCTTTGATTTCACTGTCACAAAGTTGTGAAGCTCCATACCAAGGGCAACCATACAAAACCCTGGTCTGCACGTGTGACATCCTTGAAGCACTTGCCAACCCATGATCAGATTTTGTGAAATGGTAATGACCTATTGAGACTTGATCAGGCAAGGGCGACACCAGGAAAAGGTAATGGGCCTTCAGCACTTTGGTGAGTCTTGCCGATGCCTGCACAGACAAATTGTTCTAATTCCAGGATGATGTCTAGATACAGATCTCAGTAAGGGATATATTCTGCTATGAAGTCATTTTGAGTCTATATCATGTAGTGTGAGAAGAGAGTTATCTATAGGCTAGAAACTGTGAGTTGTACCTTGGTTTTTCTTGTATGCTGAGCAGCCTCCCCTTCCAGAACAAAGTCACTGAATGTTTCTTGATATACATTATATGTCTCAATGTCTGGGAATTCCACTGCAACATCTTTTGCCTGTTTCCTTGGGCTGGAGGAGGAACACCCCCCTGATATTTCATACAGTGGATCAGCATGAGATTCAAGCCACAAGGGCTTTCCCCTCTTTCCTGTTGTAGGTTTGTAGGCAATATAGTCCACATTCAGGTCTTTTCATTGTGATAAACTACCTCTGTCTTTGAAAGAATATAAAACAGCCGTGAGACGGGTTTTTTTCCAGCCAGACATAATGCTTAGACCAAGGAAGGAGAATGAGGACGCTGAAGTAAAGCAAGTGATGCAATTGAAAAATTAACTTCATCAAATCCAGCCATATCTCCTCTTGATAGATTAATTAATTCTACTTACTGTCTAGCCACTACCCCTCCAACTCCATCGATTTTTCGCACCTTCTTCCTACCAACAGCTTTTAGGCCTCTACCAGCCCCCACTCGCTTGAGAAAATCCTGCCCAATTGGAAAGCTTGGCCTTGGAATGCCCTGCTTATCATGGACTTTATCCTTGACAAAGTGGGCAATCACAATCCTTTCACCATCTCCTCAACCTGGAACTCGATGCTCCAGCACCTTGCCCGCAATATATACCATAGTCCCAGGGGGATAACCTAGTTGGGCGCCCAGGTCTGGCAGATCTAGTATGGCCTGGTTGGCTTGCCCAAGGCTAACCAGAAGGTCATAGAATGATGGCAATGCTCCTGGATCTTGATGGTGGGGTGTCTCTCAGTTGACAATTACCTCAATTCCAGAAAACACAGAGGGCCAGACAACTGGTTTTGAGGTACAAACCATATTCTTCAGCATAGACACCGATTCAATGCCGGCAAGATGCTGATCTGGTGCAATAATACTAGTAATAGCCGACCAGAGTTATACGGCGACAGTCATTTCAGACAACCAACACTGAATGACAGGTGATGAAAGGGTGGTTGATTGGTACAAATGATCTTGAAGGTGCTAGCTCTATTAAGTTAGTTTGTACTTACACAAGCATAGGAAGACAAACTTACCTCTTGACACTGCATGAACCCTCCTGGGCATAAAGTCACCTGTCCTGCTCCGAACCCTCCCGCCCCCTGGAGGTATGACAAAACCTTGCAAATGCCAAGGACTTTTGTCCTCTTCAGTTGCCTTGGCCAAAGACTGGTCTAAGGCAGGTCTGAGCAACTTGATGGAGCTATTGACATGTTCCTAAATATAAGCAGTTACAAGGTCTTTGATTGCATTTCTGAAAGTTGCAATACCATTTGATCAGGTACCAAGATTTCTGGCAAATATTAAGTGAGTATCTTTCCATGCTTGTCAATAAACATGGTCAGTGTTAAGACCATGCTCAGGGGTAAAGCGGAGTCTGAGGAGCTTGGCTTCAGCTCGTACACTGCGCCCCTTACCCGAGTACGTGCCCCTAATTTTGGAATGTAGTCCAACACGAGTTCTAGGAGTTCCGACAGGACGTCGGAACGGGGGTCCTCTGAAGGAGGACTGACGGACTACTAGGTGAGTGTGGGAAAGTCGGGCAGGGGTTGTTCCACCCGACAGGAGGGAGGTGGGAGACTACTGTGGTCAGAACCAACAGTAGAAGTGGAGTGGAAGGGACTGCTTGGACGAAGTCCGAAGCAGAGTGGAACAGAGGGGACGGATGCGAGAGTGTGGTGTTTAGTTCCAACACATGGGAAGTTGGACGAGTGGAGGAATGGAGGGGTGGAAGAGCGGAGGGACGGGGGGACGGAGGAACAGAGGAATGACAGAACAGCGGAACAGCAGAACAGCGGAACAGGCGGAACGGAGGAGCAGAGGATCGGAGGACAGCCAACTTAGGGAGTCAATCCCCTAGGCCAGCAAACAAGAGTTGACTAGGATCAGGCCCAAGTCAGAGAACAGAAGAGCAGGGCTTATAAAAGGTAATATTCAGACCAAGTCTCTACAGACAAATGTACATATGTTTATATACTTTAAGTGATGAGCATAGCATAGCACATGGCTATGTGCTGAGTGTACAGGATTACAATAGGATGACTGAGACATACGAGAATAAGGCTCGGGGAACAGTATGTACGCGACAGATCAACATCGCTAGGGTATAGGGATTACTGGTGATCCGAAAAGCGGAACTATGATACTAAATGGGGATAGGACCAGTTGAGTGGTTCCTAGTCTAGGAGTGGACTGGTGAGGTGGTCGGAAGGACTAATAGTTGGGTGGGACAAGATGAGTGGAACCGAGTAGGTCGGAAAAGTGGAGGGAGTAGGAGTCAGATCTGGTGGACCGATATGGTGGAGGAGTGGAACCCCAGATTGGGTCGGATGGAAGGGGTATAATGTTGGAGGACATAGGTGTAGTGTTGGAAGAGTGGAATAGGGTTGGGCGGAGGTAGCAGGGCTAATCCTGCTGAGATGCACTTCGTGCATTGTCGGAGAAGGAGGAATGGAGTGGACGGGGAAACAGGGGGTTGGACCAGGGGTGGGGATGTTCACAGGTGGTATTGGAGGTGCTTGGATCCGGTATATGACAGTCGGCTCTGAGATGTGGCCAAAAGAAGGAGTCTTGAAATATTTTGCAAGTTTCTGTCTTTGTTGGCTGTCAGCATTCAGTGTGTTTGGTGACACCTTAGCATGTTCTGCAAACAGTCAACATCCCGATCAGCCTGTACTGGGGTCAAACAATCACAAACAGACCCTGGTTAAATTCAAATAAATGCTTACAACTATTAATGGCAGAATAAGCTATGCTGACCGCAGCCCTGGAGAGTTCAATCTCGGCAATGGTGGTTGTCTTGACATCATGACCAGAACTGGAAAGTTGAACATTCTGCCACTTGTTCCACAGTCTCATCCTTAAGTTTTCGTTCAGCCTGACCAAACCATAACTTAGAACTGGCTTACTTCGCTTTTTGTAGTAATTTGTCATTGATCTTAGTATGTGAGAATAATTCAAATGGTGATGAATTTTGGAGTAGTTCATCTACTTGGCTAGGGTAGAAACTTGAATCTTATGTTACTGGACTCAGTTGGTTCCACGCTAGATACTCGCAAGGGGTGCCGGTCTAGTGCAATGGTCGTCTTTTGGTATGGCTGCCTAGACAGAGAGTCTAAGGCAGAATGAGAAGTAGATTGATAGAAGTGATGAGGCTTGCTATCTAGCTATTGTGCTATCCCTCGGTCTTGAGGCTTTAGGAGTGATACTGAGTAGATTCAAGTTAAGGACTACTACAGTGGTTGGGATCCTTTATATACAAAAAGTAGATGTACTGGTTGAATGGTAAGGGTCAAGGGTAATACCGACAATGCGGTAAGGGCATAGGGTATGAGTCAGAGATAACGGGTAAACCATATAAGTGGTGCGAGAATGATAAGCCAGTACAGATAAGCCGAGAGAACGGTTAGATGGAAGTTGCTTTGGCAACGGATAGCATTGGTAATTGATAGGAGTAAAAGAATAAGTGGGACCGAGAAGCTTATGTAAAGTCCCTGTAACAAGAGAGGCTTTTTGACAGGTTTGTCACAGAAGAAGAATAGAAGATTGATGGCACCAGGTGGAGACGGAAAAAAATTCCAGTAGTTTGGATCTAGACTATATGGGGATAATACCAAATTGAGATAATAGAGGTAATGTATGTAATGGCTTCTCCAGCAGTTTCGCCAAGGTTAGACGGGTTTGAGGGTAGGCTGTTAACCTCATGATAATTGGAACTGGTAGGATGATGGTTCATAGGAGACTATTGACAGTGGTATCTAGTAGAAGAATAGTATAGCCTGCTTTGGTGTGTGGCGAGCGGATGTGTGAGGTGGTGTAGGCAATGACTTCTTGAGCAGCTTTGCCAAGTGTAGACGACCAAGTTTGCCTACATCACCACTTGGTTTAGATTCTCATTGTGAGTGCCTGACTCAACCTCACCAAAAGTCCAAACTATTCTTGTACTGGATCTTATGGTGAAGTTAAGTGTGAGCAGATGTGTGAGGTGATATAGGCCATGGCTTCTGTAGGGAAAACAGACTCCTCAAGTTTTCACTGCCATAAATGTACTTCAATTGATCACAGTGAAATCCTGTAGGGAAGACAGATTTCTCAAGTTTTCACCACCATAAACATACTTCAATTGATCATTTGGCAGGGAAAACTTGAGCAGTCTGTTTCCCAGGATTTCATTGATGGACAGCAGACAAGGCTTATATCACCTCACACATCCGCTCCAACTAACTGGATCTTATGGTGAGGTTAAGTGCAAGCAGATGTGTGAGGTGATATAGGCCATGGCTTCTTGAGCAGCTTTGCCAAGCAGCTTAGACAGATTTGAGGGTGATGTAGGCAAACTTGGCCGTCTACACTTGGTGAAGCTGCTCAAGAAGCCATTGCCTACACCACCTCACACATCTGCTCGCCACACAAGGCTATACTATTCTTGTACTGGATACTCTGACATTCTGACTTGGCATGGACACTACTCAGAATTTGCTCGGTCACGTGACTGATTTACTTGGGTGAGGAGCAGTGGTCAGTCACGTGACTTATTTATAGGGGCGAGAAGGGGTGCTGAGCCTTTCTTTTTGGGAGGTGTTTATTAAGTTGGGGTATTACATTATAAGGTAAATATAGTAAAGTAAATAAGTAAGACTAAACTGACAAAGAGTAAACTAGCTAACACAAGGCTGTGGCAGGGGGCCCTCTCCACCTTGGTCTTGTACTGCAAACTACTACAAGAAAGAATTGGAAAATAAATAAAAATGCAGTGGGAACCATCTGTGGACACTGGGTCAGCACCTATGGTATGAATATGTGTCAAAATTACCTTGTTATGAATTTACAAAGATGAAAAAAAATTCTACAAACTTGGGTCAGCGTTGGTTCCTAGAATAATACTGAAATTACCTGAGTTATCAGGACACCCAAGTGTGGGAGAGGAGGGAATCTAGGCGCACTAGATCTCCCTGCCGCAAAGTTTTGAAGGACGGTGGTTAGGCGCACTGGTGTGGGCACTATACCACCCTCCAAGCCCCCATTACCCCAAGTATTGGAGGAGGGTGGTTAGGCGCACCGACGTGGGCACTATACCACCCTCTGCTTGACCTCTCTGCCCCAAAATGTTGAAGGAGGGTGGTTAGGCACACCAGCATGGGAACTATACCACCCTCCAATCTGCTGGAGCAGCCAGATATTGTGAAAGGAACACCTAGAAAGTCTTAGGTGAGTTCAAGAACGGTAAAGATAATACTCACATTATTGAAGGAGGGTGGTTAGGCACACCAGCGTGGGCACTATACCACCCTCCAATCCACCGCAGCAGCCAAATATTGTGAAAGGAATACCTAAAAAGTCCTAGGTGAGTTCAAGAATGGTAAAGATAGTACTCACCTTATGAAATAAAACATAGGACAGAACAAAAGATAGTGTTGAGTAAGGAATTGAAATAGAGAAGAAATATACCTTAATTAAATAGACAAAACTCAGTGACCATTAACCACTTACACAGCTGCAGCCTGTGTAAGTGGCTAATGGGATGAGCCGGTGATGTTGAGTGGGGAAGGATGAGCATCGTGTTGAGTGGGGAAGGATGAGCATCGTGTTGAGTTAGGAAGGACAAAGAAAGTGAACTGTGTGAAAGTGTGGTGCCACAGGTATAGGCCACAACATATATTTGGTGTTGTTTACATTTGGACAATGCCAGTGTACTTGAACATTTTAAAATGCGCTTTGTGTATTGTTTGAGCGTGCGTGTGATAAATCATGTGATCCTTGTGCGCAACGCATTATATGATCATATGATCATATAATGTGTCACAGGCATGCGTGCTTCGCATATTGTTTGAACTTTGAATGTAACTATTGTTTAGTTGAACATCCACATGACTGCTGGTTTGGAATTTTGAATCGGCCAGTGCCAGTTCTGCATCTCATGTCTATCTACTGTCTTGCTTTTCCTTTACTGACTTGTCTCTTTCTTCTTTTAGTCAATGCCTAAGAATGTCGCGAGGAAGCGAGCCACCAGTGGCATTGCCAGGAGAGTCAGTAGACCTCTTGGTTCTCCGGCCGTCTCTCCTGCACCTGGTTCTCCAGCAGTCTCTCCTGCGCTAGCAAGTGTAGAGGGGACTGAAGTCGCGACACTGGATGTTCACAGCCTGGTATGTCCTTTGTTCCAGTGTCTGCCATTGCTAATCATTCATTAGTGGTGCTTGATTTGCCATGATGGCGCTGAGGGCGACATTGTGCTTTATGAGTGCAATGGCTTCCCCCATGTGATGTGCAACAAGTGCATTGATGTCCCTCACGACTCTCTGCAGCTTGTTGCTTGCCCTGACCTCCTGTTTGTGTGCCTTTCCTGTCATGCTCAGCGGACCCTCAAGGCACCTGTGCCTTATCATGTAAGTGATAAATTTGCTCTATTTGAACAGCACTATACTAATGACTACAGGGCTTCTACAGAGGGAGCCTGCCGGCACAAGGAGGGCAAGCTGCTCTCCTAGGATTCCTCCAGGTGAATGGCAGGTTTGAGACTGCGTCCTCTGTGGTATTGGCCGCCACTCCCATTGCTGTCATCCACTTTATCATCTGCGGTAGCAACAAGGTTGTCATGCCGGTACCTTTACTGTCCCACTACTTGGACTACTATTTCCCAAATGGCAGGTACTTTTATCTCAAGGTCCCATTCGACATTACTATGCACAAGAAGATTGGTGAATACACGTGCACTTAGGAGGCCCACACCATCAAGCTCAAATCTCACCTCATGCATAGCGGACATGTCTTGGCCTTTTTCGGATCACTCCGAGGAAGACAGTGGGTGGCTTTTCGCCGGAAAAGAGAAAGGTAAATTTGTTGCTATGAGCATTTCTCAGGTAAAGTGTATTATTTCTCATTGTTCTTGACTTATGTGACATCTAGGTACTATCTACTGTGCTAGGGCCATATCATGGCATCCTCAGCCTCGCCATTATGGTATTCCTAGTGTGTGGCTCTGTCATGGCCCATGATGACGCCTTTGGTGAGCTCCAGGAAGTAGTACTCAACTGTGATATGGCGCCTGCTATTATATTTCCTGCCACGTGTTTCCAACCTCTTGTTGCCACCAACATTTTGGTAGCTATGGTGGAGCAGGTGGTAATCAAGCAGCTCAATGTCCGTATGGCATTCCCTAGTCTTCTCTCCCTCTCCAGTCGTCTTGGCCAACACACCAAGGTGATTTTGATGACTAGGGATGATTCTGATGGTATCCACAAGCTCCTTGTCACAACCTTTGCACGTGCCCAGCCCCAGACACATCCTTGGGGTATTCAAGTCCCTGCTCAGTGCCTTCTCTGTGGATTGACTAACAGTTGGTCAGTGAAGGTTGGAGGCAGGTCATCCAATGCACCTCTTGACCACAATGTTCCAGACCACAATGCTGTTCCCAGGCACCTATATTCCTACACTTATACTGAGTGTGGTAATGCTCAGGGAAAGACTCGCTACAAGTTTTTCGTTGACAAACCACCTAGTTTCATTGTCAAGGCTGCTAAGACCAACACCTCCGGGTGGTTCCAGTCTCCTTCCACAAATTTTCCTCCACTGCCTTCATGTGTTCTATGTGGGTCTTCTGTCACCCAAGGCAAGTGTCCTATGAGTAGGGATGGGGAAGTGGTTACTAAGAGGATGAGAGTTTGATTTGTCTTACAATCAGTTAGTTTGGTAGATGTTTTTTGGCAATAATTTGACTTGAGTTGGTATCCTACCTTACACTATGGTCTGAGGGAATTCCTGCACTCACCGATGATGCTTCTGCTGGAGGAAGAGTCTCTGGGGTTGATATGTCATGTGATTGTGTTTGGTTGATGTGTCAAGATCATCTGAGTCATGTGACCACATTTGCAAAATTTACTTTGGACATTGACTCTTAGCTACGTTGCGCATACCCTTGACCTTCCCCTTTTCTTACTGTAATCTTATCATGGCTGAATGACAAGAATATTTTGAGGGCACACTTGCTCTCCATGAAGATGGATTTGTGGCTGCATTGCAGCAAACATGTCGAAGTATCCTGAGGACTGTCCGGGATCAGATTGTTGTCACAAACAAGTCACAGGACAAATTGGTCGAGTTGCCAAAGGCATTGAAAAAGGTTTGTGATCTAATTTTTGTATATTTGATAACTGATTTTACGGTAATACAAAGTCTATCAGGTGTTACTACCTCCAATTCTTGACAGATGAAGATGACATACGGGGGAAGAAGAGCTTTTGGGAGATGAGCCAGTGATAGGTACCGTGCCGACTCAGGAAGCAGAGGGGTTGGGGCTTGGCTTCAGCTCTTGTGCTGTGCCCTTAGCTGAGTACGTGCCCTGAATTTGGAGCGGGTCCGACGTTGTCTGACGATAGGACGAGTGGACCGCTTTGGTCTGCTTTGAGGGTCGGGGAGTAAGAGCTACTAGTGGCGGGCTGACTAGGAGCAGAGCGGAGAAGGTGGGGAGTGATGCAGAGGGTGGATAGGAGCAGGGGGAATGTTTGGTAGGGGTGGGGAAGGTGGAGGATAGTGCGGAGAGACAAGGGAGAATATTTGATAGGGGCAGAGTATAAGGGAAAGACTTAGAGCACGGCTCTAAGTCGGAGCGGAGGGTCAGAGGGTCGGAGGTGACAACAAGTTGAGACTTATGTCCAGAGGAGGCAAGGTTCTACTAAGAATTCTCACAGGATATAACTGCGAGAAGACAAGTAGTATTAAGACTGAGGAAAATATCTAAGTACATGATATGTTATATACTACTATGTATGAGGCAGTGACCAGGATAACTATGCAGTAAGGTTATGTACCAAGGATATAGTTTGTAAGTACTTTACACAGGCAAAGACATAAGTCGGAGCGGATATCAATATGTATGCGTCAGATCAGCGATCAGGCGGTAATAGGAATTACTGGTGATCTGGAAGTAAGGGTCTATGTACTGAAGGGGAAAGTATATATCTAAAAGGGGAAAGAGATCCAGTTGAATGGAGAGGTTATGGAAGGGGACCGGTTGAGTGGTTGAGTGGAAGCGTAGGGCGGAATGCGGACTTGTGATTGGACAGAGTGGAGGATGGATGGAGCGGAGGGGGACGGAAAGTGGAGCGGATATCAATATCGGAGCGGTTGGATCAGGTATATGACAGCCAGAGGATGAGGCACCTGGCCTGTCCCCTGAGGAGAGAGAGGCTGCAGCCCATCCTACAGATGCAGCCTTCTATAAGAAGAAAGCCAGTGACTAGGACATTGTTCTGAAGCTATTTAAACAGGATATTCATGAGTATGATAAGGAGCAACAAGCAAAGCTAGGGGTAAAGAATGAAATCAAGTATAGAACTTGTCATGCCAGGGATTGGTTCAACAACATGAACCCTGGGCAACGGAAGGAGATGGAGGATGCCAGGGAAAAATGGAATAGGGAAGGTGCCCCACCAGAATCACAGGCAATGTGTGTGGTTAAATCAAATATTTGGGTTCTCCTATTAACTACCTTGGCAGGTTTCGAAAGAGGCACCTCAAAATTTTTCTCAATGACTTTACAGAACAGCTCTGTCGTACTATGGGATGTTGAGTTGTGATCCTAGCGAGTCACAAGAAACCTGCAGATCAGATTTTGAGTGTCATTGTGTGAGTGTATTTTTAGCACTTTGGTCTTATGGTATAATGATGGAATGCTATTACTATTTAGTCACGAGTCCAAGCCTGTCAATACTAAAAAAACTGTTTATGCAGAGTTCATGAGGGAATAAGGAATGGACATCTGAAGGTTTTGAAAAATTTGCAGAATGGTTGAAGTTGGAATTTTGTGAGTATTTATTTTTCTAAAATTTTCAGCTTAATTAAGGAACCTTCAGACCTAGAGGAAAATGATAACAAGTCAGATGATGAAGAGGAAGATGATAGCAGGGCTAGCCTACCTGAACTCATTTTGGACAAGAACGGCTACCCAAAGCTTCCCTCGCAAGCTGGAGTTGCCACCAGAGGGCCACAAGAATTGAGGGCAACAAGAATTGGTTCGTCAGATATTCTGTGCGTCTTACAGTGAGTATTTGTCTGCTTGGCTGGTTTTCATGCAACTGACTATTTGTTATACAGAGGTCTTCATGAACACTGCCAAACCTGTACCTTGGTGCGAGGTTGTGGGGAAACCTACTTTGTACCTTGATTCTGATTCCCTCCCCCAAGGCTTCATCTTGAGAGACCCAGTCTCATATGAGGGCAGAAAATATCAACCAGCTATGGGCTCATTGGGAGGTTAGGAGGGCAGTGAGGAAGATATTGGTTATTTTCATAGCAGCCAAACTCGGTGATATGAGCAGGGAGCTCCTTCGGAACATGGTTCCTACCAGGGGAAAACTGACAAGAATTATATAGAAATTGAGCCAGCCAAGACTTCTAGCTCCAAGGTGGCAGCCAGCACATGCCCCACACCTCATACAACAAGGCTGGCCATGAGTAATTTCCTCTGAGAGTGAGTTGGCTGGAGCAGCCTCTACACAGCAGTAGAGCAAGCCTGGCCAACAGCGATTCCTCTGAAGATGAGTCGGCTGCAGCAGCCCCTGCTGGATGTAGGATCGGGTTGGCTGCTCGACCTTCCAGTGCTCAGCTGGGTGCACCAGCAATGGTGCCCATGAAGGATCACATCCTGTTCTTGAAGTCCCTTAGCAGCAACAACAAATACCTGCTTTTAGTTGAGGGTATCAAAGACTTGGGCAAGGTATGCTGTCCATTGAGTGAGTTGTACTTCATACTCACGAATCACAGGAACCAAGTTTCAAGAAGCAAAAGGAATGGCCTGCCTGGGCAACTTGGTCTTGGGAAGGGTCTTACCTTCCCAGGAACCTGCACTCCGTAAATGGTGAGGTGCAGAAGTTCTTGGAGACAGCTGCATTTGCCAAAACCTCCAGCTTGCCCTCTGCAATGCGAGTCAGCCTAGGTCTTGGGTTGCTGCTCAGGGAGTGTAAGCGAGCCATCGAGTATGAAGCAGATGAGGTCACCTCCCCAACCCCCACTTACATCAACACATCAATCTTGGATATCAAGATCCTCAACCTGGTTGTAGAGGTGGTTAACAAGGTCAGAGGTGGGGTTGTGCATCTACTGAAGGTGAGGGACATTGAACAGGAAAGTGCTATCATCGATAAGGCTGCTGTTGGAGATGGACGTGGAGCTGGAGATGATGAAGAGAGAGTAGGTGAGGAGGAGTTAAGGCAGAAGCTGGTAGATGAGTTGCAGAAGTTCGAGGAGGAGAATCAAAGGAGTTGAAATTTGTAAGCTTGAAGAGCTGATGAAGGAACTGCACAAATCCCAGAGGCTCCTGGAGACACAGAGGGAGGAGGAAGAAAAGCTCATAGCAGAAGAACAAAAGGATGAGGATGAGGATGAGGATGAGGACCAGGACCAGGTGAAAGGGAAGAAAAGAACCAAATCTGGTGGATCTCGAAAGCCATCCAAGAAGGTCAAGGGTGATATCCGTCAATCTTCCAGAGCTAGGCAGCCCACTAAGAAAGCCTTGAAGCTTTAGCATATCTTCACCTTGCATATCTCACTCAGCTGTATATCCAGTTGCTTGTATTAGTCTACATCAATGTCATGACACTGTGCTCACCTGTATCTGTAGCACATGCCCTACCCATCTGGCTGATCATCATCTACATTCCTGCTCCCCCAACTTGAGGTGCTGGCCAGTGCTGGTCCTACATTTCTGGCCAGTCACTATCTACGGCCCTCCTCCCTCTCATTTGAGATCTGGCCTTCTACATCTCTGGCCAGTCACTATCTATGTTGCTCCTCCTTCTCATTTGAGGTCTGGCCAGCCCCAGTCCTACGTCTCTGGCCGGTTACTATCTACACCCCTGCTATCCCTGGTCATAGTTTGTCAAATATGGTAGCCTCTACTTCCTGGCCAATGTCATGTCTATGTAAATTAGTACAACCAGCCGGCCACCAGCTGCACAGGTTCTACGACCATTTGGCACATCCAGGGGACCAGTTCTATGCAGGGTTTTGACTGAACTATGTGACATAACTACTCTTACATGTACTGTTTCTAATGGTGGAGTCTAACATCTCTAACAGGGAGACACTGAGCTGTCTCACCAAAGCAAGTTGCCAATAATTTGGTCACACATACATAGCATTACACACATTTAGAGGGATTTTTTACACCATAGTATTATCTTTACACAACATTGTTTTGCATCCATTACAGCGCTTTGCGAATATGATGACAGTTGTACGCTTTCGGAGAAAGAGAAAGAAATAAAAATGATGGTGTTCAAATTAGACCAAACAATGCGCATCGCGAATCCGTGGCACGTCTGTTAATATCTTATACCCCTACCATACAGCAGTATATTCTTTGATACATTCTCTGATGATAGTATCATTGAAATTATAAGCTCTCCTATGAGCTCTCCGATGAGCTCCCCTCTGAGTCAGTGCGAACAATCTGTGTCTGTTGAATCCACTGTCCTCCCTTCACGGAGCCCATCACCTCAGGCTGAACCAGAAAAGACAAAGAAGAGAGGCCGTCCTCCCAAGGAACAGCCAGAAAAAGGTTTGTCATACTCTCGGATGACTTAGAGCAGAGCCAGCTCGTAGTGACACCATAGTACTCAGCCAACACTGCACCAATCAACCTTAAATTAGCTATATATCCCCAGGATGAGATGAAGAAGCCTGACAAAAGACGAAAAGATGTAGCAGCACTCCTAGGTCAAGATTACCGAGAAGCTCGCCGAACATCTCAAGCTTAAGAAACCTAATCTCTCGGACTATGAACTCACATTCTCGGTACCTTGGCATCAAACATCTCCAATCTCACTTGCGAATGAAGATGACTTCGACAACCTACTGTGAAGGAGCCATCAAGTGCAAGGACCCTCAAGCAAAGGTTATTATTGAGGCTATTCTCAAGAAGGTACGTCAGATGAGCGCATATATGCAGTGTTAGATGACAATACCTTGATCAAGAAAGGGACAGGGAAAGAAAAAAATGTTGGCAGTGATGATGAAGATGATGGGACCAACGACAACAGTGCCGACAGGCCAAAGAAGAAGAAGAAAGGCAAGGTGAGTATGAAGAATAGGTAACGAGACAAGCATGCTGACGTGAATGTTAGAAAACCCCAGATAAACTTCCGTTGAACATCGAGGTTGCTGCACACATGAAGACACTGCGGAACCAGGTGGGTCTGTAACAAGGCAGGGTGCCCATCGAGTGGCCAATGCTACATTCCTCCAGACAACAGAGAACATTTTCTGCTTAGCCACAACCACTTTCAGATTTGGGCTGCTGCATGGTCATCTAAGATTTTTCTCGCTCTCATAATTAGCCACTCATGGTTTTATAGGCGAAGAATCCACCCCTCATGACTGTAAACCAACCTCCAAACCATCGTGCTTTTGATGGTTTGCATGACGACCAAATGGCTGCGAAATCACCTCTCCTTCAGCGACATTTAGCCGATCGCAACAAGAACACATCCAGTGCTCCAACCATCAACTTCAACATACCACCTGAGCTCCTTGGGTTCCTTCGTCCCCTGGCACCCGAGAATGTGGCCAACACAGTAGCACTGCCACACAGAGACCGAGAGTTGATGCCCCTCCTACCTCCAACAATGCAGCCTGGTCTCGATCTCACTGCTCATTGATTTCTGCACTAAGTTTTCACTTGCAAATGCGATCCTGACCAAGTTACACAATAACTGGCTACACAGGAACACGTACCATCAAGTACATTGTGGTCTCCAAGCTGAAAGAAATGGGGTTCATAAACAGCGAGATCGTGGCAATGAAGGATGCTGTCGAACAATGGTCTCGTCAAGGTTAGGTTCAAGTTTGCTGCTGTTTCCACCATGAATGTACTACTATTGCTTTCACTGTGCTGCAGACGAACATTATTCCTGTACACTAGAAGTACCCTGCATGTATAAAGTACGAGATTGCATCAGAGTCTGTGATGATTGTCATGGCTTCGTATGCATCAAAAATAATGCTATCTGAGCCCACAAAATAGTCCTCATGACGATGAATGAAAGCCTTGATCTTCAAGAAAGCTTCCTCAATAGGGTTCAAGTCTGGAGAGTATGGCGGAAGATATTTGAGTCGTACACCTAGAAAATGTAGTCAGATTTAGATTAGCAATTGAGAGCAAGACCAACCATGCAATGCAATCATTTCTGCAACTCCTTCTCCATGATGGATCTTCACATTGTCCATGACGAGGACACTGAGTTTTCCAGGGTATTGCTGGCAGAGAGGAAGCTTTATGGAGGTCAGTATGGTCCATCATCTGGTAGTACAAAGCAGAAAGACACTGACAACTGTCAATTCCAGAAATTCAATATATTTCACGGTGGTGAATGATCCTTCGATAACTGCTGAGGCAATCATTCCATCAATCGTGAGCAGACCGAGTGCAGACACCCAGCGATCCTCTGACGAAAGGCTGCTGACTTTCTGCACTGTTTCCCACACTTTGAACTGGCCCCAAGCCCTCCCCGGAGTACAGTTCGTCCTTCGAAGTTTCATCCAGAAACCCAATTTCTTCTGGCTGGTATTGTGCCATGCGAGCAACAAACTCTGCACGACGCAGCTCATTCCTCTCTTTGGCAATGCACTGCAACTTTTTGTAGGAAACCCCAGCATGCTCCAGTGTCCGATGAACAGTGACATAATGAATGGAAATGAACCGGTTACTGTCGAGCATTTCGGCAAGCTCATCCAGGAACCACGTAGGACTGGTGTTTGATGAGTCGGACAAGGTAATCAACATTGTCGTAGTATAGAAGGCGGGGGTGACCACGAGTAGTGCACAACAGAGTGACAACATCACCTGTCTCCCTCCATAGCTTGAGTGTGCGCCAGAAGGTGCTTTCAGAGAAGCCAACACAGTTTATAATGTCGTCTTTGGACATATGAGCATCTTCGTAGAGTTTCATTGCAGCAATCTTGACGTTGTGGCTGATTTTGCGGAACATGGTAGTAGAGAATAACACAGATACATATTGACTGTGGCTATGTGTTTTATTTATTTTTCTCTTTCTCTGAAAGCGTACAACTGTCATCATATTCGCAAAGCGCTGTAATTACAGAGGCTGTACAGAACAATAACATTATGAGAAACATTGGATTAATTTGTGACACTAGTAACTTGCTCTTGAAGGGCAGCACATTTCTCACAAATCTTCAAGAGCGCACTGTTCTTGCTAATGCTACACTGTGACGATGAAGAATTAGGAAAAACATGACTATACAAGGTATTAGCTTGGAGCTTGGGGTTGATGAAATGCATAATGGACTGAGTTCACCACATCATTAGGTTGCCTACTTCCTCACTTTCATCAGGATCTTCTAACAGGTCCAGAATGCTATGATAGAAATTTTCCGAGTCCATAACTGTGTCAGTATGGGAGAATACTGACTATGAACTCAATGAAAACCGAACCTGAAATAACAATCAATGGGGAAGGAATGTGGTATTAAATTTGCTACATGCCTGGGTGGCAATATAGGCCAAGGATCCTTTAGTTACAGACTTCATGCCATGGAGGTACACATTACCGGAGCATGTAGCCTTTGGCTCCTTGTCCACCAAGCTTGGCGATGTAAATACATGTTTGAAAACCTACAAAAGGGACATTTCTATGAGCAAGAACTTTAATTAGACTGAACTCACAAAGATGAGTATATCGCTCCTCAATAATCCCTTTCACGGATCTTCAGGATCATAAACATAACCTGCATATAAGAATATAGGCCACTGGTCACCACGAACTGCGGTTTCACCGCTCTTGAGACTCTCCTTCATTCTGGGTAGATTAATAACATTTTGGTTATTGCACAATGGAAAGACTTACTCCATATTTGACCAGTCAAGGCCTGCAGGGCAAAGCAACGCGCCCGTTACTTCATGGTTAAACCCCCAGTCAGACTTGATGTTTCAGGAGAGAGGGGGTATGACTACTTGTCCTCTGGGGACAAGCCATTTGAGGACAGCAGATTTGAAGGTTTTGGTATCATCGCCTCATGCACTGGAGGCCCCTTTACCTATCTGTTAGAAGGTAAGTATGATGACCTTCCATTACTCAAAACTTGCCAATTCTCTGACATGGATAATATCCTCTTCCTCTCTGTTCATCAGACGATCCAAGAGGCCAGGATAAGAATCCAGTAACTCCATGAATACCCTGTGTTCCCATCAGATACTAACATTAGCGGTACCGTAAGTGATGGTGGCATCTGACGGTCATAATTAGACTCACTCTGCAGGATAATCCTCTATGAGAAAGTCCTGTGATTCCTCAAGTCGGAGTATACCTGACATCAGAAGGGCAGGGTAGTTGAACAATGCAAACACCATCTGACCAAAATGCTGACCCTGGAGAACAAGGGGATTTAATGAAACTCTGATCATGACAAGTCAGGGGGGTTCATCACTGTCTGAAAGACCACTTACACCTTTTTACATGGACCCATCTGAAGGGCTGAACCACAACACTTGCGTGAAAGATTGCCAGAGGGATTATTCTCGTCGGTACTCATACTATAAGTTGAACTACATAGGTATAACACCACTAGCATGGAAATGAGACACTTTATAAGTCAAAAATCTGATAGTACATAATGAAAAGACAGTGCGCTGGCCAAGTGCCATTGATATTGCAACAAAAAGGCCCATCATCCGAGTGCCATCAATATTGTAATGCAATAGTTGCTGTATCTGGGCTATCGTAATGGGAAAAAAAAGTTCTAGGGCCAAGGATGGGTTAATTTCCTCTGCAAGTTCAATTTTCTACCAAAGGACAACCTCACCATCTGAGCACCATAGATATTGTATAGGATACAAAAAAACATTATGGTGACATATACATTGATACTGATGATCATCAGATCATAGAACAACAAGAAGCAAGGTAGAATTAAACTTGGAGCTGCGACTCCAATGAACAGAGAAAATAATGATATGTACCATTAGATTTATGCCTGTTCTCTGGCTTCAGTGAGCCTTGTGCTTTCTTGGCCTGAAAATAAAGGTTGAGAACCGTCCATGATGGTGACAGGGAAAGTATCATGATGGTGACGGGGAAAGTATCATGATGGTGACGGGGAAAGTATCATGATAGTGGGTAGAACTCACTTAGTAGTCACCGTTTGAGAACATAACAATAAGTTCAGTGCTGGTAGCATTGTATATACTACATAAAACATGTTACACAATTCATGGAACCTAAGTGTGACGTCAACAACATTAGTCACAGCGGACAAAGGGCATCTCACAGTCCAGATTGAGTTGCAATCTGCATGGAACAACCACATGTGATTGATTCCTAGCATCACAATCTGCAAAGACTCGTCATTATATGGTATGATATTTAGTATGCACATTGTCTTACACCTCCAACATTTTTACTGCATTATGGTGTGACTATGGACGTTCATACTACTTGATTATATGCATTGAAGTTAAGTCGTTAACTACCAGCGCAACTACTACTAGGTATGAGTTCAAATTATATAGAAGATGGGAAAAAAGAATAATGAGAATCAAGTAGGAGGATTTATATGTGGACTGGGTATAGGAATTGAACTCCACCGGCTACACCCGAAATCACCACAATGCAAGCACCTCAAAAATTGCCAGCAAACACAATAAGTCTCTTCAGGGATGTGGGTGAGGTCAAAGGCAATTACATGCCCAGTGTGAGGAAGCAATCTGAGTCATTTTCCCATCCAACAATGCAGTCGTGATCAATTGTGACAGAGAAGAGTCTTTTCCAAAATCCTTGCTCTTTCTTTGAGGCTACTTCACTATTGATGTGGTTGACTGATCTGCACAAGGTCATCAGTTAACAGACACAGTGAAGTTGGCTTGGCTCACACTTACACATTCAAAAGGTCTGACAATTCGACTTCACAGTGTGTCTCTTCGCATTCTCACTTTTGACAATGCCATGTACAATTGACTGGTGTGAGCAAGGTCGGACTCTATCTGTTTGAAGGTCAAGCGGATCTTCTTCAAGCCAGATGGTCACGGTGAAGGATAATCGCCTTGCCCCATCATGTAGCAGGTACTAGTAAATCTTTCTTTCCATCATGATCATATCAATTGACCATTTTGATAGCAATTTCATATCACAACTCCTGGCTCTTCAAATGCTCATGGTGTTCACAGGTGAAATAGCCAAGGATAGAGAACAGCCTAACCATGATGATGAGTAAGGTATGCTGAATTGTAGTGCAACCTGTAACTGAACCAAATTCTAGTTTCAATCATCACTGCTGGTATATTCTAAATTACAACGGAGCAATGAGTCATGATGTTTCAAAAGTTGAAGTCCAAACAGATGATTATCCGGGTACTAATATCACAGTACTACTACTGATACTCTTGAAGGTGATCGTACTAGTACCTCATAGGTCCCACAAGACAGATTTGGTCAAAGTGAAAAGTTACCAAAGGAGCTGTACTAGTACTGGTAGTAGCACCTGGATCTGTACTAAACATCTCCACAGTATTTTTTTTGACATTGCACTTTGCTATAGTTGGGGTGGCCCCATGATGCTCCCTGTGCCATTGGATGTGCAAAATGCTGCTACACAATTCTCAGGTGCGGGTCCATTTGCACCGCAGAAGGGGTCGGGACACATGGTTGATACAAACCGCTTGTATAACCTACCCCCCATGAAGCTCAGTGAGACTTTCAACACCACATGATGCATAAGAAAAGTTGAAACAAACTCCTTCCTCATCAACCAGGGTAGCTGTTAAGACCATGCTCAGGGGTAAAGCGGAGTCTGAGGGGCTTGGCTTCAGCTTGTACGCTGCACCCCTTACCCTGAGTACGTGCCCCTAATTTCGGAATGTAGTCCAACACGATTCTATGGGTTCAACAGGACGTCGAATGGGGTCTCTGAAGGAGGGCCAACGGACTACTAGGTGAGCGCGGGGAAAAGTTGGGCATGGGTTGTTCCACCCGGACAGGAGGGAAGCAGGAGACTACTATGGTCAGAACCAACAGTAGAAGCGGAGCGGCTATTGGACTTGTCCAACAACGAACGAGGGATGGATGCGAGACGGGGTCTATTCCAAGTCAAAGTTGGAGAGCGGGAGGACGGACGGGGACGGATGGACGTAGGTGCGGGGTAAGTTACAAGGCACAAGGAAGTTGGACGGGGAAGGGGACGGGGAAGGAACTGGGGAGCGGGGGGAACGGGGAATGGGGAACGGGGAACGGGGAAAGGGGGAACGGGGGACACGGGGAACGGGGAGGGGAACGGGGGAACGGGGAACGGGGGGGAAACGGGAGACGGGGAACGGGGGAACGGGGATCGGAGGATGGCTCAACCTAGGGCGTCACTCCCTCGGCCAGACTTAACAGGAGTTGACTAGGATTCAGGCCCACGTCAAGAACAGAAGAGCCGGGATTAGAAAAGGTAATATTCAGACTGAGTATCTACAGACAAATGTACATATGTTTATATACTCTAAGTGATGAGCATAGTGTACAGGATCACAATAGGATGACTGAGACATATCAGAATAAGGCTCGGGGAACAGTATGTATGCGACGGATCAGAATCGCTAGGGTATAGGGATTACTGGTGATCCGAAAAGCGGAACTATGATACTAAATGGGGATAGGACCAGTTGAGTGGTTCCTAGTCTAGGAGTGGACCGGTGAGGTGGTCGGGCGGACTAATAGTCGGGTAGGGCAATATGAGCGGAACTGAAGGATCCGAGCGAGTCGGAAAAGCGGAGGGAGTAGGAGTAGGATCAGAGGAGTGGAACGGGGTTGGGCGGAGGTAGCAGGGCTAATCCTGCTGAGATGCACTTCGTGCATTGTCAGAGAAGGAGGAATGGAGCGGACGAGGAAACAGGGGGTCAGGCCAGGGGTGAGGATGTTCACAGGTGGTATTGGAGGTGCTTGGATCCGGTATATGACAGTAGTGGGCCTATGATAAAATTAGTTAAACACTGTTGTCTCCATTGAAGACTCACTGTTGTATTGGAGATTCTCTTTCCTGACCTCATTGTCCTCTGGATTGATAGTCCAAGGGTCAAACATTGATTCAGATGAGTTGGTCAAATTGACAACCAACAATTGGTTTATCACCCTGTCAACATCCTCGGGATTGGCAATCCAAGTGCTCAGAGCGCTGGAAGACAGCGTGCTGGAACATGTAAGAGAGCTGGAGGAAGCTATTGTTTGGGGTGGGGGTGTGATACTTCGAGGTGGTGGCCTCAAGTACAATTTCTGCCACATTTCACAGAAAGAAATCAAGTCATGATTTTTGAGTATTGTACCATTCAATCACATTCCATAACTTAATGTTTATAACAACAGTTAACAATTAGATTACCACAAAAAAATGGGTACAGCTCACCTAGTGGTAACTTCAGGGAGCTCAAGTGTTATCCGCTTCTGCCCATGCAGTGCAACAGAGCAACCCTTGCTCTCAATATCGTATAGTGTGGCTTGATAGCCTTTATGCTGACCTTGAATAATGAATACTTCTTTGCCGATGTCATTCTTAAAGGTATCCAGGCTCACGTTGCATGTCTTTACCATGAACCGCATGGGAACATTAATCTGTTACCAATTAGAGATGTTCAAGTTGAGATGAACTGCACTTACCAATGAGCCATCAGTTTGAGACAATAGGGTCAAGCGAGCCATCAGAAAGTCGACACTTTGCACAACTGCTGTCGCCTGATACTCCAGCCTGCGAGCGACATTCACAAAGTCTCCAGGCCTGATGTCATAGCCCTTGTCCTTTGTGTACTTTATTGTCTGGGCGAGGTGGATCCTGCTGAACCCATACTAAAAGGACTTCAATTGTCACCAGTCCTGAACTACATATCTTGTCATCCACCCGCAAGTACATAGATGATGTTCCCAATTTCAATAGATTCGGTTTTGGGGGGAGGCTCAAAAAATTGCTGCATTGGCAGCTGTGTTTGCAGCACATGCTTCAGAGGACGACGATCCAAGTAGTATTTCGAAACTTTGAACTATACAAAGCATCAGATAGAGTTGAAATGTCATCTGTTCATACACACCTCTTCCTTAGTTGCCTCTTGACAAATGTGAAATATGTTATCAGACATTTGAACAATGTAGCCCTCCAACCCAAGTATACACCCGCTACAACTTGAACTGAATTGCTGAGCCAAAACACATGCTCTACATCCCAAAGTCGAAAGTCTAGTTGTCTTCAAAGTCGAGGTTTGAAGTCAAATTTTGAGGACACACAACCTAATGCATGATTCGTCAAGACAACTTTTCCAATCTCTGAACAAATCTCTCCAGAGATGACCCTCACTTCATCGCCCACACACAGGAACTACATAGAGAACGCCAGCTCAGTGCATTTGATGAAAGGCGTGTCCCATCCGGATTGCAGATGCAGTCAGATGCAGTTGGGATGAGGGGTGGTAACAAGCTCTAGGTCAGACTGGCGAAAGGTTTTAAGCAACAACCCCATATAATATTGTTCTCCTTTGAACAAATATCCTATAACTTTGCCATCACAAGTGATGTCAGATACTGTGCTATTTGCAGGAAGTTGGCACCTGTCTAACAGTGCAGCAGATTTCTCAGGCATGCAATAGGGAAAATTCTGTGGGGGGATTAAGACCGCTGTGAGGAATTCCCCCACTGTAGGCATAAAACCCCGTCCTTTCCACATCTTCTCACATCAGTTCCGTGTATTCCGCACGTTCCGCGTTTCCCGCGCATCGTCCGATGGGTTCCGCATTCCCGCACATCCTTCAGAACCCGCCCGCACTATCTGATATTCTCATGCATCGTCAGACAACCTTCGCATGTCCTGTCCCCATCCTTCCAGGTCCATTCATCAGGAAAAACTATATCTCTATATAGAGGACCATCCTCTATATAGCCCCGATAGCACACCACAGCTCTATACAGTCTATGGCAAGCGATCGACAAGCACTATAGACCAGTATCGACATCATGAAAGTCTATATATTACAATAAAGTTTGGTAAGTGTATTTTAGAAGTAAAACATTTCAACAACTATAGACCCCAGTAGGACCCGTGGGAAACTTTTTTCGATGAAAACCAAAAGGTTGGTAGTCCTTGTCAGGGAAGGTCTATCCAAGTCTAATGACTTCAATAGGTAAGATCTAGTGAGTTAGGAAAACTAATTGAAGGTTCAAAAGACTTGACCATGGAACTTGATCAAGTTGGTCCTGTCAAGGGAAGTTATCCATGTCTACTGACTTCAATAGGTCAAGATCTTATGAGTTATACTTGGATGAAGGGTTCAAAAGTGTTAAGGTACACCTATTTATGTAAGCAAAAATGCGAAAAATTCACCTTATGTGTATTCAAAAATCCTATGTAACAGTCAATTTCATTGTCTTTTTCTTACTGTTCATAATCCTAGTCCTATTAACCAAAAACTCGAAAATTCACCAAGTCTTGTGTTGTGGCTTTGTTTGGCACTGCTTATGTAAGCAAAAATGCGGTCAACCAACAAGTCTTTTCCCATTCTTTCCTTCCCCCCCCACTGCCCCCTCATTAGATTATCTTCCATATTTTTCTTACAATTTTCGAGTTTTTGCCTCTCTTCTCTTCTTCTTGCTTCTCTATCCTTCTCTTGGTGTTGATGTTGTTGGTGCTGGTACTGGTGCTGGTGCTTTGAACTCTGGTAAGTCTCCCTCCATAATTTTCGCATTTTTGACTATTTGACTAATCTTTTTTCTAACCCTCTCCTTCTAGCTCTCTTCCCTCCTGCTCCTCCTCCCCCCAACTATTTTCGCATTTTTGACCATTTGGCAAGTCTTTTCTCTGACTCTCACTTCCTCCTGTCTGATCCTCTCCTTCTAGCTCCCTTCCCTCCTCTTCCCTCAAGAATTTTCGCAATTTTCACTATTTGGTAAGTCTTTCTTTTTTTTGTATTCATCTTTCCTCTCTGATTCTTCCTTCTAGTTCTCTTGCCTCTTCCTCCTGTAATTTTCGCATTTTTGCCTGTTTTGTAGTTATTAGTTCACATGTATTGTAGTAGTTGAAATATAATTTGGAATTTTCGCTTTTTTTTAATTTTGAGAACACTATCATGGCAACAAACAGCTATTAAGAGAAATTTTTGCTTTGTGTTTTGAGCTATAATAGCTACAATAGTTGTGGTATGTTCCACCCAGCTATAGCAACTTTAATAGAGCTATATAGCACTATACACTGGTGTAGTAAGCCTGCACAATTGGGCACTTGGCTATACGAGCTATAGGGCTATGGAGTCTGTATAGCAGTCTATAGCGCTATGGGTGGCTATATAGCCTTACCACATTTTCCTGATGTTGGTATGCTGTATCTCTCTTCCCATTGCTTCTAACGTTATCCGGATCACACTGACACATGCCCTTATGGCACGGACCCCTATTCCGGAGTATTGCACCCATGTGCACTGCCTGCCTTCACTTCCGCTTCCTGAGAATTTACTACCTGTACCTCAGTGTTCCTTGAAAATAATCTTCCCTTTAAGTAGTGGTACTCAGGGCTTGGGTGTTTTTTTATTGAATCCCATCTTTTACCTTCCCACTTTTCCTTCACCTTACTAGAGGACCGTTTTGACTTATGCCCACTATCAATCTAACCTTGTGATATACTTCCTTCGACTTGACCTGCAAGTTCCGACGAATCAGTACATTCTGCGCTTTATCCGTTCGAGTTCCATTTCATTCCTTTCCATTCCGCTTGAGTTCTGCCTGTTCCACTTGAGTTCTGCTTGTTCTGCTTGTTCCACATTTTTGTGGATCCTCATCCTACCTGCGGTAGGGTTGTTTAGGGTTGTTTAGACAGAGACTAGTACTCCCAAGTAGCAATCCCCTTAAGGGTCAAACACATTTGTTCTCAAGCGAGGCAGCAGGCAGCAAAGACCCAACTGTGTAGTAGATCGATTTCTCACTGCTGCACTTGTTGTACCCACACCACAACAAAATCATCAAACTGCTTGGAATCATAGACATGTCGCCTTTGTACCTGCCATGTTGAATGATGCACACCCACCCTGGGTTGGGAAGGTTGGGTTGTGCACATTCAATCACTCAACGTTCTTCATCTGAAATACAAAGATAATTTCAGACAGATTGTTTATGCGCACTCGAGAGGAATGACGCAATGGTTTTCAGACTATCAGACACCATGTAGAGTTGGCCTGGGATCCAAGCCGAAATGGTGAAATACGAAAATAATTTCAGACAGATTGTTTATGCATGCTCGAGAGGAATGAGCACAATGGTTTTCGGACTATCAGACACCATGTAGAGTTGGCCTGGGGTCCAAGCCGAAATGGTGACAGGGAGTCCTTTTCTCTCGAAGCTGTGCAGTGATATAACTAGTTGCAGTTCCTGTGAAATGATGAGTGATATAGTGCTATGCGATAACAGAGACAGACATACTCTGAACATGCAGCAGGTACTTCCTACTTTCAATTGTGCTGGGGTACCAGGTGGCCCTGTAAGGAACTCGTTGAAGGCGTCTGTCTGATGATTTTGACATGTTAACCTGGTCAAAGATATTGTCAACTGCTGTGAAAAAAGTCTGTTTGCCTGATGGTCCTGGCAAGCTTGTGACATTCAGTGACTGAACAGAGCAGCCGCCCTCCTCCCCCTCCCCCTTTTCCTCGTCCTTGCTCGAGCCCTCCTCTGCCTCAGCATCGATGAAGGGATTCTTTGGCTACACTTTTTAGTATGCATTTGCCAAAATACAAGTTTCACTTACTGTGGGTTGTTGACATGGTTGGCGATGACTCTTGCAGACATCTGACAAGCACCCAAGTGTCCTCAATGCAGATGCAACTATGAGAGAATCTTCCAATGGACTCGCCATATTTGATAGCAAAGAGACTTGAGGTAGTACATGCTTAGCGTACAAGGCCTGAAGATTCACCAAGGGAGTCACATTATCATTTAGGTCATCAGCAGAGAACAGCGTGTCTTGGGCGTCCTTCCAGTCGTTCACACAGTATCTATCACCCAGGTAAGATATAAATTTCTCTTCCATCTGAGGGTAGGTCATCTCAGTGGTGAGGTACTGGAATAAAATGTGCCATGCGCCTTCATCCTCTAGTGGAGATTTACCTGTTACGATAACAATCCATGATTGACCATGATAATTGGCAGCATCACAGAGTCATGACTTACTTTCACTTCTAACACGCTTCGGGCTAGGTTGATCATCACTGTCACATGACACTGGTGCCAGGGCACGTTTCAACAAATTGGGCCATGACATAAATCCGAGCCTCCTCTGAAATATGCATGATCAATTATCATGATTATGAACGCAAAGCATCACATACAAGTCTACTCAAGATTTGTTCTCTACGCTAATTTTTAGCATTCCTAGTAGATGCAGTATTGATGTAGTGATGGTGGAAAGAAGACCTTCACCTAACTCCACTATTAGTAAGTATTTATAGTGAATGACTAATTGGGCGCTACTCAGTATCATTTGTGGACTGTGTACAAATTGTGGTGCTTTCTGTGAGAAGGTCTTTGACAATATAAGTTGTGGGCCAACTGCTGCTGATCAGAGTCAAGTTCAAGCTCCCATACCAATATTCATATGGTCTACCTCCACTTATCCACATTCACCAATTACATAGGGACTACTACTAGAATACTTATTCGAAATTCAATGTTCAAAAATTCACAGTGAATGGAGTCAAAAAACAAAATATGTTAATAGTCATGACAGTGGATATAGTGAACAACTACATATTCAGATTCAGCTGGCAATACCCACTTAGTCATGGGTATGGGTACTTAATCTGATTTGAACACATTGTGGTGATTTCGGGTGTAGCCAGCAGAGTTCGATTCATATACTCAGTCCATATATAAACCCTACTTGATTCTGATTGTTTTTTTTTTCCCATCTTCTATCTTTGAACTCATACCTAGTAGTAGTTGCGGTAGTAGTTCTTCAATGCATATATAATCAAGTAGTATGAATGTCCATAGTCACACCATAATGCAGTAAAAATGGTGGAGGTGTAAGACATTGTGCTTACTAAATATCATACCATATAATGATGAGTCTTTGCAGACTGTGACATCAGGAATCAATTACGTGTGGTTGTTCCACATGGATTGCAACTCGATCTGGACTGTGAAATGCCCTTTGCCCACTGTAGCTAACATTATTGACATCACACTTAGGAATATGTGTGCCTAAGCATGTGTGGAGGGCTGGTGGTGATATCTGAGCACACGAGTATGTGCATAATTTTAAACACATACCTCTTCGAGGATAATATACAGTTGGTACGTAGGCTCTTCTGACAAACTTCTCAACATTCACTACATGACAGATCAGCCACGCTCTAATTTGGCTTGGAAGCCAGCTCACACATGTAGCCACACGTGCCTGTTGCGCACTCAGCAACATACTCCCCTTGGCATATCCCTTGAGTTCGCTGAAATACAGCTACCTTGACATATCTGTCACCCATAGCGCACAGGCAACAGGGGTAGCGGAAATTATGCACCTGACAATAAGCTTCCCAACCGCGATGGGTGAACTTTGCAACCATGCCGGGTGCTTGGCCTGATGTCCAAATGTACATTTGTTAACAGCTTATCTATCATAAACAAATAAACAACTTACCATTGAAATGTTGCCAGTTCTCCTGTCTGGCCGTGGAAATGAAGTACACCATGGTGAGCAATCAATATTGTCACCAGCATCTTCACTCTGTTGGGGTCAGGTTTGAAATCCTCGTATGTCAGACTTGAGCAAGAAGAATCTGGAGATGATGGTGCAGGCATTTCAATTTCATCATCAGAATAATGATGGCTGAATGCCTTATAGGTCGCCCTGTAGGCTGGTCATCCAAGTGCCATCGAGTTCTTGTCACTATGCCGGAATAGTGATGAGCTTAGTTATATTATCCCCTTTTGGCTGTTTCATCACAGAGCCATCGAATTTCTGGCTGTAAATATCAAATACTACCATGATCAGCAGTCGTTGCTCCATCATCTCAGCTCTTTACCAGCACTCTTCACCCCCTCAGTAGCACAAGCCTTGTACCAGTCATTCTTTCATGTCAGTCTCCAGTTACACTTGTGTATGCAAGCAAATATTTACGACCCAGAATCACTATAGCCAACACCAGCGCTCATGCACCCAAACCCAAAAGCATCTTTCATTGGTGTTGTCGTCTTTCAAAGATTTGTCACTAGAAGGAAAAAGCTGCATGTCTCACTCGCTTGTGATGAGCCTTCTGTGTCCGTTGCATTGCCTAATGTCTTGTCAGCTTGTCATGCCAATAACAGTCTTGGTGGTGAGGCCCCCCCCCCCACGTCACCATCGTCTTCACAACTTGAAGATCATGTGTCTCTGCACAATCCATCACAGGATTCTGTAGATGTTCTCCATGGTAACTTCGAAGGAGGGGGAGCGGAGGACATGAGTTTGGCACAGCGGAGACCCAGACATCAGAACCGACGGCTACCACAGAGATTTAGGGATGTGCTCCCCCAGCCCCCATCTACCGTTCCTGCAGAAGTCCGTGGTCTACTTCTGCAATCTGTTGGATGTGTTGTCAGTCCAGAAGATCGCTCAGGCATTGTGCACTCAGTTTTCCACACTCCCACGAACATCTTTGGGCTAGTACATCAATATTTTTCCACTACACCGGTCATCATGTTAACCTTCCTTGTCAGCATCCATCCTGTTCCTTCTTCCACTGGTTCCCTCAGATTCTATTGCATCCAGATATCATGGCTCTCATCCCAGGAGGTTCTCCAACTCTTGGTGCAGCCTCTGCAGCTCCTTTCCCTTCAACACAGCCTCTAGCCTCGAGTTCTCAGTTGCAACCCAACAGCAAGAAGTCACGCAAGTGAGGTGACCCATGCATTTGTGCCTTTTGTCGCCAAGCTCGTGTGCTGTGATGCCCACATGGAAAATGTCTCACCCATTGCACTACTGAGGATGGGGGATGTCCAGTGCATGTCACTGATAGTTCAAGCAACCAGCACCCTCAGGCTGACATGCAGCAGGATTGGGATTCAGGATTTGACCGGGAGAATTTTGCTGACTCGGAGACCCACTGGCACGATTTGTCACTTGATGCTGGAGTTGAGATGAATAATTGGTTTAGGGCGCTTCAACACGCACTTCAGTCTGCTGGTGCTGGACAGCCTATGTTCCCATCATTCCACGACATCTTGACAACTCCTGCACAACCACCTGCACCATCACAGCAGTCTCGTTGGCCCCTGCTGTCGCAACCCCCTCATCTTCTGACACACTCTCAGAATGATGATGCCTCTGCCATGCATGCCTTCCCAGTTCATAAACTATCAAAGCCCCCCTGTAACCGATCAACTTGATCCACTATGGGCAGGTGATTTAAATACATGTGCACAAGAGGAGATTGAGAGTAAGAGGGTGGCAGATCGTCACAAGGAGATGGAACGGACAGCCAAACAGTGCTTTGTCTTGTACTGGTTTGATGCTGTAAGTTTTCATCTGATGCCATGGTGTCACTGACTGCAGTGACTTCAATGAGCTATTCAAGTCCTCCAAGCTGTTGGCTTGCCCCTCCCACATGTGCTTCAACATGAAAGGTGAGCGTGATAGTTTATGCAAGATGAAAAAGCAGCAACAAGTGTCTGCTACTGCTTCCTCATTGGATGTTGAGATCATTGATGAGATACAGCTCACTGTTACGCGAAACCTCTCGGATGAGATCCGGCGGCACTAAACCCACAAGGGGCATTCGAAGCGTAGCCTTCAGCGCTAGCCCGGCAAGGAGCTTGCCTGTGCTAAGTCTGAGTAAGGGTTGAAGCCCTTACTTACATAGAGTCAATTGGAGTTTCTCGAGGATACGATCCGAGAGACGGAGTTCAACTCAAGAGTATTGTGTCAAGAGAAGATGGTTCTGTGTACAAAGGGAGTTCTCTTTAGATAAGAGAAATTCAGACCCAATGACAAGATCAGATGAGAACCGAGTAGATTCAAGTTAGAGAATCTACCTACTGTACAAATGGGATATATATACGTAATGGTGAGATACCGGTGGAACGGTAAGGGTGCAGGGTATGCGGAGGCAATACCGAAGTAGTGGTAAGGGTCGGGGGTTGTGTGAGTCATAAGTATAAATAGGTAAGAGGTACCGGTTGAACGGTAAGGGCAAGGGGTGTGGGGAATCCCCATCAAATGAGAAAGCCGAAACAATGGAAAGGGCATAGGGTGCGGTAGAAGCGAGAGCTTCTCACATTTCAGAACAACGGAATCAAAAGAAGAGATGAAAATAGGATAGTTGTAACCATAGTCCAGGTCTGGACGAGTCCGAAGAATGAAATGATGTGTAACGCTCATGTTACTGTAACACTCACACCAAAACCCTCCTTGGGAAAGCACCGCTGGGTTCAAAGCCCCAGCCAAGAGCAAGCGATACACATCGCTACCCAGGCATGACTGGCACAAGACAATTTCAATGCTCATCTCACTACTTCAATGTCACTAACACCACCACTCATCATAGTGTTGGCGTCATCCTCATCCATTGAGTCTGATGATTTCAATGCTTGTTGTGCTAGCTCAATGTTGCCAACACCCCCACTCATCATGATGTCAGCGTCATCCTCATCCATCGAGTCTATACCTGTTAGTTGTGGTGATTGAGCACCTTATGGTGCAAGTTATTTGTGTTATGATGTTGCTTCCTCTATTGGACTCTCACTTAGCATGTGATGTGAATTCCTTACTTACTTAGGCAGTGTTTACACTTGTTTACATAGACTCGCCCATAGGTAGCAAGTCCTGTGTTGGTTGCTCTTCAGCAACTGACACTGGACTATAGGTATAGTACACTCATTAGTTTATACAACACAAAAGCAACTGACACTGGACTATAGTCCTGTTCACTCTCATTAGCTCACTTGTGGCTTGGTTCACTTGGTTATTCTAACAATACCTTCCACATCTGCCTTGTCAGCAGCAGTCAAATCCATTCATCAGCAACCAGCACCACCTTCAAAAACTCTCCATTCAGCTCAGGCTGCTCCACATGTCATTCCTGTGCATATTCTGACATATAATCCAGCCAAGCCATGGCACTGGCCACATGGGATGTACACAGTTGATATGGCCATTGGCTTTCAGCAGATGGATGTCCCAAAGCTTTGTGGTTTCTATGATCAGGAGCAGCTTTTTTGTCTTATCTTTGGCGATACTCCATTTGTCAGGGTCACGTATCATGATAATCGCAAGGCATGGCGTGAGACGGAACTGACCATCCTTGAGACACACAAGCAAGCTGGGCACACTCAAGATGGCCTCTGGGCAAGTTACCTTGCAGCATGGCACACTGCCTTGGGTCTGGACAGCAAGAAACATAGTGGGCGGAAGTAATTTCATTATGTTGGTCACTCGCTACTCATTATCACTTGTCCGTCAGAAGTAATTTTTGTTATGTTACTTTTGTTATGTCACTCATTACTTGTTATCACTTGTCTGTTCCTTGATATGCATCTTGGTTTGTCCGATTGCCTTAGCCACATACTACATACCATACACTGCTCATATGTACAAGCTATCCATTGATTTGTCTCCAATAAAAATTGCGTTGATTATCATGTTCAGACAAAGGTAGGTGTCTCTCAGTACATTATATCTCTTCTTATTTCCTATAGCCGATGCCGCTCATCAAGTACTCACTCAATGGTTGTTCATCTTCAATTTGCTGGCTATCGAGGACATATCCCCAATACTGTTCTATCCGCGGGCATCACTGCTGAACAACATTCAGAGGCAACACTCAGCAGAACGAGTCAAAGAGATCAAATTGTCACAAAGTCAAGTAATGAAAATATTGAGAGATGATTAGAAGACAGGTGGATGGTGGGGAAGTTTGCCTTGTGTCTGAAGGGTAGCAACAGTCATATGGTTTTGACAGAGGTACTTGACTGGCATCATCTCTCAACATATGTTATGAAAACCACCAAACCAAACATTTGTTTGCTCTGCGATTGATGAGTTGAAATAGTACTTCCCATTGTCATCAAGGAGTTCAGGGTATGCCTTCATGTCACAGCGCTCATGGCAGAGCACATCACTAGCCTTGTGCTTCGTTTTGTGATGGAAGGCATCTATGCACATGCCCATCCCCTCAAAGAATGTGATCTTGCGACTCTCCACTTCATGCAATGTATTACAGTTGGAGTCGTAAATCATATGCTGTGGTTTACGAGCACGCAGGAGGGTAAACATTTTTTCAATCATGATCTTGCAAAACCCTGGTCAGCACAAGTTCTCTGACAGTGAGACTTGAACTTACCAGCACATTCAAGACAGCCTTGTGGTGGTACATTGTGCCACGGCCACAGATGACTCCACATGGGCGAACAACAAGTTGTTCATTGTTTGTATGCTGACGACAGAATGTAGCCTTGAGTTTAGGTGGCGCATCCTTGGCGCTGCAGCTGTCAGCATCCAAAGAAGCAACATAATGATCTGATACTCCGGTTGAGGTTGTTGTGGGTGCCTGACGAAACGCACAGTGCCAGACGCCTCATCATGCTCATACACCATTCTTTGACATCTTGAAGAGGGACATCTTCATCTGTTGAAGTTGCAGGGAGGTGGATGGTGATAGCATCATTTAACTTTGTGAGCTTTTGATGTTGGATTTTGCTCTTTCCATGGTGCGATGAGTTGATGTTGGCAGCTTCCATGCGGAGATGAACTGGGTTGTCACATGCCTTGTGATTTCTCCTGGTCTCAGCATTGATCATGACTGGCTGATCGCAGCCATTGATGGCACAGACAGCCTCAAGGTGATGATGCTCTGCACAGAACTGGAGCTGATTGTTGTTGAGAGGGTTTTTGCACCGTGGAATAGCACAGCAGGGGCGTCCGACAGTCACACATCAGTGGGCACAACAAGCAATTTGTCATGTCATTGATGATCATCGAGCAGGGCAAGAAGCATGAAACAGTCCCAGACTTGCTCTGTTGTCAGAGCATTGCCAAACTGCCAGCGATCATCATTCTTGCAAAGGTTGCGACAGGTCTGGGCAACTGCATATAGGTTGGTGCAGTTTGTAGCTGATACGCTAGTGAATGGACCAATCATAAGTTAATGACTGCAGCTCAATAAGTAAGTGCAAGGACGTAAGCAATCTGCATCAGATCCATCCAGTGCATGGTGAGCTGTAGCTCAATGAACTGATGATCAGAGACCTGTATGTACTGCGGCATGCCTCGGTAGTATGTTTGGAAGGCACCTTTAACGCTATAGTTGGCCTGATAATTTGTATTGCATTCTTTGTTGAAGTTAGCAATTAGTGCATGGACTTGAGTACAGTAGACTTACCTCGGCATTTCAGGTGTACTGTCCAGCCAGGCTTCACACCCTCACTGTGAGTGAACAAAACAATGCGATGTGGTTCCTTCTTCTTCAGCAGTGATCATGCTGCCATGCAGCGCACTTGTTCATCATGTCAGAGCAATCAAGAAGTACAAAACAACCTTACTGAGTCCTAGCTCATGGCTATAGGTCCTAAATGCATCTTCATCATCCACACTTGCCTCAGCACTGCTCAAGAGCTCCCATACAATGTCTTTTGTAAAAGACCACAGGACACCAACTACATCCAATGACATGTCAAGAGAGGCTGCAAGGAAGGCTGTAACACTTTGTGGAAGAATACTGGGGGCACAGAAGATGGAGACATTGTATGGCTGAGGTTGGAGGATGCCATCCTTGAGTATCTTAGCACAGCAAAGGAAGGTGGCGAGGTTGTTGAATGAGAGGTGAGCTAGCAATGGATGACTTTGTACTGAGGCAAATAGTTGGCTGATGTCGGGTGGGTCTGCAGCTGTTGTCATTGGTGACGATGTTGATGCAGTGGCTGACATCATCCCACCGTTCAATTGCTTATATGGTATGTCAGCCTCACTAGTTTAAACTCTGACTGAAATACTCACGTGCCCCAGACTCTGGCCCCGGAGTCCGCCCCAGAGTGGCTGTTTCCTGGATGCCCTCAGTCATCCCCTGTTAGAATAACCAAGTGAACCAAGCCACAAGTGAGCTAATGAGAGTGAACAGGACTATAGTCCAGTGTCAGTTGCTATTGTGTTGTGTAAACTAATGAGTGTACTATACCTATAGTCCAGTGTCAGTTGCTGAAGAGCAACCAACACAGGACTTGCTACCTATGGGCGAGTCTATGTAAACAAGTGTAAACACTGCCTAAGTAAGTAAGGAATTCACATCACATGCTAAGTGAGAGTCCAATAGAGGAAGCAACATCATAACACAAATAACTCGCACCATAAGGTGCTCAATCACCACAACTAACACTCCCCCCTGATTGTGCACCTCTACACATCTCAGCTCCCCCTCAAGCTACTCAGTCCCATCATCTGGCAGAACAACTGCACCTTGGGTCGAGCCAATGCCTTGGTCAGGATGTCAGCTGGCTGGTCAGCAGTGGGCACAAACACTGGTGCAATAATCTCCTTGTGCACCACATCTCGAAGCCAATACCAGCTGAGATCAAGCTGCTTCATCCGACCATGGTGCTCTGGGTGCTTGGCCACAGAGATGGCGCTCTGGTTGTCGATCCTAAGGACAGAGGGTGCAGTGGCAGGGAAGCCCATCTCAAACATGAGATTTCGCATCCAGCGGATCTCCTTGCCTGCCTCAACTGCAGCCATGTACTCAGCTTCAGTGGTGGACAAGGCCACAATGCTTTGAAGCTTCGACGACCAGGAGACAGCACCAAGGCCAATCTTGACCAGGTAGCCACCAGTGGAGCGACCAGTGTCTTTGCATCCACCATGATCAGCATCAGAGAATGTGGAGAAGAGTTCGATGGAATTGGGATCAGGACCATAGGTGATGGAGTAGTCTGCAGTGCCCTTCAGATAGCGAAGCAGGTGCTTGACAGCTTGCCAATGGGCAGGGCCAGGGTTGGAGTTGAATCGAGCTAAACAGCCAACAGCATAGGCAATGTCTGGTCTGGTGGTGGTGGCAAGATACATCAGAGCACCCACAGCTTCAAGGTAAGGAGTGGATCGCATGTCCTGAGTCTTATCAGCAGTCTGGGGACACTGAGCACGAGTGAGTCGAAGATTGGGCTGCATGGGAGTGGAGACAGGCTTGCAATCAGCCATGCTGAAGCGATCAAGGATGTCAAGGCAGTACTGGCGCTGGGAGATGGTGATGGAGTGCTTGGAGCGATCCCTGTCAATCTTGATGCCTAGAAGCTGGGTGGTAGGGCCCAAGTCTCGAAGCTTGAAGTGCTGAGACAAGTCCTTGATGATCTGATCAATTGCAGAAGCAGACTTCGATGCAAAGGTCATGTCATCAACAAAGACAGGCAAGATGATCCTGACTTCACCCTTGACATAGATATAGATGCTGGCATCAGAGTAGGACTGGGTGAATCCAATGGACTCAAGAACAGAGCACATTTTCTTGTTCCAGCGATTGCCACCTTGCTTGGTTCCATAGATGCTCTTCTGAAGAAGGCAGACCATCTTCTTTGGATCACCTTCAGCAAAGCCTTCAGGTTGTTCCATGTAGACGTCACAGTCCATCTCCCCATTGAGGTAGGCATGCGAGATGTCGATGGAGCGAAGGTGGAGGTCATGGATGGCAGCCATAGCAAGGACAACACGAATGGTGGGCATACGCACAGTTGGAGCAAATATTTCAACATAGTCAAAGCCAGGACGCTGGTTGTAGCCCTTGGCAACAAGTCTGCCCTTGTAGCGCTCAATAGAGCCATCAGCATTGCGCTTCACCTTGAATATCCACTTGGAGCCAATGACCTTGATTCCAGCTGGTCTAGGTACGAGTTTCCAAGTCCCATTGCTGCGATGAGCATTGAGTTCCTCAAGAGCTGCTTGATTCCACTGCTCTGCATCAAGTCGAGTCAATGCCTCCCTATAAGACAATGGCTCGGTGGAAGAGCTGGTAGACAAGGCAAGCTCAAATCCTTGAGCAAAGTCAGCATCCTCAGTCTCATCATCAACAACATCAGTCAGCTGAGCTGGAGAGAGCTTCCACCAGTCTCTGGGAGGTTGCCTATTGCGTCGAGGGAGTCTGGCACCAATGCCTATGGGAGATGGTGGTCTAGGAGGTGGATTGGGACGAGCTGCAGGAGGAGGAGTGACTGGATCAGGAACAGGGACGACAGGAGGGACATCAGGAACTGCTGGAGGCACCACATCTCCCCCTTGATCCAGTGACTCATCAGAACTGGACTCATCATAGTCAGAGTCAGAGTCAGAGTCATCTGAATGAGGAGGATAGTAATAGGAGGGCGCTGCTGGGGGCTCAGAGGTAGTCTTCGACTGTCTGGGAGGATGGGGAGCATTGACAGGAGGTGCTGGAGCGATGGGAGCTGGAATGGATGGACTGGATGGGCGCTTGGACAGAGGGAAGTATCTTTCATCAAAGTCAGCCCTTTCACAGATGATTGTCTACTTGGAGGTGGGGTTGTAGAACTTCCAGCCCTTGTAGCCAGCAGGGTAGCCAATGAAGACGCACTTTTCCATGTGGGAGCCAAGTCCATCTCTCTTGTCCCTCTGGACGTGCACATAGGCAGTGCATCCCCAAACTCGAAGATGTGAGACATCAGGCTTATTACCATGCCACAGCTCATAGGGTGTAGCGCTAGCTACAGCTTCAGTAGGGCATCTGTTCCAGACATGGACCAGAGCAGCAAGGCATTCGTCCCAGAAGGCCTTGGGAAGCCCAGACTCGTCCAGCATAGCAGTGAGTCGCTCAGAGAGGACTCTGTTAGCTCTCTCAGCAACCCCATTCTGCTGTGGTCTAGCACGAACAGTGTGCTGCCTCTCAATGCCACACTGGGTGGTGAATTCAATGAAGGCATTGCTCATGTACTCCCCTCCCTTGTCATCTCTGAGGATCTTTAGCTTTCGCTCTGACTGGTTCTCAGCATAGGCCTTGAATGTCTTGAAAGCCTCAAAGACATCAGACTTAGCTTTAATAGGGAGCACAAAGCGAAATTGAGAGAAGTCGTCGATGAACGTGACCCAATAGCGATAGCCAGAGAAGCTGGGGTGGGGGACCTTATGGACATCGGTGTGGACAAGCTCCAGAGGTCGAGTAGCACGCCATTGAGATGAGGGGAATGGGTTTGCATGCATCTTGCCAGCTAAGCATGGCTCACAGATGGGATCTGGCATTTTCTTCGAATCCAGCTTGAGTCCAGTGACCATGTCATGATCAATAAGCTTCTTGACACCTGCTAAGTGATGGTGGGTGAGTCTCCTGTGCCATAGGTCCAAGTCCAGAGGTAGAGTGGTCGCTGCAGAGGCATATTCAGAGAGAGGGATGGTGGAGCCATCTAAGAATGCTGCATTGCTGCTGCTGATGGGTGCAACAAACAATGTGGTGCCTGCAGGACGCTGAAATGACATCTTGGTGGAGTCAATGGTGACATGGAAGCCACTGTGGCGAGTGAGGTAGAGGACAGAGAGCAGGTTGTTGCGAAGGTCAGGGACATGCAAGACTCTTGAAAACTCGACAGCTCTAACGCTCTTGCCATCAATGACTGGGTTGAAGACCACAGTGCCAACACCAGCAGAGTAGACAAAGGTGTTGTCAGCTAGCTTGATAGGGATGCGATTGGGAGTGTAATTGCGAAGCCAGTGACGATGAGGGGTCATGTGGGATGTGGCACCTGTGTCTGCATTCCAGTCGACAGTAGCATCAAGTTGAAGGGGACAGATAGTGCTTGAAGGGTCAAAAGAGCGAAGACAAGCAGTGCCAGCAAACTCAATGATAGTAGAGTTGATAGGAATAGGAAAGGAAGTGGGAGAGGGCGATGCAGTGGGGACTGTGAGACTCTGAGTCTTCCTGGAGAGCTTCTTGGTCTTCTTTCTCCTGTTACGACGCTGTCTAGAGTACAGGGAGGCAAGGGTAGACCAGATAAGCACAGGATGATCTTCAATAGCATCAATCTGCGACCTCATCTCCAATGGGCAAGCCAGATAGAGTTCCCCAGCAGCTTGGTCAGCCTTAAGGTCCCATACAGCCTGTGCCTCAGGCTGTGAGTCTGCAGGACGCTTCTCAGAGCCACTGACAAGCAGCCACAAGCCCTTGGAGCGCAGGTAAGACTCCATCTCTGATCTCCAGATAAGATAGTTGGAAGAGCTGAGTTGAGCGATAGTCATGGGTGACATAGCAAGGGATTGGGTGGCAAGTAGGACGGTCTAGGATGATGCAGGATGTTCAGGAAAGCAATGGATAGGACAGGGAGTGACAGGACAGGGAGCGACAGGGGGTAGATGACCAAAAGGGGCTATGGAAAATTTCAACAAAGCCACTTGGTTGAACTACTCAAAAACAACACAATGGGTGTTCCAACAGTCCAAATGGTGCTCAGACACAAAGATAAGGGTTTCCTGGGGCGTAGAATGCGATGGAATACACTAGGGAAGGAGTGGAGCAGTAGTTGGATGAGGAATGAATGACTTGAGGTCCTTAAAGCGCAGGGCTCATAACCTGTTAGAATAACCAAGTGAACCAAGCCACAAGTGAGCTAATGAGAGTGAACAGGACTATAGTCCAGTGTCAGTTGCTATTGTGTTGTGTAAACTAATGAGTGTACTATACCTATAGTCCAGTGTCAGTTGCTGAAGAGCAACCAACACAGGACTTGCTACCTATGGGCGAGTCTATGTAAACAAGTGTAAACACTGCCTAAGTAAGTAAGGAATTCACATCACATACTAAGTGAGAGTCCAATAGAGGAAGCAACATCATAACACAAATAACTCGCACCATAAGGTGCTCAATCACCACAACTAACATCCCCTTCCCACCTGTGAAGTCTTTGAATGAGTCCGGAAGCTGAGCAGTGCAATGGTAAGCATGATGTAAGACCCAAAATTTGAGCAAAAATTACGGTCTTGAAGTACACAACATGATTGCTCAGATTGCACAATGGCTTACAGTGTCAATACTTGGACTTGTTGCCAAAGTACATATAAGTAGGCCATAGCTTTGCATTGCCAAACAATGTGAGTTGTGTGGCATCTGACCAAAACATCACACCAGCTTGTCATATACCTGATCCGACCACTTGGATATTAATATCTGCTCCACTTTCCGACCACCTCTGCTCCATCCATCCTCTGCTCCGTCCAATCATTGTCTGCATCCGCCCCTACGCTTCCGCTTGACTGCCCAACCGGTCCCCTTCCATAATGTCTCCATTCAACTGGAACCTCTTTCCCCTTTTAGATATATACTTTCCCCTTCGGTACATAGACCCTTACTCCCGGATCACCGGTAATTCCTCTTACCGCTCGATCACTGATCCGACGCGTACATATTGATATTCGGTCCGACTGATGTCTTCACCTGTGTAAGTACTTACAAATTATATCCTTGGTACATAGCTTTACAACATAGTTATCCTGATCACTGCCTCATACCTAGAAGTATATAACATATCCTGTACTTAGATATTTTTCCTCAGTCTTAATATTACTTGTCTTCTTGCAGTCTCTACTTGTGAGAATTCTCAGTAGGACCTTGCCTCCTCTGGACACAAGTTTCATCTTGTTGTCACCTCCGATCCTCCGATGCGAATTAGAGCCATGCTCTAAGTCTTCTCCTTACTTCCCCGCCCCTATCAAGTATTCCCCCTGCTCCTTTCCACCTTCTGCATTATCCTCTGCCTTCTCCGCTCCACTCCTAGTTGGCCCACCGCTAGTAGCACTTACCTCCTGACCCTCAAAGCGGACCTAAGCAGTCTACTTGTCCTATTGTCGGACAACATCGGATCCACTCCAAATTCGGGGCGCGTACTCGGCTAAGGGCGCAGCACAAGAGCTGAAGCCAAGCCCCGACCACTCTGCTTCTTGAGCCGGCATGGTACCTAACAGTATATTAAGACTGCCTCTTAGCCGAAGTATACTGATAAAAAATAACCCCTATTCTCAATAAATAAAACATATGTCCGACATGACAACCACCACCCACACCACCCAAAACTCCCTCCACACTGCAGGACTCTTGCCCTTGAGGCAAAGTCCTTTCGACATTGTCGCTACCTTCACCAGTTTCTCCCATTGTTGTACCGCCAGCACACATGGCTCCACCCAGAGCTATACCAACCTCATCAGCCGCCCACACCCCAGCACTCCCACCCACACTCACGTCTCCAACGATCAATCTACAACAGACGACCGCGACCAAACCCCGAATGCCCCTAGAGTGCCAGGTGGTTCAGGTGGCTCTGTCAGGTTGGGAGGTCCCGGCAGTCCAGGCGGTCCTCCATCAGATGACGAAGGAGGAGAGCCAGATGACGAACCCTCAGGGGGCTCTGATAACAGATTCCAGGGTGATGATCCCCACGACCTCATTTTTCTCGGATGGCTCAGTATACTGATCACATACCCTAACCATTGGCTTCCCTGAGTTCCCGTTCTTATCACTCCGACAGATGGTGAGTGGAATAGCTGTTAGTTGTAGTGATTGAGCACCTTATGGTGCGAGTTATTTGCCTTATGATGTTGCTTCCTCTATTGGACTCTCACTTAGCATGTGATGTGAATTCCTTACTTACTTAGGCAGTGTTTACACTTGTTTACATAGACTCGCCCATAGGTAGCAAGTCCTGTGTTGGTTGCTCTTTAGCAACTGACACTGGACTATAGGTATAGTACACTCATTAGTTTACACAACACAATAGCAACTGACACTGGACTATAGTCCTGTTCACTCTCATTAGCTTAGCTCACTTGTGGCTTGGATCACTTGGTTATTCTAACAATAGCACCTCCACAGATTGTACAATCAAAGGTGAGACCAATCAGGGATTCACGCACAGTTAAGCTGGCAAGAAACGTGATATCTGCTTGCTGCAAGGAAGACATAATAAGGGCTATGAGGTTCACAGAGGAGGCCAGAGAGAAGAGTAGGCGGGCGGGAAAGAGATAAAGTGGGCGAGTGGGAAAGATGGGTAGGAAAGATGAGGTAGGATGGGTGACAAGCAACCACAATATGCTGCATTTTGGTCAGAGCATCAATATAGTATGCCATCTGCATGTAGCAGGTGGGATGATGGGCGTGTCAGCAGGCATCCATGGCAGGGACACTGGCGGGAGGTGAGATGGTAGTGGGAGCATTGCAAGGCATGATTGAATAGAGTTTACCAAGTTTAAAGCTCTGCTTGGGTCAGCTGCACTGGCTGAAGGGCCCCAGAGTCCTGCCCCAGAGTCCGCCCCAGACTTTGGCCCTGGAGTGGCCAGATCCCTGACATTCTGGGATGACTAGTGAATGTGCAACTCACTGCCATAGAGAATTTTTCCATGAGCAGTGGAAGATTTTGCTGGACAATGAGTTCCTTGAGGCATATGAGCACAGCATTGTAATTTGTTGCTGTGATGGCATCAAGCGCAGATTTTATGCAAGGATCTTCACTTACTCTGTGGACTACCCAGAAAGTATGTGAACTCCTATTTTTTGTTGAACATTATTCAAGATATGATTTCTCCAGGTTGCTTATAGCGACAGTTCAAAATTTAGGAGGGTGTCCATGTCCTTGATGTCTGATACCAAAGCATCAGATCCAGAATATGGGGAAGCCTCAAGATCGTCAACAGTGTGAGACTCTGGCTCGCGATGATGAGAGAAGACGAGTTATCGTGGACACTGCATGAATTGATTTACAACAAGAACTTTGCAGTTGGCAGCGCGCCAGTTGAACGTATCCTTAAACCACATTCATGGGTGCCCACTTCAGTGTGAGTCTTGAATCATTTCGTAACAGACCATGGCTAATCATTCCTCAGATCGCATTCTCAGATCGCCTTGGTTTCCTGGGGTTCAATATTTTCTGGGCGCTTGTAGTCGATCTCTTACATGAGTTCAAGATCGGCGTTGGGAAGTCCCTTTTTATTCACTTGTTGCACATCATTTTGGCGCATGATAAATCTCTTATCCATGAATTAGACCAGAGGTATGCATGTATCATTATGCTGATGTTTCATTCATCTAAATTTTACCATCAGATACAGGCAAACTCCAATGTTTGGCCAAGTGACCATTCAGAAATTTTCTGCCAACTCCTTGGAGATGAAATGGATGGCAGCTCGCAATTTTGAAGACTTGCTCCAGGTATGAACTCATTGTCGTTGGTGAAGTGCAGTATCTGACATGATATGCAGTGTTCTATCCCTGTTTTTGATGGCCTTCTTCCTGAACTACACAACATGATCATTCTTAAGCTACTATTTACAATGGTGCATTGGCATGGGCTAGCTAAACTTTGAATGCATTCCGATCTGACCCTTGACATTATGGATTTAGTGACTTCTGCAGTTGGTCAACAGTTCCAGGAATTTAAAGCCAAGGTTTGCGCCGCTTACACTACTGGTGAACTTCATCAGGAAGTCAAGGCTCGCATGTGATGCTATGCAAGGCAAACATCCAAACAAAACAGTATGCACAGGGGCAAGCAAAGTGCTATTAATCATGGGCAATGCACAAAAGTTTTCAACTTCCAAACCTACAAATTCCATGCATTAGGAGATTATGTGTCCACCATTCGGCAGTATGGCATGTCCAACTCGTACAGTAGTGAACCAGTCTGTTCTCTGCCATCTATGTCTGAATTTAACTAACTATCTACTCCAGGGTGAACTTGAACACTGGTCGCCTAAGGCTAGTTATTGCCGCACGGATCACAAGTTATTCGTAAGACAACTGACTTGGATCAAACATCGCCAGGCTTGCATTTGTCATGTGGGTGACAGTATTGTCCATCAGCCCCACATCGAAATCACGGAGCTAGCAAGAAGCCTGGACGCCCACCACCATATAGGCCTGACACAAAAGTGCCCTATACATATAGGATCCTACTTGCACGTTCATGAAGGCGATCCAGCTATTAAGGTCAGTCTTATCATAATTGCGCAAACACCCCTACATCTACTCCTGCAGAATTTCGTGTCAAAACTGAAGCTTCATCTGTTGTGTCAAATCATGATGTCAAGAAATGTCGCAGAGTCAGATCAAGACACCAATTCAATCATTCTGAAGGACAACCAAATGTATTGTCACAACACCACCAGGTTTAACTATACTATATATGATGTTCATCGAGCCCAGGACATCATCAACTGTTAAGGTCATGCTCAAAGGGGAGGTTACTCAAAGGGCTTTGGCTTCAGCTCGTGCGCTGCACCCCTTACCCGAGTACGTGCCCTTAATTTCTGGGGGCAGAGGAGAAGTCTGATGGAAGTTCGGGATGTCCGGAGGTCAGACGTTGGGGGAGTTCAGCGGAACTCTGGAAGACTATGAGGGAAACGGAGTGAGGCTACTGCGGACAAGTCCAGAGTAGAAACAGAACAGAGGTTAGACTACCCTAAGGTAGAGCCGGAGATTTAGTCCTAAGGTTTAACCCCTAAGACTCGGAGATGGACAAGAGCTGAGACTCAAGTCTGGAGAAGCAGGAATGACCAGAACTAAGATGATATTCAAACTGAGGAGTTCTGGAGTATTACAGGAGTTTATATACTGTAGGTATCATGTAAGTAAATCAGTCAGCAAAGGTAAGGGCTATGTACGAAGCATGTGGAAAGTCTATTAGTAAGTGTAACAGATCAAAGCAGTGAAGTCGGAAATGAAGTAAGAATAGACGGATCAGTAAGCATAGTGGAAAAGGACATAACCAGTAACCAGAGCAATAGCTATTCTAAAAGGAGTTAGGGGTGAGTGCGGAGATGAAGGCAGAGCGCTGGGCGGAATAGCAGGACAGAGAACCGGACTTTAGTGGTGGGGTTCCAGAATTCTGGATCCGGAGGTATGGGATATGACATCAACCCACAGAATTCCCACTGCAATGTTATGGTCCTTGGCGGCAAAAATGATATAATGGGCCCCCGAGGTCACAAATTTATTTACGCCAAGGTACTAGGTGTTTATCATACTAATGTAATTTTCATTGGAAGTGGTATGGTCAACTATACACCGATTCAAATGGAGTTTCTCTGGGTTCGGTGGTGTCATATCCCGTACCTCCGGATCCGGAATTCCGGATCTACTTCATTAAAGTCCGGTCCTCCGTCTTACTATTCCACCTTGTCCTTTTCCACTATGCTTACTGATCTGTCCATTCTTACTTCATTTCCGACTTCACTGCTTTGATCTGTTACACTTACTAATAGACTTTCCACATGCTTCGTACATAGCCCTTACCTTTGCTGACTGATTTACTTACATGATACCTACAGTATATAAACCCCTGTAATACTCCGGAACTCCTCAGTTTGAATATCATCTTAGTTCTGGTCATTCCTGCTTCTCCAGACTTGAGTCTCATCTCTTGTCCACCTCTGAGTCTTAGGGATTAAAACCTTAGGACTACTTCTCCGGCTCTACCTTAGGGTAGTCTAACCTCTGTTCTGATTCTACTCCGGACTTCAATAGTAGCCTTACTCCGTCCCCATATAGTCTTCCGGAGTTCCACCGAACTCCACTGACCTCTGTCCTCCGGAATTCCCCGGACTTCCGTCGGACTTCCCCTCTGTCCCCTGGAAATTAAGGGCACGTACTCGGGTAAGGGGTGCAGCGCACGAGCTGAAGCCAAAGCCCTTTGAGTAACCTCTCCCTTGAGCACGACCTTAACAGGTGGTATGAACCCATAGATCCAGTCTCTGCCTGGGACACTTCAACCATGGATTGTGTTAGATTTCCACCCATGGCTGATGAGCACTCATTTGACTTTCTGGATCCAACTGATGTCCTTAGGGGCTGTCATATTATTCCTTCTTTTGCTGGCAAAAGAGATGGCCTGATGGATCAGGTCTCTCAGCATGTGCAGGAGATAAGGATGATTGGCATGCATATTACATTAATCGGTGAGTTATGCTACCACTTCATGCATGACTTATATGTAGTTTTTTTTCATACTTTTAGGTTTGTGGACCACAATATGCTGATGTGGTTCCACTTTGGCCTTGGAGTTGGGCATACTTACTCGCACTACCATACCTCACAAGCTGAGTCTCAGGATGAATACCTCGCAGGCTTCGCACATAATGCCCAAGATATTGGAGATGAAGAGGAAGTTGAAAGCCATGATGAAGAGGACGAGGATGAGGAAGAGGATTGTGAGCGGGAAAATGGACCTGAGCAACAGTTCGGCTCCAGCAGTGAATCGCTGTTATCTGAGCTTCGCGATATGTACGATAGTGACTTAGAACTAGATTACGAGAACTAACATCACAGAGTCCCATTGTGTTGGCATAAATGGGGAACTCAATGTTGCAGCCAACAAGGTATTATTGTACCGCCCCAATGGCGCACATAATAAGGGTACCGACCTCTCAATGGCACTGTGATGACCAGTCGTCATTCTGAGCCTCATTTCACTTAATCCCAGTATATACATGTAATAGACTTATGTAACATGTAACAGGTGTTACTACTTCCATCTGCACTGATCAATGGGCGTGCTAACCATGATAGTGTCAGCTAAATTCAGGTATGTGTATGTTGCCACTCCAATAATCTAGTTCATACTCAATTCAACAGGAATTCTTTGATATATTCAGTATTCTCAAAATGAGATTGTGAAAAACCTCCACTTGGACCGTGTGTAAATTGCTTCTCAATCAGCTTTAAATACGCATTGTACTGATGTGTTTTTAACTCCATCACAATGTCTACCTGTCATATACCTGATCCGACCGCTCTGATATCAATATCCGCTCCGCTCTCCGACCACCTCCGCTCCATCCATCCAATCATCATCCCCATCCGCTCCTACGCTTCCACTCGACTGCCCAACCGGTCCCCTTCTATAATGTCTCCATTCAACTGGAACCTCTTTCCCCGTTTAGATATATACTTTCCCCTTTGGTACATAGACCCTTACTTCCGGATCACCAGTAATTCCTCTTACTGCCCTATCACTGATCTGACGTGTACATATTGATATCCGCTCCAACTTATGTCTTCGCCTGTGTAAGTACTTACAAATTATATCCTTGGTACATAGCTTTACAACATAGTTCTCCTAATCACTGCCTCACACTTAGAAGTATATAACATATCCTGTACTTAGATATTTTCCTCGGTCTTAATATTACTTGTCTTCTTGCAGTTTCTACTTGTGAGAATTCTCAGTAGGACCTTGCCTCCTCTGGACACAAGTTTCATCTTGTTGTCACCTCCAACTTAGAGCTGTGCTCTAAGTCTTCCCCCTTACTTCTCCGCCTCTATCAATAATCCCCTTTGCTCCTATCCACCTTCCGCACTATCCTCCGCCTTCTCCGCTCCACTCCTAGTCAGCCCGCCGCTAGTAGCACTTACCTCCCGACCCTCAAAGCGGACCAAAGCGGTCTACTTGTCCTACCATCGGACAATGTCAGACTTGCTCCAAATTCGGGGCATGTACTTGGCTAAGGGCGCAGCGCAAGAGCTGAAGCCAAGCCCCGACCCCTTCGCTTCTTGAGCCTGGCATGGTACCTAACACTACCTTTAATAACCACACAGAAAATACGATGACCGCTGATGCGTGTTTTTTTGATCCTATGCTCCCTGGGTTCTTCTCATTCTCTGTAAGTTTTCTTGCCTTGCATCACTGGACAAGTTTATTCATTCATTCATTCAGGGTATTCCTGTAACCACTGTTGTACTTGCAGGGTACTCAGCGCTGTGCCCTCAGCCAATTGTTTTACCTCTCTACGTACATATTCAAATTGTTTTACACCGCGTATCTCATCTATGTTATGGTGCAGTGTCCCCCTGCCGGTATTGATGCTGTAGGGGATTTTACTTTGACATGTGCTTTATACTGACCTGTTCCCAGCTGAAGCAACAATTATCTCTGTTCACATATCTGCAAACCCCAAAGTTGCATGGTACAGCATACGAGTTACTACCGAGCAACAAGGTTCTGTTAGTTGTGGTGATTGAGCACCTTATGGTGCGAGTTATTTGTGTTATGATGTTGCTTCCTCTATTGGACTCTCACTTAGCATGTGATGTGAATTCCTTACTTACTTAGGCAGTGTTTACACTTGTTTACATAGACTCGCCCATAGGTAGCAAGTCCTGTGTTGGTTGCTCTTCAGCAACTGACACTGGACTATAGGTATAGTACACTCATTAGTTTACACAACACAATAGCAACTGACACTGGACTATAGTCCTGTTCACTCTCATTAGCTCACTTGTGGCTTGCTTCACTTGGTTATTCTAACAGGTTCCTGAATACATTTTAGCAGTAGGTCCCATTTCTACTGCACCACACCCTCCCACTGATTTGCTGTGCAGCTGCAAGAGATTGCTGCACCATTCTTGAATTTGCCATGGCTCAATGGCAGGATGGGCAACAATAAAATGATGTACAGTGTTTATAACTATGTATGTCTGAGTCTTCATTGCTGATGCATCCTATTCTCATGCTATAATATCATAGGTTGGTGTGGCCTGGGACAATGAACCTCTGACTATTGTCCACCTTGCACAATTTCCTCTCGGGTACCAACACAATGACGAGTCAATGGACGATTTAGAGTCAATCCTGCAGACCACCTGGATCGAGTCGTCAGCCATGACCTCAGCGCCAGAAGTTGCACAGCCGGTTCGTTCCAAGAAGGTTAAGGCTGCACACAGCCTCCACAGGATCATGGAGGCTTGTCCAAACTGGTGCAAGGCCCTCGCATACCTGCGTGTCTTTCTGAGGATGCTTATATGCTGCGGTCACTCCAACAACCCTCACCTTCTCACTAATACCAATTATGCAGAACACAGATTCAAGCTCATTTGCAATATCTGGCCTCAATGTTTGGAACATGCAAAGATTACTTCTGATGATTTGGAAACAGGTGTTAGAATAACTAAGTGAACCAAGCCACAAGTGAGCTAATGAGAGTGAACAGGACTATAGTCCAGTGTCAGTTGCTAAAGAGCAACCAACACAGGACTTGCTACCTATGGGCGAGTCTATGTAAACAAGTGTAAACACTACCTAAGTCAGTAAGGAATTCACATCACATGCTAAGTGAGAGTCCAATAGAGTGATCAACATCATAACACAAGAAACTTGCACCATAAGGTGCTCAATCACCACAAATAACAACAGGTGGGCAACTTATTATCCCTTTTTATATAGACTGAATATTTTCTAGTGCTAAGCAGAGACTCTAAGCTTCCAATGTTGCACAATGATGTATTGGCACTCGTACATGTCATTCCTGTTTTCATTTTGTTGTCTTATTTTAAAATAGTCGAGCCCATGGATTATGTAGTTCCTCTACAACACCCATTGGGTGATCAGCTACTCCATGAACAACGCTTGCATCTTTGGGCTCAGCAACTTCTTTGGCTTGACTCAAAAGCACAGCATTGGGACCCTCCTACAGATGTTCATGCGACCCCATGCACATTTACTCCCAATCTGAGTGAGCTCTCCAAATTCATTTTGTTTTCACACCCTGATTTTATCCTGCAGGCTAACGGGTTTTATGCCTTCTTGACTCATCAAGCAGCAAAAGAGATGATTTTCCATATTGTGTTCAGGACAACGGCCACAAACCGTGTTCATCTCACCATTGCTGATCTGGAGCCAGCAACATTCAGACATGCTGCCCACCTGCCAGTGGATACTTTGGCTCTGGTGGGGTTGTGTGTAAGTGTTCTCTACCATATCGGTGTTCTACTTGCGCTTACTATTATCACACTAGTGCTACCAGTCATTTTTTTACAAAGCTCATGAGCATCTGGGGCATTGCAGACGTCATGCCACAGTATCCCGCTGTGAGCCAAGTATACGGTGAACTTCATGAGACTGTTATGATGCTCCTCCAGCAACATCAAGACCCTGACATTGCTGTGTTTATGGCTCACATGAGAGTGCTGTGCAACATCACATAAGTTGTCATAATATGATTTCTGTACTACAGCTAATGGGAATGCAATGTGTAGTGAGACTGATGTGTTCCACATCAGCCAGCCCAGAGGACCTTCAACCTAAGAAGACTGTTGAAAATGCATCCTAGCTCCGCATTATATATGTAACATCTCCAATGAGCCTTTTTGAAATGTACTTTGTTCTCTGTTGAAATGCAAACATTATTGTGATCATGAAAGTCATCACCTGCGCTTCTGATCCATTCCAAAGTATATTTCGATTAGTCATTCAGTATAAATACTGATTATGTGCATTAACAGGCCATCTTTCACTATCTTATTTGTGCCGTTTTTTAGAGTTTGATGGTTTGATCGCCATTGTATTGTTTGATCACCATTGCTTCTCAAACTACTGAATAAGTCGTGTACACATCAAACACTCGTGAGAACATCCCTCTATCTTCTCTTGCTATCCTCTATCTTCTCTTGCTATCCTCTATCTTCTCTTGCTATCCTCTATCTTCTCCTGCTATCCTCTATCTTCTCTTGCTATCCTCTAACTTCAACATGGTGAACACCAGTTCCCCCATTCCTTTTACATTCAAAATGTCTTCCTATTCTCATTTTCTTGGAATTGAACAGACTGAGAAAGCCATGATATGTTGGCTCCAGAAACAGGGGCGTGACACTGTGAGAGCTGGTCATATGATTATTGTAGTTTTCTAACTTCACTCCCAGCTTCCATACTCCCACTTTGTCACAGCTTCTGTGCTGTTTGGATGGATCAACTCCCATGATCTTATAGCTCTTCTTGACGTGAGCCTCAGGGAGGTTGCGACACAGCTCAAGCGAGAACATGAATTTTGTATTGTATGCTGTTCACAAGGGAGACATTGGATGGATGACAGGATGCACCGAGCTCAAACTGAAATTTCATTGTTTAGTACTGCTATTGCTAACTTATGCGAAGAGTTGGAATGTAGATGTTCCCCAAGTGAGCAACATGTTACAATTTTTTTTCTGTCACTCAATATTTGTTCTTAGATTGCCCAAAGAAGCTGCCCACAGTGGGTGATGTCACGTGTATGAGAACATGCCTGTCACCCAGCCCTGTCAATTTCAATGATGTCCAACCTATACAGGTCATGCCAGACAATTGCGATGCACGTGACAAATGCAATGCATGGCTTCTCACGTTGCAGGGCAATACTCTGGGCGATTCTGATGCAACCCAAATATCATTTGGTTCCCCACATGTAGAAGCTATTCATTTCCATGAATTCCTTACAGTGGTAAGTGCTATTCATGCTATGAGAGGGGGAGGGGAGTTCTGACATGACGATGTACAGCCCAACAATCAATTTCTCTCTCTGCCTTGCTTGTTGAAAACATGGGTCGATAACACCACATATTGTGCCTACATAATCGCATCCTTGGCAGAATCCAAGCCCTCATGTATTAGCAACAGCTTTAAAACAAAGGAGTGCAAGAGTCTGGCCGTCCTTAAATCTGATATTCATATCCTGGGCCTGAAGAAGCAGCGTGCGCAGGTTGAAGTGGACATGCTTTCTGAAGCCATAGCCCACATGTCTGATTCCAAGCACACTGATGACGGTAAGCCTGCAGCTATACTTCTTTTTTCGACACTAACATCACAGTAGGCATATCTTCCATAGATTCAATGACGTGTGCATCACAGCTGCCTGAAAATGGTGTGGACTTGTTCGATGATTGGTCATCAACCTCATATGCTTCTTCTGACATATTGTCACTCATATGACACTCTTACTTGTAATTGTACCGACATTTTGTAACTGTTCCCCATGTCACCTAAGTCAGTTGTAAGCTGAACTGTGTTGTGTATGCTACTCTTGTTCTATCTATTTCTTTTGATAACCAATGTTTCAGCTTATGTAACACACAACACTGATCACTACAAACAAACATCATCCCACACATTATGTAATTTCTCTCTCTTGATCCTCAACCCCCATCCCTATGCCACGCATTAGGGGCAGTCCTCACCAGAACGGATCATTCATCTGCAGCCCCCACATTCTCCTTCCCTTACACTGATGTGCCAGTGGGATGGGAATACCAAATAGGAGGAGCAGGCAGAGGAGTGCCAAGTGTTCAGGGGTCTCAGCACACATAGACATCAATAGTACCACACATAGCAGATGAATGATCATCATCCTCTCTCAAGAGAGCTTAACATTGCATCCTCCCTCGAACGCAAGGTCAGAGCCAGGTCCACTGAGCGTCCTGCACTCATTTGACTTTCTGGATCTAACTGATGTCCTTAGGGGCTGTTATATTACTCCTTCTTTTGCTGGCAAAAAGAGATGGCCTGATGGATCAGGTCTCTCAGCATGCACAGGAGATAAGGATGATTGGCGTGCATATTATGTTGATTGGTGAGTTATGCTACCACTTCATGCATGATTTATATTTAGTTTTTTTTTCATACTTTTGGGTTTGTGGACCACAATATGCTGATGTGGTTCCACTTTGGCCTTGGAGTTGGGCATACTTACTCGCACTACCATACCTCACAAGCTGAGTCTCAGAATGAATACCTCGCAGGCTTCATGCATAATGCCCAAGATATCAGAGATGAAGAGGAAGTTGAAAGCCATGATAAAGAGGACAAGGAAGAGGATTGTGAGCAGGAAAATGGGCCTGAGCAACAGTTTGGCTCCAGCAGTGAATCACTGTTATCTGAGGTTCACAATATGTACGATAGTGACTTAGAACTAGATTATGAGAATGAAACTGACACTGGCGCTGTCAGTGAGAGCGACTATGATGTTGCAAGTACTGTAGGCAGTTGCAGTCCTGGTGAGAGCACCCTGTTTCTGCCTGGTGATACTGTATTCTAGCTCCCTTATGCACTCAGTATGTATGTCTTTTGTGCTTCATCTGCAATGATTTTGACCCATATATCTAGCTCTGATGTCACCTCATCTGATCTATTATCTCATGCATGACTATTTAACCCTCTCTTGGGCACGTTTCTCTAAAGACATACAGTCACACACCCTGCAGATCTTCAAAATATTAGCCCACCCCGCCCCACGCATGGGTGATCTCATCAAGCTTGATGCTTTCTCCACGCCCATGCCCTCACATGCCTCCCCGCAAACCGACAACACCAACCTCAAAGTCATTGCACACTTCCATGGTGGCCTGGACTTCAGCCGTGGTCTTGTGGACATCAATTTTACAATGTGGCCCTTGTTCAAGTGCCTAAATATTGATAATATTCTCATTATATATGAGGTTCGTCACATTTGTGAGCACCTGTACCAGTTCCCCCAAAGCTCACTCCTGCCAAGCAGCATATTCAACTTTTGTCATCTAGACTGTCAGGCTATCCTGCAATGCTCCTCCATATGCATGCTACACTGTTTGTGACCTTGTACTTAACTACTACCTTTCAGGTCTGCCACAAATTGAACAGGATAATTGATTCCTCCACAGAGCTCCAGTATCACATTGAGCTTGGCCTCGATTGTATGGTTGATGGCCCTATGAGCACCATCACGGTTGCAGAGTGTTTGGAACAACTGTTTACTCTCTGTCGTGTGTGGACTCTATTTGAGTGGAAGAAAGAGGTTCATGTACCCATGCCTGGTTTCTGCCAGGCATACAAGCTCGTAGGAGGCATATTCGCAAAGACATCATCTTCTGGGGGCATTCACAACTATACCGGTTCTCAAACCTTCATCTCCACCTGGCTACCATCCTTGTCTGATCCTGGTCGCACATTGGTTCAGACCAACATAGGGATCTCAATGAGAGACTTCGCCATTGATCCATCACAAGACCTCATCGCTCTTGTCAAAACTGATGATGACCAGTACGTCCCCATCGTGTTTTGCTTTGATCACACGCACATCACGTGAAAGGAGAAAGACGTGATAAGAGAGCAAAAGGAACTTACCGAACATTGACAGACATGTTGACCTTCACATAGCTTCTAGCCCCCAGTGCCTTTCTTTTCTGATTGCTTCAACACTTGTTCTTTTTTGTTCGTTCCCAGACGTCCGGATTATGGATTTTGCCATTGCCCTCCAGTAGACTTCAACCCTGCTGCCACAATCCACCCAGCCTAGTTATTCCATTGTTTCTGAGACTAGATCTAGGTCGATGAGCTGCTGTATAACACCAATGACACTTACATACATGATTATTAGACTCTGTAGTACACATCCCTCACCTGCAGTACGACTCAGAGTCATATAGAGCCCACAGATCCACTCAAACATCAAAAGCTCCAGTAGACACAGGTCCGTGGCCGCGAGCCCTATGGGCCTTGCTCTTTTCCTAACTAGAAATGTCCTACATAGGGTAGTACACCCCAACCAGACAGTAATTGGACCTTTTTTTTTAAAAAAAAAAAATGGGAGAGGTACCACAATGCAATGACTCATAATGATCTTCATAACTCTGGGTGGGTCGTCATGAACTGGACGCACTACTGACAAACTTTAACAATCTTCTTAGATGCCTCCATCCCATACATCTGCTTCCCGTCACGCAAGATCCTCCCCTTCCTCATAGTACTTCTGTCACCTATTGTCTCATCTTCCACACTCTTTCCCTCCCTCATTGTGACACTAGATAGCAAATAATGAATCCAACGTGAAATGTGAATTACTAGTACATACCGTTCATATCGCAATCCGAGTCTAACCACCACCCAGTGATATTTTAGCACCCCCTCTCCCCCCCTCTCCTTCAAGTTCAGGATCCAACAAAGATGCTAAGACAAAATGAGTAAGACTAACTCAAAACAATAATTACTCACACTGTTCAGCTGACCCATAAGAGTTTGATTTATATTGTTGATACTGGTAGAGGTCACGGTTGAAGAAAGAAAGACAAGTCAGACATTCTTAAATAGTAAAACATTGATTTCCTGAACGCTCGTCCAAATCGATCATCACGCTTCAACCATATCTTTGTGTCAAGAATCAAATATGTCTTCGTCAACCTCCTTTGCAAGGTCATTGTTCGCTCTAAATCAACGAAGGACAGCCAGGCCCACGTTCACTATGACAGTAAGCAACCTCAAAGACATTTTCTTCACTCTACTCAACCAAACTTCCTTTCCCTCTCCATTACACATCACAGGTTTCTTAGCCTCCGCATGTTCTACACTCCAGCATCATCAACTCAACCTCCAAGCCAAAGATCATTTCCTCGACTTCGCTGTGGTTGGGGAACCCTCACAGTACTATGCAGCTGAAAACTCATGATACTCGCCCTGCATCACACATTCCCACCACACTCAACGACCAGGAGTTGAGATGAGGAGAGGTTGGAGAGAGGTGAGGAGGAAACAGGAAACGGCTTAGGAAGGGCGGTTTAAAAATGCAAGAGGCAGGAAGTAAGTACCGTTACTTGACAGGCTCCCCCTTCATGTCCTCTCAGCTCAGTGCATTGCTACCAACTCCCACATCCTACCTTCTGATGCATTTATCAACCTCTACTAGCCCTTGCGCTCGATTCACTGGCAGGCATGTACAGCAAAATGGGGCCAAGACAGGTCGGCTGTCCCGTTAACCATAACCTGATTTCAGTACTGACAGCTGGTTGCAGACACCTGTACGTGTTATACTGCTTGTATCGGCGCCAGGTGACACTGGGAAACCTCGACAGGCCATCTCCTGATGATCTGATCCTGAATGGTAGCACTCAGAAGAATGCCCTCCCATCGTAAATACCTTGCCCAATCCAACAGACTCCTCCTCCATGCCCTAGAACTCATGTATGTCTTCCATGTGATCACACATGCGCCTTGTGAGGTTATCACATGGGAGATGATTCCTGCTGTTGGGGGTGCTTAGAGGAGCTTGGGCTTTTGCTTTCATCTGGTGCGAGTGAGGGTGCATAGGGGGGTGCAGCGGGCACGGGTGATGGTAAGGTGAGTGCTGGTGGGTGATGGTGTGTGGGTTGCATCTTGTATTGGGTTGTTGGTTTTGGATGGATGTTAGTGTGTTGTTGATCTCGAGGATCATTTTCCTGAAGCTCCAAGATATCCCCTTGTCTATCCCCTCTTCTAACATGCATTCCCTATGCTCCATTAAATATAACCTCACTGACACACATCCCCCCAGGACCCAGATGCTGAACTTGAGCCTGATGAAAAAATTCCCTTCTCACCACAAGACACAAGCACATACTCGGAGCACACGTTCCACGCTGTCTTTGAGTACGGACCAAACATTGAGTTGGATCATTATATCGTGTATTATGCGCATGAGTGGGTTGTTCTTGTTTATTTTTTGGTTGTGGGTGGGTGATGAAGTGGCTAGTAGTGTTTGTGATTTTGCTGTGGTTAGCTATACTTTATTTTACTCCCGTTCCGTTTGGTACCCTTCCTTGCTGACTTTTTCTCTCTCGTAGACTTTGAGTACAGAAGGCTACTAGCCCAATCAGGCGACAAGGATGGTGTGAGGACACACTGGTTTTATCTTGTGATGTCAGGAAAGCTGCTCGATGTGAACGCTGCAGGACAAAAGGTACGTCAACACACACATGCTGCTTTATTTCATGTCGTCCCTCTTCCCTCTACTATGTTATTTGGGGGAACAGGACTATAGTCCAGTGTCAGTTGCTATTGTATTGTGTAAACTAATGAGTGTACTATACCTATAGTCCAGTGTCAGTTGCTAAAGAGCAACCAACACAGGACTTGCTACCTATGGGCGAGTCTATGTAAACAAGTGTAAACACTGCCTAAGTAAGTAAGGAATTCACATCACATGCTAATTGAGAGTCCAATAGAGGAAGCAACATCATAACACAAATAACTCACACCATAAGGTGCTCAATCACCACAACTAACACTTTACTGACGAATGTCTCGTTTCTAGATTAAATATAGTGTAGAGGTATGAAATACTATCCTAGAGCTATACAAGCAAGACTAACTCAATCTTTGCCTTTATCTTACCACTACAGAACATGCTTCACATGAGGACGAACACAGCACTAGAAGCATTAGACCAGAATCGGCTTTTATGATACCTGGACTCATTGACCGGGCACCACGCTGATCTCATATATCCATTCGTATGTCTATCATGCTGTCTTCTGCATGCATGCCAGTGGTTTACTTGCAGTCAGTGCCTGATACCTACCTGCATACATACATATTATTTGCTTATACATGCGTGGCTGTAGTACTTGGTAGTACTCCACTGGACAATTGCTGGAGATTATGGTCAAAGCGGCTGTGCCCCTGTGCCCATGACAATCTTCATCTGAACAATTATCACCGCCCCTTTTTGCTCACAGTTATGTTGTTTTCTCTGATTCTCGACTATTTTGACCAACAGAGTAATGTGACTATACTTGATTCTTTTGTTCTTTTCAACCTTCGCCAAAAATGTCGTTGACTCGTTATTGGGTTGCTCAGAAGAGTCACAACAGGTGCGTTGTCCACCGACTCAAACATTTGCTGACTGCCACTGATCATCTTTTTTGACGAACGCCCTGCACCATTCATCGATCACGAGGCTGGTATCCTCCGTGACTCCAAGACTGGTTGGCTGATTAGTAATGGTAGTACTATGGATCGGACGAATCAGGGGAGCAACTACGAGGACACGATGTGTGAGCCATTTGGCTATATGCAGCTTTTCATTAGCTTGTTAATACTAGTTATTTTTGTTAGCCAGATATTTGTTCTTTGATAGTGGTGATATCAATCTGCTTGGTGGTGTAAGTTTGATTATTTTCAGCCAGCCAATTACAGTGTACAGAAGGTCACTTGTCACATTGATCTCTACTTATAGGATGTGTATCAAAATGACATGTCCCTAGCATAGTCATATATTTTTTCATACACTTGTCACATACTTATAAGATGTGTATCAAGATGGGATGCCCCTAGTATAGCTATATATTCTTTCATACATATGTTGCATACTTGTAAAATGTGTATCAAAATGAGATCCCCCTAGCAGAGCTATATATTCTTTCATACACATGTTGTGCAAAGATAATAATGTGTAATTTTAGATCTAGGTGTATCATAATTTCGTACACTTGTCAGCTCTACCTGGTCATATCAATTCCGGGTTGATTTCCTGATGATATAGTCACATCTAAGCCAAGACTCGTAACCTTTGGTTTGGACTTTCTCTACGAAGGTCGTGATCGGTTCCTCTAACACTCAATCAAGGCAACCATCACACACTATTTGCTGTGATTGTGGCGGAACTGTGAAGTCTGTGGCTTGCTATCATGTAAACACAAATTTCGTACTTTCTGTGGAAGAATTTAATTTACTGATGTTCGATGCCGATATCCAGTTGTTCAACTGCCTCTGCTCAAATTGCCACCAACTCATTCAGGATTGTTCCCATTGGTATTCTTCATGCACGCTGTTCTTCTATTGATTGCAACTGTTGTACTGCTTCGCGTCTCTGTTTATGCACTAGATGTCTCTTTGCATTTGCCTGTACTGTATTAGCTCAATGCTGCATTATAATTGGACAATTCTAGTGACTGCGTCAGTCTTTTCCAGTGATGGCCTCGATCTTTTCTAGTGATGTTCTTCCTGTATGTTTAGCAATATATTCAATTGAAAATCAACGGAGACTCCGCGGAAATTTACGTATGTCAAGTTGGTCCTTTCAGTGATATAGAAATCACTAGATTTGAGTGAGCGACACACTAAATTCAAGTAGGCATCCGCTACGGGAATCCAGTGATTCCATTCACTGAATTTCCGTGAGTGTACTACCTGGCAGTATCCCAGGGTGATGTAAAGGTTATGCCATCACATTATGTCGTCATCAACATGAAATGTACATTAAAAACATTCCGGTATAAATGCATAGCTATAGTTTCCAAGCGAGCCTGTTCTGCACGGCATTTGCAGAAATCTGTATAGACCGTGACCCTCCTCCACCGGCCAGTTCAAGATCCTTCGTCCCCTCAAAACATTGGATCAAATCCTTGACGCTACCACCGCTACTCCGTCTGGCCCGGCGATCACCTGCGGATAAATGTTGGAGAGGCTCCGGTGATATGTGACGGAGCTCTATGAGGCGCTTTGGCTTGTTTTTGCGCAGCTGCACACGCTTCTGCAGGGGTGTGGTATGGTGAAGATTCACAAGATCCCTGTGCGGTTTCTGCTGCTCCGAACGTTTCCGCGCTGGCGTCATAACGGGTTTGCGACGGTCTAGGATATCTGTGGGAGGAGGCGGTAAGGGAGGACGGTCTTTGATGGGGTGGTCGTCAGGTTTGATATGTACACGGCGAGGGAGAAACGATGTCCATGTTGGAAGTATGGAAAAGAAACCTGTCTTTTCCGCTAGATGATTTGATGGTACAATGGTCGGTTGAGACCTAGCTGCGCAAGATGGTGTAGATATGGGAACATTCGTTGTGTCAATAGCACTGGCTTCGTCGAAGAGGTCGCGGTACCGCGGTATGTGCGAGACCGGCGTAGAGGTGATATTCGCAGGCGTGGACACATCCGGAGACATGAAACTTGTAAAAGATAGTGTTGAGAGATCGTCTCGCGCAGCCCGCTTTTTGATGAGGACGTCTACTCTCGCTAACAGGTTCTCCCTGAGTACGCGTCAACCGCCCAAAGCAGCGGAAATTGTAAGGAAGTACGAACCAACTCCAGGGAGGACCCAGCTCCGTCACGACATCATAACCTCCAGCAAGACATGTGAATCGCATCGCTACCGCCTCCCTGTTGACCTCCTCCGGCGCAACAATCACTCCGTTGACGTGGCACTCCTCAAAAAAACATCTATCCAAAAGCTTCCAGTCTTCACGCCTCCACTCTCCCGCCTTGGGGTTGTACTGAGGTTGGGGGAATGTCGCAATCAAAGGATGGGAGGCTCGCTCCCCAGTGTGAGCGAGACTGACCTGAAGAGGGGTTTTTATAGGTGTGTGTTGCTCAATGAACGTCCTGTCCTGCATGATATCTTCGACATCGCACCACGGCGTCTCATCTCCCCTATGAATTGCTCGCTGTCTCTGCATAGTGCTGCGGCGTTTCCCGATGCCTGCACCAATGAAAGTTGTGCGAGGCTTGCGGACAGCGCGCTTAGAAGAAGCCAGTACGCAGTCGTAATCGTGCTGAGTGGGTCAAAAAACTTTAGCTCCTGGAATGACGGGAGGGATACCTACTAATTTCAAAATCGCTGCGGCTCTTGCTGCGGCCTTTGGGTCACTACCTGTGATTCGTACGACATTGCTTTCAACATCAACGTCTGAATCCTCACTCTCTTCAGCGCCGATATGAACATCATTGGTTGGCGGATCGCTTGATAGATCGTCCGACACAGGTGGCACCTCCACAACGTCCTCGAACACGCTCTCGATATCCAATGCATCCAAAATATTTCCCTCCATGCCCTCATCCTCTGCAACTTCCATATCCTCTGGATCAGGCAAGCTCCTGTCCAGTCGTGCCTCATACGGAAATGGGCTCACTGGCCGCCCCCACTCCTCCATGCGTGCCCTTGTCCCACTCGTCGGTGGATCCGCCTTCGTTGGCACGTGGAACATCTTGAAACGCCCCGTATACTCGCCCTCGCCTTCCGAATCGGTGTCTGTCCACGCGGGGGACTGGGTATCCCGAGCATTGGCATGTCTGCTGGTGGGATACAGTGGCGAGCTTGAGAAGACAGGGGTCACTCTCGACCTGATTGTTCGCCGTGCACGTCTTGCACTCAACAAAAGCGGGTCCTCAGTCGGGCTGGGGGGTCTAATGGCACTCAAGTCAATCTCTGGTGGCTCCCTCTTTACGCTGGTCTGCCTCGTTCCATTCTTGCGCGGTGCATGTGACGGCTATTCATTCATAAGCAAACATGTACATATTACACCTCAAAACACTTACCGTCACACTCTTCTTTTTCGGAGTCTTCAGCATTCGTCTAAGTCTCACATTCGACCTCACGGTCCAACTTGATCTGCACGGTTCGCATCGCACGTGACTACATGCAGTGATTGATTACGTCACAAACTGTGTACTTAGCCAACCAAATGCACGTACATACTCGGTACTCAATAGACTAGAATGAATACTAAGTAGTAGAAATGATATTGCTCGCAGAGTAGAGTTGGAGTAGAGTACGTGGTCATGAAGGTCATTAATGTCATGAGAGGTCGTGAGCTGTCATCTAAGAGGCAATAACAAAGGAGGGAAGACGGACGAAAATCGAAAGTGAAAGAGAGCTCTCTCGACGGTCACTAGCGCGATATAACGCTTTCGCTCTGCCCTCTCTGTCGGCCACTGAAGTCTCCTGATTGCGATGAATGTTTTGCGCCCAGTGACGAATCATCGTTCGCACGAGAGAAGAAGTCATCCTCGCCCTCATATGGAGAAGTTCCCGAATTTATCTGTGCCACACCATTCGATGAGTATTCCACACACTTAATTGACTGATGGGGGAGACGGTCCTATGAGTCTAGAAGACTCACCCACTGCTTGAGAACATCTGCTACGCGACTCGCTTCCTCGATGTTAAAGGTCACATCGGTCCCCTTCTCGGCATGGAGCCGCATGAGCTCACTTAACGACCTGCCTTTCCCACTCCCGTTTACCCCAGGTGTGCTGCAGTCGTCCTGCGCACCTTCCCCAGGAAAGATAACAGAATTTCGTGGTACTTGCGTCTGAGGCACGATAATATCACTTTCTGAGCGGTCCCAGTCCTCATTCAGGTTCAGCGAGAAGCTGCTCATCGTGAAACTCTCTTTTGATGACATAGTTTAACGATAGCCCCGATTCTTAGTAGCACAGTAAGGAAGCAGGGTGAGGCGGGCAGACGAAGTAGGGTGGAATATTTTGTGCCAGTCTACCTGAGAAAGCCTACTATACTTACTCACTAAAAGATCCGTTCTGGGATGCGGAGTAGTCCGACGGAACTGGCCAGATTAGGAAGTATCGCCGACAAGCAAACTCGACAGACAAATCTCAGATCAAGTACCTTCAAGTTCAAGCTTATACCACATCAAACCTCCTACATGTTGCGTCTGTGCCGCGTCAAGCCAACGTCAAGGACACTCGGTGTCAGCTACCCCGCGCCAAGTAATGCTCGTCCAGACAACAAGGTGTCTGCTTCCATGCTAACAGATCTAGAATTAGACGTAACTTCAAGTTCAGTCAACATCACAGGCGGTAGAATCTGCCGTTTCTAGTGACTATATACTTGGTTCTAATATCTCGTCATTGAATTAGTCAACAGCCAATCAACAGCCATATTTTTGAGCATTTCTCAGAATTTGTTCCTTGCCCTCACCTTTCATGGGATCGATTTTCCCTGGGCCCTCCGACGCTCTCGCTATCGCTGGCTGATCCTCACAATATGCGCCTCCGCAAGTCCGCGAGACTAATGAAGTGAGTCTGATTTGAATATCGCCCAGTGCTCTTTAAATTGGCCATGGGTTATGGTACTGTAACCGAGTGGCGATACCTGATTATTCGCTTCCCAATTCTCACAACTACTACTTACCATGGCTACAGAGGGCATTAACTCAGTAATCGCTGTCCCGGCTATGACACAGCTGAAGGGAAGCTACTTCCGAGTGGGTGCAATCATATCTATTTGACTTACAACAATAGATCTGTGTATCAGGTAGGCACGCTTTGCCTTGTGATTGGCACGAGAAACCTAGAGGACCTCACATTTTCAGAAAGGGTTGTTTAACTTCATGATTATGTAATTCTAGACACTCGTGTATTTCGTATTTCATTGTGGGAGAACAATAATAGTAAATTTAGCATTATTCATTACCTAATGTAGTGTGCATATGTGTAAGTACTGTTGAATTCGATCTTCTCCTCAGCTTCAAGTTTTCCTCGTAATAATCATGTTCCTACCTACCCTCGTCTCTCTTTTTTTCTTCTCTTCGGCAACAGTCCGAGCATCTCCATGCGTCGCTTTTGACACCAACTGGAACCTTCTTGCTTTCGGCCTCGACGGCAAAGACTGGAACGCGGGTACCCAAGACACCTGGTCCAGCAGTCAGTTTCCTGTTGTTACCAGACCTAAATACTTAACATTTTATCGATGTAGGCACTGCGGCCACAGACATTACAACCTCTAACCGACCGTCAGTCCTCTTCTTCACCCATGTATTGCGCTTACATTTTCTTTCATAGGCCATTCGATGCTGCTAACACTACGTGCTACCTCTCACAGGCAAGCATACACCATTGCAGTTTTCAATAGCGGGCTAATTTCTCGTTGACAGTATGCCAACGCCATCTATGCGATCAACGCCGACTCCAAGAATCCTTCCTCTCTTTATATCTACGACGCGACCGCAAAATCATGGTCCATGCAGACAGTCAATGCTGGTTCTTTCGACTACACATCTTTCGGTGCTATTCTAGACCATGACACGAACGTCTTCTGTAAGTTGCCGTCATGTTCACCCACCTTTTTTTAATTTTATTGACATGCCACTGCAGATGCCTTGTCACATGGAAACCTCTTCTCCCTAGACATGGGCTTACTCAAAGCAGCCAATAGCACCCCTTTGAATTGGATTAACGATGAACAAGCACCTTACCCCTCGAACTACATACCAGTCATGGCTCTTGCGCAAAATCACATTCACTTTCTCGACGTCCCCAGTGTCGCTGCTGGGAGTGCAGACATCTTCGTCATTCATTGTACGTTCTATAACCATGTATCACCAAGTGAAGAGACACTAATAGTAAGACCAGACTCCTACTTCCAACCGCAAGCCCAGGCTTACCCACTCCCGAATGGGAGCGCATTCCCTGCCACTTATGGGTATGCCACCTCATTCTTCCAGGCAGATAACACAGTGAGTCCTGCACTTCCCTTCTTGAGAAACATTCACGTGTAGTTGGTAGGTTCAGCAAGAGTTTGCCTTTATTCCTGAAGATTTCTCCGCAACGTACATAATCAATGTTGAGGTACAGTCCTTCATCTTTATTTAACTCGACTTACCCTCACTAACGAATCTTCAGACGAACACCACCCAGGCTCTGGCAGCGCCCACTACCAAAGACACCAAAGCGACATACTTTGCTGGCATCACAGCCCTCGTGCAGCTCTCGAGCAATGGTGCCGTGTCTTACCTCCCTTACCTTGAGGGTAACACGAGCACGAACCCCGCTGCGACATGGGCCTCTGTGAGCAACCTCGCAGCAGCTGCCCCGCCATCCTCTTCAAGTACTAGCGGGTCCAATGGCAGTACTAGTGCCTCTGGCTCACAAAGTGCGACCAGTCCAAGCAGCACCACATCTGGAGCAACTGTGGGCGCAAGCATACAATACAGCATGCTCATCGCTTGTGTCTTGTGTGTCGTTGCGTTTGCAGTGTAAATACTATTCTTTGTTCCGAATAGTGATCGTACATTTTCATACGGACTCTTGGTGTTATCCACTTCATGATCTAACATAGCGGACGGTTTTTTGAGAGTAGACTACTTAACGACCTCGCAATGATTTGTCTAAAGTTGTTATTGCCTGGCAATCTTATGTCCGCTCTTCTGGGTGTTGTGTCGTGAGGTGGATATGCTCTTTATTCTGGAGAATTGCATCATGTCCCCCAAGGTTTGTTATGTCTGGTGGGATCAAGTAGGGATTCCACGCAATTGTTTCTAGGGCTTCTAATACTCTCAATGGTAAGTAGCAAAGGTAATACAGCTGGTGTAAATGACTGCATCGCAGGTATGTCGTCGGTAGAATACAGTCTCTCCTCCCCAAGTGGTGAGATAGCGAGATTGCATTATAAGGCGAAGTGCTCCTACAATTTTGCAGGAAGTTGAGCGGTGACATCAAATCATAATAATGTGACGCACCCGGAAATATCTCCCTCTCAATTGCACCGTTGGCACGGCAAGTAAAAATAATCCTATCACAATCCTGCCATGGGGTTAAAATCTGTTGTGAGTCAGTCTGGTGTGTACATACGCTGCTTCAACACCAAATGTCTCGATTCCACCTGATTTTGTCGCCCATGGGACTTGAAAGTATGCTACGCTGAAGCCTGTAAATAGTCATGACGCGGGTCAAAAAGTAGATGGGAAACAATGCAACGATGATGGTGCCTACCACCGAGCGTGCGCGCCAGGTTGATCAGTGCACTAATTTCTCCCTGATGCCGCGGGAAGCAATCGTTGCAATACGCATCTAATGAAATGAGTCAGCAACTTGACTAGTATCGGCATTTGATAGTGCGACTCACAGACTGCGACTGTATTCACCATGACCGCCACTTCTGCTATCCCCCACCCTAAGATAAGTGCAGCTATATTCAAATGCTGGATACCGGCTCCCAATGTCAAGAAGCCACAGATGTACAGTGGCATTGCTGCATAACATGCCCTGCAGCACGCATGTCCTATCGGTAGCTGCTTGGTGATAACCGATATTATACACCCACCATAACCGACTCTCAGCCTCGAATATACCCTTATTCTTCCGAACGGTGAGGTTCATAATCCGGTCGTTCAGGAATCGCCCACCCAACTCTCCTAGAATCACCGCTAACTAGCATGACATGAACACATGAGCATCCCCTGGTAACAGTAAGACTCACAATCGGAGTCGCGTATGCGCCAGCAACCGCAAATTCGCTGAACCCAAACCCGACCGGAGGAGGGGAGCCCAGAAAAACGACATTCGTCACCTATCATCCTTAACACTCAAAGGACGCTTAAGCAACAAAGCAACACACGTTGATCCCAACTGAGAATCCGAAAACTAAGGCCTTGAATGTACATGAGTGGGAATGGTATGTTGGCAGGGCTGATTTTGCGCTCACCTCAAAAAACGCAACCAAGATAAACTGCGGTCTCCAGATAACGTTCAAACATGCCCATACCACCTCCGGCCAGCTTGATCGATACTTGGCCATCTTATACCCCGTGACTCCAATCAGGGTCTCAAATCGATATTGTAGCCCTGGCAATGCCCGTTGTGGGTCAGGATCCAGATGGCGGTCATACATCCTAATCATGACATCGCATTTTACAAAAATGCAGTGTGGAGCATAAACTCACGTTTCTTCCATGAACAGACCGATCAGAAGAACGACGACGGCACTGTAGAGCGATCCAATCCCATAGGCCCACCGCCAGCTGTCCGTGCATCAGTGACTGTTTATCTCGAAGAGAAGGGTAGACTCGCCTCGTACGCGCCACAAGGAAGCCAAAAGCGAATGGCGATAAGAATGGTGATCTATAGTAGGTCATGAATGCCGTTAAATGCTGATGAACATATTAGTAACGTGCATGATGAATCCAAAGGTCCAAATATTCAATTTTCGAGCTTGTAGATGAAATGGAAATATGTCAGCGACCACATATAGGCCCTTGATGCAAAGTTAGATGATGGTAGTATGGACGAAGGCATGCGATACGCACCGTAACCTGAGGGCAAGTCCTGGTTATCGTGAGTATGGTTGCTAATGGAGAAGTTCGGATCAGGTGCGCACCCAAAAAATGCTGTCAAACAGCGCATTGCTTTCAAATGAAAAGTATCGGCATCAAGTATATTCCCCACATACAAATTCTTACCTGTGAAGGTAGCCAGGTCCGGTGAAAAGGTAGCTCCGACAAGGAAGGCAAGCGCCAAAACCTACAATCTATGTAATTCCAGCATCACAAGATGATCTCAAAGAGACGCGTACCTGTGTCCAAAACAGCACGGGAAGGCGACCGTATCGTCGCATGAGCATTACCCAAAAGATCCCACCCCATCCTTGTGGGAGGAAGAATCAGCCGGTCTGTGGGATTTTATCACTTGAAAGCAGCCAAACCTAGCAGGAAGATGCTCCAACTGTTGGTTGTTATCAATAGTTCCCTTCACTGATTTGAATGCAAGGCTGCGCACTTAGACGTAAGGTTGTTGATGACACCTGTTGTTGTATTATATGTCTGTGCCAATCCAAAGATCGAAGCAATTCCTAGCGATATTGTCAGACGCTATGATAAGCAGTGTGACGTAGACGCACCAATTCCTGAGTCAAAGTCAGGTATGCTAGCTGCCAGCGTGATAATCAGAAGGTGCAGCGCTTTACGCCGATCACTCCACTGCCTCAAACGTTAGCTCTCATCTCGCAGTAAGATATCAATCCTTAACAACCATGTTCTCACATTCTGTGGGTCATTCGGATCGTCGGCAGGTTGTGGCCAGAGAATCGTAGAGCCGTCGGGACTCAATTTAAGTGTCGAGGCCAATGCCTCGCCAAACTCGACCTTTGCCTGTCTAAAGTAGGTGTGTTCTTAGTCCTGGATTCACTGCCAAAGGCTGAGACTGTCATTGAATCACATACTGAGGATCGACTACCAAACGACCGGCAGCGTGTTCGTAGTAAGAGAGGGGGTCGAATTTCTCCGCGACCTCGACATCGCCTTTCTCGAGGCGTTCTCCCAGCTGGAACATTGTGGTTCAGAGTCAGGGAGGTGTTCTCACTTACGACCGCATGAAGGGTTTATATCCCATATTATGATAATCGGTTCGCATGCATGGGCCCTGGGATATCGATGGATAAGTACATTTTGCCAAGACGTAACTAGACGGTTCCGGAATCAGATACCAGGGGTAATTATTTCCAGCCTAATTATAAGTAAGTGTGGAGTTCCAGACCCGAGCATACGTGAGAAATTTATTTATGGCTTCTTCAACACAAGATCGCGAGGACATGGATGATACTGGCTTCATTGCACTCTCTACTCGTCTACGTCGGCGCATAGATAATGCATTCGATAGCGCTGCTGCAAGCGCGTCAGGACCATCAAATCTGCCTCGAAAGAAGCGTAAGCTTGACTCAGCTCAGCCCACTAGATTCGCTCCTGTGGAAGACGTATCACCAGGAGGATTCTTGATAGAGGATGCAGGAGGTTTTATACTTGATGACCGCACTCCGTCTCCATCTCCGGATCCAGTCTCCATATCACTTTCATCTGTCCCAGCTGCGCTCCAACGTCTTGGCCTCCCTCCAGATGATGAAGAGGTTCTTTCTGTGTTTCAAAATGCTGCGTCAGGCTGGGGAGCAGGCTTGGACGGATCGAGTGAAGTCAACCGGAAGGAGTGGCGAGCTGTATGTGCTGCTCTCCTAGAGGCAGAAGATGGGGAAGAGAGTGATGATGGCAGGCCTGCTTCTGTTCATTCCGAAACGGCAGCACTCAGTGGCCAAGAGGAAGATGGTGGCCCGGACAGTGACGAATATCGCATGTCCGTCGATGAGGACGCCAGTGAACCAGAAGCATCTGATGAGGAATCTCAAGATGACGGACCTGCTGTTTCCAGATCGCACAAACCCCGAAACTCATCCGAGTCAGCGATCACCGACGCAAGACTTGGTGCTGGTCAATTGAGCGCGAAACAAAAGGCCGAATGTCGAGAAGACTTCGCGAGGTTCTTTCCTGATGTGCCTGACACTGAGCTGGACCGTCAGAAGATCATGATCAAAGATATCACCCGCGTTGCAAATGTGCTCAAGGAGAAGATCAAGGCTGAGGAAGTAAGTCAATATCTTATCGATCGGTGGCCCACGTTAACAGAATTTCCCTTCAGATTATTGAAATGCTGGAGGCATTCACCAGTTCACCAGATAAATCCATAAGTCTTCAAGACTTTGAAAGAATGATGATAGCAACAAAGCTCATAAGGTATGGGCAATAATAAACAAAGCCTAGTGGTAAAGCTCTACAAGTGGAAGAGTAGCGTGCTACAGTACCGTGTTCATCTGAGTGGCAGATATCATCCTAAGGCCCTGCTGTGCCATAGTTTGCAGGAGCGCCAAAACCTTGATTGAGAGGCTGGTAATGTCCGTTGCCGATGTCTGTTACACCATAGGTCTCAGCTGCAGTGCACAAAATGGCAGGCAAAGTACGTACAATGGAATCCTCCATGACCATATCTTTCTTCGGCTTGCATCTTCTTGTAGATGAGCCAAAAGGCGTGCTGTGATAAGGAAGCTATCAGTCAGAGTCCAGCTCTTCACGATAGTGACCGACGCACAATATGTCCGGGAATATATCCCAGGCTAAGTATACCGGTGGTCAGCCCGCGTCAAGATCACGGAACTGATGACAAGCTCACATAGTCAAACAAATATTTATGAGCAAGTCACAGCTGCAGCCAGTGATGAAAGCAGCAGCAGCTGGTGGAAAAATGATAGCAACCTGTTCAGTGATTCAGTTCCTGTGCATGTACAGCGTTGTAGGTACGAACAAGGATTAGAAGGACGTCAGAACCTTTGACCATAGTGGTAAGCGAGCAAGAGGTTGAGTTGATGGGTCTGCAGTGGAGTAAGGCCAAGTTAAGGCTTATATGCGTGTGGTGCGCGCAGCCGCAGCGACAATTCCACACCCGTGACCTCATCAGGTTATAAATAGCATGATCAGGATCTAGAGTACGACAAGTTGACAACTACTCTTTGCACCACATGCACAGATGTCAAACAGAACAGCGTCCGTTGAGATATCTAGTCAAAGGGAGAGAAAGGCAATTATGACAATGCAGAGCCCAATAATCATTTAGTTTATAGACGGGATAGCTCGTGTACCAGAACGATGATAACTGCAGGAAAACGAACAACTGTGTATGAAAGCCAGCCAGGATGTGAAAGGACGATTGAACGATGATATGATATGCGAGGATGATACTGCCGTGAAGAAAACATTACTGTGTAAGCATGCATATGAAGCAAAAATGTTAGCGATGGAGAAACACGAGGATACAGACCGACCATCCTGATGTGATAAAGAATATGTAAAATCAATAGGATCACCTGTCCGCGGACGCACTGAAATGTGCGCGCGGGTAAGGGTATGAACTTCCTTCGAGAACGAGTTTTAAAGAGTCACTGAACGCAATTCCAGGGATTAAGTGCTTTCCGATGCTGCTGGCGCCCAGGAGCCTTCCGCTTCTTCGCCAATGACGAAGACGATGTCTTCTTCATCGTCATCCTCCGCATATGTATCACCCTCTTCTTCTATCTCACTATCCTGAACTTGAGCATAAGCAGCTTGAGGCTCTTTTGTCTCGGATTCGACCGGATAACACACGATGCTCCTCGGAGCATTGGGCAAGACGAACTGCTTCCACTGCTCCGTGGCCATCCGAACATATTCGCCCTTGACCTCAGTCAAGCTGGACAGGTTGAGCACGTCGCGCACGAGCAGCTCCTCTGTGGTAAGCTTCCTCACCCTGTTGAAGGAGGCTATCAGTGAAATGGGTATCCATCCCTGATCATCCATCTGTGTAACATGTCGGTACTTGTCTGAAACATGATATTCGCATCGAATTGAACTCACCCGCTGCCGGAGGTAGAAGTCCTGTGCCATGTTCTGAGGGCTTAGATAGTACTCCAACTGGCCAAGAAGACACGACCGTGTCGGATCCAGAGGGAATGGCAATGCCGACTGTGGCATAGGGATGGGAGGTGCGCTGTTCACAGGTATGGTGACTGGAACGGGGTGGTACAGTTCGTAGTCGGGAGGTGTATAAGATGGTATGTGCGGAACGTAACCATTCATATATTCGGCACCGGGGGGCAGTAAAGGATTAAACTGTGGAGGCGGCGTGAGAGATATCGAAGATCGTTGTTGGTGGTGGTAACCTCCACGGCCAGGATGTCGGCCTTGATAGCGACCACCAAATCCTCGAGCTCGTCGACCCCCATAACCGCCCCGCTCGTGTGGCACATAGGTGCTAGCCCAGGAGCCTCGACGGGGTCGCCCACGTCCAGAATCTCTAACTTGGTCCCACGCCTCCGTTTCTTCATGTGCTTCCTGCCACGTGTGCGAGGTAAAGGCCTCCTGTACTTCGAGCTGTTGCTCCCGTTCCTTCTGCAGCTGTATCTGCGCCCGCTCCTTCTGCCACTCCAGCTGTCGCTGCATCTCCCGAGCTTCCCTGGCGCGGCGAATAATGTCAGTGGCATTATCTGTGCCGCTCACGTCGCCGAATCCATATCCATAGTCCTTGACCTCCCAGACGTCGCTCGTAGCAGAACCATCCTCAGAGTTCAGGATTGACGGTCCGGCTTGTGACGTATCGATTGGCGGGGTGACAAGTTTCTCGTTCCTGGAAAGTTGTGTTGCGGACGTCGCGACAGGTGAATGCTGGCCAGGTAGAGTAGCAACTGGTTGCGCAGGTTCGGCAGGGGGAGGTGGACGATCAGATGACGCGCTCCGTGAATCCTCCGACGGACCACCCTCATTCAGACTGTGATACTTCGATGTCGTTCCAAACACCCACTTCTTACTAGGGGCTGCAGCGTCTTCCCCAGCAGCAGTATTTGGTCGTTCATCAACCACCTTTTGCCCTTCCTGAGGCGCATCATCGGTTGCGTTCGCATTGTCCGTAGATTCCGCTACGGGACTCGCAGGGGGCCTTGAGAGACTTTTAGTCGATTGTTTTCTATTGCTTTGACGAGATGGCACTGGTTCGCCGGGCGTAATGCCGATGGCAAAGCCAGAGAACTGTTCCACTACTCGGTCGATGGACTCCTTCCCAGGAGCCTTCTTTTCGTTCGGTGCCTGATCGATGCTCCCAAACACCATATGTCGTGGAACCATAGCAGGAGGCGAAGGTGAGTCTTGCGAGCTCTCAGGCTGACGCACACTCTGTGGCACACCCTGCGTGGGCCGAGTGTTCGGTAATGGCTCAGTTGTGCCTGGAAACGGTGGATTGATGAATGGAAGATGCATCGGCGAGGGCACAGTATATTCATCCTGCAGGAACGGGGAAGGATAGCCAGGAACGGGGCGGGGGTGGATTGGGGGAACGTACCCATCCCACGGTATCTGCGAATGGCAGTATCCGCATCTCGCTGTGTATGGAGGATATACCGGGTATGGCGGAGTACCAGCTCCAGAGGGAGGGCGCGAACCCGCGTATGTAGGAGAGGCGTGCCCTGTAATAGGACTTGGGTAGCTCTGGTTGGGCAGAACGTACGGATGTCGAATGGCCGGAGGTAGCGGCGACAGGCATGCAGGATGGAGTGGTGCGTCAATAGTGGGTGGCATGGGCGGAGATCTGAAATAATGTGATGCAATATCGGTAGGAGGATGAGAAAAACTGTGATGATGATGGTGGTATGCAGTCCTCTCTGAGACCCTTGAATTCATACGCGGTGGATTATAGGGAATCTTTGGAACCTCAGGACGAAGGTCATATACTACATTCGGATCATCATCCGGTAGTCTCTTTCCTCGTACTTGTAGCTGAGGACTCGAAGACGAACTCCCAGCTTGACTTTCTACTCGCGAGTAGGGTACCGAGTGCGAACCCGTAGAGTTTATCTCGAATACATTTCTGTTGTTTAGACGAGACATTTGAGCTGATGGTGACCTTGAATCACTTTGATGTCGGGTAGAATCAACGCTATCTGCCGAACATAAATGTGACGAGCACCATGACCTAATCGTCAGCATGGTCTCAACATAGCCAAAAAGGAATTGTAAAGAAGAGAAGCGTAACAATAGGATGCTTAAGAAAGGCAGGGGGTAATCGACAAGGCAAATGACGTACTCTTTCTGGACAGGTCAGCTGAATTTGATGCAACTGGGTGGCCTTCTGACCTTCCGGACTTCTCGACACCGCCATTTTCTCCAATGTCAATAGATGGAGGTTTTACGACCTCTAGCCAACTAGACGAATCACTGTCATTTAATAGATGGATAGACACGGAGGACGAGTGTCGAGAAAGGTGTGAAGGTATGCGCACGACAAAAGGATCATGGGCATCATCGTCTCCATTGAGGGAAATTGCCTGTGATGGACTCGAACGAGATGTGGAAGCTGATGATGTAGTGTTTGGAACATCTAGTGGATGTGGGGAAGTACCCATGACGATGGGTCTTAGCCTGGGATGGACTGAAGGCGCTCCGACAGAAGATGTGACTATTGCCCTTGGCTGTCTCTGAGGTTGGTGTACGTGTGCAAGTGCCATCTGTTCTTTCAAACGTTCTGTCCATACATTCACAGCAGGCGCCGCCTTTGACACGTTGTGGACATTTGGATCTACATGGTTCGTTGACCCATTATAATCCTTCACAGCGTTCTGTGGAGACACCTCGGTGGGTAGTTCTGGAAAATCGGAAGCGCCAGCCTGGTATCTGCCCGTCGCTTCCACCGAACTAAGCGGTTTGGGTAATTGGGGCGTGGCATTCGATGGTGGTGACGCAGAGGAAGATACTCCAGACGCGCCGGGGACGGCTGAACAGTCTCCAAGAGAGTTCCGAACAAGGTTCGGAGAGCGAGGAGAATGAGCCTGTTTTACACGTTCAGCGTAAGAAACTGAAGGGTTGATCAATGGTGCAGGCGCTGAAGAAACCATCTGCCTGTTCGCACAACGTTCCTGGCACGAAATCGATGATTAATAGTTAACTAATTGACTAGCTGAAGAAGTCAATGGTCGGGATATGCTTGGCCTTTTGCAAGGATAACAGATTAGGGCTCAAACGGGTGGTCGAAGTTAATGAAGACCAAGGATATGGAAGGCAGGGGGAGGCGATGAAGGGATACAAGCACGCTCGCCTATACATAATAAATTGACCAATGGCCCCTACACCCATGTCGGTACTTTCCGTTCAACGGCTACTACCGAGCCTCGACTCGACTGAATTCAACCGACCGCGATCGATCATGAGCCTAAGCATCGGATAGCATCATCCGCATCAATCATGATCATTTTCTATGCTTCTTATCCAGACATTGAACAATGAAACTCTTTCCCTGCATCGAGCTCATGATAGCCACCGTATTACCATCTGACCGTAACGGTCATCTATGTTTTCTATCTTGCAATCCGTGTTACGCCCATTCAAACTGGCACTCCCCGTACTCAAACAGATCATAATTCTCCCGCAAACGCCGGTTCGACCACGATCTTAATACTCCCCAGTCTTCTAGAGTGAGGGCATTTCAACATCAGCTGGTGGTGGTGATCAGTGTCACTACTAGCATATTGTCTCTCTAATATGAACAAACATTGGGATAAATATACTATGCACGAGGAGATCTTTACCAGAGAGAAACGGCCCGTGGCAAAAAGGCATCTGGGTGCAATCATTGCCTGCCTGCTCTCGCATGAAGAACTACCCCTTGCCATAACTCTTGGCGCAAATTATGAGAGCTCTCGCACCTATGTATTGCACTCACTTGTGCAGATAGCTTCTGAAAATCCCCAAAAGTAAGTGACATCCTTGAACACATGCTTGTAATGAGGATCACGATCTCATAGTCTTCTTGCTACGAATGGCGGGAAACCCATTCAAGTTTCAGAGGGATGTTTGACGATCACTTACCCCGGGCATCGTATCTCCCAGAGTCGCTCCAATAATCCTAAGCTTTATCAGCTCTTGCACTTAATGCTGTGAGACAATGAACGGGGTTTTTCTCTGCCGTTCACATTAAAAATATGCCAATATGACAATGCAAACGACAGCTTTGGATAAGCCCCAAAGTGCGTAATTAAGCGATCTGGCCAATAACAGAGGCCAGATAGCCAGTTTATACGGGGAGAATAGGCTGGTTCGCGGGCTCATGGTAAGTGCCAAAGACAGGACAAAATCAAATGCATTCAACACACAGTTCCGAAGGCGCGTGAGTTATGAGCAATGTTCGGGATTATGCCGGGCCGGGAGATCGTCAATGCTTATCGCGATCAGTGAAGGCTGGTATGTCGTGGAGATTTCGCGGAGGTTGCGTATTTGATCACGGAGGGTAAGCAGGACATATAAAGTTGACACAACGTTGGTAAGATGGACAACATGACAAGCAAAATGTGCACCACGCCATAGACAGCAGAGACTCAAAAGAGGGGAAAACATCAGCGAGGTGTCAACGACCCAACGTCAACAATGAGTTCCTGCAGTGCACTCACCGGCGTCTCAAGCAAAGCTTAGCTCTGCCCCGATCAGCGAATCTTCCCTGACAGCCCTAGGGTCTGCTAGGTTGCATGTTATCATGATCCGAGACTCAAGTAACAGACAGCAAAAAAGATCATCAAAGTGCGATCTGGGTGTAATTGTGGCTGGGTCTATTGATTTTAGATGGACTGGACGCTCGTCACATCAAATGAACGCAGACTTCTGAGCACCAGAGGTACGAACACGGACGTCTACGTCAGGTTTCGAAATGAAATTGCATCCACCCTGTGGTGTTTAGGCGCAGATCTACCATGACCCAGAAAGTCCGGAACTCATCTGCCAAGCAAAAGGTCTTTGAGGGGCAGTGACCATGATCTGCGATAATTAACGTGCGCAGTCCTTCCGACACACGTGGCCAAGGTACTGATTTGTTGGTGAGCTGAGTGATTTGCGGTTGGAAAATTTACATTCCATCTCAATTCCATCTTATCACCTTTGGAGAAGGGTATGTACTACGGATGCACGTTCACCATTCATCGCAAGGTGTTGCTTCTTTGATCAATACTCTGGCAGGGATATAAATCTAGGTGATTGGAATTTGGAACGATTTCACTCACGCGGCTCACTGAGCACTTCGCATACTTAGTTAAAGTTTCGCCTATGACGGCCGTCGTCTCCGGCCGCGAAGAGTGTAGCGAAACGATTTGCTCAATCACGCCCTAAATGAAGCTGAAGTCCGACGGCGGCGGCTTCATATGCATCCCATGTCCGAAGACCCTGTGCGGTTCCAGTGCATCGACAAGGATGTTCTCGCCTACTATGAGGAGTTATCACTGCATCAGAGACCGGGGTCAAAACAAGAGCAACAATAGTGGCCCTGCCTCAACCCTGCCTATCCTGATTCAACATTGTGAATCAAACACTTACCTAAGGCAACACGCGCGGCCGATACCGCACGGAGGGTGACTGAATGACTCCGAGTCATAAGTATGTGGACATGGCGTTGAACTTAGTACGCCGGCATCAGTAATCGATTGTTCATTGAACAGCGTTCGCGAATCCCTCTGCATTATTTTGCTTACGGTAAGTCATTTATTGTGAGTCGTAACGGCGAGCTTAAAAAAATGAATAGACTGGTGTTTGGAAATGACTGGCAATCACCAATTGACAAGGAAGCGATAGATCTAGAGGAGGAGGAAGATTTACAAATGCTCGTATCAATGGTCATTTCTGGTGCAGAGATGGCAAGGCAGGACCGTGTTTAAGAAAGTCGACCGCCTAGATCTCCCGAGGAAGTGAAAATATCACCACCCTGGCCCGGTAACACTCTGTTGCGAGCGCGGATACAGGGAGGCGCTCGACAAGCAAATAAATCGAGTGAAAATAAAACCACCCTAGACCGGTAACAACCTGTTGTGCCAAGCGTAGAGTAACCCATTGAAGCACTAGACAGCAGTGGACACAAAAAACTTCAAGTGAACATAAAACTACCCTAGACCAGTAACAGTATGTCGTGAACGCAGGATGTCATATTGAAGTGTTAGATATGATATTAAACTTCTCACATGAGCTTTGAGGGATGGGTTGAGCCTTGGGGGGCCAGGGCATGTTGCAACACATTCGAAGCACCAGTGACCGCAGTCGTGGTCGCCAAGTCGAAAGGGTCGTCTATGTCGTTGCTGTTGTATGGAGGTTCACAAAATGATGCGGGTACGACGGAGAACTGAGAGACAAGGTCAATGGGTGCCGTTAACTGCTCGCTATGAACGATTTCAATGGGTAGCGCGGAGGTACATTATGTCAGCCGATATTGCAGGCGTTAGTGGCCTAAAATGGCAAGAAGTTAGAGTCTGCGCTTCACACTGATTTATTCACACGCTGGCCCACATCTAGGCCTGATTCATCCCGAGCAGGCTCTACCAGGTACATAGCCGTCTGACTTAACGACTGAGCCAAGGACGATGATCGCCAAGTCGAGGTCTGCCTTTGAAATTCAACATCCTCATCTCATCTCGATTGGATAGATACGCTACACTATGTAAGATAGGGCACGTTGAGGCCCGTATGGCTTGCCCTGTCCCGACTCCAGTGCACTACAAGAAGCCAAGTCGAAAGTACAGTGAATCTCCCGCCATAGCCCTGCAAGCCCGCAAGGGCCCAGCCTTTCGTCAACCTCGACAAAGAGCGTTGAGACTCTTCCATAATTAACATCCAACCAACAAGGACGTTGAAGGTCCCGTCTCCTCTTATCTAGCGAGGGCACGTTGAGGCCATCATGCAGCAATCGATGCGCTTAATACCTATTGAAGTGGTTTGTCAACGGACGACTACAGAGTTGTATTGGTCTTACCTGTAGTGCGAAGCTTTGTATGGGCCTTGGACAGGGATGTCGAGGTAGCTAGATTGCTCGGAACTGAGCTCAGTCAACTTGACGTTGAGCTGAGCAAGATGAGCACGAGCGACTTCCTCATCCAATTCCTTGGGAAGCATGTGGACGCCGAGGGGGAATTTCTCCGGGGTGGTCCACAGAGCAATTTGGGCCAACACCTGGTTCGTGAAGGAGCAAGACATGACAAAGGACGGGTGGCCGGTGGCACAGCTGGAAAATCATCATAGGTCAATTATGAACAGGAAAATGGAATGTTGAATCAACTAACCCCAAGTTTACAAGACGACCCTCAGCGAGGAGGATGATGTGACGACCAGAAGCCATCGTGAAGCGGTCAACTTGAGGCTTCACATTGATAGCCTGCTTGGCGTTCGCCTTCAACCATGCAACATCAATCTCAACATCGAAGTGGCCAATGCTATTAAAGAGTTAATTCTAATCACCGAGATAATAGATGTTGTACGCACTTGCAAACAATTGCGTCCTCAGGCATGACTAGGAAGTGCTTGCCAGTTATGATATCACGGTTACCAGTAGTAGTGACAAAGACATTGGAGCGCGGAGCAGCATCCTCCATGGTTGTGACCTCGTAACCGGCCATCGCAGCTTGTAGTGCATTGATGGGGTCGATTTCCGTCACCAGAACACGGGCGCCGTACGAGCGCAGAGATTCGGCGCACTAAAACGTGTAACCTTGAATGAGAGCAGGACAAAAATAAAAGAATACTACTCACTCCCTTACCGACATCACCGTAACCAGCGACGACGGCGACCTTACCAGCGAGCATGACGTCAGTGGCACGCTTGATACCATCAACAAGGGATTCCCGGCATCCATAGTAGTTGTCGAACTTGGACTTCGTGACGGAATCGTTGACGTTGATGGCTGGAACCTTCAATTTGCCTTCACGGAAAGCCTTGTACAGGTGGTGGACACCCGTAGTAGTCTCCTCAGAAAGACCTTTGATGTCTTTATCCGGCCAAGTTAGCGGTGTCATGGATCGACATAAGTATCCTTACCCTTGAGGTATTGGGGGTATTTCTCGTGGACAAGGTTGGTAAGATCACCACCGTCATCGAGAATCATGTTCAGCGCCTTGCCACCAGGGAAAGCAGCAACACTCTGTTCGATACACCATTGGTACTCCTCCTCAGTCTCGCCCTTCCAAGCGAAGACAGGAACTCCGGTTGCAGCAATACTATAAAATCAAGGTTAGGATATTGATATCACATGAAGAAAGATACACTTACGCAGCGGCAGCATGGTCCTGGGTCGAGAAGATGTTCTACCAATGGAAGTGAGTTTGCCTGACGATGATCACGTAACCATGGGTACGTACGCAAGACGACCAGGTGACTTCAGCGCCGAGAGCAGTCAATGTCTCAATCAAGACGGCGGTTTGAATAGTCCTGCAGAGAATAAGGACTTCCGCAACAATGAAACATTATTTAAACTCACATGTGCAGACATCCAGCAATCCGAGCGCCAGAAAGAGGCTTAGCAGCGCCGTACTAAAGGAAGGCCATCAAAAAGCGATCCGTTTGCGAGCTCACACGATCTACCTTTTGCCTCATGAACATCAATCCTGGCATTTCATGCTAGAAGACGCGAGATCAGTTTATGAACGATCGCGAAAAGTAGGGGAAAACATATACCTCAGCGATCTCGATCTCCTTGCGACCGAACGCTGCGAGAGAGACATCTACAGGAATTCATGCTCGTTCGGATCAACAAAGCTGAACCAAAATCTTCCTTCATACCTGCTACCTTGAAGACCATTTTAGAGTGTTTCTGAGGAGATGATGGGGGAAGGAAAATGAGTGAAACTAGATAAGAAACTGATCGCAGCGACCTTTTATCTCAAAAACCCACGTGCGCTAATGAAACTTCCATACAAGGTGCGTGGGAGTTCGCTGTTTGAACTCTTGAGAGAAGTTGAAGAACGTCCCCACTCTATCTGACGAGTTCTTCATATTCTCTCTCACAGATCCAGTTCTTTCGGAGTTCATGGCATTACATGAACAATCTGACCAGGTGATGGAGAGAAAGAAGTGTCACCTGTTGGAAATAGGTATGATAAATGTCCTGCAGATACGTCCTTGAATAACCTGCGACTCGTGTCTCCAAGTGCAATATACATGTGAACCAGAAGAACTTCCTAGTGGAGAAGTTCGTCCTCGATGCTTCCCTCTCCCTCGCATCTTTAGGATGTTCGTGTGAACAGTACACCTCAGGGAGTTGATATGATTTGACGTGGCTACGTTTTCAGATGCCCTGACCGTCCGGCCGTGGAAATCACGAAGCTTCTCAAGATTGACCTCAAGACAGGTGAGATTGAAATGCCCCACGAGTCTAGGTTCGTTATCAGACAACGTATCGTGAACTTCTACTTAATCCGTCTAATACAGCGACCTTCTTCCAAAGGGCAAACACTGGCGAGACATACGCCGATACAACTTTGAGACCGAAGTTGGATCAAGTCATTAGCCGATTCCAAGCTTCCAAGACCACACAAGACCTACTCCACAGAGTTTGATACAAGGTTTTACCCAAGACTCACTCAACAACTTGCGATTTACTTTTGGCAACTGTCCCTGAGTGCGTAGTCCTCGGGACTACAGTTCTCTGAATCAGTCGATTTTTTGCATTCAGTGTCATATGAGTTTAGCTGTTGCTATAATTGAATTGACTGCCAGCAGCCCCATTATTATTTTTGCTTCTATGGATACTTCAGGTCATTTCCCATGTTTCAGCTTCTGGTGTGTATTATTGTCAATCGTCGCTTCTGTTCACTCTAGATCACACTCTGACCAATTGCCTATGATATGTTACAGCATCTAGCGCATAGGTCGCAATTACTGTATGCAACATCGGCTCAGCCTGTGGTGTTTCTCATGGCATTGGTGGCCAAAATAATACCCTACATTTTCCAAGATCCAACTAATTCATATACTGTTTATTGAATCAATGTCCTTTAGTCGTTGTGTAAACCAGTTGATTGTTGGACCACGAGCGCGTGCCATTTAACGATTTTCTTCTGTCCGAAGATCGGTGTCAGCTCGGGGTTGCCACATCTGATGCTATTCAATGATCACCGTCGTATCGTTGATTTGTCACGGCAATTCAGGGAGACTTCGCACTTGTTGTCTGGTCGTCCGGGAGATGACGGCGACGACCCGAATGTTAAATTCGTCATACAGGGTCATACTAGGGTTATACGTCGCAGCATCAGGTACGTGCATTCCATGTGCGTTGATTGGGTTTCAAGGATCAGGACACAGAGTTCTGTACAACACACCACTGCAGGTGACCAACTACGACGACTTACTTCCACGCATATAAATAAGTTGTACCTCAAACTTGGCTACCATCCGCAGGTATGATGCAAAACTCCCAACCTATGGCGGGCAGTGTCACTTCAATTCATTCGTCGATGATGCCGTGACCTCCAACTGAAGTCCGGCGTTTATAGCTGGCCATCAAAATATTTGACAGGGCACTTATAATTAGCCTAGCAATAGTAGTCTTTGGAGGTGTGATCAAATGCTCCTGTACAGCCCGTCGCAGATGTTGTGCTTGAAGTCGTCAAGACATGTATGCTGTGAGTTTGTGGTTCAATTGTATCACCCATAGCTTCGCAACTACTAACATTCCGTCGCGACACTCATCCCAAGAGCAAGGTTATTAACCATTTCATTGTCCTGGAGGCTCTGTTCGTTGCTTAACTCGCCGAGGCTCTGGCACCTCTTCCAATCTTTGCCTCGCCCGCTAAAGGTCGCGTGATTAACACTGCCAGGGCCTCATAGGCATGTTTCATACATTTAATCGGCTCGAAGGCGTCCAGGGTGGTCATCCCGTGGATATCAAGTGCGAGGCTATAGAAGACACGCCATTGATCTGGCATTCGCATTCAACCTCCTTTTCAACTACTCAATATCGCACTGTTTCATCCTCCCCTGTTGCCTGTCGGCGTCATTCCTCTCGAGGTGCTCCCCTCAGACCAACGCCCTTTCAATCCTCAAGCCTTCGACAGGCTTACTCAAAAACGGATCTTCGCGAAGTGTCTGATCGCCGCTCCACCATGTCCCATCCTTTTTCTTCGAGGGGAACACCTAGTCGGATGCTTTATGCTCAAACAGATGCCCCTGGTCGGAGGTCTGTGGACAATGACCAACATGTCATGCAGTCACCGCCTTATGCACTGTCAAGTACTTTTGTCCAAGTGAGTCGCCTCTTTCTTGCCTTACTGCGACCATGTTCACAGAACACACTTCATACTCTCACAGTCTCATGGAAGTATGGATATAGGCCCACAAGCGTCTGGCTCCGGCATGACTCCGACTTCAAGTCTATCTGGCGCCGTCGGGGACATAAATATCCCCCCGCAACTATGGAATCCTGCAACCAGATCTCCATATTCAAATACACAAACATCTTGGGTGCCTGGTGCTCACAATATGTCCAATATTCCGCCAAACATGCAACCCCACATTCATTCCACTGTCCCCTACAATACTACTCCTACCACAGATCTTAATACCGCAACCCACCCTAACCAACCGTCCGTCACACCAAGTTCACCGCCATTCGCGCATACGTACCCAAGTCAGATGTCATTCCAACAAGAACGTTCTTCTCAAAATTCTCCCGCCTTTATGCTGGGTCGCCCAGGGTCTCGAATGTCATTCGATCAGTCTCGCCGCTCTCCACAGGATGCCATGGAAGAAGAAAACAAACTCCTTCGAAAGAGGGTGAAAGAGCTTGAGCTAATCAATGAGAAAGGCCGCCAGCGCATCAGAGAGCTCGAAGCTGAATTAGCTGGCCGCAGCATCGCTGACTCTCCAATCCGGCACGCAGAGCCGTCCATGGGTACAATCCCCCCTGCTGTGTTCGGCAGAATGTCCACTCCTCCGGCTGTGCAGGCATCCTGGAAAGCTCGCACGGATGCTCGTATACGGCTTTTCTGTTCGTTGAATCGTGCTGGAAATGCGTTATGCTCCTGGCACGATTCGCGTCGGGAGCGTCGAGCATACCCACCGCGTATGGCTCCTGCTGGCCATCTGAACTGTGGTTGCTCATATGATGAGGCACTTTTCGAGGAAAGCTTGTCTCGTCATGGCGTCGGTAGCTACCATCCCGGAGAGGCCGTCCGCATGGACCCTGCCCTTCGTAACCCTCTACTTAAATTACTGCAGGAGCGATATGGATACAGGGATGGTGACTTCGAAAGACAGCCGGCAACAGGGGATTGGTCAGATGGAGAGGGAAGTGGCTTGTGGGAGCAGAAACTGCTTTCAGGCGCTTCTGGCTCCAGAAAAAGAGGCGAGGATCGTCGATAGTAAGCCTTGAGTATTGTATATATTTATGTTATCTCCATCCACACCATTAATGTACGCCGACCCTGCTTTCGCATTGCATACATACTGTATTCCACATTCTTGCGCACGTCTCCCCGTTTTTATCTTGTCTCCAACTTGCCAGTTTCCACACACATTTATTCAGGCTCATACACTTAATTTATATAGCGAAACATTGAGATCTCCGTCGTACCCGTAGACAGCTTATAATTATGTAGATCACAGACTTGAGACTGTAGCAGAATTGTCAGAAATCCATCAATTGTAAATGCGATTGCACCCAGACTCTGGATCCCTGGTTACACTGATAGTGAGAGCAGGAAAATAGGAGTAAAGAGTGAACTGAGAGACTCAGAGAGAGAGATCAGGAAGAACAGGAGTCAGCAGGGGTCGGATCATCGGGTACTTAATCTAAGGTCTGGTTAATGACTTGTGCAATAACGGTGACAATGTTCCCCTCGTTCCCCCTCCCAGATTACTTCGACGAACAAGCTTACAATACAAATTTTTCCGGATGCAGAGACACTGCAAAATTGTTCGACGCGTAGCTCACTTGCAAGTTGCAACGCACTTGCGTGTTGTTTACAAAATAGATACCATGCAATCACCCATCAGTAATACAACCACGTAATATTTAGGATCTTGACCATGTAGGAGCATGCTCATTGCTATAGTCCAGTACTTAGCATGCGCTTAACAGAACATCGCTTTTATCACCCCGACCAGTTATGTTTCTGCTAGTCGTTTTCTGGACGTCAGCACTGCGGATGCTTCTCACACGGAGATCAGCGCTCAGCTCCAGTACACTGTACAGCCTATTAATTCGGGTATCAGTGAGTCCACAGCCAGCCATTTTGTTTCCAGTGCAGATAGTGCACGCGTGCACTGCACGCCAGCCTCAATGCAGGTGTGCCATGGCAAAAGATAGTACGGTGTGCAGGCAGCACCGGATTCAAATGGAAATGTCAAGCGCGTGCTTATCCACAATGCACGTAATGCAACCATTAAACTAGCGGCGATCTTGAAAAACTCGCTGGCATCGCTAGCATCACTGGCAGTGGTACCCTGTGACGGCTGTTGTCAAGAACGAGGACGATGTAACTCTGACACAGGCGTGGCTTGGGCGAGGCACAGGTCGGCTGACTAAGCTTTCGGAAACGTCCGTGCAACTTCGTCTCTCGCTGGAACCCCTAGTTCAACGATTTTGTTATTCATATACCAATATTCCGATGGCGCTAAAGGCTTCCCGGCTCATTATATTTGCATTTTTCGTCAGATACTGCATCGCCTGGTCTTGGTCGCGTCAATCTCCGGATCAACCACGCGTTGTTCAGTCTGCCAAGCACAGTGATACTCAACTATTTTCACCTGAGATGCACGGTACTTTTTGCGGTGGCCCTTGTTCTTTCATGTATGTGACGCTCTCTCCTAGCTGGACTATCACACGAAGAGATCGACCTGATCTCCAAACACACCGGTGATCGCAATCTTTGCATTCGATGCGGGACAGGAATCTCATGAGCTTTAGGCGCATTTGATGGATATATGCGTAAAAGTGACTGCTTTCAAGATGCCGCAAGACACGCCCAGAGTCGATGCGAGGAGTCTCACATGAGTGAGGACGAACGCATACAAGGTTTTTTTCGGTCTGATGTTCACACTCTGAGACCTTCCTTATATTCGTTTAGTTGCTATCAGGCTCACCCTTTGTGAACTTGCTACAGCTCGCCACCATACGCCCCCTCTCGAGTGTTCTCCATTTTCTAGCGGTGTCGGATCACCCGTCCCGCATCATGTAGTAGGTGATTGTGTCGAGTAAGTCGTTGTTGATCAAGACTCGGCGAATGCTCATTAATCCCCAGCGCACTCTCTCGGAGCGCTCAATTTTGGTCTAGCTACTCTGGGTACCTGCGAGAAATCCGTGAGACTGGATCATTTCTTGGCTGTTCTGCTAATTGCTGCGATCAGCCCAGCTGTGCTTTGCGTTTCGTCGTTGGATGGAAATTGGTGTGTTTTAATGGAGATGGTAGCTGTTTCTCTGACGTTTCACTATCTAGACACCGCAAAGGATATCTATAGAAATATAACGCTAGAGAAACTCGCTCTTATTCGCTTTATTCTAGAACAGCAAAAGGGTTTCACAGCTGCACGCCAGAACTGGGAGCGATCATCCACAGTTGAAGCATTCCTCTAATAATCGAACTTGCGCAGTTGATCATCTCCAACAGGACCTGGGCGATCTTATCAATGTGTTGAAATCGACTAACAGTAATATACGCGACGTCGCAGATGTGACGTCCACTTCCATCGTTCAACATGCGCAATCAGTGGGTGACCTTCTGATATCTTTAGACACAGATTATGGACGAACTACCTGCAGCTGTTCGCAAAGATGGAGACTACCTTGTCAGTTATCAGCCAGCAGAGCTTCGACGATCGTATTCGTTCATTGGACAAGGTAACTTTTCTGTGGCTTATCGATGAAAGCTAACATTCCTAGGTTGACCGGATGATAGATGATATGGAATTAAGCGTATTGCTCTCGCTCTCCGTGTTTTTGAAGTTTCCTGAAGGAATACACAGCATTCGGCAGCCATGTCGTCGTTGCTGTCACTCGTCGAATCGCGTTTGACCGCTGAAATCGAAGAATTCGCATCGCTGATGTTAGAGCAGCGCCTTCAATCTCGGGCAGTCGCGGTACGGTCTTCTGACTATTTTCCGTGAAATTCTTCTGATCGACCTCCCAGGATCAGGTTCAGCAGAAATGGTCTGCGCTTGACGGGAATTTTTTTGCAATGCAAAATGTGACCGATTTTCTCTCATTTTTGTTGCGGGTTGACAACAACTGCAATTTAGTCCTTCCATGACCTGCAGAGTGTGATCACAGGGCTTACGGTCTCCTTGGAGACCTCTTTTTCCCAAGTAGTGCACACGCAAGAGATTCAACGAGAGGTCGCAGAGTCTGTTTCACTTCTTGACGACAGAATTTCTCAGCTCACAAAGGCGACTCATCGCGAACTTGAAACAATCAATCAAACGGCTCTTGCACTCATTGACAACTTTCAGCGCAGGTCAAAACACAACACATGGCTATTTAATCTGCGGTGGCTTTTGCATTTTGTCGAACCCAGTTTGTATCTCTATCCATTGCACCCGGTTTTTCTGACACGTCTATGCTAGCGTCATTCCTCGGCTTCAAGACTTTTCAAGTTGCAACTAGTTTCTTGGTATTCCTCTGGCGTTTTCTAGAAGTGATGTTATCACTTCTCATGGTACCTCAAGACTTGATATTCTGTTATTTTTTATTCATCTGTGTTCCTCTTGCAGACTAGCGTCGCTGTTTCCAGCATCAAAAGTCAGCTATTACACAAGTTCCGTGGTTCAAAACAACAAGTGCAGCCGAAAGAATATTCCTGGCGTCTCGACCCTTACCCGGAGGAGAATGTGTCACTTGTCTCGAACTTCAGGGATCTACAAAGGAATGACGGCTTGGACCCGCGGATCATTCGACGACTTGCTGGGCCTCGCATATCTCGTATACCCGATAGGATCTGTCGTAGAGCTACCCAAGAAACTCTGCGTGGCCCGTATCCCTCTTCTATCTCTTATTGAACGTTAGTTGCTGTTTTGTAAATTTTCTGCACATTATTTGCGTCAAGTCAGAAATTGTATCCTTAAATTTAGCATACGTGTATGCTAATTGTCATTGCGGGAATCCTTGTTCAAGGATTCTAATCAATGCTTATTGAGGAATCAACCACTTCCATGTCAGTCTCCTAGTCTTCAAATATGCCGCGCCCTGAGGCTGGATATGATACACTCAGCCTGAAGTTGTATGTAGTCCGTGCACAATATTGTTTGTATTATATAATAAATAAGTAATTATTCACTACCCGGGCCCCTCTGCTTAGTTAACCAGTTCGTGACTAGTAAATTGATATAATCTCTGGTCCCCTACTTCCAGCGTCAAACATTGACCAGACCATTCTCGATACTAGTACTCCTTGTCTTATACTGTGAGCTATCATGCTTGTGCAACGCGAAGTCCGTAGGGATTCCAACATCTTTCCACCACCCAGGCTGTATCCTGACGATATGGCACCACACGGCAAGACAATCGACAAATATACCTCTGCATCGCAGCACCAAAGACATACACGGAGTGTCGCTCGCGGAAAAGAACCGCCTTGCGTCACACCTGTCAAAGTCGTTGGTTATAACAGAGGGTCCAAACGATATGTGGCGCCCAAAGTTAACGAGGTACGTCTGCTGCCATATTCATCACATCGTACTCACTAACTAGTTTCAGGTCTCTGAGGTCTGTCCGCCTAGTTATCATGAGGCTGTGGCCTGCCTCCAAAATGTCCAACGACCCCCTCGCGTGATCCCGCCTCGAATGCAGGCGCAGAGCCATCCGGGGCCGTTGTGAGTCCTGTTGTTTCTCCTTTGTGAAAATACCTTCATGTGCATGGCGTAGGATGGTTCAGCCAAATTTAAGCCTTGACCAGTCTCCATTCCCCAAGCAGCTGCGTGTAGAACCATTGTAAGTCAGGCTGTTTCGTCTCTGTGAAACCACCTTCATGTGCATGGCATAGGATGGGTCAGCCAAATCCAAGCCTAGACCATTCTCCCTTCCCAAAGCAGCTGGGTATTCCTGTGTCTTCTACGACTGGACCGAGACCACACACGATAAACAATGCAGAATCAACACGACAATACTCCAGTCCATTGTTACCTTGCCACAATCCACGTTCACCTGAACCTGTGAGTGCGCATTACACGTCCATAACATCCACAGTTTTTCATGAGCGCTAGGAATTGGATATTAAGGCCGCGCTGTCTGCCCAAGGTATTCACATTGGTATTCCATTGAGTACCCCACACCTGCAATCTCCTACTGATCAAGTTGAACCTCGTCTTCACGTTAATAAAGTATGTCGCAACCACACCTTCGCATGAACGAGGAAACTAATTGATTCTTCTCAAGCATACACTGCCCACAGGCCCCACACCACCAACTCCGGCAGCACTCATGTCTCCTCATGTTGATGACCCATGTGTTCAGAAGGAGTCCCCTCGACCCCTGCGAGACAATCCGGATGTAAAGATGCGAGCGCTGAGTGGCCCGAATGCTCCACCTGAGCCACCTAAGCGACCCCCGGGTTTACAGTCGCCTGCTGTCCGAAGTGGCACGTTGGTACCTGCACTGTCAGTCCGCGTCAGCCTTCCTCCACCTTCCAAGGCGAAGGTAGTAGCCAATCTCCTTGGGCTTTCGGGAAAACCGATTAGTAATCAATCTTGTAGGAAATGACTCGCAATGTACAGTCTGCCGAATCATCCGGACCCGAGATCTTAGTCGTAGGTGTTGAAACTGTCACAATTAAACCAGATGCCCCCGAAACTCCAATATCGCCTATCACTTCAAGTAGTGTCAAACTGCCATCCGTTCAAGAGAGATTACAGCCTTCAAGCCTGACACCTACCCTTAAAGAATCATCTGCCCCTATGCAATCGAATGCTGCTACGGTGAGCAGTAGTTTGTCTCTACTGACACTTCTGATGGCTGTATTGATCCTCTTGGCCAGGAGGATACGCCAAGTTCGTCAAGTTCAGGCGAGGAGGAAATGTGCAGGAATTGGTTCTTTGGTGTCTGTGACAATGAATGCCACTACGCCCATAGAATAATACCCAGCAATCGCACCTGCCACCTTTGGCTTTATAGGAAAAATTGTACGCGGCAGCAGTGTCCTTTCGCGCACGGGCGTCAGGCAAGTTCGACACCATCATGATTTGATCGGATCGTGATGATGACTCATCTACTCAGAGTTACAACCGTCCCGTAAGGAATCAACCACCTGTTCGCGACAGCGACACTCAACACGACATGCCTAGAGGTATTATCTTCATGTAGATGACCGAAAATAGTAATCTCACTTCAATGCCCGTAGACTCAACCCCACTTGCATCTTCTGGCACGTCCCGTAGTGCTGAGTCCATTGCGCCAGTACCTTTGGCAATGAAAGCCTGCGATGCACGAGGGCCTTCTCGGGTGGCATCAAATAATGGTTTATCAGAATGCACGCGTAAGGTATGTGTATCTCCTCACGCCCAATTCCTGGTGCTTATTCCATGTAGCTCGATGGTCCCCGACTTAAAGAAGTTTGTCGTAATTGGTTGGATGGTCGGTGCAAGAATGCTCCGTGCCATCGCCTGCACGAACGTCCAACCGATGATGTGAGTTCCGATGGTCCCCGACCTAAAGAAGTTTGTCGTAATTGGTTGGATGGTCGGTGCAAGAATGCTCCGTGCCCTCACCTGCACGAACGTCCAGCCGATGATGTGAGTTCCATAAGTCTGGTAATACTCATTACTCCCTAACATGTACTTGTAGAACGCGTCGAAAACGAATTCTCCGTCGTCCTCATCGAGCTCGTCATGTCCGGTTGTCCAAAACACCCATGTCAATGACCCACCAGCGCCTCGCAGCCCTCACCCTACACAGAAGACGGTTATTAGCAACTCTGTTTCACGGAACCCGCCGCCCGGCCTGCCGTCTCCCATGTTGAAAACGAATGTTTCGTCATCATCCAGCTCTATTGTCCGAAACACGCATGTCGATCGCACACCAGCACCTCGCAATCCCCAACCTGCACAGAAGACGGTTATCAGCAACTCTGTTTCACGGAACCCGCCGCCCGGCCTACCGTCTCCCGCGTTGAAAACGAATGCTCCGACATCATCTAGCTCGTCAACTGTGATTGTCCGAAACATGCATGTTGGTGGCGCACTAGCATCCCGCGATCCCCACCCTGCACAGAAGACGGTTATTAGCAACTCTGTTTCACGGAACCCGCCTCCCGGCCTACCGTCTCCCATGGTGAAAGCGAATGCTCCGTCATCTTCCGGCTCGTCACCTGCGATTGTCCGAAACACGCATGTCGATCGCGCATCAGCGCCCCGTAACCCCAACCCTGCACAAAAGACAGTTACCAGTAACTCTGTTTCACGGAATCCGCCGCCCGGCATACCATCTCCTCCCACACGTCGAAACGACGATTTTGTCATACCAGTGACAATTTCCGATCATATCATAGTCAAACTACGGAACGGTTTCGAAGTACAGGACGTGACTACGGGATTCGAAACTCGGTGGGTACACATTGGAGACGTGTCGCCGTCCACCAAGGAACCCCAAATTCGCTCCCTTTTGGAGTCCTTCGGCCAAGTGGATGAGCTATTTATTTCGGACGGAAAGGATGGCAAGCGCTCGGCCATCAAAGCGCAATTTTCTACTGCAGCGCAAGCCATGAAGGCTTCGATGGATCTTCAAGGACGGCAATTCCAGGGCAGGAGACTTACCGCGAAGCTGACTTTGAACACTACCGCCCGCGGTACCACAGTCCTCAGGGATACCACAGTCCGCATTACCTGGACTGCGCCCCAGCGGGTAGGGTATGCAGGGTATGCGACCCTTGATGAGGCCAAAGTCGCGATTGCAACCGCCACTGGATTTGTGATGAAGGACAACGTTCTCACAGCGGCCTTGTACGAAGGCCTACCTGCAGTTGGTGCCTACAGCGTCATGTTTTCTCACCTTCCTTCCGATGCAGAGAGAAAGGATTTGGAGCAGTTCGGAAATGCAGAGTCCATCGTGTTCGAACGTCCCAATTATCAATCACCCGACAATGCTCGCCAAACAGTAGTTCGCATGCTCCGCTCATGCGGGAATCTCTCCAACCTTGATCTAGCTCTTCCTATCTGGAAGGGTACGGTGCTCGCTTGGGCGACCTTCGAGTCCCACGCGGATGCCAGCAACGCCAGGGATTATCTGGATGGCCAATATCCTCGTGCGATGGGAGGAAAAATTTACATATCAGCTCGTCATGTGCAGTCTCTCAACTTTACGTTGCCGTTGAGCCAGTTTAAGATGCTAGAAGGAGACATCACTCGCCTTCGGTGGTCGTGGCGCACAAGGTTCCACCATGACGTGACCATTGCTGACCGCCTCCCGTCGCCTGATGGCCCTGTCTACATCAGGATCTCTGCCGAAAACTTAAGCAATCTTGGGATTGCCAAAGCAGAATTCGAACAACTTCAACATGGTGAAGTCGTAACTCTCCAGAAGAAACCCATATGGGACAGATTCTTTGCTCACCCAGCCGGCCAGTCGTTCCTCCGTGAGTTAGAGAGTCGATATCCCGGAATTGTACTACGAACTCGGATGGGGAAAATCTTGCTTTTGGGCCCAATCGGACAGCGTCAACTTGCTCGACGGGATATTATGACGCGGTTCGAAGAGTTGCAGGCGCGACACAGGTGGCCCATCCCTCTATCAGGCAAGATGGTGGGTCCATTTGTTGGCGCAGACCTCTTGACCCTGCAGAAATCCCTCGGTCCTGAGAATTGCTACGTGCAACAGCTCTCGAATCAGCGCGTTCTTGTCGTACGAGGCAACGAACAGGCTTATCGCATCGCCTGTGAGGCGGTAGAGAAGGTACAAAGCCGCTACACGAATAGCTCCACGCCATCTCCACAATCTGTCTGTCCCGTTTGCTTCACTGAAGCATCAGTCCCGACCCTTCTCAACTGCGGACATAGTTGGTGTACATCTTGCCTCGAGGGATATCTCATGTCCGCAGTTGAAAATAAAACATTCCCTCTCACCTGCCTTGGCGATGACGCATCCTGCACCGAACGCATCTCACTCCTCCACGCCAAAAAGATCCTTTCTGGTGATGATTTCGCCGCCCTGTGTGAGGCATCATTCTGGTCGCACGTCCACGTGCGGACGGACGAGTTCCATCACTGCCCAACTCCGGACTGCGCACAGGTATATCGTGCCACTCCTGCCAGCGCAATCCTCCAGTGTCCATCTTGTTTGGTTCGCATCTGTTCCGGTTGTCATGCGGAGGCTCATGATGGGCTCACCTGTGAAGAGCGGGACGTAGCAGAGGACAAGCTGTTCCATGAATGGACAGCCACTCATGATGTCAAGAACTGCCCTGGCTGCAAGACTCCTATAGAACGCAGCGAAGGTTGCAACCACATGACCTGCACTAGGTGTCAAACGCACATCTGCTGGGAATGTCTCGCAACATTCCCTAAGGGAGACGGTATTTACGACCACATGCGACACAAACATGGTGGAATTGGGCTAGACTTTCTGTGATACCCCTTCGCTGACATAGTTTGCTTTTTCGATATTATTATGCCTGTTCTTTTCGGCTTGATTTCGTGTGTCTAGTTGTATCCCTGTAGCGTTTCGTCTCATTCCGTCCGTGGCATTTATGATTATACTTATACAATGTACCAGATCTGTTTTATGTATGCTCTGGTGAACGCGAACCACCAATGATGGCAATAAATTATTATCCCTCAATGATAACTGTAAACGACAAACTAAGGTCCCATCAACCAAGTCATCGACCAATAGAAATGCACAACACTCACGCTGTCATATGGCTGCGCTGGAGGTCGTCCATGATATGGCAAACTCGCAGGTAACTCTGGCCTCTCTGGCAGATACGGCACAAAGGCACCATACTGATCTTTATATCCCTCCGCCTCGTCTGGGTAATCCCGCAACTCTGCAGGGTACGCCTTGTCCTCTGGTGCATAGACGACATACGAATTCGATGTGAGGTAGTCACCACGTCGGTTCCAGAACCCCTTCCGTACACGTCGTACATAGTGTGCAGGCTCGGGAGACTGAGGAGGCGGTGCGGACGCAGCTGGGTTGGGGCGTTCCATCGGGGGCGGTGGGAGAGGATTCGAGGACCGCGAGCTACTGTTGTATGGTGTCAGACGACTCGCTCTCTCGTATTCCTGGCTCCTATCTCTGTTTCGCTCGCGATCTCTCTCGTGATCCCGGCTCCTTTCTCTATGTCGCTCGCGATCTCTCTCGTATTCCTGGCTCCTGTCTCTGTGTCGCTCGCGCTCTCTCTCTCGTTCACGTTCTCTCTCCCGCTGGCGAACGCGAACACGCGAAGGGGACGGTTCTGGCGATTCCTCGTCAGAATCTGGAGGTACGGATAGAGGATAGAAAAATTCATCAGCGCTCGAATGAACAGACGACGTCATAGACTCCGGGATGGTTGACAAATGGGCCGGCGGGATCACAGGCTCTGTCCTACTTCGTGATAATGAACCAGGAGCAGCAGATCTGGCCGCGGAATCGACGAGGGGGCTCAGTGCGCTAGCCATACCCTCCGTAAATGTGGACAGTGAAGCTATCGAGGACGGTGAGGACGTGGTTGGGAATGAATGATGCCGCGAAAGGGGTTCCGGCACTGGAAGACCGCGGGAAGAGGACGCCGAGGCGTTCTGCTGAGGCGCTGAAGATGAGCGCGAAAGATGGTCAAGAGCCTCATCCGCATGTCTTTGTGTCCCTTGATAGTGAGTAGGGGTCCGCACGATATTGGATGAGAATGTCGTTTGGAGGTCTCCCCTGGACGTAAATGACTCTGGCTCTCTGGTGAATACGGGCGCATGAAGAGGCTGTTGTGAACGGGTTGCAAACGACGTTGATGTAGATGAAGATGAAGGTGGCGGAGCTGGAAAGGGAGGTGCCCGTAGCGGTCCTGACGATGATGTTCGACTTGAGTAAATCGAACCTGCACGACCATGTGACGATGGTGGTGGCGGAGTTGCCGAAGAAATGGGTTGTTGGCTCATACCCTGTGGCCGAGAGTTGAGGCTGTCTAAGGAACCATGTCTTGACGTTTGCGGATGACTGTAAAAATAGTCTCGTACAGGTGTGCCCGTGCTTGCTGTGTTATGGCTGTCCTGTGAACTTCTTCTCGGGGGTCCATGGTCCCTGGTCGGGGTGGAGTTACTCCGATTACTATCTTGCGAGCTGCGACGATTGTTAAAGTCCTTCGTGGGGGTCGCGCGGTCTGCTCCATCTGGTTGAAACAAACTCGGCGGATTCCATATCCAAGGAGTTTGTGGTGCAGCATCTCCTTGTGCCTCTCTAGTTGACTCTCGTTCTCGATCTGTTCTACAGTGCCCTTCGAGCCAGATCATCTCGGAAGGTGAAACCACGCACGCACCTCGCAGGGACCATGTTCTCCAAACCAAGACCATTCTCGGTAAGCTTTGTCTGCCAGTAACTCGGACTTGGCGGACGCGGGACGCGCTTGTAAGGGTTGAAGTTAGCAGGGACGTTCTGGGCCCACCCCATGCCAGGTGCCCATGGGACACCGTGACCTGCATTATTATAGGCAGGGTTGTACTGCCAGAAGCCAGCCTTCCAATGAGGGTGGGCGTTGGCGCCAGCCGGCATGGGTGGTGGACCGGGGAAATTTGGAGGGAGAGCAACACCAGGTGGCGGCGGCCAGGTGCCTTGCCAACCCTGAGGAATGGAATGTTGCTGCATGAGCTGTGGATTGGGGTGCCAGTGTCCTCCTGATTGAGCCATAATAGACCTTTGATAGGTATGATAGTCAATAATGATTAATGATTTTCAGTTACAAGATCGAAGGAACGCACGAGGTCTATATGAACCACAATTATAACGGGCACAGGAAAGCGAGAAGGGGGTGTCGCAAAGGAGATATGAGCTTGACTGGTTTCTACAGTTCAACTCGTTGAGTGATAGCGGCTCTATAAGCTAGTCACCGGCAGCTAGCCTTGACAAGTTATATATATAACGCAAAACGTAGCGGGTATCTTATATGATGGAACGAGGCCAACGCTGGCCAACACGGACCAAACGAGTACTAGCACTGGCGAGGCAGCTAGTAAACTGTGACACGGCGTAAGTTCAACAAACGCCAAGTTTGACGTTGCGGCACAGCTTAATTTCATCCGACCATCTCTACGTCTACCTTAAGAAAACTTTATAGTTTTCTACCTTAATGCTTTCACAGGGCAGACGTCTACGCAGTCGGGTAATAGCGTACTCACTACCGGTTGACAGCATTGTAAGAATATGGTAATTTCAAAGGACGCCTAGATGCGAAACTGGCACCGTCTTGCCAAGTGACGGAAGCAAATCAAGCTCAACTTGCCGTTCATGGCGGACCGTCTACTACCGGGTTTCAAAAATACCTCATATGCATAGGTATCAATCCACGAGACTGCCATATCTCTCCACTGTGGAACCGTTTCAAACTAGAGGTGGGGTGTCATGTTGATACCGTCACCCCACCTCCAACGAGTTCAAAGCACTCATCTATGATCTATCTGAGCCAAACTTTAATGACGAGAACAATCGAAGTTCGAACCAACCGGGCTGCCGTACGGTCGGCTGAACGCTTACGCACACCGCCCTTCAAGTTGTAGCCGACCTCGGGGCAGCACTTTTTGCACATCACCGGCACCGGGAAAATCACAGCTACGAGACAAAAGTCAACAATCTAGCTGTGACTGGTTGACCTCTCACTCAAAGCCAGTACTGAACGACACTAAATTCATCGTACTATGCGCACCATCATGCTTCTAAGTTTGCTGGTAAGATGCCTTGAATCTTTTTCCGTAGACGTTCTGACAAAACAATAATAATATATTTCACGTATCGAGCGAAACAAACTATTTCAGCCGATGACCTCATGACTGACGCGGAATGGAACGATGACGACCAAAGAAAAATCCGCAGCAACTTACCCCTTCATAGATACTTTCTTCCGCTCCACCAGTCAAGCCTTGTGTCTGTGCGACGAGGCGTGTGGTGTTTATCATTGCCCCAGAAGTCATCGCCCTGTATTAGTGTCAGGCTTAGAGTTCAGGAACCAAAAGTTATACTGACATATCTACTCAAGCCTCCATTTTTGGCTTTGACATCCGACGACCGAGATCCCTATTATTGATCGATGTCCCCGAGAGTGTTGGTACGCTCCCCATGAGCATCCGGCGTCCAGCTCTGCGCCGTATTGTCACGACACCACACACTACGCTGTTCACCCCCAACAGGGTCACGTTCCCGGATCATGCGCACTACCAAGGGTTTGGTTCCGCAACGCGGAGCCGAGTATGTGGGTGAGGTCACGGTAGTGAGAGTTGACTAGTCGAATCTGAAAAGACGGTCATTGTACCCAGTTCAGACACGGATGCAATGCACATGGGTGAAGGGGAGCAGGAATGTTAGTACTTACTTCTCGGATGTGCGTATCATACGCCTTCCATCTCCTGAAGCTAACGTTTGGGGAGCACTTCACTATATTGGGCGAGAACGCGGATGCGTCTACGGGATAATGGAAGTTGAAGAGGTGGAACCACCACAGCCAAGCGGATCGACGCCTTCAGACTTGCTACCGACGTTTTTGAGGAATATCGAGTGTGGTCTGCAGGACATGACTAAGTACTACATGATGTACGATTCAAAATGTCTCTGTCAACAGTGCTGCAAAACCAATCCGGGAAACCCCGACTTATAATACGAAGAAACGATTGTCTTCCTTCGATTGGTCTGGCTAGGGGAGACTACCGACGTATTGAGTAGCATTTCGCGCGTTCGTTGATTTTATTATGAGACAGACAAGTCATTTCTCTGGTAGTCATAACACATTCTAAACACCAGGAGTGAGTAGTCATAATCTGGAAGATAGCATAAAATCATCTAGAATAATATCATGCTCATGTACATAGGACGGCACGAGCTGGGTGTGAGATAGGTCGTAAACGCACACGAGACGAAAGTGGGTAAATTATCGATTGACAGAGAGTATTTCAGTAAGTGCCCTCATGGCTGATGTGAAGGGGAACGACAACAACTGAAGAAAAGTTCGCAGTAGCTAACTTCATAGGAGAATTCTCCTGTTCCACCATTTGACCCTTGCGGTCGTCCTTGAGACCCTCATGCTCCCGCTGCAGTTGGGTTAAATTAGCAACGTTGTTGCTACTGGTACGTTGCATGGCTGCAGCCACTTCCGCTTCAGTGGGAGGGGCAATAGCAATTCTCTACAAATTCATTTCAACGATATTGGAGAGGAGCGATGGCGGGCCACTCACATCCATATCGCGAGCACGCCCCCGTGTTCGCGTTTGAGATCCTTGTGCCCCCGATGCAGCTTGAACTGGTTGCATTGAACTGGTGGCCTCGTTCCCACTCGAACATTGCATGGCGGCGGCCACTTCTGCCTCGGTGGGAGGGGCAATGCCATATCTCTGCAAATTTATCTCGATGATATGAAAGAGAAGCGATGGTGAGCTACTCACATCTTCATCGCAAGCGGGAGCTACGTCGATGGGGAGGCCGGAGATTCCTACAGGAAATAAGTGAAAATTCCAGTGTCGGGGTCAGACTAGCAAAATTCAGAAAAGCTATACTGACATATCTCTCCAAGCCTCTGTTTTTGGTCTCCTGTTTAGAGACCAGGCGGGCGTCGAAGATCTAACGAGATGGATGAGTGCTCGAAGGATTAGTTCACAACTAATTGGCGCACATTACCAGATGGAGTCGCGCGTCCCTGGTAAAGGAGTGAGATCCGATATACAAGAGAAGTAGAGATTATTTGCCTTGAAATTTTCATCGTGCTTTATATTGGCAACATCTGCATTCTGAATGACAACCAAGAAGCCGTTAAAAAAGACGTCGGCAACAGCAGCGTGCATACGCACGCGAACACGACCACCAGCCTGCCGTGCGAGCGCTGCCTCCAGGCTCCAAACATAGACGTTCGGATCTAATCCAGCACTGGTAATTCATTTTCCATCAGGTGAAACGGCAACAGCCATGAATCCGTCGTCGTGTAAGAGTGGGTTACCGACTGGCTGATTGGTCTTGAGGTTCCAGATGCGAACTGAGCGATCCCTCGATGCACTAACAAGATGGCTTTCATTGGGGGAAAAAGAGAGAACATAAAGGCAGCGGGTATGACCGCGCGACATAACAAGCTCCTTGTCATTAATTGACTGCCATTTCCGTATGGTATTATCGAATGACGCAGAGAATATGTGTGCGCCGTCCTTGGACCAACGCGATGACGCCACCAAGTCTTCGTGTCCCTTGATCTCAATGAGCATTTCGCCGTCGCTTTACCACACGCGGATCATCTCATCCTCCCCGCCGCTCGCGATTTTGTCGCCCTGTGGAGAGTATCTGAGCGCAGACACCCAAGTGTAACCAACCTCTATCGGCAGTGCTATTTATCTGCCCGTATCCGGGTTCCAGCGTCGTATGGTCCCGTCTTGCGACCCACTCGCTATCTCCACGGCGCTGGGAGACCAATCGAGGCACCTTACTGGACCGCGATGCTCCTGCCATGGCTCGTCGACCATGCCGTCCTTCCTTGTGTTCCAGAGCCGTAGTCTACTGTCGACACTTCCGCTTATGACCATTGTGTCATCTGGAGACACTGCTATGGGGCCTACCGTCGTTCTGACACTATTCCAAGGCTTTCCTGCTGGCTCTCCGTGTCTTGTCCACTGACGAATTGAACTATCGGATGACGCGCTTATTATACTGCAACAGGCGCCAATCCAAGCAAGGCTGCATACGCACATGGAGTGACCCTCGATGATGCGCTCCGGTGTCAAGCCCACTGTTGGACGTTCTGGTTCTGGTGTCTTCCACGTTGTGGTTCGAGTGTTGTGGTTAACGAAGTAGGACCGACCGAGTGGTGAGATGTGCCATTCGTATCATTGAACGAGTTGCCCGAGATGATCTATGGTCAAACACCAGTTCCCCGCTCTCAGTGGTACATTCTTCGCTTACCTGGTTGCACTCCTGGTAAAGGTCGCTTCCATGAAACCGTCATGAGTGTGTCATCTTGATATTGTGTTTTACCATCCGACATCTTGGATTCTAACCACCGGGGAGGGAGGACTTCATTCCTGCCTACTTCTTGTTGAGTAAGTAAGTCGGGGGATATCACAACGTGGTTGCTCACCCTGCCACTGAGGAACCTGGCGGTGCTGTGCACCATATGGTGGTGGATCCTTCGCTCCCATCCGAAGAAGGGCAACATGCCGTTGCGTCGTCTAACAGCGCCTCACGTTCCAGTTCCCTCCGTCGTGCTAACATGTTTGATTCGAGCTCTTCGCAGGGAATAAGCCGAATCAATAGTCGGGGGAGAAAAGGTATGGAGACGTGATCAAAGAGACCTCCTCAACTTTCATGGAATGCTTGATTCTAAATGTCGTTGTTGATCCTTGCGAATGAAGAACCGTAAGGTCGAGTCGATCGATGATATTTTAGAAATGAGCCTCTCATTTCTGAAACCACACAATAGCGGCGGAAGCGAATTTTGATCCGAACTGAAGTTACCTCAAAGATTGAAGTAGACGGCAGCTCGATCCACGTTGGTCCCTTACGTCTTGTCACCAAATCCGCCAGTTAGCATCAAATTTTGATACATCGATACTTGGCCGCACACCCATAGGAGTGACAGTGAATCGGAGCTGTAACGAAATCAATACCATGCAACTATAGTTACAAGCCCAGTCCGCACCTGTGCAAAGTGTGATTAAAGTATACAGGATTATATACGGTCGTCGTAGGACATTTGACGTCCGAATTGAGACGTCGACACATCACAATTATGACCAGTGTGCTCAAGCTGTGCGTCGATATAATACCGCAAGTATCCGGCGTCCAGTTCTGCACCCTCTTATCACAACACCACAAGTCAGGCAGCTCGCCCCCACCAGCGTCATGTTCCCATTGAACATCAAGTTCCTACGAAGCAGACCGTGTGCACCACCCAGAACTGGATGCCAGAAAGCAAAAATCCATGTTTAGCACGTGAATCTGGGGACGCAGGCATAGAGGGTGTAGGAGGTGTATGAGAAGAAAGGGAATGCTGTAGCCGAGTGCACAAGTGAGAGTCACGGTGGTGAAGCTGGAGCAGGCCTAGGGAGTGTGTACGTGTCATACGACTTCCATCTCATCAACAAAAATTAACAATACTTTCTTTGTTTCTGCCTTGCACCGCGCGGGAACGCGGTTCTCGATGCTTCTACGGGAAAGTGTGATTGGGGTGGATAAGGTTGAACCTTCAACCACCAGCCAAGCAAGTCGATGCAGCCGCATCGGAGTTAGTACATAACACCGGCGCGTTCGAGGGGAAACTTTCTACCTTGAGAAGCACATAAGACTCAGAATCTTCACTGCTACGCGCCATGTTACCTGTAGTCCGTCACAGGCTATGGTGCACAAGAACGTCCCAAGTATGGGAAGGGGAAGGTGCGTGAAACCCTACTCATTGTATGCTGAAGCAGGTGTGATCGAAGCACTTCCTCGTTGGTGCCTCGGCAATTGATGTGCGGGATATTGAAAATCTTCCGCATACTTTCGTTCAATCGACCTGGACCAGCGAGCGGGTACCTAGAAGAAGTGCAATCATGGACGAGACATGTGCATGAACAGGTCAAGATTCCAGGGCGGTCGATTAACCAGGATTCGGGAGAACAGTTTTTCGTAGTACGTAGTCAAACTCGCACCGGTACATTACTTCACCCTAGGGCCCTCGTACTGCCATAAGACTGCATCTGCACATGACTTTCATCCGTTTCTCGACCCAAAGAATGATAGCGAGGTGTATGGGAGACAAATTCGCCCCGAAGAATTAGGTGTAGGTCACTGGCAGCTGCATCCAGCGAAATTATACGCCGTGCAATGCGAACTGTCATTTTTTGAATTTGCTTATACTTACATAAATAATTAATATTAGAATTATTGCAATTTACAAATATAATGAAACTCACCTAAAAAGAAAAAAGTTTCAAACGAGTGTGGCTGAGTAGTACTCTAAGTAGTACCCGACGCGCGTTACACAACAACATTCAACTGAGTATATGCGCGACTATGAGTCAACTCGGGTCCGACGATGATACTCGCGACGACGCTAGAGTCCATGGCAATGGTTTCAATGAAAATGGTATGTTTTTATCGCAGTACTGAACAGTGAACACCAGGGACCTTATGTTGTCATTATAGAACCTTTGGAGAGCGCATATAACAATGGCAAGGGTATCGCAGTCTCCGTGACATTTACCCCACTTCTACCACCTCCAGCAACTGGAGAAAAACGCCACAAGAATGCTAAATCACCACCCATAAACCGTGCCTTCTTCATCCACGAAGATTCAACCCTCCGCGACCTTCTCGATACAACATTCGAACACTATGACGTCTCCGAGAAAATGATGTACGGTATTGGGAATCGATCAGGTCTTCTCTCGGCTACCAACTTCACGATCACGTACACAATCCTTCGCACGAACTATAAGAATATTGTTCTCGCAAACCTCAGTGATTTCGACACAATCATGGAGGAAGTCAAAGAACACCGGTCACCAGCCTTCAAATTGACTATCATCGAGACCAAGGTATGTATTTTGGGTGTTTGTATGTGATTTGCAGTAAGCTAAATACATGGTAGTATGATGATGGCGAAGAAGCTGAAGAAGATGAAGAAGCTGAAGCCGAACCTGCGGGTAAGAGGGTGAGATATATGTGTTTTGATTGTCTTCTTGTCACTCATGTTGCGAAGGCTGCAACAGGACCAACTGACGAGGAGATAGAGCAAAACGAGGCAATTGCAAATCTGACTCGTCAGTATACCTGCGAAGACCGAGCATGTGGTTTCCGTATCTGCTGGCCAGCTCCACCAGACGCCAAACACGTCAACCTGACACCATTACATCTCAACACGTGGGCTGCTGCGATGGTCTGCGTGATGTTCTGAAGTATGTAATCTGCATGTGTCACTAACAGGGTTATTACACAATAGGTTGGTCCGAACAAGCAGCCAGGTGTCGACTTAGACAATCCGCCAAACACGAAGATTTTCGATGTTACATACGCAGACCCGACTGATATTGCTACTCTCTCACGTCGACGTCTCAATACAGTTACCCAAACCCAATCCTCCGCACCAAGTATTGTCATCAACAATGACTTCAAGGATATTGTGGGCCTCCTGCATGGCAAACGTGGACCTGATCATGCTGCCAACATCCCACAGCCTGCTGCTCTTCGTCCGAAGTTGAGTTTGATTGATTTTTGTGAACGCTTCAACCTATCGCTATGGCTACGTGAGAAGTTGGACAACATTGACGTGACAGGCCCACACTGTCTTCGGTTCCTTCAGAATGCTGACTTGCTTGGTGCTGGACTGTCTCTTGGTGAGCTTGCAGATATTCGCGATGCCGAGGAACGGTGGATGCTTGATGCTTAGTTTGTATGGCTCCGAGCTTTCAAAGTGTATTTTTCGGCTGCAGTATTCACAGACACCCATTCATAATATTATGCTACTGTATTGTAACAATGCTATGGTCAAGCAAGATAACCCGAGTGACGAAAGAAGCCCCAAGTCATCTCGGGTGTTATGACAGAACATGCAGTGTACAGCTCATAGTAAGGAGCCTTAGGCCCATAGAACCCTAACCCTTGGCGACGGAGATGTGACTTGATTGCGGAGAATGCTTGCTCAATAGGATTGAGATCCGGGGAATATGGTGGTAAGTATTCAATGCGACACCCTGACAAAATAGTGAGACAACTCCGTATCACAAGCTTTATTATACTGACCATAAGCATGAACAAGCTCTTCGATTTCCTCCGCATGGTGAATACGAGCATTGTCCATAACCAACACACTCCGTGGCCCTGGAAATGGAGTCGTGATAGGAAGCTAATAATAACAGGTTACTGATACATCACAACGACACTGACAGTTTGAAAACGAACCACATCATTTTGCAAAAAATCGATGAAAGTCTTGCGATTGAATGATCCTTCAACAACTTTTGCAGCAATGATGCCCTCATCAAGAGCCAATCCTGCTACCATTGAAAACCGACGTTTCCGAACAAATGGTTGATGCTGCTCAGCACGTGCACCTCGCGGAGCACGTCCCCAGCGACGCGAGTATGTACGGTCATCTTTTGAAACTTCATCCAAACAGAGTAATGAAGCTGGCGAGTATTGCGAGACACGACGAATGAAGTCTGCGTGACATAGAGAGTCACGTTCAGCTGCAATCTTCTCAATGTGCTTGAGATTGATGCCAGCACGCTCAAAAGATCGGTGAATGGTGGATAGTGATGTCTGTAGAAACCGGCCATCCTGAAGTCTCAGCTGGTATTCATCGAGGAATAGGGTGGGGTTATGGCGAGCAAGCCGAATGAGGAACTGGATATCATGCTGGGTGAAAGTACGAGGCCTGCCCCTGCCAATTGCCTGAATTTTGGCTACACTGCCAGTGGCTCGTTTACGACGTTGTGTGCGGTAGATGGTTGACTTTGAGATCTGTGTGATGGAGAGGATTTCTTTGGTTGCATATCCTTTGTTCGCCATTCGCAATGCAGCATCTTTGAGGTCGTTGCTGATCCGTCTATTGCCCATCGTGGAGAAGAGTAATGTGTGACTCACGAGATGCTGGCTGAGGCTGTACGCTGCTGTATGCCACACGCAACAGGTGACCAATTCCGAAAATATATATTTTTACACATTCGAAGAGTGTCATTGTTTATGAAAATCGCAATAATATTCTGAATTGGATGTTGGACCGTCTTCCGTAGTATCCATACTCAAGCAGCATGCCATTCAACTTGATTCAATTCAAAACAAAACACTGTGTCCGATAAGCATCTTCGCCGAAAAACCGTAAAAAGCGCCCGTCAAAAACGGCATAAAACGACGAGTCTTGCCAGCCTCCGTTGGCGACACAAGCGGATCTGTGCCATCATTTGTCACTGCTGTGTACTTGTACTTTGTGGCATTTTCGACGTGCAGGACTATCTTTCTTCCGACATGACGCCCGTTCTGAGCAGGCTGGCCAACTTCAACTCGGGCGCCATCTCCTCAACATCCTCTTCACTTCATAGTTACTCGCGATTCGAACCCAAACCACAGCTCTCATGACCTTACTAGCATTTACCACCGTACCACAGCACAACGTCTATCATGTCCGTCACTCGACTTACTGCACTTCAAACCAGATCATCCCAATTCTGATGTGCTTTGCCATGCGAAGCCGATGTGGTCGGGACGCCCCTTCCTCGTAATTGCAGTTGTGGTGAAGTCCTGACCGCGAACTTCTCATTAATGTGTGTTTTACTGTATCACAACTATTTCGGAAAACAATGCCCGACGTGTTCACAGTGAAATTCCGAATCAGTGGCTGCATAAAAGAGTGTGATATAGCACTCCTAGGACCATGACCTGTGATGCGTAGTGTGCCTCACACTGACCCCGGAGCTAGGCAATAATCCATCGCGAGATTCGCATATTCGCGACTTCTCAGGCCAAGATCGTTCGAGACTGTCCTTCGAATGTGACTTTTAATACCATGATCCTACTGGTTGTGATGCATAGTGCGCCTTACACTGACCCTGCACCACCGGACGGTCCCAGCCAGTCCGTGATCGTCGGTGCTAGAGTGTTGTCTATCTCAATTTTTTGTGATCGAACAAAAGAAAAAAAAATTGCTAGGGACGCATGCCGTTTTTCGCCAATCCTCGTCAAGCCCAGACCGAGACGGTCCCTGATGACCCGTCAATCGGTCAATTCTCGCTCACAATGGCAGCCAGAAATCAAGACATGTGCTATACCCGTCTCGCCGTCTTACGTTCTACAATTTCAGACCGACCAAGCACAAAAGTGAGCATCTAAACGTAACGTCATCTCCAAATAAATTCAGGCCGAGCTCTCTCCCAGCGTATAAAAGACAGGCTCTTTTTTACTGATCTACCCATCTCTTAAGTTTTATCAGCCCTAGCACCTCTCCATCAGCCCCTCTCTTCTCTCAAAAATGTTCGCTCGCCTCTTCGCTATCGCCTCCCTCGTCGCCTTCGCTGTTGCCAACGATGGCCAGTGCAACACCGGCAGCATTCAGTGCTGTGAGAGTTCTACCACCGTATGTGAATGTATCTTTCCTAGCGGAGCGCCATGGCTGACGAATGGCCTGTAGGTCAGCAACTACAACGCTCAAAGCGGGCTTTCGGGTCTCCTCTCCATTGTTACTGATGTTGTTGGCCTCGTTGGCCTCAACTGCAGCCCCCTTTCCGTTATCGGCCTCGGCTCTGGCTGTGAGGCTAACCAAGAGCCCTTGTGCTGCAGCAACAACCAATATGTAAGTGCTTCCACGATGGTCTATGTTGCTCCCTAATAATGATCGCGCTTTAGAACGGTCTTGTTAACCTTGGTTGCAGTCCTATCAACCTCAACCTCTAAATTCTTAGTAGCCCTTGGTGGACAGGCGATTGATGTGGGGTTGGAAAGTCGCTCATTTGATATCGATATCCCTCGTCGTGGAGAATCATAGTACTTCATCCTAATCGCACGGTCTCTGTTTGCTTGTCTTGCGCGCTCGTGTGATCCTTGATTCCCTCGACTAAGACACCCTCAGTTCCTTTGCGTATCATCGTCTGGCTATCTCGTCGATGAGATTCAGATATCGTACGTGGCCTAAACGGAGAAACCCCTAACCATCTAGAATTCCGATCCGCACTGCCCATCAATCTGCCAAAGCTCGTGGTTGATGTTTTTAGACTAGTATCAGACTACATTGAGTGCCACGTGGGAGCGCGTTTTGCATATGCGTTGTTGTGACCACTATATACCGAGAATGCACTGATCTGGATAATGTTGTCCCGTGCTCACATATACTCCAAATCCAACCAGACGTCACCCAGCACTATCAGAAATATGCCTGCCTTAAGCTCGCATATTGGTTGGATATTCTTTGTACTCATGATCACGCTGAAAATTCATCTTACGTAGCGAAGATGGGCAGTGATTTGATCTTCACGCGTGCCTTATGTCCAGGGGTTCGACGGATTTGGAGCAGGACTAGAGAAACCGGTGCCTTGGAGCATAGAATCTGAGTGGCCCCACTGGAATAGGTGGCCAGTCATGCAACAGTCATGTTGAATTATAATGTGGAAATGAGACGGTGGCATGAGGTCATCTATGCATGCAAATATAATCCCATGTTCAATGTACATACGACGGCACGAGCAGCGTGAGATAGTCCGTAAACACACGCGAGAGGGAAGAGAGACAATTACCGAGTGACAGAGATGTTCAGAAAATCACCTCATGACCGGTGCGAAGTGGAACGACGACGACCAAAGAAGAATCCGCAGCAGCTCACTCCTTCATAGAAGATTTCTTCCGTTAAGCCTTGTAATTGCGATGGTCGTCCTTGAGACCCCAGTTCCCCCGCTGCAGATTGATCTGGTTGCGTGGAACCGTTGGCCTCATTGCCACCCATACTTTGCATAGCTGCGGCAACTTCTGCTTCAGTCGGAGGGGCAATGCCGTATCTCTGCAAATGTATTTCAGTGCTATAAAAAAAGAGCGACGGCGAGCCACTCACATCTTCATCGCGAGCAGGAGCTATATCGACGGAGCGGTTGGATTTTCCTATAGGAAATAAATTAAAATTCCAACGCCGGGCCTGGCTCGATATTGATTGTGGCGCATGTGCAGGTCGAGTGTTGAAATGCAGGGAACCGAAAAAATTGCTCCAATGAAGGAGAGGCGATGGGCTCGCAGGTAGAGCTGCGCGACGAGGCACGCGGTTTGCATCAGTGTCCCAGAAGCCATCGCCCTGTACCAATGTCAGGCGGGACAGAGCTCAAGAATAAAATATTATACTGACATAGCTTGCCAAGCCTCTGGCTTTGCCCCGCTGTTTAGATACCAGACGACCGTCAAAGATCTAACGAGACAAATGAACATTCGCGGCAGCTCACAACTGATTGGCGCACGTCTCTAGATGAAGCTGTGTGTCCCTGTTAAAGAAGTGAGATGCAGTGTAATAGACGAGAAAAGGTGGGATTGCTTGCCTTGAGCTTCGCGTTGAGCTTTGCATTGCCATCATCCGCAGCCTAAACATCAACCAAAACACTTAGACAAGACGCCAACAACAAAGTGTACATACCCACGCCAACACCATGATCACCCTGCTGGTGCTGTGTGAGTGCTGCCTCCAGGTTCCATACATAAAATTTTCCGTCTAATCCGGCACTGGCAGTGTATTTTACATCCGGGAACATGACAAGAGCGGAGAGTTGGTCATCGTGCAAGAGTGGGTCGGTATGACCGCGACTCGAACGACGAGTTCCTCTCCGTCAATCGCCTGCCATTTTCGGATGGTAGTATCAGCCGACCCGGAGAAGATGTGTACGCCGTCCTTGGACCAATACAACGACATCACCAATTGTTGATCCCGACGAGTAGCTCTCCGTCCTTTGACCATACGCAGATCACGTTGTCCTCCCCACCGCTCGTAATTTTGTCGCCTTGTGGAGAGTATTTGACAATCTATACTCAACCTTTATTGGTCTCTATCGGCAGTGCTATTTGTCGGCCGGTATCTGGATTCCAGCGTCGTATGGTGCCGTCTTCCGATCCACTTGCTATCTCTAGGGCATTGGAAGACCAATCGAGGCACCTCACCGGAGCATTATGCCCCTCCCACAGGTCACCAATCAAGCTGCCCTTCCTTATGTTCCAGAACCGTAGCTTGTTGTCCTTACCTCCACTTACGACCATTGTGCCATCTGGAGACATCGCTATTACCGCTCCTCCACCACTATCCCAAGGCTTTCCTATCAGTTCCCCGTTTCTTTTCCACTGACGAATCAAACCATCTTCCGAAGTGCTCATTATATTGCAATTGGTGCCCAAGAGGCAACACTCCATATGTATCTGGAGTGACCCTCGATGATGCACTCCGGCGTCAAACTTCCTGCTGGACGTTCTAGCATAGGTTTCTTCCACGATGTAGTCCGAGTGTTGTGATTGACGGAGTAGGACCGACCGAGTGGTGAGATATGCCATTCGCATCTGGATCAACAAGATTCCCGGGATTATCTACGCTCAAACATGAGTTTCTCGCTCCTAGTGGCACATTATTCACTGACCTAGTTGCACTCCTGGAATAGGTCGCTTCATTGAGACCATAATGAGCGTGTCGTCTTGATACTGTGTTCCGCCATCTAACACCTTAGACTGCTACCATTGAGGAGAGTGTGTTATTCCCACCTGCTTCTTGTTGAATCAATCAACAGGTTTCACAACGTCGTTGCTTACCTTCCCAAAGTGCATCCTGGCGGTGTTGTGCACCATATGGTGGCGGATGCTTCGCGCTCGTTCGGAGAGGTGTAACACGTGCCGGTGAGTCTAACAGTGATTCCACTTTTCTCCGTCTTGCTGATGCGCTCGACTCGGCCTCTTCGTGGTGCATAACCCTGATGTGTTTACAGACGGGTGGACAGTGAGATGAGGCGCAAAATCAATAGTCAAGGTGAATGAATGGTGGTGGTGGTGATGAAGAGACCTGCTAGATGCTCAGTGTTGCATGCTGTAATTTCAGGCGTTCGCATGATAGTGGCAGTGCTGCCATCAGAGGAAGGAGACCTCGGTCCGGTTCGAAGGCTGTTTGATGTGCCTCGGTTCGTCAAGTACGTTTCGTCATCGCTGGCACCAAGTCCGATAGCGAGCGTAAAGATCAGGAGATTGTTTGATCCTGGGCACATATATCGAGTTCGTACGTTGTGCTCACGTAGAGCGTAGCAGCACTCCCAGACAAAGCACAACCAGTAACTGGGACTATAAATTGAAAAGTCCAGTCGGCACATGTGCAAAATGTGACGAAGGGAACAAGAATATAGACGCTCAAAGCCCGAGATTCCTATTCTTGGTTAATGTCCCCGAGGGAGTGTTCAGCACATGGATCTAGGGACACGAGCACAGGGAATGGGGGGGGGGGGGGGGGGGGGGGAGGTGTGTAAGGAGAAAAGAAACGTTGGAGCTGAATGAGGGTCGGGGTGGTAAGAGTTAACTTTGACAGGAGGAGGATCAATGTGGGGGAAGGGGACCGGCCCCGAGTACTAGCGTGCTTATGACATATTCCTTCTATCTCGTGAAAGCAGCTGATTTGAGGAGAACTTCTTTACAATATTGTGCGAGAACGCGGATACTTTCATCTACCGTGGGGGAAGTGTATCGTGAGTCAGAGCTAAGGGGAAGCCATGCAAGTCGACGCCGCCGTCAGATTTGCCGCCGACACGTCATAAGGACATTTATTCTTGAAGCAGCTGCTGGAGCGAAAGTTGCTCAAATGCTGGAAGTTCCTCGTGTGACTGAAGCGTAAGTACCTAGAGGCTACTGGTAGCAAAATCAATCCGGGAAAACCCGGGCTATTTCTCCAACTCTTCCCCCAAGTCATCCCAACTTTGACGTGCCTTGCCATGCGAAACCCATGTGATCGGGACACCCCTTCCTCGTAATTGCAAGTTGTGGTGAAGTCTCGTCGGACCTCCAACTTCCCACCATTTTTACTGTATTTCAACCATTTCGGAAAATATTAATGCCCGACTCATTCAGAGTGGAATGTCGAATCAGCACCTGCCATCGAATAGTGTGCTCTGACACTCCTTGAGTTCTTTTGCGTTCTGATCCGGAAGGTTGGAACCCCACGACATTACTGTATCCAGTCTGTATTCTCGCCATCTTGCCGAACCTCCGACTCGCACTAGTACTGGCACTTCAAACACTGCTAGTGTTACAGGGTCGTCCGAGCTCCATACTACATAGGCGACCATAGGATGATATGATACATCCTCCCATTCTGCACTGTCCTAAGAGACTCGACAATCTTCTCTGAACGCTCAAATGCCTTTATTTTACCTCGGATCTCCGAGTGGCTGGCAATAGCTGGAGCCAGATCTGCAACGGCACGTTTCTCAGGCAAAGATTGTTTGAGGTGACTATTCTTCGAATGTGCCTGTCAATACCATGACCCTGCACATCCGAACGGTCTCAGCGAGCTGAGCGAGCTCGTAATCGTCGGCGCTAAAGTGCTGTCTTTCCCAACACTTGTTTTGGCACGTAACCAAAAACAATGCTGGGGACGCACCTTTTCCGCCAATTGTTGTCGAGCCCAGGGTCCGTCAATCAATTAATTATCGCAATAGCAGCCAGAAATCAAGGCACGTGCCAGATGTGTCTTACGTTCTACAATTTCAGACCTCGACGGACCGACCAAGCATCAAAGGTGAACATCTAAACTTATCTCGGAACTAAGTATCTCCAATAAATTCAGGCTGAGTTCTCTTCCAGCGTATGTATAAAATGTGGGCTCTGAAGACGAGCATTGTTTTCCCGTTCCCTCAACAGTCCTAGCACCTCTCAACCAACCTCTCTCTTGTTTCAAAAATGTTCGCTCGCCTCTTCCCTGTTGCCTCCCTCGTCGCCTTCGCTGTTGCCAACGATGGCCAGTGCAACACCGGCAACATTCAGTGCTGTAAGAGTTCTGATTCTGTATGTGAATGTATTTTTCCTAGCGGAGCATGCTGGCTGACGAATGACCGGTTACTAGATCAGCAGCTACAACGCTATCGCTGAGATTCTGGGACTTGTCCCCATTGTTTCTGATATTTCTGGCCTCGTTGGCCTCAACTGTAGCCCCCTCTCCATTATCGGCCTCGGCTCTGGCTGTGAGGCTAACCAGGAGCCCTTGTGCTGCAGCGATAACAAATATGTAAGTGCTTCCGCGATGGCCTATGTTGCTCCCCAGTAATGACCGCGCTTTAGAACGGTCTTATTAACATTGGCTGCTCTCCTATTAACCTCGGCCTCTAAATGGCCAGTATACCTTGGTTGGACAGGCGATTGATGTGGGGTTGGAAAGTCGCTCATTTGATATTGATACCCCTCGTCGTGGAGGATCGTAGTACTTCATCCTAATCACACGGTCTCTGTTTGCTTTTCTTGTGCGCTCATGTCTATTGCAAGTCCTGCACTCGTATCGTTGCTTGGCTAACTTGTTGATGAGATTCATAAATCGTATGTGGCCTAAACAGAGAAGCACCTGGTCATCTAGAACTATCCGCACTGCCATGGTCTGGCAAAGCTCGTGGTTGATATTAGTAGAGCATTGGTAAGTAACGAGACTGGTATCAAACTATATCAAGTGGCACATGAGAGCGCATTTTGCACAAGCGTTGTTATGACCACCACCGACAATCCACTGGTCTGAAAAATGCTGTCCCTCCTTGTTGTGCATATATACTCCGTTCAACCTGCAGACGTCAGCCAGTGATGTGCATTATCAGAAAGAGGCCTACCTCGACGAGCACGCATATCGGTTGGCTATTCTTTGTACTTTCCATCGCACTAGAAATCCACCTTCTAAGGATGCGTACCTCAATTAGTTAGTAGGTGTACACGAAAAGGAAGAGAGTGAGTGATGGAGTGACTGAGAGATGATAGATGCGAAGGGGAACGACGACGACCAATGAAAAATACGCAGCACCTCACACCTTCATACAAAAATCCTTCAGCCCCACCGGTTCAGCCATGTGTTTACAGGTTGTATTGCGTAGCTGCAGTTGCTTCCGCGTCAGACTCAGGGGAATTCCGTATCTCTAGCAGAGAGGAGCGACGGCGAGAAACTGACATCATCTTCGCGACAAGGAGCGACGTCGATGGAACGTCTGGAGATCACGCGTTCCTTGTGTCCACGGTTCGATGGGTATTGGAGCGGGACTGGACAATGCGGTGCCTTGGAGTATAGAATCTGAATGGCGCCATCGGGATAGGTAGCCAGTGATGCCTGTTAGAGTCCGAACGATCCGAGCGATCAGAGACGAAGAAGACCGACCGATCCGAGATCGTTGAGGAGAGAGAGTGACAGGTGGTCCGAGCCCAAGCCAAAAAGGACATTGTCGAGCGACGCGTTGACGTCGGCTCGCGTCCTGCAATATGTTACTTATATGTTTGATATATTTTTCGTTTCTATCTACCTTAGTATAAGAACGCCACCAGTAGCCCGAGCGCATCTCAGCTTCTTTCAAGAGACTGAGATGTGAGTTAATAGTCTCTACGTATCGATTAGAACAGAACTGACGAGGCCCTAGTAGTATACTTGTTTACTATATGATCTTGATTGAGAAAGCACGGCGTGCTTTACGGATGGATGGACAACTTGATGTTGCTCAAGATCATTGATCGAGGGCGGTGAGAGATGGTGGAGGTAATGAAGAGACCCGCTAGACGCTCATATTTGCATGCAGGCCCCTCGCTGAAACCAGATAGTGAGTGGCAGTGTTGAAGCGCTCGCAGGTGACTTCGGTTCAGTTCGCACTTCACTTCGTTTTGTAAGTTCCACCAAATTCGATAGCAAGCGTCAAGAGATGGAGTTTACTTGAGCCTGGGCACACGCTATTTGAGCCCGTACGCCGTACTCTCAAGCAAAGCACTCTACAATTACAAGCCCAGTCGGTACCTCTGCAAAGTTTGACCAAAAGGGACATGGATATATAACATATATACATACAGTGGTCGTCGAGTCATCCATGCAAGTTATTCATCAATATCCTGAAGCTGAGCGTCAATACTGCAAGCATCCGGCGTCCAGTTCTGCACCCTCTTGTCACGACACCACAAGCCAGGCCGCCCGCCTCCAGCGAGGTCACGTTCCCAACGAACATCAAGTTCGCCACGAAGAATACCATGTGCACCACCAAGAGCTGGGTTCCAGAAAGCGGAGCCAACTTCCCCGAGGGTGTTTTCAGCGCATGAATCTGAGGACACAGGCACAGAGGATATATGGGGAGGGAGGTGCATGAGGAGAAAGGGGACACTGGAGCCGAGTGCGCGGGTGAGGGTTGCGATGGTGAATTTCGACTCTGAGAGGAGGAGGGCTACTGTTCCCAGTTCAGACACGGGTGTAGTGGAGCTGGCCCGAGTGTGCATATGCCATACGCCTTCCATCTCCCGGACATAGTTCGGCGAGAATTTCTTCTTTTCTGCTTTACACTGTGCAAGGACGCGGATTCGTCTACGAGGAAGTGTAATTGGAGAAGACTTGGAGTCAGAGAGGGGAAGCCACCACCATCCAAGCAAGTCGACGCCGCCGTCAGACTTGCCACCGACGCGTTTGAGTGACATTGAAAAACATTCTTGAAGCACTTGTAGCGACCGTTGCTCGAAAGCTGTTCCACGCGCAACTGTAGATAGTGTGCTCTGAGTAATTGAAGGGAGCATAGAAGGAACAGCAAGTGTACTCGGACAGTCTTAATTTGGTGGGAGCAAAACTCATCCGGAAAAACCCGGGCTACTTCACTTCTACTTCAAACCTCTTCCTCCACCTCCGAAAATCAACATGTCTTAGTGCGCTTCCCTTTCTATCTTATGTCTCACTAATCCACTGACACATTGGACCGGCAGCGTCATCCTCGGCCGGGCCATTAAAACTGAGCACCTCACATTGGGTACACTCTTCGCGACCGGCGGTGCCGTCTTTGCATCCCTTGGTGGAAAGAAGGATTCTGCATCTTCAGGAAAACCTCTTGCAGAGCGCGTGAAAGAGGCTGTACCTATTAATGCTGGGTCGAGGTGCGTTTACAGTCGTTCTCACTCGTATGCGAACCTGGACTGACGTGCGGCGTTTGTCTCTACAGTGAAGAGGAACAATTGTACGTGTATTCACAGCATCAATCGACTTGTGCTGCAGCACGGACTGATCAGGATGAACAGTATCAACAACTTTATTGCAGAGGCCGAGAAAGAGGGTGGGGCAGCGCATCATTGATTCTGGTATGCAGTGCCGAGGGATGTAGCTATTACCTTGGTGGTCAGAGACATCCAGCACAGTGACCTGCGGAAATAGAGTTTTTTCTCGCTATCATTGTTACCACCGTCTCCGGGCCTATGTTTGCAAGCAAGAATTTCGAAGGGTTTCCGTCATCATTGTTCCAGGTGTTATTCGCGATGGTTGCGTTGCTTTGCAACTGCCAGATCACCAGCATACTGACAGTGATTCATTACCAACTGCGTTCTCTCATACTCGCGAAAACGTCCATGTATTCTACTGTCTAATGATATTCACTCATATCACCAGGAACGCCAACAGTATGACACCAGGAAGAAGCAAACACCTGGCCCTCTAGAACACCTCCGGCTCCCCAACAGCAGCGTCCTCTCTCTCCTCCCTACCCTACTCACCCCCCACCTACCAATGTCCACACCCAGCGTCTCCACCAACGATGCTACCAAGGTCCTCAAAACCACCCGCCGGCATTCCTCCCTCCCACGTGTCCTGGCTCGTCGATGTGTATTCGTAACACGCACAATCTAAGCCCACGGCCGTTGCTGATGCCTTGATGAACACGGCGCATAGAATGGGAAATTCATCTAAGGTTGGTGCCAGACCCAAAAAGACCTGACGCTCGGTAAATAGACAGACTCTGGTGGGGCTCGAGGAAATGCATGGGTTGAACACGGTTGGGGAAACCCGTGCGTACTTGAGCGTTGGGAATACCAATGGGGGTGCAATGATGAATGATGATGAATGATGCTCCAGATATAAGACGACGGCATGGGAGTCATGTACACAAATACAACACTATGCCCATGTACATAGGATGACCCGAGCTGGTGCAGACCCAAAATGCACAAGAGAGCGAAGAGGGAAAATCATGGAGTAACAGAGTGTGTTCCAGCAAATAACCCCATGGCTGCCGCGAGGGGGGACGACGACGACCAAAGAAAAATCCGCAACAACTAACTTCATAGGAAACTTCTTCCGTTCCGCTAGTTGAACCTTACGCTTGTGTTGGTCGTTCGTGAGACCCTTGTACCCCCGTTGGAGGTTGAAGAGGTTGCGTTGAACTGTCAGCCTCGTTACCACTCAGACGTTGCATGGCCACGACCACTTCTGCCTCGATAGGAGGGGCAATTCCATATCTCTGCAAATTGTTCTTAGTGATATCAAAGTGGAGCGATGACGAACTATTCACATCGTCCTCACGAACAGGAGCTACATCAACGGAGCGGCTGGATGTTTCTACAGGTTGAGGTTCCAATGTCGGAGCTCGCGTGTTATTGATTGATGCACAGGACGAGAGCCGAAATGTAGGGAACCGAAAAAAAATACGCCTAATGATACTCACACTCATATATCATTTTCAATGGGATAAAAACAGACAAAAAAGCATTCTATTGTGACTTATTATATATACATAGCCTATACTAATGCTTCTCTACAGTAGATAGGTGGACATGGTGTGGTGGTGGGCAGGAATATGCTGGGGAGGAGTCACGTGGAAAATGTTGAGATCCAGGAGATGACCAGAAATGACTATGTTTTGGATGTAGTGACAAAGTTCTCCGGAGGGGTGGAGGTGCATATACTATAAGGTTTAGGAAGTGCCGAGAAGCTACTTCAATTGTTTGATGCCATGCATGGCTACATTTATACAATCCTAGTTATATTGGCATACATGAATAGCCTACCGAACAGTCTCGACGGCCAGCGAGGCCGAAATTGTCGACACTTGTTCTCAAAATTTTTTAATTGCACATACGTAACTCGATAAATTGCTAAGGACGTACGGGTGCCATTTCCCGCCAATCGTCGTCAAGCCCAGACCGCCAAATGGACCAGAAATCAAGGCACGTGCTCATACGCGTCTCGGCATCTTACGTTTCTTAACTACTTAGTACGTTCTGCAATTTAAATTTCTGAACTATGCCCAAAGAAATTCAAGCTGAGCTCTCTTCCAACATATAAAATACGGGCTCTGAAGATAATTTTTTTTTCAGTTCTTTACCGTTCTCTTAACAGCCTCTCAACCAACTCCCTTCATCCTCTCCTCTCTCAGTAAACATGTTCGCTCGTCTCTTCGCTGTTGCCTCTCTTGCCGCCGTTGCTATTGCCACCAGTGGCCAATGCAACACCGGCAGCATCACATGTTGCGAGAGTAAAACTTCCGTATGTGAATGTATTTTTTCCAGTGAATCGGGATGACTGACAAATGGCCCGTAGACCAGCAACTACAACAGTGCTGCTGAGCTCCTAGGTCTCGTACCCGTTGCCGCTAATGTTGCTGCGGACGTTGGCCTCGTCTGTAGCCCTGTCACTGTTGTTGGCACCGGTGCTGGCTGTGAGGCTAACCAGGAGCCTTTGTGCTGTACCGACAACAAATATGTAAGTGCTTGAACGATAGTCTATGACTCCCACTAAATCATCATCGCGTTGTAGAACGGCCTCGTTAACCTTGGCTGTACTCCCATCAACGTCAGCGCCTAGATTTCTAGCATGCTCTCGATGGTCAGTTTATTTGGGGAGTAATTAATGTGGGGTTGGAAGGTCGTTCACGGGCATTTATATTTGATACCGCATTGTCGACAATCATAGTACTTCATTCTAATCACTCGCTTTTTGTTTGCTTTAAAATTTCTGCGCGTTCATGTGAGATCCTTCACTGGCTTGACTGAGACACGGAACACGCGGTGATATTGTTCCTCTTCTGTTCTTTGCCTTATTCACTATCTCGCATCTAGCAATGCACCTCATGCTGTTGTGCGTGATTGTGTGCAGCTAGTAAGTACATGCGGTGATGCCAGGACACATCGAGTAAAAATTAGCACAAGTACTAGCGCAAAGAACAAAATACAGCGAATATCTATGTATAAACAATACAGTACCCCACGCATGCACCCTCATCCCAACAAACAGGTGCTATCAATTCGCGAATGCCTATAAACACAGTACACCCCCTTCTCAATATTCATCTACTATTCATCCGCCAGGCAACATCAACGTCGAGAAAAATAACTGCTACCAATTCCAATCATCGTCATCATCAAAACTCGTAGCCGTCGCCGTCCCTGGTTCGGCGGACACTCGCGGTTTGGACGTTTTGCCTGCAGACATAGACGCGGCAGAGGTAGGCTTAAGCACAGAAGGCATCATAACCCTCCCAGCATGTACCGTATTCTCCTCCTCGTCATCTTCCAGCCAACTGCCTGTACGCGGGGCTGAAGTATGACTACGAGTCTGCAAACACGTAGAACGCGTGAAGGGTGAACTCGTGTTTGACGACGGAGTGAGTAACGAAGCGGGTGAGGAGCTGCGTTGGGAGGCAGTGTTAGATGAGGATGAGGTGTGTAGGGATGATGGGAATGGGAAGAGGGATGGTGCGGGTGCTGGGGATGTGGCTACTGGGCTTGGGTTTAGTGCTGAGACGATGGATTGGGAGACGTCTGAGAGGAGGGTGGAAGCGCGCTTTTGGCTTTTGGAGAACCTGGTGACGAGGGTCAGTCTATTACACAATGCGAGCAAAAGAAATCGGTAAAAAAATGCACTACAAATTGAAAAGCGCGAAGAGGACATCACTTACACATCGCCTCCGAGCTTCCTCCCCACGTTTCCCCATGCCCCACCAACCACGGCGAGCGATCCGACGCCAGGCATCGATGAGGGAGGTGCCAGTGAGGCGCGTTTGGCACGTAGCGTATTTTTGCTGTGAGTTCCAGCACCGTCCGCATCGGTTTCTAAAGTCGATAAGTCCGCCGCCAAAAAGGACGCGTCCATCCCCAGATTCGACATACCCCGGACGACGTCTGGCGTCGAGTCGAGATCCACGCTGCCCCGACCGATATCCACACTAGTGCTCGTACTATTACACGACGTAGCATGCCTCGTGAATGCAGGCGGAGGATGAGACATGTCGCGTGATCGTCGACGGAAGATTTTTTCTTGTCTTGCTCTTGCTGCGTCATTGTCTCCCGTCTGTTTTGTAAGAATCGGTTCGTTATCTTCCGCGCTCTTGACAGAAAGGAGAGAAAGGTCCTCGTCCCAGACAGACGACACGGAAGTCCTCGAGAGCTGCCCAATCCTTGAACTGGTAGACATTGATGTGGAGGAGTCGCTCTCGCGCTGTGCGTGCCGCCTTGGGACCCCTGCTGTTTCTTCTGTGGTTGGTGCAGGAACGACTGAGGGGATGGGAGCAGTGAGGTCGGTTAGATCGCTCAGACCAGCTGCGAGTAATCTTACGCCTTCTTTGAGACCGTCTACGACAGAGGTGGTGGGTGTTGATGTGTTGGCGTTGGAGAAGGGAAGGGAGGGGTAGTGTGGTTCGCGGTTCACAATCCGTTCCCATTTGCGTTTTACTGGAAGACGAGTGTCAGATCGGTCCTATTAGGAATTTGGATAGGTATGATGGTAGGTATATGCTGCACCACAGCAGGGAAGGGACGAAAAGAAACTGCGCGAAAGAACTCACATTCCCCCAAGTCTCCTTCAACAGCAGCCAGCTGGCCCGTCAGCTCGAGACGTTTACTCTCAGCGGCCGCAATTGCGTGTAGGAGATCGGCGTGTCTGAGATTAGGTTCCGTTAACATCAATACAGGTACGCAGAAACCAGAACGTACTTCTCAGCAAGCGTCAGCGCAACTCTCTCTGTACCTCCACTAGCACTAGCACTCCCAAAGCTCACATGTGCGCGGGCTTCCCCAACTGCGTTCAACCCGCGTAACTCCTCGAGCCCTGCCATAGTTCGCCTCTTCATCGAGCGTGAAGTCCTTTTAGGTCCTCCTCCAAACTCGGATGAACTTCCAATTCCGTGTACCGTATTCGTTCCTATCAAAGCATCAGCAACGGTCGTAGACGTAGACTGCGCGTGTCGTGAGTATACATCGACGCGAGAAGACACGTAGGAAATAGAGGATTGTCGGCGTGTAGCTTTGAGAGCTTTGGTCGCGTCGTTCGTGAAAATTTCTCGTGTGTGGGCATTTGTGAGTGGTGTGCTGCGAGTTGGAGGGGGTGAATAAGGCGGGGATGGCAGAGAGCTCGCTGCTGTTGGCGAGCTGGACGTGTTCAATAGCGAAAGGTGTTTGCTGCTTGCTGGTGTCGTGGTGTCGGTGTTCATGGTGGTGGTATATGATTGACTTGTCGTGGTGGTATCGTTAGACAGCAGAATACATGGAATTGTCGTGAATCGTGAATATGAGTGAGAGAATGTAGTTGACACTAGCTGGCAGTTGCAAAGCAACGATCGCGAACAACAAATCATGAGCCAAAAATGGAAACTCTCCGGAATTCTCGCTTACCAAAACATAAGTCCGTGATCCGTGGACAAGTACTGGACGCAGGTATATCAGATCTGACTTTATTCTGTCCAGCAACTTGCAAGGTATCTGCATCTCTCTATACTTGTATATTAATATGAGGACTAGAATTAATTGCACCGCCCTTCTTCTCGGCGTCTGCAATCATGGAGGCGCCCGCAAATACAGCATGCAAGACTGAGCGCCTAGCAGGTCTCTTACCTCCTTTCACCTTCGACTATTGATTTTGCACATCATCGACCTTTGCCTCAGTGTTGGTAAGCACGTCGACGTTGCTCGATCAAGGCCATTAATATGCTTGGCGGAGAGGCCGAGTCAAGCGCGTCAGCAAATCGAAGAGAAGTGGAATCTCAAGCGCCGTTAGACTCACCTGCGCGTGTTACGCCTCTTCGGACGAGCACGAAGCATCCGCCGCCCTATGGTGCACAGCACCGCCAGGATGCACTTTGGGAAGGTGGGCAACCGCATTTTGATGCCCATTCACTTACTGAACACAAAGTAGGCGGGAATGAAGCGCTCCCCCCTCAATGGTGGCAGTTTAAGTTGTCGGATTGCAAGATACGATATCAAGATAACACACTCATGATGGTTTCATTGAACCGACCTGCACCAGGAGTACGTCTAGGTCAGTGAGGATGTACCATTAGGAACGACGAACTCATGGTTGGACGTAGATAATCACGGACAACTTGTTCCTGGATGCGAATGGTACATCTCACCACTCGGTCGGTCCTACTTCGTCAACCATAATACTCGTACCACATCCTGGAAGAAACCAACACCAGAACATCCACCGGGGAGCTTGATGCCGGAGTGTATCATCGAGGGTCACTCCAGATGCATATGGAGCCTTGTCTGTATGGCCACCAGTTGCAATATATTCAGTGCATCGGAAGATACTTCCATTCGCCAGTGGAAAAGAGACGGAGAGCCGGTAGGAAAGCTTTGGAGTAGTGGTGGAGGAGGGGTGGGCTCAATGACAGTATCTCCTGATGAAACAATGGCGGTATGTGGAAGCTCAGATGGCAGGCTACGGCTGTGGAACATAACAAAGGGCGGCATGGTTGACAACCCGTGGGAGGGGCATACTGATCCAGTAAGGTGTCTTGATTGGTCTCCAAGTGCCCTGGAGATAGCAAGTGGATCAGAAGACGGCACCATACGACGTTGGAACCCAGATACTGGCCGACAAATTGCACCAGCGATAGACACCAGTCATGGTCGGGTGCTTGCCGTCAAATATTCTCCACGAGGCGACAAATTCGCGAGCGGGGGGGATGACAAGATCATCCGCGTGTGGTCAAAGGACAGCGAGCTGCTCATCGAGATCAAGGGACATGAAGACGTGGTGATGCTGTTGTGTTGGTCCAAGGACGGCGCGCACATCTTCTCCGCATCAGTCGATCGCACCATCCGAAAATGGCGGTCGATGGATGGGAAGGAGCTAGTTGTTCTTCGAGGTCATACACAAGCTGTCAACTCCCTCTGTCTTTCCCCCGATGAATTCCATCTTCTCAGCGCATCAGACGACTTCTCAATTCGCATCTGGGACCTGAAGACCAATCAGCCAGTCGGAGATCCACTCTTGCATGATGACGAAGTCTTGAGTGTTGCCATGTTCCCCGATGGAAAATACATTGCCGGTGCTGGATTGGACGCAAAAATATATGTATGGAGCTTTGAGGCAGCGCTCAAACAACAAGGGAGTGATCATGTTGGCGTGCGTATGTGCATTGGTATTTCACTGTCTTTTCTGATGGTTTTGGTCGTCGTTAAGGGTGTAGGTGATGGCAATGCAAAGTCCCTCAAGGCAAGTCACCTTTACTTCTCTTTCACACTGCATCTCACTTTTTTAACAGGGACGCTCAATTTCATCTAGAGACGTGCGCCAACCAGTTGTGAACAAGTAGATCTTTTGAATACTCATCTATCTCTTCAGATCTTTGATGCTCGTCAATTCTCTAAACATCGGGCCAACAAAAGAGGCCTGGCGAAATATGTCAGCATAGTTTTTTATTCTTGAACCCTTTATATGTAGCCTGACGCCGATACAGGGCGACGACTTTTGGGGCATCGATACAAACCGCACGCCTGGTCGTGCAGCTCCACCTGCGAGCACATCATCTCCTCTTCATTGGCGCAGTTTCTTCAATTCCCTACGTTTCGGCACTCGAACTGCAAATGCGTCTCAATCAAGACCGCGCGAGCACCGGCATTGGAATTTCAACTCGTTTCCTCTAGGCACATCTAGCCGCCCCGTCGATGTAGCTCCTGCTCGCGAGGACGATGTGAGTAGCTCACCATCGCTCCTCTTTGATATCATTAAGAAGAATTGCAGAGATACGGTATTGCCCCTGAATCTGATGCGGAAGCAGCTGCAGCCATGCAACGTCCGAGTGGCAACGAGGCCGACAGTTCAACGCAACCAGTTCAAGTTGCAGCAGGAGCACAAGGGTCTCAAGGACGACCAACACACGCACAAGGCTCAACCGGCGGAACGGGAGACATTTCCTATGAAGTCAACTGTTGCGGATTTTTCTTTGGTCGTCGTCGTTCCCCTTAGCGGTAATCGTGATGTCATCCGCTGGAATTCTCTGTCCCTCTAAGATTTTCCCTCTAGTGTGCATTTATGGACTGGCTCATCCACTTCGTGTCGTCCTATGTACAAGAATGGTATTATATTTTTTCTACATGACCCCCGTGCCATAGTTTCATGTCTGGACTATCATGCATCATCGCTCATCACTGCACCCCCGCTGGCACTCCCCTCACATGTGCGCGGGTTTCCCCAACCACGTTCAACCCATGCAAATCCTGGAGCTCCACCGTTGTCCGCCTCTTCATTGAACGTGAGGTCCTTTTGGTCTGCCTCCGACCTCGGATGCACTTCCTATTCCATGCGCCGTGTCTGTTTCATCCAGGCATCAGCAACGATCGTGGGTGTTGACTTATACATTGATGCGCGAGGGCGTGTGGAAGATTGCCAGCGGTGGGCTTGAGGGCTTTGGTTACGTCGTCAGGAGCGGACGCCAACGCGTGCGTGCATTGGGGGGTGGTGTGCTGCGAGTTTGAGAAGATGAGTAGGAGGGGAGGGGATATGGTGAACTGGAGGTGTTCAAGAGTGCCCAGGCGTTTGCTGCTTCCTGGTGTCATGCTGTTGGTGTTCTGGTGATGGTATACGATTGAAGTATGGGTTGTGTAGGTATTATCAAGCAGCAGAAGACATGAACGTTCAGTTCAAATTTTTATTGAATCAGTGCTGGCCACCCACAAACCTTACGACAATGAACTCTCTGGAAGATGAGAGCAGAAAAACTCTATTTCCGCAATCACTAGTATTCCTCACTGGCAGGTACATCGCATGCCCACCGACCGTGGTGGGCAGGTGAGTGCAGGATCTTGATCAGCTCGTCAGGTGTCTCCATTACGTAGTTGCTGAATCCCATTAATGCAGATTACCAAGCAACAATGCAAAGGTCTTACAATAGACGTAGTCCAAGTAAGGAATTATACAAATGTCATACTGAGAATTGTGTCTTATTCAAGTCGACCAAGGATCTCACATAGAGCACACAAGAAACGCAAACAGAAAGCGTATGATTAGATGAAGTCTATGATCCTCGACGAGGGACATCAATATCAAATAAGCGACCTTCTGACAACTCCACAATCACACCCTACATCAATCACCTGTCCAAAGGCTATGCTGGGTATCTAGAGGCCAGCATTGGATAGGGGAAGCAGCCAATGTTAATTGCACCGTTCTAAAGCGTGATCATTACTAGGGCGCAACATAGACCATAGCGGAATCACTTACATATTTGTTGTTGCTGCAGCACAAAGGCTGCTGGTTAGCTTGACAGGCAGAGCCGGTACCGATAACGGTGAGGGGGCTGCAGTTGAGACCAACGTCGCCAACAACACTAGTAATGATGGGCGCGACACCTAGAGCCCCGTAGGCACTGTTGTAGTCGCTGACCTAGTAGAGAGCCATTCCTCAGCCATCTTGCTCTGAAAAGATAGAAAAACATTAACGTACGGAGGAGGAACCCTCGCAGCACTGGATGTTGCCGGTGTTGCACTGGCCATCAGTGGCAACAGCGAACGCGACGAGCGAGGCAACAGCAAAGAGACGAGCAAACATTTTTGAGAGAAAGTGAGGATGAAGGGGGGTGCTTGAGAGGTGCTTGGGCTGTTGAGAGAACGGTAAAGGAATGAAAAAAAAGTCGTCTTCAGAGCCCGTATTTATATGCTGGGAGAGAGCTCAGCTTGAATTTATTAGAATGCAGGAAACGTAACGCCGAGACGCGTACGAGCACGTGCCTTGATTTCTTGCTTCTAGTAGCGTCTATTTTGCGGTCTGGGCTCGTTGGCTCGACAACTTGATTAGCGGGAAACGGCACCCGTCCCTAGCATTTTTTTAGGTTACATACGTGCGATACTCTAAAAGAAGGTTTTACGACGAGAGGCTCTGGCCTTCGAGTTGCTCTTCTGAAGGATTTTGAGACAAGATTTACACTAGTTTGAAAATTCAGCGTAGAAGTAAATGAACTGTAAGTGAAACGCGAATCCAAACTTAGCGAAATTTCCTGCCATGCGAGATGTAAGGGCAGAAAGGATGCGGTAGGATGTCAAGTGCGGGGAACCAGGAATACACCAACAGAGAGGGACTTAAGCCACGTTCAAGTTCGCACTGTGGCGCATGCATGATTCTGGCTGACAGAACCTCGTTGAACTTTACTTCAGTGGCAAACGAGATTCGCTGGATACTTTGAATGTAAGGTCAATATTGTCGAGTGACTCCAGTACTGTCTAATGCCACGCGAAAGCCTTTGGGATGGGTGGAAGTGTGTTCGCAAGCAGGACGACTTAGCTGAAGGGTGAGGGATTAGATCGAAGGGAAAAGCTCAGCGAAAGATAGTGCTTGACGTGCCAAGCATCGACTCGACAAAGTCTGGTCGGATAGGCGAGTGAAAGACGGAAAGAGTTAGACTATTCGGTCATACGATTCGGTTAGTATCCCTAGTACGCAGATCAACTATAACGAAAATGTTCGTGGGCTCGGAGAGTCTGATTCATAATAAAATGAAGATGAAAGGATATGGTTTAGTGGACTGTGGCTGTACACTCTGAATCTGTACTCTCGTTGAACTTCAGCTACTTAAAGTACTTACACACTTACTTTCACTACTAGTACTATACATACTGTCAACGGTAACTCGCTTACCCCACGGTTACTCCCTCTTCCCAGGTTCTCTCCAGCTATCTCACCACATTAGTGTGCTAGCCAGGCCATGCAATAGCCCATAACGTTCCGGACGAGTCTCGCTGTGTGTCCCCGTCGCATTCAGCACTTTTCATATCACCGATTGTCACTCCGTACGAGCCTTGTGTGAGGTCTGAAAGCTTGAAGGACGTTTGAAGGAAGTCCGGGAAGTTCTAAGGAGTATGAGCGGTGCTGCAACGGACGGCGCGAGAAGCACATGGAACTAGGAGAACCTTGGGGAGGTGGTATAAATGGAATGCCAGGAGAAGGCACAAAAACATTATTTAGCTTGTGAGCGAGTTTCCAGTTGGTCTCGAATTATGCCGACTAAACTTACCGAAACATGCAAGGGGGATTCAATCACTTGGTATGTATTGATCTGTCATGAACGCGCTGACTTGATGTTGCAAGACATCGTGAGGAGGGTCACTCTCAAAACATATCCCCAGTCTGAAGCCTACCAGGTAAAATGTTGGAGTCTGGACTGACTGTGGACCATGGCGTGTGCTGCCCACAATCCTCGGTTTATAGCCTAGCTGGCGCCAATTTTGAGTCGGCGTCTCCATCCCAAAAGCAAACATATACAGCACATGCACCTACCTCACCGGAGTGGTGCGTCAGCCATCAACCTCAGATAGTTGCTACTCAGTGAGGTGAGTTCTGACTTATTTCCGTATAACAGGCAGGAATGACGACTTCTATTTTACGATGCTCCAACTTTGCTCGAGGGCATGTCCGACTACTTTTTGTCTTTCTCACATCGAAAAATACCTCTCTCAATATATCTACTAGATCTTGCGTCATACGTTCAGTCGTTTCCCTCGAACATCACTACCAGGCTCAGGTAAGTTTTAGCGGTACAACGAGTATTGGTCTACTCACTGAAATACAGATCTGTGTTCCATTTCGTGATGGAAGATATCACAGCGATCGCTTCAAACTTGATTGCAAGCTAAACAACCTTCCCTTCCATTTGAATGCCATTAACGCATAGTCACTCCTAGGGTGCGCGATCGACAGATTCAAGCACTCAAATCGTCTCATATGAGGTGGACATCTACTTCTCCTATATCTACGAACACACAGATACGCCGTCTGCGTACCCACGTCACGGAGCGAGGAATACTCATGGTACGATGGATAGACAGATTGTCCGACTTACCCTGGATGAACTGACTTCCTCTTTCGTGGACCTGCGTGTCTTCTGTATGCGGTTTTTTCATCTTCCTTTACAATTCACAATCCTCACTGCCCGGTCTCTTCTCTGTGAAATATATAATGCGATCCCTCTTGTGCCCTCATGTCGATCAAACTCTACTCGTGCGCTGGAGGACCTTGAAGATGATAACCGAGAATCAGAGTGTTTGTGTCCACAGGCTCAATAGAACTCGGAGCATGATTAGAGAAACCAGCATATAATCTAGATGACCCCACTGTGATGGAAGGACACGGCAGTGATGAGTAGTTACAGTAAAGTACGGAAGTGAGATACTTAATACAGTGTAATCTAGACGAGGATGAATACAACAATCAATTACATAGAACAGCAGGAGCTGAGTGAGATACTGTATAGGTGCATACGGGGAGGAGAAAATTATTGAGACACAGAATTTCAGCAGATGACCTCAGGTGGGACGAGGACGACCAAAGAAAAATTCGTAGAAGCTCACTCCTTCATAAAATGTTTCTCCCACTCTGCAATTCGAGTCTCGGGACTGTGTTGGTCGTCCTTCACATCCTTGTACCCCCGCGGTAGGTTGATTTCGTTGTGTTGAACTACTGGCATTGTTGCCGCTCGTAGTATACGTCGTAAAGCTGCTGCCGCATCTTCATCGGACTCAGGAGCGATGTCATCTCTCTGCAAATTTATTTCTATAGTATCAGACAGCGAAAATATTGGTGATATCGAGCAACTCACGTCTTCATCGCGAGCAGGAGCTACATCGACGGTGCGGCTGGACAGAAACAAGCCGGAAATCCCACACTGGGGTTCGAGCGCTATTGAGTCTGGCTCATTTGCGGGTTGAGTGCTGAAAAAAAGGGAACCGAGCAAACTGCGCAAATTAAAGGGAGATGATGGGCTTGCAGGTGAAGCTGAGCGACGAGCGTCCCAGACATCATCGCCCTGCATCAGTGTCAGGCTTGCAAGACCTCAGGAATGAACGACTACACACATATTTCGCCGGGCCTCTGCTGTTGGCATGCTGTTCAGAGACCGCACGCGCGTCAACCATCTAACGAGATGAATGAGCAAGGGATGAGATGGAAAAATAAGGATGAATGACTTGCCTTGAGCTTCGCGTCGGGCTTCGCATCGCTAGAGCCATGTGCACTCTAAACGGCAATCAAAACCCGCTTAGAAACAGCATCAACAACAGGAATGTACACACGCACGCCAACTTGATCACCACCCTGCTGTTTGAGGGCTGCATCCAGGCCCCATAGATAGATTTTTCCGTCTAATCCAGCACTGGCGAGGTGTTTTCCATCAGGGGAAATTGCAACAACCGAGACTTCGTCGTCGTGCAAGAGTGGGTCTCCAACTTGCTGATTCATCTTGACGTTCCAGATGCGAACCGAGGAGTCCATTGATGCGCTGATAAGATGTAATCCATCCCGGGATAGACAGAGGGACTTGACACAGCTCCTATGACCCCGAAGAACGAAAAGCTCCACCCCGTCAATCGACTGCCATTTTCGGACGGTTTTATCCAATGACGCGGAGAAGATGTACGTGCCGTGCTTGGACCAGCACAACGACGGCACCGAGTTCACATGTCCCATAAGCTGGGTGAGCAGTTCGCCGTCCTTTGACCACACGCGGATGATCATGTCCATCCCGCTGCTCGCGAGTTCATCACCTTGTGGAGAGTATTTGACGGCATAAACCCAACCATGACCGGTATTAATCGGTAACGTGATTTGTCGACCAGTGTGAGCATTCCATCGTCGAATAGTGCCGTCGTCTGACCCACTTGCTATCTCCAGGGCATTTGGGGACCAATCTAGGCAGCCAACTGGAGCATTATGCCCCTCCCATGTTAATGGGTCGCCGACCATGGTGCCTTCCTTTATGCTCCACAGCCGCAGTCTGCCATCCAAGCTACCACTCATGACTTTCGTTTTGTCTGGACACACTGCAATCGAGATTGCAATTTTTCCTAAACCATCCAAAGGTTTTCCTACTGCCAGTTGATTTCCAGCTCTTTTCCACTGACGAATCGAACCATCCTCCGAAGTGCTGATTATGTTGCAACTGGTGCCAAGGTAGGCAAGGCTTCCATATGCCCATGGAGTGAGCCTTGATGATGCACTCCGGCGTCAAGCTCCCTGCTGGACGTTCTAGTACAGGCTTCTTCCACGATGTGGTTCGAGTATGGTGATTGACGAAGTAGGACCGACCACGTGGTGAGATGTGCCATTCACATCCGGGAACGAGCTGTCCATGTTTGTCTATGCTCAAGCACGTATGAGTTCCTTGCCATCAGTGCTACATTATTTATTTACCTAGTCGCACCCCTGGTAAAGGCCGGTTCCACGAGACCATCATGAGCGTTTCGTCGTGATATTGTGGTACACCATCGAGCATCGTATGGCTTTTCCATCGAGGAGGGAGCACTTTATTCCCGCCTGCCTCTCGTTGAGTACGTAAATAGGTATCACAGTGCGGTTGCTCACCTGTCCAACGTGCATCCTGGCGGTGCTGTGCACCATATCGTGGTAGATCCCATTGCGCATCTGTCCGTGTTGCTGATGTACTTGATTCGGCCTCGTCATGCAGCATAATGCTGGTGAAGCCAGATTTCGAGAACTGTGTGGGTGGAAAGCGGGTCGGAGCAACGTTAGTGATCGTGGAGGCGATTAAGAGACCTGCTATGTAATCAGTGTCACATGCTGTGGTGGTAGGCGCCTTGCTTATATCTCAGTTCCTATCACCGCCCGCGTTCAGAGCGTCTATATCCACGGTGACCCACAGACAGAAATACTTACTATGTAGTGTGATTGATAGTTGTGCCACAAGAATCTAGTCAAGGCGTCATACATTTGAGGCAGGAAAGTCGGGTGACGTGCAAAGAAGCGAATTCGTAAGCATATGCATGTTTGAAAGCAGGACCTAGAGGTGATTGTGACTTGATGAGAGGGTTGAGATTGTGGACAGGACAACCGATTCGGTTGCGATCAATGAAGTGAATGATCATCCCCGAGGGAAAAGACTCAAGAGAAGGATGAGCTGCGAGAGGACGGTTGTACACATATCAGGTCCACAAGCTGAAGACGGTTATTGAATGATGCGATGCGCGTTATCAATGTTGGAGAACTTGCTATGGTGTGCAGGGACAGCAAGTGAGGGGACTCATGGGGGTGAGTAAAATAAAAAGCCCAACGACGTAAACATTGTCGAGAACCGGTGACGGCTTTTTCCGGCTGTCTTTGCTCGTCTGACTCAGTGGGGGCGAAGTTCAACTTGGATTTCCGCAGGCGTACTAATATTTGTTTGTGTACATTCGCAACGTAGAATCTAAATAGCCCCACCGGGAAGGAGTAGCCTGATGAGTAGTTACAATCTGAGAAGATGGCATGGGGGCATCTAGACGAATAGATATAATCCAACGCTCGATGTGCAATCAAGAGCTTGTAAATACACACGAGAGGGAAAAGAGAAAGTTATAGAATGACAGAGAGGCTTCAGCCAAAGAAAAATCCGCAGCAGCTCACTCCTACATAGGAGGGAAGGTCTTCCGTCTCGCCAGTGGAACCTTGCATTTGTGTTGATCGTCCTTGAGACCCTTGTGCGTATGCTGCAGCTTGACCTGGTGTCGTTGAACTATTATCGGCATTGTTGCTGCCTGCACGTTGCATAGCTGCAGCGGCTTCCACGTCGGACTCGGGAGCAATGCCATATCTCTGTAAACATATTAAAAAGGGTCGACTATCGGGGATGTCGAGCGACTCACATCTTCATCACGAGCGGGAGCTACATTGACGGGGTGTCTAGAGATTCCTATGGGAAATAATCTGAACTTCCAATGCTGGGGCTGGAGCGATAGTGATTCTGGCGCGTTTGCAAGTGGAGTGTCGAAACGCAGGGCACCAAACAAACGGCGCCAATGAGTAGGGGATGATGTGCTCACAGGTATAGCTGAGCGACGAGGCGTGCAGTTTGTATCGGTACCCCAGAAGGCATCGCCTTGTATCGGAGTCAGGTGTAAGGGAGCTCAATAACGAAAAGCTATGCAGCTGCGTGTCCCTGGAAAAAGTGAGGTGCCGTTTGAATCAAAAACAGCTTGAAGGGCAGATGACAAATTGCCCTGAGCTGCGCGTTAGGCGTTACTTGCACTGTCGTTTTTGAAGCTTCATTTGACTCGTTGGCATATGCATGCTCGGCACTTGCTGGCCTCAGACATGCAGGGTTCCATATGATTGCAGCATTGTCCGAGCGGTGTAACTTAGTATCCCAGCTTGCTGCACAGACCTTCATGACTAATTATAATATTTGACAGGCCATAAGCACTACCAGCCAGGTTCGAGAGCCGGGGAGTATCAACTGCACTAAGTAAGCAAGACACCTCCGCCTAAGTCCACCTCGACCGTCTTAACACCATCGTGGGTGCTTGGGTTTACACTCTGACGCAGGAACCCATCTTTCATATCACGCGAGTGTTCCATTGTACGTACTAGTATCCGTCAATGGTGTCGTCCTGACGGATGCGGCGACCAAGGGTTCAGTTTCTGTTGTCAACTGATTTCTAGCGGGTGAAATTACTCACGCACCAGGGCAGGATCTCGATAATCGCTCACACGGTCAACTCTATGACCCCAAGATCTCAAACTTGAAGTTACACCAATACATTCAAATATCAATAGATCAACATACAAAGCGTTGTGGCACACCCGTGTCGTATTCTTCAATACTCGCGCACGCGTCAATGTCTAGTCACTTCCCTATCCTATCTTGCAACTGTTCGTCTTCTTGGTCATTCTTTGTGACACTTGCTCTGAGCATGAATACTGGACTCATAAAAGTAAAATACATTATGAGGGCCCGTATTGGACAAAATTCTAGAGTTTTGCTTTGAGCTTGTCAAACTTGATTTCGATTTTGATCTTACCGAATAAGGAAGGTGTGTCCTTCGACAGCGACAGCGACATCGACCTTGACTTTGACTTCTGCTTCGACGTAACCATAACTCTACTCTATATGATTAATACAGCTTATGTTGAATTACAGCCAATTCACCTCGAGACCGTGACTATTAAGCCCAAGGATGTCGGCGCTATCGGTAATATCGCGTTTCGTCGCTGTTTCCCACGCTTGCTCGCTGTGTGCCACTAGTGGCACACGACGACGACGACCACACCAAGCACACTGCGAAGCACAACGCAAGACAACTTCAACAGTTGCACAGCTTATTCGTATTAATTACAGCCATGGGTATCAATAAATTCCCCTTGAGACTATCGAGCTGCTCATGAAATACTTAATTAGGCTGATTTGCATTGACTGCTGACGGTGACTTTGTGGAATTACATGGGCTATCAACAGCAGAAGCAGAAACAATGGGCATCGAGGACGGCAGTCCGACGTGTTGCCCGCCGTAAATGGAGGTGAAGAAAGGGAGGGTGATACTCCACCACGAAGCTTCGGAGCAGGATGGCCAAACCGAGCGTCGTAGGGGAAGAACTCGGTTTAGGAACAAGCAGACGTGAAAAATTGTCAGTAGCATATACATAAAATAAAATAAACAAAACCATCAGGCTTGTCGCCTCCAAGAGGCGTGTTGGACCAGGGATGTAATGGTTCGCCGCGCCGCCGAGGGACAACAAAACGAACAAAAAAACTCACCAACCATCGTGCCGGCAGTTGTCCGTGCGTTCTGGGGGTGAGCGCACAGTGTCGTTGGGGCTTGGCGTTGGGTGGATGCGGGGAACGTGCGTGGTGACATAGTTATTGAGTGTGCCGGCGATGTGGACGCTGGACTTTCTGCCGGCACTTGCCGAGGGTCAAGCTCAACATCAAAGTCAAGCTCAACACATCAAAATCAAAATCAAAACATCATAGTAACGCGGAAGACATTCCAACATCTAAGCTCAAGTCAAGTTTCGCAAAGCCAAAAGCGAAAAAACAATTTGTCCAGTACGGTCCCTTATAATACATGCAGGGGTAGTCACCAGCACAGACTTACGCACGGTGTAGACACTAACACTGCACCTGTACATCCGAACAATGCCAGTCTTAGTTGACCTGTTACTGTTCCAGAATCATTATACTTAGGCTTTCAAACTTAAGAAGAACAAGGTACGTGCATTACCTCACTCACATCAAAGGTTAATCGACTTGCCCTCGCGCGTCTGCCAGTGCTCACGACGTCCAACCGGGACGTCTTGTTACTTCCCACAACTCACCACAACCTCTCTCTGTCTCCCGTTATCCTGACGCGATCCCTGATGCCCAACGTTGCCAGAGTGTGTCATCCGCATGCCAAATACACCCAACCTCCATCCAACGGTCTCCCGCCGCCTACCACACCTATTTTCACCTGCCACAGCCTATGCGGAATATGCGAAATCGCCGACACTCTCCCAGCCTTACTTGTTGTTTGATACTGTGCGGTAGTGTTGCGCTACGCACTATCCACGCTGGCAGGTAACCGCTAATGCCGCATGAAGTTTTGAACAACATAAATATTGCTGAACGACGAGACAGACTCTAAACTACCCATGTCGAGCTTCCCAGCGACCACCCTGCGCAGCGCGCTGCGCCACGTCGAGACCGCTTGGCTTTTCACAAGAACTGACTTCAAGACAATAATCTTCCCAGTGGTATTCATTCTGGCGATAACTGTTTTAGTGTGCGACACTGAATTTCCTATGGTAGATGCTATTTGCGACCGTCGTGTCCCCTCGTCACGACCCGCTAGCCCTGTCTTGCTCTCTGTGCTGGCTTTGGTTTCATCTCTTCCAATTCAATGTCTCTAACCAATCACATGGTGTGCATGAAGATGCCGTGAATAAACCATGGCGTCCTCTGCCGTCTGGGCGCATTAGCATCAAGGATGCTCGTACCTTGCGCTGGGGACTCTTGGTTTTCTGCTGGGGCCTTTCATCCCTTTTCTGCTGAAATGTGTTTATAGCCAGTGTGATGTTCACTGTGCTGATGGTGGCGCATGACGATTTTCATCTCTGTGACCATCCCATTTTCAAAAATTTCTGCAACAACGGATTTTATATGACGCTGGAACTCGGTGCTTCGTTGGTTATGTGTAGGTAATTCTGCCTCTGAGGGTAATATTTCCCTGACCAGATTAATATTTTAGCGGGGAAGTCTTCGCCTGACAGAACGACCATTCAAGCACTCTACTGCAGCGCGCTTGTCATACTTTTGACAATTCATGCGCAGGATTTCGCTGATGTTGTGGGTGACCGCAAGTCAGGACGACGAACACTGCCTATCGTAGCGCCCGAAGGATCTCGCATCTATATGCTTTGTCTACTTCCGCTACTATCTTTTGCACTCGCCTCATTGTGGAGCCTGGGGCCTCTCTGCAGCATTTTCTTTGTTTGTATGGGTTCTTGGGTCGCACTTCGCTACTTTCTCTTCCGCGACAAACTTCGTGACGAGGCAAGCTACCGCCTATACAATGTTCGTATCATCTGTTCATATTACCTTTTTCTGTGACCTAACATTTGTCATTCCCTCTGTAGATGTGGCTCATGAGCGTTTATCTCTTGCCAGCTAATGAGCGTTTTCGTGCATTGACATGGTAACAGTACCTTTGTGTCATGGCTATCATGACTCGGGCAGTCATCGGGTATGTCTGTACAACGTTGCGGAAATAATGTATTAACGAACTATCACAGCAGACAGAACCTCCATCTCCCAACTCGTCTTTCTTATGTGCCGTATATTCCATTCGATCACTTGTACATACGTCATCCATCCATTGGCCTCCAGAGGAATGAAAAACTATACTAGTACTGGTGAAGCCACTGTTGCTGCTTTGAAACGAGACAGACGTCAATGTTCTGACGAGACGAATGAGCGTACAACCGAACGAAGGTGTGAGCTCGCAATTGAAGTAGTGAAGTGAGGATCACACAAATGTCGTCCTGAGGGTTCAATCGTGTTTTATTCGCTTATTAGTCAAGTTAATGAAGGGTCTCCACAAGAAAAACAGACAAAACGGTGTAATTAGGATCAAGTATTATGACCCTCGACAAGGGATATCAATATTAAATTTGCGACCTTCCAACCCCACACCAATCACTCCCCAAATCCATCAACTGTCCACCAAGGGCATGCTGAGTATCTAGGCTCCGGCATTAATAGGTGTGCAGCCAAAGTTGATAAGGCCGTTCTAAACGGCAATCTGTAAGTTAGCTACGACGTGCGTAGCTAGAGGCGATGCGAGTGCGAAGGGGGTAGATAGACCGCTGAAGGAATGATAATGATTAGTGTTAGCTTCAAAGGAGGGATGACGGATGCGAGAGATATCGTGAATCGGTAAACGAGAGTGACCGCGTTATAGCGATGATAAGAGAAGATAATGAGACGGGTTCTTCGGGCGTTCTTCTGGGGGATCTACTGTTCTATTCTGCTTCTTATTAGGAATGTACATGGGCTACTTATACTGTAGGATGAGGAAGGGTCGTCCTAGAATAGTTAAAGGCAAGGGCTCGGTGTACGGTCGGTGAAAGCGGTAGCTGAAGGGAGTGGCGTTGTATTTGATAGAGTAGCGAGAGAATGATATAAGAGTTGTTGACAGGGTGACGACGGCGGTGTTACGAATGGAGGAACAGTAACGAAAGGAAGGGTTTAGCGAGCGATAGGAATTGAAAGGATAGGTACTCATAAAAGGGGTCGTATCGTGCTTGACAAACGGTCCAGGCGTTGACGTGGTAGTTGCGGTGAGAGGAGGATCGGCATGTTCCGGCGAGAAAGGTCATCCTTACAAATCATTACTAGGAACCCACATAGACTATCATGCAAGCACTTACATATTTGTTGTCGGTGCAGCACAGAGGCTCCTGGTTAACATCACAACCAGAACTGGTGCCGACAACGGTGACTCCGCTACAGCTAAGGCCAACGACCGCAGCAACATCAGCAACAACGGGTATGAGACCTAGAAACTTGGCGGTACTGTTGTAGCTGCCAGTCTACGGATCATTCGTAAAAAAAAAAGCTTCAATAGGACAAATACATTTACATACGCAGGTAGTACTCCAGCGAAGAGGCGAGCGAACATTTATGAGAAAAAGAGGATGAAGGGGGCTGGTTGAGAGGCGTTTAGGGATGTCGAGAGAACTGTGAAATGGAGAGAAAAAAGCCGAGGACGAGTCTGAAATGGCCGGTCTTGGTGCAAGTCCGACTGCGCAGACCCTAGGCCTGCGTCTGTGTCAAGGTCTTGACTCTTGGTGCACGCTCGGCATGGCTTGCGGAGTCTGAAGTCGTAGCTCAATTGCGCTCACCCTCCCTTGCCAGAATCACATCATTCCCTTGGATAGCAACCAAATGTGTTTTCTTTCTTTTATTTATTCCCTCCAGCATGTCTGCACCAGAGTACTGATCAGATCGAACACACCTAGGCTTCGCCCCACACCACCGCCAACCTCACATCTGTCCCTGAATCTGTATGCCTCCTTGCGTGTCAGGCATTTATATTACCGTTTCATTAACCTGTCCTCGTTCCCTGTTGATCCTCCATCGCATATAATATCATATCGCCCCATCTCCCATCACATAGTCTCTAGGCCTTCTACTTTCCGTTCCCCATTCACCCGTTTCTGATCCTGCTCTACTGTTCACGGAAGCTTCGAGCGTTCACGTACAAGTGGTTCCAAGGCCACTCTGGAGCCCGAGCCCCACCAACAATGCCAAGACAAAGGCCTAGGAGATTCTTAACCAGCAGTTCCTCACCGCTGCTGGCGATCAGTTCGAGGATAGCTGCACTGCTCCCCTGGGTGATATGGACCCTTGTAAGAGCCAAGGTATTCACCGCGAGGATATGACACTATCAATGACTCAAAACATCCAATCGCATCGCACAAACGAGTTGACCGTCTTATTCTTTAGCTCGCAAAGCTTTTCTTTTACTTTTTTGAGGATTAACATCATCACAGACTGAAAATGATATGGTTGTGACGACACTGACGAGGCGAGTCGCCGGGCCACGACCGCGTCATCGTATTTCCCTTCAACGCATCACGATCCAGCAGGGATATCACCATCCCTAATGACCTCGTTGTGCCTACGATACGCAGTGAGTTCATGTCGGTTTGTCATTTAAGGCCTGCTCGACATATCAGTGAAAAGATGTGCCAATATCCATCAGCCATATGCTATCGCTATTCGAGTCAATCGTATAATTCTAAAACCGGTCAGCCAACTTCTTCGTCTTATTGCGAGCATTTTGTTGACAATAGGAACCAACCAGATCGTAGACGGCTTAAGTGACACGGCGGTATCTTGTCGTACGCTCGCCGCGTCAAGACCATGTTATCTTCCGGCCCCTCAACGAATCACGGCCCCAGAGTGTTCTAAGTTGACATTTCGTTCAGCCGTACGTCCCAAGTTCGTTTACAGCTACATCTCAACAGCTGTTGACAGGTTCTGCTTGCTTTTCAATGTTATAAGTATGAATTTCGGATCGGCGGTGGGACCTCATTCCATGTTCTCCAGCCCATGTAAGGCTAGGTAAGACCCTTACTACCTGAACAAGATGGTTGGACAGGCGGAATCTACCAAAATATAACGGGCCACTGGTGACCTAGTAGGGTGACCCTGTCAGTCGTGTGATCTTTTATGACCTTTACGATGGGTGTTAACTATTGAGGACAGCGATTCGTAACACCAACGGGAAGCACAGTGCTGGGTAACCTTGGTACCGTGTCGTACAATTGTCATTTGATCACCACAACCCTTACAGTATCACGACATTCTGTGCTTTATAAGTACTCTACATCAGTGATCAGTCAGTGGCCCACCACTCACCCTTTGAAGTTCCCATTTAATTACACTGTAATGTCAGAACAAGAAGATGTCTCTGCTCTCCGCTGGAATAACAACGTTGCTGGTTCGTCAGCTCCGTTTAGCCTGGTTGTGAACGGACCACCGTGCTGAACTTCATCGTTTTTCCAGTAGTAATCATTACCCTGGTGTCCTATGACTACAGTCAGTAGGTTTCATGAACCTTGCGCTATAGCTGAGCATCGCATTATCTAGTCCTGCAGTTCGGGAAAGAGGTACGAAAAGTTCGCTTCCTCTCGTTCGAGTCCTTATGATCCCTTTGTCACAGGTCCAGTTTGTTTGGGTTGGTGCTCAATCCCCTTTCCGTAAGATGTTATCGAGCCATGGAGACTGACTAAATGTCCAGGAAAAACAGTGGTCGCCGATGTCATATCTTTACCTCGCTGTAAGCTCTGCCCTGGCAACGTGCTTCATGTTTTTTTTTACCTCGTTTCTCTGCCAGGTTCGATATCTTGGTATTTTCATTGCAATGTAAGTCGCGATGGTTGTGTACTTCAGATGGTATATTGTATATTGACATTCACCCTAGGCTTGGCGCCACGTGTATGTGATACGGTGCCAACTGAGCCATCATTAGCTGACTAGCATTAGGGGGAGGACTGATGTATATGCCTGAGTCAGTGAGTTTTTCGACGCTTACTATCTTCAGACAGTTCTCGGCTGACATATTCCAGTCGTACGTCACGACTCGTTCCCTTTACATCCAAGTCTTAACAGTGGTTGACCTTTAGCTGCGAGTGTATCGTCTTCAACTGAAACTGGGTTATCTCACCATGCAATTGAAATAGGCTACCCTCTTATCGTTTTGATGGAATGGTGTTTTTCTACATATTTTTGCGTGGCGGAAGGTAAGTCATCAGTTCTTGCCATCCCATTATGCATACAGATTTTGCATCCCTAGTCATTCTCATTTGGCGTCTTTACGCCCTATACAACCGATCAAAGCTCCTACTCTATGTTCTACTGGGGTTGTTCCTACCTATCGTCGCGCTCTATATAGGGATGGATATATATTTATATAGTCGACCCTTAGCGTTCTCGGGTGAGAATCCCTTCTTGCATCGATGTTTTTGCAAGCTGATGTCTCGTTGTATAGTGACTGAAATAATCACTCCGAACACCAAGTACTGCGCGGTTTCCTTCAACATGGGGCCTATGCCTGCGATATATGCTTCCATCCCCGTCATATGCTTTGATATCTTCCTACTTTCTCTCTCAGTTGCCATTCTCGTCACACACTTGAAAGCACAGAGGACACAGAAAATGAGGCCTAACGCCTATGTGCTAGTGATCGTGCGATATCATGTCATATACTTTGTTCTGTAAGTTTACTTTCGTATATTGGGTTCTCTGCATGTATTCATCGAATCCCGCTAGGAATGTGACAAGTCAAATATTATGGGCGATATTATGGGTCAACCTTTCAGTATGATATACCATGGTTCTAGAGAGATCAGCTCTAACGCAGACACGCACAGACCCCGGTGTTCAGCCTCACAGTGACGTTCATTGATACCGTACCAGTAATTATCGTGCCCCGTCTGATCATCAGCATTTGGGATACGCATGCCAACGACAGCTGCGCACGTGTTAGTACGACGTTCGCAGATTGTGTATGTTTGACCTCGTTACCGGTATTCGAGCAGTACGAGATGGGCACCCGCACAGAATGGTCCCAAAACCAGGATGACGCAGGAGTAACCAATTCACATATCTCATCTGTGTAAGCTATGCTTACCGCTAATCGGACACCTCGCTCTGTTTGCTCACGTTTTGTTCGAGATAACACTTATAGTTGCTCGCTGCTCATGTACATGTATCGGTTCTTCTTTCTCTCTGTTATGTAAATCCATACTCCTTTCGCGTTCTGCTTTATGTCCGCATCTCTCCGAGTGTTATCACCTGTCCACATCCAGGCGGTTTCAGATCTGGTGTAACAGTGGAGCATAGTATAATTTATTACAGACAACTAGTGTCACTGGGGATGAAGGCCGTGCGCCATTAGGCCTCGTTACATATTTATCATACTGCTCGAGAGCGAACAACTTACCCATTCCGGAGCCCACCAGCATGAGCAGAGTACGTAGTCTCCTACAGGCGTATGCATCGTCGCACCACTCCGAGGATTGCATATATTTGCATATATTGTATACGGATGCCTTTGCATTGAAAAATTCGACACAGAAGTGGGCGATGAACATCAATGCTCACGCAACACAGGATGAAGTGTGTGCCTAGGTACGAATGGTCCGGAAAGGGCATGATAGAAGGGAGAAAAACTCTTTCGATATTCCAGACGACCTCATGTCTGCCACGGCGTTGGAAGGTGGCAACAAGATTGCAGCAGCTCACTTCGTAGGAAGTTTCCCCCGCCCCACCAGTCGAGCCCTGCGTTTGTGTTAGGTATCCTTGAGACCCTTGTGATGCCGCCGCATGTTGACCTTGTGCTGTTGAACTGTCAGCATTATTGCCACTCGGACGTTGCATAGCTAAGGCCACTTCTTCGTCGGTCTCAGGAGCAAAATGCCATATCTCTGCAATTGTATTTTCATAGCAAAAATGGGGGATTATTGGCGATGACGAGTGACTCACGTCTTCTTCGTGACAAGGAGCAACATCTAAGTCGACAGGCTGCTTGGAAATTCTCATAGGAAATCTGAAATTCCGACGCCTGGGCTGGAGCGACATCGATTGGGGTATATCTGCAGATCGAATGCTGAAACTCAGCGAACCGAATGGATAGCGCCGACGAGTAGGAGACAACAGGCTCGCACGAGGAGCTGTGTGACGAGGCAAACAGTTTGTATCAGTATCCCAGAAGTCGTTGCCCTGATTCAGCGCCAAACTTACGAGAGCACAGCAAGGAAAAGCTATATTTCGCCAAGCCTCTGTTGCTCGCCCGCTGTTTAGAGACCAGAAGGGGGTCAAAGATCTAAGAAGAGGAAAGAGCATTCGGCCCGGGGATAAATCCATAACTTATTGGCTCACATCTCTAGATGGAGCTGCGCGTCCCTGGTAAATAAATGAGATGCCAGTGTGAAAGACAACTTGCCTTGACCTTCGTGTCGTGCTTTGTGTCTGCACTCTGAATAACAACCAAACAAAGACGCTGAGAACGCAAAAGCATGCTCACATTACCTCCATCCTGCCGTTTGAGTGCTGCTTCCAGGCTCCATACACATTTTTTTTGCGTTCGATCCAGCACTGACGATGTATTTCTATCAGGTGAAATGGCAAGAGCCCGGACTTTGTCGTTGTGCAAGAGTGGGTCCCCAACTGGCTGATTGGTCTCGAGGTCACGGTCCCAGATGCGAACTGAGAAATCCATCGATGCGCTGTCAGACGTCTCAGAATCGAGGCGCGACTCAAACACAACCAACAATGATCTGAATGCTGAGAGAAAATACCTTTATGAGTACTAATACATCGTTAATGCTAGATAGTACCTGAGAGAAAAGACCAGCACGACGTTGGAAAGGAAAAAGGAGGAGTCCGACAGCCTCCCCACTTACAATTCGGTATACTCTGCGAGTCTACTAAGACTACATGTCAGTATGGCTGTGCACTAGAACTTGAAGTTGAACCAAACGACTCATTTGGTGGCTACGAACCCGAAACTCCCATTCTATAGTAAGTACTTTAGCGGTAACTCACATATTCCTCATTGTCATTCCCTCTTCCCCACTGACTTCACCTTACAACAGCACGCCAGCCTGGCCTGGCAAGCCGTCGATTCTAAATGGTTCACGAGCCCTACACGTATCCTTCTGTGGGTCTCCGTCACATCCAACATCTTCATATCGCAGATTGTCGCTACACACGGCCGAGCTCCTACAACCTTGGAGTACGGTTGAAAGAAACAAGGAAGTTGTAAAGAACAATTGTGATGTTGCGAAGGATGGTGCGGGAAGTACATGGAATTGGGTGCACCTCAAGAGGAGGCATAAATGGAATTGCAGGTGAAGGTTCAGACCTGGTGTAATTCTTTCATGAACGCGCTGATTTAATGTCGTAGGACATCGTGAGTAGTTTCACTCTCAAGACACCCGGTTTCAAGTCTGGGAAAGATGTCGGAGTCTGCACTGACTATAAACTCAAGATATGACAGCCTACGCATAATCCTTAGTTTATAGTCAGTCCAGGCTCAGCTGTCGCCAATTGTTGGGGGAATGTGTCCGATCCAAAGGTCAAACATACACAGTTCATGTACCTACGTCGCCGAAGTAGTGTGTCAGCCATCGACTCGAGATATTTGCCGTTCAGTGAGGCCAGTTGTGACTGGTCTCTATATTACAGGCTGGAATATTATTTTATGATATTCTACCTCCCGCCGAGGACATCTCCGAGATCTTGCGTCTCTCGTTCAGTCTCCCTCGAACGTCACTACTCACTCGAAAACAGATCCGCATTTGATTAGGTGGCAATGAAGAGGATCACAACAGCTATATTGAACATAATTACAAACGAGAGGCTGGTAAACTTCCTTCTCTTTGATGTAATTCAGATGCACCGCCGACTCGTCAGTCCTAGGCACACGATTAACAACTCAAGCGCACTAATTGAATGACATGGACGTCTACTAACTATGAACTAACTACGAACGCAACATAAACATCATTTGCTTATCCACAGTCCAGAATCAGGAAACTCGCTTGGTATGGATGGACTGAATGGAGATGTGATCTCACCGCCCTATGACGCATAAGATCGCCGCGATGCATCATGGAAAGGTGCTACTAATTGACTGGGGTCAAAGTTGCTACGTGTACTCATTGGTGCCAGAGTAGCGTGCGGGATACCTAATATAATACCAAGTCAATCATTTACATGGTGTCGCTGACATTTACCAGGGGTCTGAGCAGGGTGAAGAAAGTTTGGTCATGAACAAGGGACATGATGCGGATCGGAGCCAGATTAAAGAAACCGGCGTATAATCTAAATGGCCCCACCGGGATGGAGTGGTCAGTGACACAACAGTGATTAGGTATAATGCGGAAATGCGGAAATGAGATGATAGCATTGCTGCATAGGGTCATCTAGACGAATATAATGTTCAATGTACATAGGATGGCACGAGCCGGTGTGAGATCACCTGTAAACACACGAAAGGGAAAAGAGACAACTATCATTGGATGACAGACGGAGTTTCAGCAGATGTAAACTCATGCCTGATGCGAGACGGGACGACGACGACCAAAGAAAAACCCACAGCAGCTCACTCCTTCATAGACAATGTCCCCCGCTCCACCAGTTGAGCCTTGTTGTGTTGGTTGTCCTTGAGACCCTTGTGCACCCACTGTAGGTTGTCCGGGTGTCGTTGAACTGTCAGCATTGTTGTCGTTTAGGCGTTGCATAGCTGCCGCTGCTTCTTCGTCAGTCTCGGGAGCGATGCAATATCTCTGCAATTTATTTGAATAGTAAGAGACAGGCGAATATTAATGGTGACGAGCGACTCACGTCATCCTCGCGACAAGGAGCAACAACCGAGTCGACAGGCTGCTTCGACATTCTTATGGGAGATCTGAAATTCCAATGCCTGGGCTGGAGCGGTATGGCTTGGGGTACATCTGCAGATGGAGTGTTGAAACTCAGCGAACCGAATAGATTGCGCCAATGAGTGGGGGATGATGGGCTCGTGGCAGGCGGAGCTGCTCGACGAGGCGTGCGGTTCCTATCAGTGTTCCAGAAGTCGTTGCCCTGTATCAGGGTCAACATTGCAAGAGCTCAGAAACGAAAAGTTATACTGACATATTTTACCACTCCTCTGTTGTTCGCCCGCTGTCTAGAGACCAGAAGGGGGTCAAAATTCTAACGAGATGAATGAGCATTTGAAGAATTAGTTAACAATTGATTGGCGCACATCTCTCGGTCGGGCTACACGCCCCTAGCGAACAGGTCAGATACAGTGTTAGAGAGAAGCAGCGATGACTTGCCTTGAGCTTCGTGTCGGGTTTTGCATTGCCATCATTAGCACTCTGAATACCAACCAGAACCCGCTTAGAAAGGATGCTGACAACACAAAAGTATGCTCACATTATTATCATCATCCTGTTGTGTGAGCGCAGCCTCCATGCTCCATACATAGATTTTTGCATCAACTCCAGCACTGGCAATGTATTTTCCATCAGGGGATATAGAAAGAGCGCGGAGTTCGTCATCGTGCAAGAGTGGGTCTCCAACTGGCTGATCGGTCTTGAGGTCCCAGATGCGAACGGAGTAATCATATGATGCGCTAACAAGATGGCATTCATCCGGGGATAGCCTGATGGATATGACGTCGTTGAGATGACCTCGAAAAATAACAAGCTCCTGCCCATCAATCAACCGCCATTTTCGGATGGTGGAATCGAGTGACGAGGAGAAGATGTGTGCGCCGTCCTTGGACCAACACAACGACTCCACCATTTCTTCATATCCCTTGATCTCGATGAGCAGCTCGCCGTACTTTGACCACACGCGGATCATCTTGTCGTCGCCGCCGCTCGCGAATTTGTTACCTTGTGGAGAGTATTTGATAGCCTTCACCCGACCGTGACTGGTCTCTATCGGCGGTGCTATTTTTCGGCCAGTATCTGGATTCCAGCGTCGTATGGTGCCCTCTTCCGATCCACTTACTATCTCCAGGGCATTGGCAGACCAATCAAGGCACATCACTGCAGTATCATGCCCCTCCCACGGCTTGCCGACCATGCTGCCCTCTTTGATGTTCCACAACCGTAGCCTGCCGTCTGCACTTCCACATACGACCATCGTTTCATCCGAAGATACTGTCATTGAGCCTACCCCTTCGCCGTCACCACCCCAAGGCTTTCCTACAGACTCTCCGTCTCTCGTCCACTGCCGAATGGAACCCTCTTCCGAAGTACTCATGATATTGCAATTGGCGCCCAAGCAAGCAAGACTCCATATGCACTTGGAGTGACCCTCGATGATGCACTCCGGCGTCAAGCTCCCTGATGGACGTTCTGGTGTTGGTTTCTTTCACGATGTGGTCCGAGTGGTGATATATGCCATTCGCATCCGGAAACAGCAAGATACCCGGGACAATCTAAGCTCAAGCATGAGTTCGTCGCTTCTAGTGCTACATTCTTCTTTCACCTAGTCGTACCCCTGGTAAAGGTCGGTCCCATGAATTCATCATGAGTGAGTCATCTTGATTGTGCGTTCTACCATCCAGCATCTTAAACTGCTGCCATTCAGGAGGGAGTGCTTCATTCCTGCCTGCTTTTGTTCAATAAGTCAGCAAGCATGACAATGAGGTTGCTCACCTTCCCAAAGTGCATCCTGGCGGTGCTGTGCACCATATGGTGGCAGATTCTTCTCGCTCCTCCGAATGGGTTTAACAAACGCCGGTGAGTCTGACAGCGCTTTTCGTCCCACATCTCTCCGCCTTGTTGACGCGCTTGACTCTGCCTCTTTGCGGGGCATGATCCCGATTGAAAAAGGTTGCCGTGAGGGAACGTTCGATAACGGGCCAAATCAATAGTTGAGGGTGGGGAGAGGTGGAGGAGATGGAGAGACCTGCTATTTCACAGGGTTGATTTTGAATGCTGTAGATACTTAAGTAGTTTGCGATGCTTAATCATATTTCCATCACGGTCCGCGTTCCAGAGCGCCTATTTCTTCACAGCAAGTCGCACTTGGTCAGTATGTTCTACCCGGGCGGCCTATCGTAGACACGACTCGTCTGATGCATGGGCTCAGTCCATATCGCAAGGCAAGGTACCAAATGAACAGTCGGGTAAATCCCGACTGTCCGTTTCGTACCTTACCTTGACTCCTGGATGATGTTGTGAATGGGAAGAGTGCGGCTGCCGGAAGTGAGTCTTGAGAGGTCTGCTGGTCGAGAATATCATTTTCGCATTGTTCATGTGAGACTCGAACTGACCTCAAACTTACCCGCACATCTTTAAGTTTTCATGAACACCAGACAGAAACGTGTAAGATAGACCTCGTTCATACACCAGTTCATCACGTGATTTGAGGATAGAATACATGATTTTGGCTCGTTACTCTTTTTAAACTTATAATTAGCTAAATCTGTTCCAAGATCTTGTGGGGATGTACTACAATATCAAAGTGGTCTACTCAGAATCCTCATTTTCGGCGAATTGAAGGAGGAGTAGGCATTTTTGTAGCAAATTCACCCTTGTGACCTATTTGTGACTGATGTGACCGTATCAGTGACTCGGACTTAGACGCGAGGGAGATAAACAATTGAAGCGGCCGTTTGATGTCAAAACTTCAACGATTTCGATGTTCGACACAACGTTCAACAGCCATTCGAGAATCAATAATTAAATTCAACATGAGGTATTAAGTATATGTGCCACTAATCAAGTTAATCCTGCAGTTTCCAGTTCAACTACAAGTAAGTCACTAAATTATTATATTTTCTTCGTCATTGAACTTTCGCCGTTTTTGATGAGTGGCACCAGCAAGGTTCGCTATGTTTGAAGGCCTCTTTCGTGGCATAGTGAGGTAGATAGACTGTAGTTCAATTTTTTGCTTCTCATTTCGAGTTAGTGTCTGTCACTAATCTAGCGCATCTGTCACGTTGGCGGTGCTTACTTGGGACATTTTGACAATATAATGCCTACTCGTCCTTCAGTTTCTTACATTAGATCATAAAAAATACATGTCCAGCTTGCTACAGACTGTCCACACATAATCTTGGAACAGATTTCGCTCACACTTTGTGTACAACGAGTTATATGCAGATTCATTGAAATGTCACGCTAGGTCACGTGATGAACTGGTGTATGAATGAGGTCTATCTTACTAGCGAAGGTAGAGTATATTTGATGGGAGATTGGGCGATAAGATGTGATGGTGTGATGAAGGAACGAGAACACTGGGAAATGGTGTTCGGATTCAGGGACGGCGGAGGTGGTGTGGAGTACATCTGCAAAACGACGAAATGAATGCTTAACTTATGCGTGTTACGAATACTTACGAACACTTATGACTTCAGTAGCGCACGCATTTGATTGGTGGAAGCACATTTGCTGACAAATTTACATTTGATTGAGATTATCATGTCTAAGATAACTCGTAGCACTATCAAGATAATCTACTGATCAACGAGTTTTGCTACGAAGAACTTGAAATAGTGCTTTCCACCTAGCTAGCAACATTGGAGAATTTCTAATGTTATCACAGATGAAGTTCATGAGTCTCGTATACATAGTGTGAAAACCGAGGTAAGTAAAGTCCATTTGCTTGAATATACCAGTCACGAACTCCTGCAAGCTGCAACACGCAGTTGTTCCCGAGATCGCCATGATATTGTCGAGGTCGCTGTCCAATTTGATGAACTTGTTGTAGCCATCACAAAAGGCAGCACGGCTTGCGATCTGGATAATTGCTTCATGCTTGAACGGGAAGCGAACCTCTCGGCCATCTTCAAGCTGTTGATTGTCTTGTCATACACTGAATGGTGGCACTCGCAAAACGGTATGTACTCTCACTGGATCACCAAATATAAAATTAATGCTATTGTTTCCAACGAGGAATTCAACAGTTGACTTGTTGTGATTGGCCCGGGCTGTCGGGTCAGTCCAAATTGACATTCGAAGCTTGTAAAGATTGTCGACAAGGTCCTGTGCGCACTGCTTGAAGCGATTGAGTAACGTCGACATCGGCGTGATGATGGTCTTGTATAGCGAGGATATATTTTCATCGGTCCATGGTTTGATCAAGTGATCTAGTCATTATTGTATTAGCACTTACTATTGATCTCATATTAATGGGCAACTGACCTTCTGCGATAAAGGATGAACACGCAGCAGTTAGTGCAGGCCTGCACTACAGTTACGTGACTGGAGGAATCGTGAAATCCGCATGTATTCAGTGTTTCGGCGATCACATGGTTCTTCACATCCTTTACAATAATTTTCACCTGCGCTTTGTCAATTACAGGTACTGTGGTGGCACCCGAGCTGTCATGGTGCCCTTCACCTTGCCGGCGACCTGTACAGGCTGCAGTAATAGTCGATGCAGAGGATGAAGTACTAGTAGTAACGATCAGTGTGATCTCCGAATCTGCCACGAGTGACTCCCTTGGGGGTCTAACAGGAGGGAGTTGGTACTGTCATGTAGTTGATTTTTCTACCCCTGTCGTTGCATCTCTCTAAATATATGATTAAGTGCAACTTGGAGAATATAAATATAAGGCCCACATAAATGATGCCATCAGTATACTCTTGGCGTGATTTTTCTGCACCACAAAGAGGCATATATGTATACACCATACGATACTGAGACGCAGTGTCACCTGAAGGTGCGAACGATCGATGGACTCGATCACGCCCTGCAGCGTGAGGGGCTGTCCTGGTAAAATGCGATGGCCTTGGTAAAGGCATACCATCCTGATGATTAGGTGGGATTGAGCTGTAGCTGTCGTGCGAGAAAATAGGAGGAGGATTGATGCGAGGCGGCAATTCAGGTGTGTTCATTGACTCTGGCATCTCTGACACACAGCCGACTTGATCGGCTAATGAATGACCTGCAATATTCAGTCCTGCTTGTCGAACGATAGGCACATCCTGTCATGTTGCTGTGAGTCTAAACTAACAGAGGGATTTCAAGGTACTCACCCACACAATTCTTTGTATAGATGGTGCAGGTTGACTTGAGGACATCGCAGTCAAGTGCAGAAATGACAATCAGTACTCAGTGTCCATAATAGTAATCTTCATGAGGTAAAAAATAAAGTCCACAAAGCGCTACATTCAAGGTAATTGTAGTTATACAAACTACAAGCAAAGATGTCAACACACCAAATAGTCGAAAGTCGAAAAAATAGGTTTGCATATGTACCAACTTAACAGTCATCTGACCCTATCATCCATGCTACATCTATAAATAAATGAGTGCATGCGGCCATATGAAATAACAAAGCTTACTTTGGTATTGGTGAATAAAATATATTTGCACTCTGATTCACTCCGACCCTGTTGCCAGCTCATCCTCGGGGGAGTCTCCAACAGATGAATGATCAGAGTCGTGGGGATCTCTGATAGAGCGTGTGTAATTATCGTCGAGGTCTGAAGCCGGTGGAAGAAAGATATTGAGCTCATCGAGTTCGGCATTCAACTGTTTGACCCTTTCCACCTTGTTCTTTTGAACTGCAGTAATGAACTCGAAATCCTGGGAAGCACGCTCTGAGTCATGATCAGCCACCATACATGTAAAGAGTGCTGCTTCCTCAAACTGCCTGAACGGTTTGATCCTCCTGCTCCTGCTGTTCGCCATTGATAAAATGCTTGAGCCTCGAAAGCTTCTTAGCCTCCCAAACCAAAGTCATTGAGAGATGCCAGTGGTATTCAAGTTCTGCTTCCTTGTAATAAGCAGGACAGCGAACACGTTCAGCAGACATCTGCTGCAGGCCTTGAGAAAATATTTTGCAAACCTAGAAAAACAATGATGAGTCACTGAGAGTTGCTGGCAGCTGCATAAGACATAGTGACATACTGTTTCATCATCGCAGTCTGAATCTATACTACTAGCCAATCTTCCCATCACACTTGCCATCTTACGGTCTGCCTGCAGAGTGGGGGGAGTTTTCCAGACATAAGGGTGGTAGTTGGACTGTGAGATCCGTTTCGAATGGTGTTGCCCCTGCTGCCTTCTCATAGGTGGACTGTTACGGGAAAGCCCAGCTTTCCAACAGTGCACTTGATAGGGTCAATCCCATGTCCGCTTCATGGAGCACCGAGACGATGGAAGACTGAATGGAGGCTGTCCATTCAGAATAACTGACTAAAGGTTCAAAGAAGAAGCTAGAGTCATATATCACAAGTGAAGATCAAGTTAGAGAAATACATGGTCTAACTACTGGGGTATATATAGGTATCGTCCTATGAGTTCAGGGTAGGCTTGGGTAGCCAAAAAGCATCCCAACTAGGTAATCGTCTATGTGAGTCATAAGGACTCAGAGATAAGAGTACCAGTCAAATGGTAAGGGTCCAGGGTATGGTACCAGCACAGTGGTAGGTGTCCAAGTCAGATAACGCTATCTGTCATGATAAGCGATAGGATAAATGATAGTCAGTACCAGTGTATCGGTAGGGGCGATAAGGGAGAAGCACGCGGCTTCTATTGATCCTGGTCTAGGTCAGTTCCAGAGCTGTCCTGCTCCAACAGCTGTCATGCTGTGCTCTGCAGTTTAGTCACGTGCCAGTGGTGTCATCTGTCACGTGTTGTGACACGGTTGTGACGGCGACATTTGGTGGAGACAATAGGGGTCTGAGGGTCCCTGTAACATGGACCAATATTAGCATGTCCAAAGTCATGGTGCCCAGAGGAAGTGGCAGATGCTGCCAGGTGAGTACTTGGGGGCGATGAGGGACAAAGGCTGCTGGGTGGAGAAGAGCTTTGGGGGCTACTGCGGTAGATGTGAGTGAAAGCTTCAGCATAATCAACCTTTGATAAAAGCGAACTAGATTTTGGGCTATGCAGTGGACTGATTGGTGGGGTTTCACCATTTGATGAAAGCTGGAACAGAGTTGGTGGAGGATACATAACTGATATTCAAGTCCCTTTGAGAACAGTGTGTTGAATCGCAAGCCTGTCGACAGTCGGAGTTTGAAAGACTTAACAATTTTTGCAGCGCTGCTGCATGCTGGCAGTACCTCACTCCTATGGTGTTTCCTCAACCCTCTCCTATGGCGTTTCCTCAGCTCTATGACCCACACAACCCCAGTTTTCAGCGTGAAGATCCCGACTCTGAGTTTGATGAGTTGATTCAAAAGTAAGTAGTACTATTTGATGTTATACGACTCACGAATCTCTTTCTCCAGTTCGCCCTTTGACATTGCTGTCACCCAGTGTCCTAACTGCAAGAAACTGTGCTGATCGGCCGAGGCAGTCATTGAGCATCTAAATAGTACAGATACCTGCTGGTCAGAGAACCTGAACCTTGTTGACAGATTGATGCTGCCAGTCCTGCAGGCTCTACGGAGACCACCAGAGCAGACAAACTTGTCTGCAAAATATCACCCTACCTCTGGCTACCATTACCTGCTTCCAGATCAACTCCCTCCACAAAATATATTTCAAGAAATGCAAAGCCATACTCTTCAACAAGCCAGAGAGACCAATATATGGTATCCATTTGACGGGCTGGGTGAATGGTCACTTGCAAAGTTTCTTGTCGAGAACCTTTCCCAGATGCAGATCGACAAATTCCTCAAGTTGGATTGGGTATGTCTAATTGTTATCAAATAAATACTTAACTCACACACTTCAGTTCCAGACAAGAGAGCGACCGCAATTCAAGTCAAAGGATGAGTTATTCTTCTTCATGCAGCAGCTTCCTGGCTGTGGGCCAAAATGGCAGTGTATGAAGTTAAAGCTCAAGGGCTACGAAAGTGAACAGCTGATTCACCTTATTTGGAGGGATGGGTTAGAGGTTATGAAGCAGCTTTTTGCAAACCCTGTCTATGCGAATCATATGTGCTACGACCCTCACTATATCTATCAAGGACAAGAGCGCCAATTTGGAGAATTCTGGACATCAAATGATGCATGGGCGATTCAGGTAAGTAGTTACGCTTTGGTCTAGAGTTACTCAAGTGACTGATGCTTGACCTTTAATATAGGATCAACTACCTGAAGGCGCAACTATTGTTCCGATCATTGCTGCCTCTGACAAAACCCCAGTTACAAGACAGACAGGTAGCATTGAGATGCACCCACTATTTCTAACTATCGGAAATATCCAGGCCGACGTCCGCATGAAGGCAACATTGCATGCATGGCGATGTACTGCGTTCATGCCAACACCGACTTTCATTGTCGGCTCTGAATTTCAAAGTCTACTCTGGGCGCGTCTGTGGCACAAGTGCATGGATCTTGTATGCTCTAATTTGAAGGTCGCAGCTCATGTTGGCGAGTATATGGTCGATCCCTCAGCCAGATTGCGATATTGTTTCACCCCTCTTATCAGCCACATCACTGATCTCCCCGAACAATTGATGATCTCATGCATCACGAAAACTCATCTCCTGTCACCACAGCAACCCACAAAGAGTTTGGCGATGAAACACCGCATCCCCCACGGAACGGAACGGAGACTTACATGCTTATCCAGTCGCTTTGTGACCGCATTGACCCATGGGATCTTATTGTATTCTCTAGAGAGGCCAAAAAGCTTCACCTCAGTGGGGTGCACTTGCCGTACTGGAGAAACTGGAGGTTTAGTAATCCTGCTAAATTCCTGACGCCGGAAATTCTGCATGCACTGCACAAGTTCTTTTTCAATCACATTCTCAAATGGATTAAACAGATCATGGGTCATGAACTCAATGTACGGTTCAAGAGTCACCACAAGCACACTGGTGTGCGCCATTTTTCTAGGGATGTCTCTCATGTCAACCAAATGACTGGACGAGAGCACCGAGACATCCAGTGCACGATCGTGCCAACGCTGTGGGGTGTTGCAGGGCCTGATTTCATCCGCGCTGTGTGGGCAATGATTGATTTTATCTACCTTGCTCAGAATCCCCTCCACACTGAATCCAGTATCGCCTCCATGACTCAAGCACTTCAGGACTTCCACAATCATAAGCAGGCTATCCTCGATGCAGAGGCGCAATGGGGAAAGAGCGGTGCTAAAGACGACTTCTTCATTCCTAAACTGGAACTCATGCAAAGTTTTACTCGGGCAATTTGCAATGTCGGTTCACTCCTACAGTGGACAGCAGACGTATCGGAACGTCTCTTAATAACTCACTGTAAATATCCATTTGAATGCACAAGTCGTCAGAGAGACTTTGTCTTGCAGATCGCTCACATTCTCGATCGGGAGGAGACTATCCGACTGTTCGATCTTTACACATTGTTATCCTCGTCTACCTCTACTCCTGGTCAGGATCCACTCATCAACACTGTCGTCATGGAGGATAATGAGGTCGCTAGTACAGAGACGGATCCCACTCTTGCTTGGGTCTCCAATGTGAACCCAGTCGCCCAGCTACATCTACAAGGTCCGCGCCCTGTTCGCAATCATTTCTTGAAGGGTATCTTGTCGGACAACACACGGGTTGCCTTCAACGTGACCGTGAAAGTAGATCACAGCCGCCTTGATGCATCTCAACTGCAGTCATTATACAATGTCCCTGATTTTTCGCATGCTTTTCACCTCTATGTGACCCGCAATAGTTACACGCCCCCTGGCCAGCTATCATTCAACGCATGGTCGAAATTTTGGATCCAGTTACATTCCACATTCAACACTTGCAGAATCATGCCGAGCCAACAAATCCACGCTGAGCTACCTTCTAGTGATTTCCCTGGAGGGAACTGCGACATTGTGCTATTTAATCAGAGGGTTGATGGTGTTAGTACCGGCGGCGCATCTGGTATGTCTTCACTGAGTTTACCGGTGATGATACTTATCACTTCACAGGGTCCTGTGTTGCTCAAGTGCGAGCCATATTCCAGCTAACCCTCCCCAGAGGTTCCCGCGTGCAAGTCCCTGAGTGCTTATCTCAAGTGCTCTTATATATCCAGCACTTTGACTTTATCGTGCCTGGCCCCGAGCCATCCACAGGCATGTGGATGGTCAAACAATCGTATACTCGACACCCCTCACAGTCAGAGAGGGTGATCAGACGTGGATCCATAATTCCTCTCACAGATGTTACGCATGCAGTGGAGATTATACCTGTCTATCGAGGACCATTGGGTAAGGACGTGAATTCTGGGAAGTCACTGGAGGTGTTCGACGACTATTTCTTGAATAATTTTGCAGACAAAGAACTGTACCACTCGCTATCAGTGATCTCCGAAACCTAGACAGCTCGATTTTCATGTACGAGTAGCGCAGTTATCAATCTCATTCTGATCTGATATCTCAATCATATCATGAGCCTATCTCTTGATCTTGGCTTGATAACTGCAAGGTTTTGGCGCACTGCATCTCTGAGAGTCATAAATTATGGTGTGCACTGTGTACGATAGTGTCCCTGAACTATCCCAAAAGTATCGCTCTCAAGTGTCTCTCACATCTGCAAAAGACCCATAATTTCCACTTGTCAGAAAGAAGTTTGATGCTTATGGTGAGCTTATGGTGCTGGTGATGGAGCAATGCGATTGGTGGAGCAGATATTCAAGATGTGAACACCAATATTACTGCTATATCTGGCTGATAAAACTCAAGTCGAAGTTATCTTGCGCTGATAAGATGTGATGCTCAGAGATATGATGTGATAGGTAGGCCAGCAGTTGATACATGATTGTGCTACTGCCTATACAAACTCAGTACTGACACAACACCCTGGGGTGATAATGCATTAAACCTTACAATTGTAAGCATGAATCATGCATTAATCTATTACAGTTGTAAGATGGCTCCCCTAAGACCAGCTCCCCCCACCCAGCCCTTCTCCGGCATTCAAAGGCCAGTTCACATGGTACCCTCACTGTCTTCACTGTCAAGCACACTGACCAGAATAGTGTGCCCTGGGAGAAGCATGTTACCCCAAAGGTACCACCAGCCAGCCAGAGATCAGATCCAATCTAAGGTACCACGAAGCGGTACATACACGTCACACATACGGAGCAAAACAGACATATATTGATACTAGCGTACATGAACAATAAGCAACTAGATCTCAGGTGGACACGGCGCTGAGAGATCAGGGAGGTCAGCAGGATGGTCTGCACCAGAAAGAACGATGTTCGACAAGGCTACGGCATCGGGAGAGCTCGACAGAAAGGGAGACCACAAAATCTGAAAATGGTCAATGAATGCTCGGTGAATTTTTGCCTTCTTGGCAGCATAAGCCCGTATACCCTCAAGACACCCTGTATCCTCCTCCACACGCCGATGCCCCTGCATGTCCCACCACGTGGCCTGCCACTGAAAAAACTGAAGGACATGACACATTTCCTCATGGAGTAGTTCAACCTCCTCAGCCCAGTGCCTTGCACCACTCTACCCTCATGCCTGATTTAGTGTTAGTTTAGGCAGTCATTCCAAACATTGTGAGTCACTCACCATCTTCATCTGTACCATCCCCGCTACTATCCACACCATGCATCCTCCAGATCCACATCAATTTTCGTCTCCCCTGCCTGGGCAAAATGTCTGGATCGATCAGTGGTCGTATGTTGTCAGGCTCCAGCGGCCGCAGTCCTTGTTCCCACCCTACCTTCCCACATTCTCGTGCCAGGGTATTCAGCGCCTCCCATGAAGCATGGTACCTTGCTGTACAAGCTGCCTGTCTTCCAGTAACACGTTCTAAGGCATTCTGAGCCCTCATATTTGCACCCTGCCCATGCACCCAGTCCTTCTTGTATGTCAAGAGTGACGAGCGGATGCGCAGACATTGCCGGAGCTCTTCCAGTGCGTTGTGTGCCTGAGCCAGGCGTAGTTCCCATTCGTAGAGTTGTAGGCGGTTGTGATATGGACGATTTCCGATAGCAGAAGGGAGTAGGAGCCATAAGTCTTCTGCATTCTCGATCCCTGAATTAGAAGATGGTGATATTGAGGTAGAGAGCATGCCATGAACGACAGGCATATATAGCACTTGCATCATCTGCCATGACTCGATCTTACGATTTAAACCATTTCTCTGACATAGCAGGTTTCCTTTCTGGGTATCTGTGATGTGGTTACCTAGACCCTTCATGAACCTAGCAACATGCCGTCTACCTCATGATTAGTATTGTAATACAGAAAATAAAACAACGAAATGTACTGTTCTTCTTCTAGATCCAGACCTAATCCTATGAGGATACTTGGCAAAACCTCCAGGTGCAGCGATACATCTGCCCCTCATTCCAGCTCCTTTGCCTCCAGTTGCGCTAGTTTCAGGCATGCACCAGCCTGTGTGATGGCTACAACAGATCAGCTCCTTTTTCCCCGGTCTCGTTTTCAGACATACCAACAGATTTAGCTTCGAACAGATTTGACACACTTGGGTCATTGGGGTTCTCCTCCCACCTTTCTACCTCTGCCTTCCAGGCTATGCGGTAGTTCTTCAGTAATAGCAGCATCCAGTTCTTTGAAAGTCGCATGGAAGGCCGCCTTCTCCAGCATTGCTTCCTTTGTCTTGCATAGTAAGCTCACCCCTGAAAGTGCACTAAGTTAGAGCTGCCACTTCGTGGGATATTCATTAATTACCTAAATTGACGACCTTCTTCCAATTCCAGTCTCCAGAATGGTCATCCAGTGTGTCCCGTCGACAGCCTGGACCCATCTCTTTGGTACTAGAAGCTACCGGGTTGATGTTCGACCATCCTTGCTCTGGAGCCTCACCATCAGTGTGACCAACCCAATGAGACCAATTGAAAGAAAATGTCATCTGGCATTTGGCAATGTGTGCAGGAAGATGGAATTTGGGCATGAAGAACCAAACAGTTTTGATGGCATGATCAAGTCGATAATCTTCGGGAAGTGTTGCCATCCTGGCCCACAGATTCTTGTGCCACTGGCATGCAATATCATATGATACATTGAGAACTTTGAGAGAGCAGTGGCGCAAGGTTGAAAAGAACAGAAAATCCATGTTAATATATCTAGGATTGGCGCATCAGTGAAGTGGGTCCATGCGCATCCAAACAGTACATACCTCTCGCCTTTCTGCAAGTCCCCGACACTGTTCGGAAGCTTCATGTTATGTCGAGCACAGTCGATGGTTCCAAGCCCTGTGGCTGCCAGGCCCTTTGATGACTTTGATTCTGCCATATTCACAGCGTTATGACTCGCGCACGTGCTTTTCTGTGTTACGTCTATCAATACAAGCTTCAAAATCAACCAAAATAGAATATGTACCTCTTGGGCTTCCATGCCTTGATTAGTCAAATGTGTCTTGTATTCAGTCTCATTGATGAAGTACCCCCACCCACGGGACAAGCTTGGATCTACAGCGTTGTAGGTTGCGAGTGCTACTAAGTTATCAGCGCAACTGTGGCCGATTTACACAGTAGCAAGATCTATATTGTTTAGTCCGACCCAAGGGGAAGCAGAACAAAGCAAACTGATTCACAACCCTAGTATTAAATACAAGGGATGTACCAACACGTCGGAGCATTCGTCAATGTATAAATCACTTCTTAAGTCGTTATGAAGATAAGACCAATCGTTTGCGAAGTCGGCCGATCGACTTGCGTGCAAACAGGCAGAGATATGAGCGGGAACTCTGTGGAGCGCACCGGATGATAGAGGAAACGAGAAATAAACAAAAGACATGGCTTTCGAGTGAGAATTAACTGCATTTCGACTAGAGTCCATTCTACTTAAGTACAAATCGGCTATGGGATAAGAAACAAGGGGATACGTTCACTAGGGATATTCGGACTACCTCGAGGCACTATTGGACTGTTAAGCGATCTACCTGTAAGTATAAGCGAAACGAACAAGAACAGGACTTGTGTGTTCGGTCCGAGTCGCTTAAGGTGACGTAATAAACGATATGTAAGAGAAATAGGCCTTGGATCGTTAGAAACAATGTAAGAAGTATATACAATGCACCAGTGGACAATAATGGATGGATATGGGTTGGTTGGATAGTCCAGCGGGAGAGATGTACAAAATGCAAGTGTTGCCGACCCAAGATATACGCGTTCGAACATCACCGACTTGTATTCGCGATCGGCATGCATGGACATGGAGTCGGCTTCAATCGGTAATGATGCGGAAGGAGCAGGAATGGTGCGGAAGGATATTCGGATTCGGCTGGGTGGAGGGGAATAGAAGCCCAGTAGCGGTCGGCGTCCCACAGCGTCCTTGGATATGATCTGCCTCTTCAGGCGAAAGTTTGTGTCAATGGCAAGAAAGAGGCCATATAACCATCTGGAGACACATCAGAACCCGTTCACATGGATGAATCAAGATCAAGTGCGTACCTTTTCCTTTTGGAGCAAGCTCCCAATCATCTGGCAGATTCTTCCCTGGTTGAGGGCATGCCGGACATAAAACCGCACATTCACCCTGCTGTGTGGCAATGATACCAGAGGGATCATGGCCGCGCCCTGCTCGCTTCAGCATCTTTACATGCCAAAATTCATGTGCCATGCGCATGAACACCTTGTAACGATCCCTGCGCTTCAAAAGGCCAGTATTGTCCGTCATATGAACCAAAGAATGATAGAACTCATAGGCCGAAATCTTCGACTTGAATGACAAGACATGGAACTGCTGCAGTACACAAAATGTTGCTGCAGTTCTCAGGTCACTGGTTGTTGCAGGGAACCAACCAACATGTAAGAGTTGTTCAGTGTGAGATTGTGCTCTATCGCACCCACAAAAGTCCACGGCCATAGGGTGTATGCCTAGAGTGTCGATAAGGATGAAATCATCATTGAAGGCTCGGCTGGGAAGTAGGCAAGATTTGCCAACTTTGTGCCCAAGTTGCACGCGAAGCCCTAGATCCTTGAGAGTCACGTTTTGGAAGCATTCGCTGATCCACTTCTGTAGTATTCGCATGAGGCATGTATAGCAACCCAATAGGACATGAGACTTACCTCTACACGATGTGCTGGTGAATATGCGTGAGTGCCAACGATGCACGTCTGACATGATAATTTGGACATGAAACAATCCTTGCAATGGTATGAGCCAACGGTGATCCCACAGGTGTTGCAGAAGGTCGAGGAGATGTCGTCGCCTCTTCCATCGTGGTGAAGCATCTCCAGAAGGAATAATTCCCGATAATCTATCCAACTAAGGAGACGATGATCCTAGAGAAGGTCAGTACATAGTAAGCGAGTAGAAACCGTCCACGTACACTGGCTGTGCATCTGTGCTTATTCTGAGACCCTACTTCCACTTCAGGTGAAGGATCCTCATCCATCGCCTCATAGCAATCACCGTTATCATAGTTGCCGATGTTGTCACAAAGAATATTGTCTGCAAGATGTGTGCCGGGAGACGATGATGATGCCTCCAAGGACCTGAATACATCCTGACGAGATGAAACTAGACCACCACATGGTTGCAAGGTAAATTTGAGCCTCTCATGAGCAATCAGCAGACTTGATGTAGGAGCGATAATGTATTCATTGAAATGCGATCATCCTCAACTACTGCCGCGTTGTCCACGCACACGGCCACGGCCATGACCACGACCCTGACTGTTACTACCACAATTGTTGAGTTCATGCCAGGACCAAGGTAACATCCTCGCCTGAATCACGGTTGTTTCATGAACTATGCGTTCATGATGAATCAACGCATCACCTACTGAGCACATATACGATACCTGGTGTGTCACCGATGCCTCCACTAGAGCTTGACATTTCGTCGATGAGTTCTTGAGTCGGTGTTCTTGGTAAGCCTGAGGATAATTTACTTGAAGTCCTTCGGGATCCACCAAGCTTTATGTATTGACATCTTGTTGTGCGAGAGGCCTTCTGTGAATCTCTTGGCGGAGTTTGCTAAAGTTTGCCAGTGTGAGTGATATAAGACGCATTAATTGAAACCCTTTCCCATCATTGAGCACTAGCAGTCTAGCACACACCTCCAGTCAACACTTTCGCTTGTTATTACCTCTGACGCTGTCTGTTTGTCCAAAATGAAGGTTTTTCCCATGATGATCAAGGAACAGACCTTCAGTTTGTCCGAGCTGGTAACTGTTGTGGAACTTTTGCGTGATCAACTAGGTAAGTCAGCGTAATAACACTGGCTTATTGTCGCACTCACTTGCTATTTCAGTTCTTACACATGCCCATGCTGAGGCTGGCACTGATCTTCCTAACCAACTGGAAGAAGCGCTAGCAGTAGGCTATTGTCCAGGTTGCGTTCTTCGTAATCATAGGCAGACCTGTTACGTCTGTCAGACTCAGATTTCCCAGGCAGGTTTGTCTATCTCCTCTAGCAACAGCCCTGGAGACTATCCTGAAGGAGGTAAGTTTTCACTTCATGTTTGCTATACCAGATCCTGATCAAACACATCAGACAAGACTCAGAGTGTCTCAGAAACAAGCTCCTTGTCCAGTGTGACTACAGCTGCGAATACTGCACCACCTTCCATCACTATTACTGCTGCAGCTGGTGCTGCACCTCATGGGAGTACTTCTGCTTCAGTCCACTGGTATGTTGTTACTTTTGGATGCGAGACAGGTGTATTTCAAGGCTGGTATGTATCTCCTTCTCATCTAGACCTCTCAATTCAATGTTCTTCCAGGCATAATGTGCATTCACATGTGGTAGGCGTTCCTGGAGCCTGTTTCGGACAGTACTCCTCTCGTGCTGTTGCAGATGAGGCATATGCCCAGGAATTGCAAGATGGCACTGTGCATGAGTTGCCACTCTGATGGTTGCTGCTGCTAGCAAACAAATGTGATATCTAGTGTATATACGAATCGTGTACTTGTCACATGCGTGTTTCTTATCTGTACTTGCTGCCCACACGTTTCTTGCTTGCAATCATAACTCGTTTCTTGCACACATGTTTTGTTCTCAGCGTCTTCTATATTTTGTTCTCTGGGAGTTGAAGTGTGTACCGTGTTGGAATGGTCAACAGTAATATTTGTGTCATGGCACAGGAAGTTCAGCATCTGGCAGGCGCCGGGACAGTCTCAGGCTTGTTGCATCAAAAAAAGATTCCAAGTCAATGGCGAGAAAAGATTCAATGTCGACATTGACAGTAACTGTGGGGGGTTGAAGTAGCTATGTGACTCTTTACTGACAACAACCTTAAGATAAATTCAAGTGATATGCTGTGGCAATCCAAGCTTAGATATCAACTTGAGTGCATTAATCTCCCAATGGTCATTGAATGGTATTATTCTCCAAAACACACTCCATTCTCAGAATAATACCAGTCAACCCCTACCGCTCCACTTGACACCGATGGCAGGTTGTCCATTCAAATACAAGGATGATGCTGAGAGAGCCCAAGCAGTGTGTGAATACCGCAGAAAATACTATAAAATGTGGGTGATTAATTTGATGCATGTATTCTCATAGTCAGATGCGTCCATAGGAACAAGAGGGCCATTTGTGAAAAGAATAACATATATCGTGCAAATTGGATGGCAGGCAATGTCCAGTCTGAGTGCACTACCAAAACTGCGACAACGAAGGCCTGCCCCACCTCTAAGACAAGCAACTCTCAGATCATTATTGTGCCAACTGAAACTGCGACAACAAAGGCCTGCCTACCTCTAAGACAAGCGACTCTCAGATCATTATTGTGCCAGAATCAAAGCAAACCACCGGAATGCGCTCAAAAACTCAACTGTCGCATGTGTAAGGTATTCTTACGACTATGAACTTAATTTTACTAATGTCTTGCCCTTGGTCATTTCACACTGCAAAGCCAGCAGTTCAATTGCGCTCAGGCTGCACTACTGAATTGCACTGGTATACCAGTGCAACAATTCTGTGAAGACCTGTGTGACCAGCTCATATACAGTATCGAGACACAGGAGACCGCCATCTGTAAGCTTCTCGAGGTCCTGGTGCATCTTGAAGAGGTTCAGGTTGGTCTATGGGGACTGGAAGGGAGTGTGCTTGAAGAGATGGGCATGTCAAGATTTTACAAGGAGGTCTGTGCAATTTCTACTCAGTGCAAAAAGACTATAACTGCCATTGAGGAACTGTGGTGCTACGGAACATCAGGGGTGTCAGGGATACCTGACCTTGCTGAAAGGCGCAGGGAGGGGGACTTACTGTATGAGACTTTGTAAGCACGCATAACCGCCGGGTCCTTGTAACAGTAATGCATTAACTTTTTTTAACCTAGTTATATAATTAAGCGAGCAGCATCCTCACGTTCTTCTGCCTTTCCCACTCAATGTCTCAAAACCTTGAGGCACAGTACATGTCTCCTACTCAACACGCATTTCTTGCCGAGCTATATGACGGGTTCGATAAGATCCCCATCAACAACCATAGCAAATTCTTGCAGTCCATTTATGAGATATGGTTCGCTCAATGGCCTGAGCATGATGTCTACCCAGGGGACACACACCGAGAGGTAAAGTTCCTGCTTCTATTCTACTTCAACCTTTGCTCATTCTTGGTTCGCAGTTGATCCAGAAGTATTTTATTAGGAGAAAGGCAGCTCGCTTGTGAGATAGCTTTGACATTGCCAGACATCTTAGAGCTTACTTGGACATGCATACCATCCAGTAAGTGTTCCGCGCATACTCTAACAGCGACTACTCTAACAACGAAGTTCTGGACTCAAAGAATCTGCTTGCAACTGAATATACCCACGGGTTGATACATCGAGCTTCTTTGTATCCTAGATAGATGTTCACAATGACAATGAGATCCTCCGTTTGACAGCCGTTTGACAGTGAAGTATGTACATGGATACCAATTAATGCATTATATGTTCTATGTCTAAGTACGTGTCTGGTGCATTCTCATAGTCGAGCCCCTCCCTACGTGTTCCGGCAGTCCTCAATACAATGGCTCCACCAAGGTGGGCTACAGCTGAGCAAGAAGCCGTCTTGATGTCAATGTTGGCTGAATATCGCACTTACATGCCATCAAAAAATTGCGCGCAGTTCTGGCCAAAAATCAACCGGAAATTCTTCACGCAATGGCCAGTCCATAAAACATACTATCCCGATGTTGATAATGAGGATGAGCTGACTGAGGAGCAGAAGGAGGTGTATAAGACACCGTTGCAAACCTGAAAAAGAGTACACACTCACTCGCATTGTTGAAATATTTGCTTACCATTAATTGCAGCAAATTACGTCTTGGTATCGGTGGCAGACAAACCCTGCGTGTCTTACACGTTTGGGCTGTTCCAGAGTCCTCGACATAAAACAAACTCTCGCAGGAGGTGGGTCCACAAAAGGTCCCCGTGCACTGAAGGAGGTTGAGGTTTACTCACAGATGTACTATGCCGACCACATCAAGCAGTCAGCTGACAATGCGATTGCAGAGAGTGGAATTACCTCTCGCAGTTCTAAGCTTCGCATGCATTGTGAGATCACTGCAGAGAAATATGAGACAGAGTCAATTGACGTCAAAGAGAAGGTTAAGGAGGAGCACCAAAAGTTGCAAGAGAAGTTCCAAAAATCCCGAATGGCCACTGAGGCAAGGGATGAGCCTGACGACGATACAAAGATTAAGTATGTCCTCACATTTTCAACATTTTTTTCAGCAAAACTCACCATTACGCAGAGCAATCCACAAGCTTCTGGTGATGCTAGATCATATCTTCCGACACCTGAGTCATATGACTGGTGGATGGAAGTTCTCTGTCCTCATGGGTGGCTGCGATCCAGAAGCTGGGGGAAATATGTGATTCTTTGAGTATGTACCGATTATCTATCTATAATCAATCAGTAATTAAACAAATCTGACAGCTATCACCTTGGTGAATGTGCCACTGGTGGCCAGTTTGCAGACTCATATGTGATGTACAGTGAGGTTCTTAAGGTGTTTGCGAGTTTCGTGGACAGCACCATCAGTAAGTGACTGGCATGGGAAATCATTTACTCACTAATGCTAAACTTGATGTTTAGAATACGAGGACTCTCTCCCAGCTACTGACCGCAACCACAACAGAGACGCTGAATGCAACTTGGCAAGTGAGGGTTCAGATACTGAGGCGGATGGGGATCACACTGGCGAAAGTACCGCTGCTGGAATAGAGGAGTAGAACACGCTTTATCAGTTGACTCCGAATGAGTATAATGCATCACACACGGAGTTGAACTTAGTCTCTTCGATGGATGGGGTTAGTCAGGTAAGCTTGAGGCTAATGCATCACTTTTACGAGAAGTTAATGCATTACTGCACAGGACTTAAGCTTACATAATACACAGCCGTTGGACTTCAACTACAATAGTCTCCAACTTGCGGATTATGAAGCTGCAATGCTCTCTCTTCTGGAGATGTCTAGCATGGATTCAGAGGGCGCTAGTTCACATCTGCCTTTTCTACCTCCTGTAGAGCGTGAGGTTCCAGTTCCTCCATTCATCTGGCCTACTCCATATGTCCGGCCCACACCTCACATGCCCCTTGCTTTTCAGCCAGATGCGGGGCTCCATGGGTCTCAGCCTCCCGTGACCATCAAAACTCTTACTCATACTCAAGCACCTACACCTCCTGCATCGCAACCACCACCTTTAGCACCTGCAACACCCAGACCTACTGGTCCCTCTACTGTCGCGCCAGATACAGCAATCCCTGTGCCTGAGGCTCAACCTCCGGTGAGAATTGAAGCTCTTGGTCCTACTCCCCCTGCCACATCTCAGGCTCCTGAGATGCCTAGACCTCCTCTCGCTGGATCTCAGACAGACCCAGTGGTACTTGGGCCCCAGCCTCCTGTGACCATTGAAGCTCCTGCTCATACTCCCTCCGCAATGCCTATACCTCCTGCTCCCCCTGCATCTCAGAAGGCACCTGCCTCTGAACCTTGTGCTCCCTCTGCATCTGAGCCAACACCAGCACTTTCTGTGTCGTCTGTGTCAGCAACTGAGCCTCTTCTGCTCACAGTGTCTCAGCTCATTGATCACCATGTTGAAGATGAGCAGCCTGGTGCTTGGCGTACTGGTAGGGCACGCCAATCAGTCCCTTTCAATCGCCATGAATTGGACAATGACATTGGTGATGCTCCTCGACGGTCTGGTCAAGTGGGCGGAGGCACGAGTGCTACATCAAAACGCGGCAGCAAGCGCAATGCTGAAAACACTGGTAATGCATCTAAAAAGTTAGTGTCTTTGAATTTTTGTCGTTTGCCATCATTGAGTTCTCGTTTAGAAGATTGAAGGTTGCATAATTGCGAGTGTTGGCCGTCTTACTGTTGTGTCTGACTGTTAGCTGTATATATTGCTTAACTCAAACCTGTACTCAAATTCATTCTAATATATTGATTGTGCTATACTTCATGTGAGCAAGAATGCTGTGGGACCTTGCTAAGCTACAACAATTATAGATTTGCCACTACAAGCTTGGACTTCACAAAGTTTTAGATGTTCGGGAAATGCCACTGTTGAACTCTACAGACTTCACAAATTTTGGGACACTCAGGAAATGCTGTTGTTGAACTTGTCACACTCAAGTCGAAGTATGGGGTACAGAAGTATGGAGTACATGTGCTCAGCAGGTACAAGAAGGCCCACTACCCTACATCCAAAGGGTCTGAGTGCAAGGGGAAGGTACTACAGAAGGCCCATAAGGTATCCACCCACTTTTTAATGGTCGGAGCAGCTGAATTAGGCAACTGGGGGCTAATGCATTACCTTGAGTGCTAATGCATCAGTGGTGCATTAGGGATCCTTAAAGATTTCTAAAAAGGGAGGATAAGCTGCAGTAACTGTTGATGCATTACAAGTGTCTTACAACTGTAATTACTTAATGCATTAAAATGACATTATGGGCTGGTACTGAATGCATGATAACTCTCCTTGTCCGCAAAGTTATTCAGAAAGAAACACTTGTAACTTTCCAAACATGTTGCGGAGGACATGCTCTTGTCCACTGCCTCGTCATAATCTGGTATCAATTCAACCACATGCGTTGCATGCATTACTCGCATGACAGCTCCCTGTCTATGGCAGTTACCATTTTCATCATGTGTGTATGCACACTCCACAGTCCACATCATGAGTTCAGGACGTTCTTCAGGATGGGAAGCAAAGCGAAAAAACTGGACATAGAGAAGTGGATTGGAGAGGTATGATGGCAGTTCCAGGTCAGAACCTCATCGAACCATCAGCTGAAAAATCAGTCGAACTTGGGTGACATAACTCGTTGTATATAATATCAGTAATGCTCAAACAAAAGGAATAAACATACTTGTGTTGCTGTCAATGCCCGGGCCGTCAATGAGAATAGTGTCGCAATTGCCCAAGGGGAAATTGTTACTCGGCGGGTACACTTGCACTACTCTGCTTGGCATGATGACCCGTGGCTGGAAGGCCAAGTGAAGCTGCAGCCGAAACTTGTTCCACACCTGGAAGCGCCCATATTTGGGGTCCCAGCGGGTGTGCTCACTGCTGGTCAGGGATGAACAACGAATGAAGTCGGTGAGCGCATGATCAAAGTCAGGGAGAGCATATTTTGTGCATATTTCAGCCAGTGACAGTGACTTGTAATCTGGCATAACATTCAATTGAAAAGCGGTGAGCGCGTCTCCAGAAAGAATGCCCTTTAGAAAGTGATTATGGACTGGTCGGGGACCATGAACCGACTTGACCTTGTCAGGGAGAATGCAGGAAACCCAGGAAAGTGCAGGATTAGTAGTTGTGACCTCCTCATCTTCAGTGTGTATGGCATTGACCAGTGGTGCCCCCCGAGAAGTCAACAATGCATACAAGTCAAATATTTCCATCGACTCTTGATGATTAAGGATGCGAACACACTGCTCTGTAAAATCTTTGCTTTGCCAAGCCGTCTGTGGGAAAAGGTCCTTACAGTGCGTTATGAGCAATCACTCCATCATATCAGCTGAGAACTGCATCAACGTGCCCAACCTCCTGATCGTACCCTCGAAGCTTCGCATTAGTTCGAGTTTGGGGATGAAGAAATCTTCTTTGATGCCCTTCTTCCCCTTCCTTGCTTCGGCGGCGACAATAGTGTCCTTGAAAGAGTGAAAATCCGAAAGTGCCTGCATCATTGCTTGGAGTGATTGGGGCGAATGAACTGGATTCTGTGCGAGGTACGTAAAGTCCACAAGGCCGCGGACTGCGTGAATGAATCTAGGTGGAATGGCACCTGCGATTGATGCAATGATAGTGCATTGTATATCTCTGTATTCACGGCCTGTCATTTGCTTGACGTGCGTGATGCTTTTTGTGAAGTGGTGTGTGCCAACCCGCTTATGCTGAACAATGAACCGGGTATCAAGCTCGTAAGCTCCTACAGTCTCCTTCACCCATTTGAGCGGATGATCGGCAAAAAATTTGAAGCAGGTATGGAGAACTTCGCCAGACAGATTGAGAGCTTTGGCCGCTTTCTGGAACTTGTCGAGGTCCCAAGGATTAACTGTTTTGGCAATATCGACGAGGAGTTGCAATGTATACTTTCCGGTATGAGGGGGGTGGAGCATCCCATCACCAAAATCCCCTTGCATCGCCATAGTCAGAGGGGATGTGTTTTTAGCAACTGCAGTGATCATGGTGGCCTCTGGTAGGTTGGATACATGAGCGACGAGCAGTGTGAAAACATGACAAATATATCTGAAAGGGTCAGCCATGAAACATCCCTCTGCTGCCATGGCCTTGAGGTTGGCAAAAATGAGGTCCATGCATTTATGCCATAGCCGTGCCTGGAGAATGCTCTGATAATCCAGATGCACACAAAACTTTGCGATTGGCATGTAGGCAATGCAGTGCCAAGCTCATAATGTTGCTTTGGAGTGGACCTCCGAATCGATATTACCAATGGTGACGAAAATCAGGTGCATCTCGAGTCCTCCAGTAATTCATGTGACAGGAGTTTTATCGGATCCCAAGATGATTGGCACTTTGGTCGCGCCAACAGGGAGGTGGTCCTAGAAATTTGCAAGTCTTTCTGTGACTCAGTGAGGAATGTATTGATATAATGAACAAACCTGGATTTTCCATGTCATATTGACACTCATGTAATCTCCGTATTCACACTGATCTCTGACATTGACACGGTGCGGGTCAAAGGTCATATGGCTTTCAAAGATTGGGTTGCTAAAGAGTTGTTTGACTATGTCCAGTGCATCACACCAAATGAGTTTGATGGGATGGATTGTCTTGTAGCCTGAAAACTCTATTTTAGAGACTTTCCACTCTGTAAAACAAGGGAGCGAGTCCATCCAGTCTAAGAGTTTATCTTTTGTGGTGAAAGACGGTCTTGCATGACTGTTAAACTGTTAAATGTTTACAATCAGAGTTGTACCTACAGCTTGGACAATCCTTTTTACCCATTTCAGCTTCAAAAACTTGGTGATTTGTGTTTGAGTGAGGTTTTCAACCAAGAACTTCCCTAGTTCCCACTCAGCTTCATCATGGAAAGGGTAGTAGCAGTTGATCTTTTGCCGGTATGCATATTCATCGTCTTCCAACGTATCGAGCATATTTTTACCAACACCGAAGACATATCCAGGACATGGATGACAAATACCGGTAGTACTTGAAATAGGACCTTGATGGAATACAGGAGGGACAGGTAATTCTTGCGGTCGTGCTTCGGGTGGCCAACAAGTAGACTGGGAGTTGAGATGCAGAATAAGTGCCTCAATGGATGGAAAATCTCCCCATTTGCAGTTGGGACATAACCTGCAAAGGTACGTGCTGGCCGCTGCAATCAGTATCATGGTAAATTGAATCTAACAGACGCATACTTACATTGTAGACTTTGACTTGCACTGCTTTTCCAGGCGTGAGTGCTGTATCTGAGTGCACACGAAACTGCTAAGTCTTTCAAAGTCCACAGACTACACATCTGCTTTGTACAGTCATCACCTACTGAGCTGTCTACACAGTGAGACGATGGAATTTGCGCCTTCATCTCCCACCATTACCTCTTCTCCTCAGTCAAGTAGTCCTGCTCACACTAACTCCAGTAGTGCAACCCATGTTGAAATCCCTTTCTTGGATTTTTTTCTCAAGAAAACAAACAACTCACCCCATTTGATGACCTCTAATATAGGCTCTGATTATTCAGGTTCTCCCAAAATTCCTCTCTCCCCAGTAGATGAGGTGCCCAATTCTCCTGCAGTGAGAGAGGGCCTATTGTATAGCCCTTCCCATCATGGAAAGCATGGCTGCACATCCCCATCCTGTCGTGGGAAGCCTGGCTATACACATGCAGCGAATGAGCTATCACGTAGCCCTTCACCTCGTGGCAAGTGTCACATTGCATCTCCCCATCATTCATCTTCTCTTATCGGAAATCTTACACCTGCTTCTCCAATGAAGCTCCGCAATCCAACCCTTCCCCCTCATTTGTCTTCTCCTCTAGCTTCTCCCCTTTTGGGGAAGCTCACATCTGCTTCTCCACTGGAGCTCTGTATGTCGGCCTGTGCATCAGGGCAAGAATGCCAATCGGAATTCACAGCCAAAGACATTGCAGAGGTATGTTCATAATATCATTCTATTTGTCCTAGAGGTTCATTCACAATCTTATGATAAAAGCACGAGGAATTGATAATGAAGGGCCTTGTGGAAATGAACTTGTTGACGTTGTATAAGTTATCCAAGGCAAGACTTGCTGGCCACGAGGCTGCATGCCAACATCTTGCAGTTACAACATGGAAGGTTCAGGAGGCAAAGGACTATTTGGAATTTTCCAAGGCGCTCAATGAGGATAACAAAATGCGCCTTAGAACTTCTGATGAAGAATTGCGAAGAGTTAGAGTCGCTCTCACTGGCCATAGCCATTCAGAAATTGAGGACGACAGGAACTACCTTCAAGCCGTCTATGACAATCAATGCAATATTCTTCACGCCATCGCTGCCCAGGCAGACATAATGGGAAAGGTTCTGGGCCTGAATGTCAAGAATGACTTGCTGTCATCTACGGGAGAATCTTCTCATCACCCTCAATTCACCAGCTCAGTTTACCGCAACGGTTCCCATACATCATCCGAAGATGGTGATGATAGTAATGATACCATGGACTCGGACGATGACGAAGAAGCTGAAAGCAACGATGCATAGTTACAACTACACAGCCTTTCCTATCATGGTATTTAAATTTGTCTGCCAACTCACCGCTTGCTAATCAATAGCATCAGTGAATAGCCACCCATTCAAATCTGCTCGGATCATGCCATTTGTATATCGACATTTTGACACGCTGCATTCATAAATCTCCTTCTTGCGACACCATGCTTTCCCCCCCTATCCAGTTATGTTCATATATCTATTTATTGAAATGCCAGGCCTTTCTCGCTTGCCAGATCACTTCATCATGGGACTGCCGTGCTTTTCAATAGCTCCCAGTTTGTACGTTTGGATGTGTTTTATTACCTGTGTGTAATACTAGTAACGGATTTGAACCGATCAATGAAAACCGATCCCCAGCTCTTTCTTCTGACTGCCATCTGCATGTCAACTAAACATCCATCAAAACCAAAGGGCAAGGCTGCTGTGCCCAAGCCAGCTAGAGGATTGGGACTCAACCCATCAGGACTTCCAGCTGCTGAACAACTCAACATCACAGCTGAACAGCCTTCGATGTCAGCGTTCAGTTTCAATCCACACGAAGAGAGTCAAGAGGGCATACAGGAAGGCTGGCAAATTGGGGGCCCAGGTGAGTGATTCGCGATTTCAGAGTCTACCAACAACTAACGAGTCAGACAACTATCAACCCTCTTATGATGATGTGTACGCACCTGGCCCCAGCCGGGAGCAAGGTGCTCAATTCACGCAACCCCAACATGCCTCAAGCTCTACCAGCGCTCGTTTCACACAGCCCGAATCCCTTGGCACTCCATTCACGCAACCCCAACCTCCCTACAACAATCAATTTGCGCACTTGCAGCCCTTCCTCGACAACCATTTCATGCAGCCCGAACTCTTCCCCGATGGCGACAACAACGACAACAATGGTACATCCATCTACGAGGGGAATACTTATGACCAGGGCCAATTTGGCTCACTCTTACCCGACTTTAAAATGCACAGGGGCCCACAGCAGGGTAACACCCACGCGCACGATGACAATGTCGGTACATCCATCTACGATGGGAATACTTATGACCAGGGCCAATTTGGCTCACTCTTACCCGACTTTAAAATGCACAGGGGCCCACAGCAGGGTAACACCCACGCACACGATGACAATGTCGGTACATCCATCTACGATGGGAATACTTATGACCAGGGCCAATTTGGCTCACTCTTACCCGACTTTAAAATGCACAGGGGCCCACAGCAGGGTAACACCCACGCACACAATGACAACGCCGGTACATCCATCTATGATGGGAATACTTACGACCAGGGCCAATTCGGCTCACTCTTACCCAACTTCAAAATGCACAGGGGCCCGCAGCAGGGTAACACCCACGCGTGTGGAATATTGTTACCCCAGTGGGTCAACGAAGCGCCCGACAGGGGAGTCGGATTCATAGACCGGGGGAGTGGTTTCATCCCTCCGGCCACGGATCTAATGCTGATCCGGCGGGGGGAGATCTCTCATGAGGAGGTTGTCCATGTGAGTTCCCCCCTCTTTTCTCATCCTATCTAACATTTGCACAGACAGGGGGGCCAGCACGCACTACAAAAAAATGCAACACGGGGGCTACATTGCCCAGAATGCTATACTTCATGCCACAAGCCCCCCGCAGCGTCACCGAACCGCAGACAAGCATCGCAGCACCGCAGACACCCGTTGTCGCCGAACATCCGGCAGCAATCTCGAAGACCATACACGTGTCCCAGGACAATATCACTCACACTGTGAAGGGGGCAAAAGCTCTGATCACATGGGTGATGTTTACCAAACATGCGATGACGCAGAAGCGGAAGAAACGCGCGACTCAATTCGAGAACATGATCAAAGATTCAACACCTCATTTTTTGGAGGCTGATGGTGAGTTTGTTCTCATATCTTTTGTGTTGTTCTACTAATATTTGTAGCCGTGGTCGAAAATTTTATCACTCACGCCCACCTTAGAAAGGTCTCGAACACATTATCCAGCACATGCAGGAAAATCGCCCAATTTTCACGCAACAGCATTTTCATATTGTATAAGCTGTTCCCTCCGCAAGGGGGCACTGCAACAGCAGAAGGCCATCGCATAGTGATGGTGAACAAATTGATCTGGGGCACTGACCCATTGTTGTTCATGCATGCAACTTTGGTAGACAAGGTAAGTTGATCTCGCAAGTTCCTAATACTTTATACTTACTATGGGTTTTTTTCAGCGTGGGAATATTACCATAGACGCGAAATTTCAAAATGCATTTATCATGGCTGGCGTCGTTCAATTTGTGTGGTACTCGGGACGCGAAGTTTTTCTCGGCAACTTACCACTAAAGGCTATGAGATTTGTGATGGCCTTGGTCGGCAGCGCTATGCATTGCACATTGCAGGAGCAACAATCAGCTGTCATCACAGTCGACGCTTTTGGTGGTCCGCACCATGAAGAAAATTTTCACGAGATTGTGTCAGCTTTTGATAACCTCACTACAGAAGAGCAAGTTGAGTTTGACAGTTATTTGCAGTATGTGTTAGATGTTGGACCCTCGCAGGCAGGCAATAGAGAGAGCTCATCCGAGTCAGATTCTGAGTGATGGGCCTCCTAGGTATAGCACATAGTTATCAGATGTAGATTACACTATAAAACACTGATATTCGAGGTGATAACAATGAGATCTCGCATCGGCTTGTGTGAAAGTCACTTCAGGGTCCAACATAACCAAAAACAACCGTTTATGGAGGCATACCTGAGCTAACTAACCAAAAACGAACATTTATGGACACATACCTGAGCTAACCCGATTCAAAATGCTTGGAAGCACTTTGCAAGTGACTTTTCAACAAAGTTGCATTTTTAGATGTAGCATTACTGTCCGTCTTGAGCAGCCGATAGTGTCATATAGATATATCTTTTATGGACTATTAGCCAAAAAGTCCGATACATCATCTACTCTAATTGTCCACTGTCCATGGGGAATGTATCCTACATTCTAAATTACAAATCTTGCTGGATAAGCCCACATGTTCGCATTTTCAGCCACCTACTGTGGGAACTTCTCCACAACACCCAAAACATAGCCCATTTTGGGTATTCTCCACAATATCAACCTTTCCCACACCCTCCCCATCCATCCCTGGCTCACCAACCACATCACAATTAGATACAGCTTGCATTTATGTAGTGGTATAGGTTATATACACATAATAGAATATAATAGACCGCTTTTTCTCTTTATTTTTGCACCAATACCTGGTACAGAGCCTCTGCAAGTGTGACATAATGGAAAACATATCAAAAACTGTTTCGCATTTTTTCCCCTCCAGTATTGGGGTACTCTAGCGTGTTTAGAATATGTTTTTAAACATATATGTACCTATCACAGCCCTTATTTTACCTCCTAGAGCGCCCTATATCATGTACTGTGCTGTACTAGCATAAAATAGAAAATAGCTACGCATTTTTTGAGCTTTAGGTATATAGACTTGTAAATATGATCCCCAACATCCCTTTCAATAGTATATGCAACATATCAGGAGCCTAGGTCAACAGTATCAGTCCCTGTGGTGCTATGTGCTTACCCTCTCCTGGTGGTTCACCCCATGGGAAATTTTTTCCTGCAGCTCCAACCCTCCAGGTTGGTAGGGTGCCTGTTACTATTGATATCTAGAATATATAAATCACATAGCTGTATGAGAATAGCAACAGAATCCTTCTCTAGAATGGAATATCTCCTTCTGGCTATACTACTGCATATTTTCGCATTTTTAAGTTTTGCCATTACACAAACTATCCAAACTGTTTATATTTAACTTCTAGTACATACATCAAGTCTTTTCATGGCAAGGATCAGACAGGAATATGTCAGAATATTAATATCAAGGATATATCTCCTATTTTCACTGATTAGGACTGTCAGACAGGTATAGGATGGTATATTATAATCGGACTATCACAATATACACTATACATACTAGGGAACACAGCCCCCGAGTATTGGAAGGATCCATCAAGGTATAAGGGCAGGGGAACCCAGTAGATAAGAACAAGAGTGTGGGAAACTCAAAAGTCTAAACATCGAAAATCAATCTACACATTAAGTTAGTGGTAGGACTGTGTGGTGTTTAGGTAAATGTTCACACTGAAAAGAGTTGCTATTTGATGAAGGACTTAGGGTTCAAACAGATGAAACTGGCTGAACTAAGCTTCATGTTAAGGTGGGGGTGAAAGATCAACTACTCGTCTCTTACTACGAGTTCTACTTTATATACTGTAGTAATAAGCCAATAGAATATCAAGGAATGCTGAGGAAAGAATAGAGAAGAATGTGCCTGATACATATATGATTCGTCATTTAGGTGACGAATTAATAACTAGGCTTTTACAAGCATTACATATGCCCTTCAGATCAACTCAACAAGAGGATCTTCTCTGGATTTTCTTTTTCGGGGAGAGAGTGAAAGCCTCCCCATGGACTAGGTGCTTGGTGCAGGAGAGGCAGTCCTAATAGGTACCGGTGGCTCAGAAGAACCAGTGGGTGGTAAGGATCCCCAGGCAGCTAGGGATGTGGTGAGGATAAGCATCAGGACAATGAGGTATATGGGCATAAAGGCTTTACCAAAGAATTTGGCCTGGAAGCGCACTGCATTGTCAATGTCCATCTGCTCAGTAGCAGAGATGATGTCAGCAATGTCAGGACCCTCGTCAAGGGTTGGGGAAGCGGATGACGCTGCCATGGGTGCAGGAGTAGGGACTGAAGCAGCTGCAATGATCTGGGCAGCTGTGGTTAGGGATATGCACGGGTTTTGGAAACCCGTGCGGGTCATGGGTGTGGGTGGGGGTCTGGTCCCAGCTCACCTGTACCCTTACCCATACCCTTGCCTTGGGTTGACACATGAAAACAAACATAGACTTTACCAAAACCAAAACTCTGCTACTGTACAGTTGTCAAACTTTAAAATACTCACTATGTAGATTTAGGAATGATATTTAGTGCTCCCTACAGCCTACACACCATGCAGCTCAACATGCTTTCGAAAAACTGCTAAACGAGTCACCAAATTGACTGACAAGGCTAGAGCCACTATCGAGGAGAAGCTTGATGGTGCCTCAACCAAGAAAAGGAAGAACCACACAAACAGGAGAAAGCATGGTGGCCATCAAATCCAAAAAGGCCAAAGCTACCCCACCAGATGATTCTGGCAACGGATCATCCTTGAAAGAAATGACACCTCCGCCACAGCTAGCACCAGTACCACCACCAGTGCCAGTAGTACCAGTGCCAGCAGTACACAGGGCCATCATTCAGACTGAGGAAGAAGAGGCTGCTTTATATGACAATGTGATTGACATCGACGACGATGACGATGCTGATCACCAATCATCCAGCCCAGATGTTGAGAGTGCTGCTGACAAGCTAAGTATGAGCACCCTTGTTCAAGCAAACATTCTTGTTAATAAAAATATAGAATGGTTAATGAAAGAATGGACCTCACCAGTATATGCATTCTTTGACCCAACACCAGCGCATCATTGAGAATGATGGTCGGCAGGCACATGAGTTCAAGTGTAGTGCACGAGGATGCAAGACCACCATCCAATGGTATTTGGATAAAAAAGATGCCTGGTCCACTGGAAATATGTGGAAGCTCGTCAAATTGTGTTGGGGTGATGCGGTACTGAAAGCTGCTGATGACACAAAGGATGCAAGCGAGGTCCGCACCAAAATCATTCCAGGTAATCCTGCGAGACAGATCAATAACAGTGTCCTTTGAACGCAAGGGGAAGGGGAAGGTGACATACTCCTACCGTCAACACACCCGCACTGAGACTAAGTAAGTCTTTGTCACTATGCAGCCAGACTGTTAGGTACTGTGCTGACTCAGGAAGCAGAGGGGTTGGGGCTTGGCTTCAGCTCATGCACTGCACCCTTAGCCGAGTACGTGCCCCGAATTTGGAGTGGGTCTGACATTGTCCGACGGTAGGATGATTGGACCGCTTTGGTCCGCTCTGAGGGTCAGGGAGTATGAGCTACTAGCAGTGGGCCAACTAGGAGCAGAGCGGAGAAGGTGCGGAGTGGTGCGGAGAGGGGATAGGAGCAGGGGAATGTTGGTAGGGGTGGGAAAGGTGGAAGATAATGCAGAGGGGCAAAGGAGGATATTTGATAGGGGCGGAGTAATAAGGGGAAGACTTAGAGCATGGCTCTAGTCGGAGCAGAGGGTTGGAGGGTCAGAGGTGACAACAAGTTGAGACTTGTGTCCAGAGGAGGCAAGGTCCTACTGAGAATTCTCACAAGATATAACTGCAAGAAGACAAGTAATATTAAGACTGAGGAAAATATCTAAGTACAGGATATGTTATATACTTCTATGTATGAGGCAGTGATCAGGATAACTATGTAGTAAAGCTATGTACCAAGGATATAGTTTGTAAGTACTTTACATAGGTGAAGACATAAGTCGGAGCGGATATCAATATGTACACATCAGATCAGTGATCAAGCAGCAATAGGAATTACCAGTCATCCAGAAGTAAGGGTCTATGTACTAAAAGGGGAAGTATATATCTAAAAGGGGAAAGAGGTCCAGTTGAATGGAGAGGTTATGGAAGGGGACCGGTTGAGCGGTTGAGCGGAAGCGTAGGGCAGAATGCGGACTTGTGATTGGACGGAGCGGAGGATGGGTGGGGCAGAAGGGTCGGAAAGCGGAGCGGATATCAGTATCGGAGCGGTCAGATCAGGTATATGACACAGACAAATTTAACATGACGCAGAGCTGAGCTTGTACGTTGGGTCTCCGAAAGCCTGCAACCATTCGAGATAGTCAAAGACCGAGGATTTCAATTGTTAATGAAAACAGGCTGGCCAGAATACTACTTACCTTCCCCGACCACTATCTTGCGTGACGTACAGCTCATTTTTGCAGTGCACTCGACAACACATTGCTAAAATGTTGAAAGTTAGTGACTTCATGCTCAATATGAATGAAACTGACTTGACTTACCAGGAATATGACGGCAAGATGAATTTTACTACGGACGCATGGACATCCACCAACCATAGAGCCTTTGTGGTGGTATTGGTCCATCTTGAGCACAACGAAATCCCACTGAGTCTGCTGTTAGACATTGTTGAGGTGGCGAAGGTACGTGAAAGACTTATGAGGTGCCCACACACAATGACATGACAACTTGACCAGTCCCATACTGGTGCGGAACTTGCGGCAGTATTTGCAAAAATGCTAGAAGAATTTAGAATATCAGACAAGGTACAAGGCATTTAGGATAAAAAGGTGAAAAAAACTTACTTGCTAACTTGTCCCACAGATACTGAGTGTCACATGTGATAACGCCTCGAACAACAATGTCATGGTTGACGGGCTTGAGGACTTGCTTCCTGACTTTGGGGGGGCAGCAAGTCACACACAGTGCTTCTTGCACACCGTGAATCTGATCGCCAAGTCCCTGCTTTGTGAGTTCGACATAACGAAGAATTCAAAGGCCGCAAGAGAATCAGACAATGATGATGTTGCGAGTGATATGGAGCTTGCCGATCTGAGCAATGAAGTTGAGAGTGAAGACGCCAGTGCCAATGCTAATGCCAGCACCAATGTTGGAGAAGAGGAGTTGCCAGATAATGAGGATGGTTGGGTGGATGAGGTAGCGCTGTTGGACCAGGATGAACAAATTGAGCTGCAAAGAAATATCCGACTGGTAAAGTTAGTGCTTTTGAAGGTAAGACAAAAAAAAATACAAGCACACCTCAATATTGATGGCTCCCTCTAGCTGCGCAAGCTTTCTTACAAACTGATCATTTCCACAACCATCTTGCTTCCTGCCTGGCACAAAATCCTCCTCGACCTGCAAATGACTCCAATGAATATGCCACGGGACGTTTGCACCCGCTGGAACTCGACCTTCAATATGCTGGACTATGCTGTCGTCTATCGGGAAGCAATTGACACAGTCACTCAGCAGCGTGACCTAGGATTGCACAAGTTTGAGCTTGTCGACAGTGATTGGGAGATAGCCAGCCAGTTGCAGGACAGGTTTAAGGTAGGCATGGGTCCCTTACTGGAAATTGCTTACTAAACATGTCTTTCAAGATTCTCAAGGATGCCACATTGTTTTTCTCGCGGGGGACGCCTAACCTTGCAAAGGTTATTCCCGCGATGGATTTGATTGATGAGCAACTCACCACCTACTCACACAACAAGAAATATTACAATTCTATCCGTGCGGCTGTTTGCCTTGCCAAGTGAACACTCAACTGGTACTACCAGTTGACGGACAAGTCTGAGGTATACCAGATTGCTATGGGTGAGTCTTTTTTTGATTTAAATAATAATATGATACTGACCTTTGTTTATTTATTACTACAGTACTGCATCCACGCCATAAATTGGCCTATTTCAAGAATGCACGGTGGGAGGACATCTGGATTGAGACTGCAGCCACACTTGTCTGCGATGAGTTTGAACGGTCATACCTCGAGGTGGGGATTCAAGAGAATGGAGATGATATTGAGATGTTGAATACTACGGCTCATGAGGTACAGTGGCTCAAAAAAGTGTCCAAATGTTTATGCATTTTTAAGTCATTGGATAATAGCAAGCCAGCACCAAACTATAACAAAAGGGTATAGGGATATGTCTGAAAGCCCTATATCAAGGCTCGAATCTGAGATATATAGCGTGGGAACCTGACCATATATGGGCAAGCTATGATAATTCTAAATACATCACTCATTTGGACACTTTTTTGACTTTATATTTAACCAAGACTATTCTATGATTCTAGTACTTGGTGTTACCCCCCTTGGCTTTAATAGCTGCTGCAATCCTCCTAGGCATACTTTCTATCAATTTCTGGCACTCCTCTTCAGCAATCTTTTTCCACTCTGCTGCAACTCTCTCCCATAGTTCAAATAGCCCCCTTGGAGGATCTTGATAGGCAGCAAGTAGTCTTTTGAGTAATTCCCAGAGATGTTCAATGGGATTGAGGTCTGGAGACTGTGCTGGCCATGATAGAACATTGATATCATGGTCTTCAAACCATTTTGTAGCCAGTTTTGAGGTGTGTTTGGGGTCATTATCTTGTTGAAAGATAATGTCTTCTTCATCAATTCCTGACTCCTGCATGCTTTTGAGTAGACACTCCTCTAGAATGGAGATGTACTGCTCTGCATTCATCCTTCCTTCCACCTCACAAAGAATCCCCACACCATTCCACCCCATACAACCCCATACCATCATACTTCCTCCTCCAAACTTCAGTGTACCCTTGACTTCTCTTTCTCCTAATGGTTCTCCTGCCTTTTTCCACACATATTCCTGGCCATCTGACCCCATTCTATTGATTTTTGTTTCATCTGACCAAAGCACCTTCTTCCAGTCTTCCACAGTCCAATGTTGGTGCTTTAAAGCAAAGGCCAGTCTTCTCTTCCTATGAGCTACAGAGAGAAGAGGTTTTTTCTTCTTGGTTACAGCCTTAAGATTGGCTGCCTTGAGGGTATTTCTAACAGTTTGGGTGGAGACAGGAGTGGAGATGATGGAATTGATGAACTTGGTAGCTTGGGTAGCATTTGAAGCCTTGCCAGATAGAATTTGGTGAACAATAGCTCTTTTGTTCTGTGGAGTAAGCTTGGGAGGACATCCCATTTGATGATTTTCTTTCTCTGGCATGTGCTGCTTTATGACTGTAGCAATAGTAGACTTGCCAAGACCAGTTTTTGAGGCAATTTGCCTAGTAGATAAACCAGAGGTACAGAGAACAAGGATATTATCCTTTTCAGCAGAGGAGATGGGCTTCATGATGATTATGTTGAATT